GCTCTTCAATTGTTCGCCGAACCAAATGATATTTAATTATCAAACATACATCGAAAGGTTAAGCTCCTGCTAACGGCGATCGAATTATTGACCGGCTGGCGGTACGTACGCTCATCGTCTTTGCCTTGGTCGCCGCGGCTTCGCAAAAATCGAGGAAGCATTCATTAGTCGGTATAATCAGGGACTATTGTGCAACGTTACAATTAGTCGTTAATTACATAAGATATTCGAACGTCGACAGCAGCTGACCGAGCGCGCAGCGCGATTTCTCAACTTATTTCTTCGTTCTCGAGGACTGCTACTTTTTAGCGTACTCTCGGTCGTGCGTCGCTTGATATGACTCGCCGAGGCAGTTATTATTTGGCATAGATGCGTCTCCAGTGCACATCATTCAATTAGCCGGGCTACTGCAGAGCCGATTAATCTCGCGGCAGGAGAGGCGATAGACGGCGGCTCCCAGTTTCGCGATGAAAAGCTCAAGAGCGCGTTCGTTTCGTCATTGGAAACGAGGCCACATGCAACAATAAGCGCGCAACGACCGAAATATCGCCACTGGCATTCAACTGCCGCAATATGATTCGGCCGTCGACGAGCGGCAGTTCGTTGTGAAAAACAACGCGCGACGTCGACTCGCCGATACGCAAGACAAGCGCAAAGGACTGCACAGGACGCGATTGGTTAATCGAATATCCTGCGCGACGTCGATATGCGCTTCGATCCCATTGGCTCTCTTTTCCGCTGTAATTCCGACTCCGCCTCGCCACTGCCAATTGCTCGATTCGTCATTCTCTCCGCCTCGCTCGCAGTTATGCAGGCGCGCTACAGCTACAATGCTACGCGGAATTTTCGGCGCTGCTGCTGCTGCTGCTGCTCGTGTCTCTCTCGGCTGGCTCGTCCGCGTGATTGCGGCTGCCTCGCTGAACCACTGCCGTGTCCTCTCAAAAAGTCAATGTCCCGTCAGGCTGGCCCGAGCGACACTGCGGACGGCACTCGATCGATCCTCCCGCGTCTTGTCGACTGCAACGCAGTCCGCCGTGCGCGGCTTCGTCGATCGTCCTCGCCACGTAAGATGACGTCTCGGCGAGAGCGTCACACCGAGAGCAACGACGATTACTTGCAGTTTCGAGACGCAACGCCGCTTCCGGGAAGAAGCGCCGAGACCACTTTTCGAGAATGTCGGCCAGCGATTTTTCATCCAGTCTGCCACGTGGGTTGGGTTGCTTGGTTCCGAATTTCAATGCACGATCGCAGTCAGGTCAATGGACTCTCGGCGATGCTGCCTCTCTCACTTTCATCCGATTAAAGCCCTACCTCACGGAGATGCGCTGACGACGCTGCTGCCACCGCCAGTCTTTTTTTCCTCCTCTCTGAAAGACCGTTCGAGCCAGCTCTCCGAAACTTCAAGTCTATAAATAAGCGCAACGTCGGCTTGGAGCACGCGAGATTTTTTAAACGAGGCAGAAAACAACATCCACCTAGTGGTCGGAAGCGCTCTGTCGGATTTGGGCGGCTTGAAAGTCAATGTCAAGCGAGCTTCTGCAAACTAGCGCCCGAGGAAGTTTGCTGGAGTTGTGATTGGCCGATGCGAGCGTCGGGCGCCAGGTGCCGTTTCGCGTTCCCATCTCTTCTCGGGCAGTCGAGCGCTCGATCGGCGAGCCCAGAGCGGCGGCGGCTGCGGCGGCGGCGGCAAGGAGGTCGAGAGAGGAGCGCTTGTAATTGCGAGCGAAAGAGCGTCGCGGTGGCGTCCGAAAATAAGCATCGATCGTGGCGCGAGTGCGTGTCCGGTGTGCGCGTAGCCGCGTCCAGATGAAAAGGCCGGGGATAAGGGAAACGGGAAAAAATAAATAAACAGGCCGCGCGGCGTTGGCGGGGACTGCGAGTGGCTCAGCGACGGGGCGCGGGCGGGCAGCAGGCACCCGATGCAGATGAAGGAAGGGGGTGGTTGCCGATGGGTAGGAGAGCGAGCCCCCCTACGTAGCATCGGCAATTTCACGCGCTCCTCGATGCTCTCCGATGGGGGTGGCCCGCGAACAACGCGCGCGCGCGCGCCTACACGCGAGAACACAGCAGCGGCACAATGCGCGATGGAGTGAGGAGCTGGCTTCTCCGTACGCCACTGCCGCCCTTCCTTCTCTCCTTGCGGCGTTTTGTCGCGGTGGCGGATCGGAAGGCAGCTATGCACCAGCACGTACGCGCTCGATGCCCGCTGCCGAGTGAAAGAGCGGCCGGGCGATGACGCCGCCGCTGCCGCTGCTTTCCTCTCCGCTCTCCTCCCACCCGAGGGACCCTCGACTGCCCGCCCTTTGTCAATCTCCTTTCTCTCTCTCTCTCTCTCTCTCTCTGTCTCTCAGGATAATCGACTCCCCTCTCCGGCTGCTGCCACTGCTCCCAATATTCCACTCGATTCGACCGATGTCGCCGAACTCTTTTCGTCTCGCCGCAGCGCGAATGCTCGGGCTGGCGATTAAATGCATCGCGAAGAAAAAGAGTCTCGCGAAAAGGAGCGAAAAGAGGTGAGAAGCGTTGAAGCTGTTGTGCGCGGAGAGTTTCGCGGCGGGCCCAGAAGAGGGAGCGAAAGAGAAAGCACGAGCAGCGAGCCTGGGAAGAGAGGGAGAGGCGTAAAAAGGGAAAAGGAGAAGAAGTAAACAGCTGTAGAGAGAGAGAGAGAGAGAGAGAGAGAGAGAGAGAGAGAGAGAGAGAGAGAGAGAGACTGAGCGCGGAAGAGTGGAGAGAGGAGAGGAGAGGAGAGAAGGAGCGAGCCATGTAAGGGAGCGAGACGACGACACGCGCTCGGCTCAGTTGATTCGGGCCACGCTCGCACCTCGGCTCCACCGCCGCACACCGCGAGAGCGAGACAGAGCTGCAAGACGCCGCCGCTCAGGAACTAGGAAGAGCGAAGCCTCTCCCCCTCGCGCGTGTGTGCATTTGCGCGCGCGCGCCACCGAGTCGCCGCCGTCACCGGACCCCGACTTCGAAGGATGTGCTGCTCTACACGACAGTGAAAGAGCGCCGTGCCAAGCCGTGTCGACCTTCGCGATAGACGTGAAAAGCGACGCCGCACACTCGCGTATTCTACACCTCTGGCGGCGCGTGCGTGTGCGAGCGATAATGGCGTATGGGGTCGCCGGCTGCTGCTTGCCTGACTGACTATCTCTCCACCGTACCTCCTTCCGCACACGCGCCACGTTCCTCTTACGTATTCCAGCGACAAGTAATGTTCATTCCTCGTTCATAGTACAGTGCGATGCAGTGCGTGCTGTGTGTGTATGTGAGTTCGCGCGTGATGCAGGGGGCACTGTGCGTGCGTACGGGCTTCTCGGAATTTTCGTCGTGCTGCTCGCCAGCCGCGTCGCGCGACGCCTCTTGCTCTCTCTCGTTTTCTCTCTCTCACTCACTCACCTACTCACTCTCTCTCGCTCTCTCTCTCTCACTCTCTCTCGCTCTCTCTCTCTCTCTCCGAATGTGTGTGTGCAGCCCGGAGACACACTGCGGGACAGAACCCTGAAAATCGATTTCCCAGACGCTTCTCCGCGCGCTACTACCACCGCGTTCTCTGTCTCTCTCTCTCGCTCACTCTCTTTCTCTCACTGTACTTTTCTTTCGCCTTTGCCCATTCGTTGTTCGTTCTCTCCGTGCCGGCCGCGCAACCGACTACTGCTCGTACGACGAGGATATTCCATCTCCAGGTGTACTTTTTCTTTTCCGCTGGCCAACATCTGCCCACAAGTAGCTCAAGCTCCTTCGCTGCACATGCATCATGCATTTGGCTCGACATACATTTTTAAGCGAACCTCCTCTTTCGAAAGTCGTAATATTCTGAATGCACTGCGGTTTTATTTTTTGAGAAAATTTTACATGTCAAACAAGCATCAATGTTGGTCGATCAGCTGATTCGTCATTATTTTTCGTTCTACGAGTGTAAGAAACGACACGTGCGTGCGTGCGTTCATGCCTCCTGTATACGTGTGTTGTATGCATGTGCACGGAATATGCGGAAAACAATTATTTGCAGGCTCACAGCAGCGACAGAGGCAGTGACATAGCAGGTCCTTAAGGGGAAAGGCTGTAGCGATTATGGGAATTGATGAAACATAAGCGTATAGCTTTTCCCCTTTGGTGCCTGTGCCAGCACAATTCACCCGAGGAAGGATGCGACAGGCGAGCGAGCGAGCGATCGATCGATCAAACCAACCGAAGCAAGAATAATTGGCTCGAGTGAAAACGCCGTGCGTTTTTGGTGACTGTTGCAGGTGAAGCCGATAAAAAGCAATAATGGGAACGCTAATGGGTTTGGAGGAACAGGTACTGGACTACTCGAAGCCCGACCCAGAGGCGAAGAGTCGTACAGCAGCGTAAAGACATGGACTCGTACGACCTATTCGGCGAGGATGTCAGTGGATCGATGCTCGATGCTCTTCCCGATCTCGGGGGTTCAGATCACTTTGACCCGACCACAGCCGCAGCAGCCAGCAGCGCCGCCAGCTCTGTAGTGCCTAGAGACCCAGCAGCGCAGAACTCCGGCCCCAATGGAGGAGGGAGTTACATTAGCCAGTCGTACGCCTCGATTAATCAGGAATCTCCCTTGCAAAAATTAAGCTCTTTCGGTGGATCTGACTTTGGCGCCGCAGCCGCCGCCGCCGCCGCCGCCGCAGCCAGTCAGCAGCAGCAGCAACAGCAGCAGCAGCGCGTCACTAACGCCATGTACAACCAGAACCTAGGGCCCTATGAGCCGGGCCCCCCGAGGCCCCAGCCGGGTGGGCCTGCGGGCATGGTGCCCGGTCCGGCCGGCTATCCTGGGCAGTCGCGCGGTGCCATGGGCCCTGGACCCGGGCCCGGGCCTCAGCAGCAGCAGCGCGGCCCGCCCCAACAGCAGTCGCAGTACGCCGGTTACAGCGACAGCATGTATTCGATGGAGCAGCATTCTATGCAGTCTCGTGGCATGGACCCGATGCAGGGCTGGCCTGGCCAAGGCTACGCCAGCCCCCAGATACAGAGGCATTACAGCCAAATGATGCAGCCGCAGCCGCCTGCGGCCGCTTACCGCCAGCACGGCATGCCCTCGCAGTATGAGCAGCAGCAACAGCAGCAACAGCAGCCCAAGATGCAGCCACAACAGCACTCGCCCCAGCAACAGCATTACTCGCAACAGCAGGCGGGCATGCTGGCCCAAATGGGCGTGCCCCACCAGGCGATGCAAACTCCTGCAGGCGCCTATCAGCAGCAGCACTTGGCCGGCCAGCAGCAGCAGCACTACCAGCAGCAGAGCCAGGCCTCCATGGCAAGCTACGCGGCCTCGGCGGGCTACCTGGGCTTCGGCGCCTCCATGCATCAGCAGCCCCAGGCACCCCAGCAGCAGCCTCAGCGTATGCCTCCTCATCATCCGTCCCATTCGACTCACCAGCCGCACCCTTCGCACCCGCAGTACCCGCCCATGGTGAGCCTTGCTTCTACGCATCCCTCCGCCTCTCCTCTCTAAATTACTATAGTAACACTCTCTGACTCTTTCAGGGCCAGCACGCACAGCACTCGGTGCCGCAGTCGCAGCAGCAGCAGCAGCAGCAGCCTATTGACCCGCAGTATCCTCATCATTCCTCGCAAATGTTCAACCAGCCACAGCATCCTGGTCCGACCTCGCAGTACGGTCCGACAAAGCACGCGACCAGCCCGCAGTACAGGGCCGCGCTGCCACAGCTGTCTCCGCAAATGTCTCCCAGGCCGCAGATGTCTCCACGGCCACCGGCTGTGCAGCAGCAGATGTCTCCTAGACCTATCATGTCGCCCGCGAAACCGAGCACGCTATCTCCGCATCCTCATGTACAGCTTCCCCATCAGCAGCAACAGCAGCCCCAGCCGGTGTCCGTTTCCCCTTGCCCGCCCACGTCGATACCGATGAATTCTGCCGCCACGACGCAACAGACCACTTTGCAAGCTCTTGAGCAAATGGTCATACCTGGCTCCAGCCCTAATGTGCCCTCTCAAGACTACGGCCAGTACCAGTCACGGCCACCCATGTCTCATGCGCCAAATCTCCTACCGACCTCACAAAGCCCCATGGGACCAATGGTCACGGGGCCGCGCATGCCGATGCCCTCGCAGTGGCCTCCGCAGCCCCATCAGCCGCAACCTCAGCCTCAGTCGCCGCAGATAAGGCCGCAAATAAGTCTGAGTGACGCTCGAGGCATGATGGAGCCTCATCATCAGCAGTCGCAACAGCAACAGCCACCTGCTCCGCCAATCGTATCTGAGCAGAGTGCGCCGCCACTTTACCCCATGAACGGTAACGAGAGCATTCATGGCGTTGTTGAAACGGCATCAAGAGAGCCCCCCGACATACATCAGAATTCGATTCACTCGCTCCCACATCCGCCGACCGTTTCGGAATCGGATCTCTCGGATTCGTCGCTATTGCATCAACATCAGCAACATCAACAGCAACAACATACACACCAACACCTTCAACATCAACTTCAAGTACAGCAACCATCACAACAGCAACATCATTCGCAGTCACACTCGCAACAGCATCAATCGCACCAACTGCATCAAGCAGTCACGAGCCTACCCAGTCAGGTAATGGGCAATCAAGATTTGCTGAGCCAACAACCGCAGCAGCAGCCACAGCAACAAGAAAGTTCAATTCACGGCACTTCACAAGTCAATTCGTCGTCAATGGACACGGTGTCCATCCCTCCAGCGCACATCGAGCCAGTACAATCGTTACCTGCCACTAGCACTAGTAATAATTCCGAATGTAGCACGTCGATACTACAGCAGCAACAACAATCAGTCGCCAGCTCGTCGCCAATCCCAAGCTCGATTCTTGAACCTGAGACCAACAAAATACCTGATCTACAGACAAGTGATCAAACGATTGATCAAACGAGCTCCTCTCAGCAACAACAATCCACGTGCTCGACGCCACCACTCAGTCAACAGCAATCGCAATCGCTCATAGGCAGTCAGCCACCAGTGTCGCAAATAAGCATGGTTCAGTCGCAAATGTCGTTACCGCAGACCACTCAACCCCAAGTCAGTGAACAGCAAGTTATCAGCCAGCAGCAACAACAAATGCAACCAGTCAGTCAAGTCCCTCCATCTCAGACAGCAGTATTAGGGCAACCAGTGCAGCCCATCGCAACGTCGCAAGCTCAAACGCAAATCGACACATTACAGACACCGCAAGTAAATGTTTTGTCACAGAGTAACACGCCGGTCAGTCCGTTGCAAGCATCGAATCAGCCGCTTATCTCTGATCAGGTGACCGATGCAATATCCAGTCAAAATTCGCAGAGTCAATCAATGGAAGTTCAGTCATCTGAGGTACCAAACCAAGTACAAAGCCAAATTAGTCCAGATCAGTCGACGCAAAATCAAGCACCAAGTCAAGTGCCGACTCCCACGTCGCAGAATCAAGCGGATCCAACTCAGGTTGGCCCAACCCAGGAACAATCTTCTCCACAATTATCTTCTGCGGCAACGACACCTACTGCTCCTCAACCTATCGTTTCTCTGACGTCGGCACCTATAACCAATAATATGTACTCAAACGATATTGCACCTCAAGTTTACCCACCAAGTGACACTAATGCCATGGTCAACAGTACAGGTATGACCAACGTTGATTTTATATCACAAACTACGCCTGTGGGGTACACCAATCCGATGGTGCCCGTGTCCCATCAACAAGAGAGAGCGGCTCTTCAACAGCAATTGCAAGAACTCTACTGCATGCCACCAGCACCAGATGTTCAAGATAAAATTGTCACTATCCAAGAGAAGCTGCAGGCTCTACAGCAACATGAAACCAATGATCAATGCAACGGTGGGACTCAATGTATTTTGCAACAATCTTCCTTGTTTACTGGTCCAGCTATTGTCGATAGCCCCCAAGTATCGAGCACAACGGGCAGAGGACGCAGCAAAGCTACATCGAGATCAAAAAAGAATCGAAAGAAGGCGGATAAAGAGGCCGCTCTTCCGGTACAGCCGATGACGCAGTCTGAACAGGCTGAATCTGAGAATCTAGTCACTCCGGTGGACAGTAGCAATATCGTTGACAGCGCAGCCGATTCAGTTGAAGATATGAAGCCAGATGGTGGTGAAGGAGAAGAAGAGTGGCCTATAAAAGGGAAAAAGGCAAGACCGCCGCGGAAACCGAGAAAACCGAAGGAGCCAAAAGAGCCAAAGGAACCAAAAATTAAAAAGGAAAAGGAAGTAAAGGTTGTCAAAGAGACCAAAATTACCAAGGAATCAAAATCTAAAAAGAAAAAAGACAAAGATACCACGCCAAAGCGCAGCAAAAGAAAGACGAAATCCGAATCAGGAGACGATGAAACAAAACTTGAGAATGAGGAAATTGCTGATTCAACTAAAGATTCTGAAGGAAAGCCAGCATCCACAGATGAGGACAACGAACAAGTCGATTCCTCAACAAACGAACTTACCATATCGGAATCGAAACAGGATGCTGAAGAAAAGTCAGATACAGAAAAAGCTGTCGTTGACGAGGATAAAAAAGATGGCCAAGATAGTCAAGCAGCTGATACACCAGCAGCAAAGAAAAAACCCCCCAGTCGGAAACGGCCTAGTAAAAGTTCCTCTTCAAAATCTCCTAGAAGTTCAAAGTAAGTTATAATTTTTTAATATTACAATTATTACAATATCTGATAATTATTACAATATCTGATTAACTGTCGATTTTAAGGAAACGTAAGAGCCGCATAGCCCCAGATTCCGATGGAGAAGAATTGGCAACGACGCCTCCTCCGTCGCCTGAGGCTGCTGATGATAACAAAAGACGATCTGCTAGAAATACTCATCGCAAAAAGTACGTAGACGATGTAATGCTTCGATTTTCAGACGACGAATTGCCCAATCAAGACGGACAAGGTAAAAAATCTGATGGCTCTACTAAACCTTCATCTGATAAAAAACCTGGTGAAGGCGGCGAAGTTATCCCCAATAAGCCCAACTTTGTATATATTGTAAGATTGATTTTTCAACATACTTAGTTTTATTAATCTATTATGTTACTGAAATAATATTTACTTTTTAGAATACTACCGATGAAGATTCAATGGTTGTGCAACACATTTTATGCTCACGAATGGGAAAAAGAGAAGTGAAGCCTGAAATACCTCCTGTTCTAGAAGTTCCATCCGAAAAATCTGAGGAACTGAAAAAATGCGAAGGGAAACAGGATGAAGATATAAAGAGAGATGATGAATCGAGGGACAATATCGTTTCCGATCCAGAAAAAGATAAGGGTAAAGACGAGGATGACAAAACTAAGAGTGAAGAATGTGAAGAATTAAAGATAAATAGTGAAGTTAAAAGCGAAAAGAAAGATGGTGCCAATCTCGAAGAAAATAAGAAAGAGGCTAAAGAGGAATATTTAAATGATGCATTGTCCGCTGATGACGCCGATAAAGTAGATGATAAATCCAAAATTGAATCATTAGATCAAAAGCAAATGATCGAAGTTGAGGAATATCTGGTAAAGTACAGAAATTTTTCGTATTTGCATTGCGAATGGAAAACTGAAGAAGAATTATATAAAGGTGATAAGCGAATACAGGCTAAACTAAAAAGATTTCAACAAAAAAAGCAACAAAGCACAAATATATTTGAAAATGTAATGATAATTATTAAATAAGATTCAACATTATCGTTTGTTTTACTACATGTGTATGCATTCTTTCAGACGGAAGATGATCCATTCAATCCAGACTTCGTAGAAGTTGACAGAGTACTTGATGAAGCTATTCACACTGATCCCACGACAGGTGAAACTGTCAAACATTATTTGGTTAAGTGGCGTTCGTTACAATATGAAGAATGTACGTGGGAGTTAGAAGAAGACGTGGATCCCGAAAAAATTGAACAGTTCCATAAATTTAACAAAGTCCCTCTGAAAGATCAGTGGAAGGTAAGTTGTAATTAGTTTTTATTAAATAGGTATGCATTACAAAGTGACTATTTTGCTCTTAGCCAAAAAAGAAACCATCCGCGTCTCAATGGGTAAAATTAGAAGAATCTCCAGTTTATAAAGGTGGCAACAGCTTGAGGCCGTATCAATTAGAAGGTCTTAATTGGCTACTTTTTTCTTGGTACAACTCTCATAATTGTATATTAGCAGATGAAATGGGTCTGGGTAAAACTATACAATCATTGACCTTTGTAAATGAAGTATACAAATACGGCGTTCGAGGACCGTTTTTAATAATTGCACCGCTCTCGACAATTCCTAATTGGCAGCGAGAATTTGAATCTTGGACTGATATGAATGTTATTGTTTATCATGGATCGTAAGTATTAAGAGTACTTCGTAATATGTTATCGAATTAACTTTTGATATGTTAATTGATATATTTATTTTTGTGCAGTGCTGCTAGTCGGACAATGATATCTGAATATGAAGTTTATTATAAAAATGATAAAGGCCAGCAAATCAAAGATCTGATTAAATTCAATGTTCTCATTACAACTTTTGAAATTATAATAACTGATTTTAATGAGCTGAAAGGTTACAATTGGCGAATATGCGTTATAGATGAAGCCCATAGATTGAAAAATAGAAATTGTAAATTACTTGAAGGTCTTAGACAACTAAATCTAGAGCACAGGGTTCTTCTTTCCGGTACTCCGTTGCAAAATAACGTAAACGAATTGTTTTCATTACTCAATTTCCTAGAACCAACGCAGTTTGCGAGCAGCGATGCTTTCTTAAAAGAGTTTGGTAATTTAAGCAGTGAAGATGAAGTTCACAAACTACAAGTTCTCTTGAAACCAATGATGCTGCGAAGATTGAAAGAAGATGTGGAAAAGTCACTTGCTCCAAAGCAAGAGACCGTTATTGAAGTAGAATTAACAAATATACAAAAGAAATATTACAGAGGTATTCTCGAAAGAAATTTTTCATTTCTTGCCAAGGGTACCACTTCAGCCAATCTTCCTAATTTAATGAATACCATGATGGAGTTAAGAAAATGCTGTATACATCCATTTTTACTTAATGGAGCCGAAGATCAAATCCAACTTGATTATAAAGACGTAAAAGAGGATTCAGATGCTTATCACCAAGCTTTAGTTAATAGTTCTGGTAAAATGGTTCTTATTGATAAATTGTTGCCAAAATTAAAGGCTAGTGGTCATAGAGTATTGGTATTCAGTCAAATGGTCAAATGCCTTGATCTTTTAGAAGACTACTTGCTCTACAAAAAGTAAGTTGTATGAATTTTAAACGACTCTTTTCATTCAACCTTAATAACCTTTTTAATAATCGGATACAATTTTCAGATATCCTTATGAACGAATTGATGGACGCATTCGAGGAAATTTAAGACAAGCTGCTATAGATCGCTATTGTAAACCTGACTCGGATAGATTTGTATTTCTTCTTTGCACGAAAGCAGGTGGCCTTGGCATCAATCTTACAGCAGCCGATACTGTAATTATTTACGACAGTGACTGGAATCCTCAAAACGATCTCCAGGTAAAAGTCAAGTATTTTTATATTTTTATTTATAATTGATTTATTCACTCAATCATTAATTTCGTAGGCTCAAGCTAGATGTCATAGAATAGGTCAGTCAAAAATGGTTAAAGTCTATCGGCTTTTATGCCGCAATACTTACGAGAGAGAAATGTTTGATAAAGCATCTTTGAAATTGGGATTGGACAAAGCAATATTACAATCAATGAATACCAGTCAAGGTGGCAAGGATCCAAATAACAAAGCATTGACAAAGAAAGAAATTGAAGACTTGCTCAAGAAAGGAGCTTATGGTGCCATCATGGATGATGATAATGCTGCTGACAAATTTTGCGAGGAAGATATCGATCTGATCCTAGCTAGGAGGACACAGGTAAATGAATAATCTTTCCTTAGTAGTTAAGTTGATCGAGTGTCATTGAAACTCAACTGTATTGTTTAAATTTAGATCATCACCATTGAAGCTGAAAAGGGTTCTACTTTTTCAAAAGCAAGCTTTGCATGTTCATCAAATAGATCTGACATAAATATTGATGATCCAGATTTTTGGAAAAAATGGGCGAAGAAGGCTGAAATTGACACGACCGAGAAGAAAGAGGAAGATGACTTGGTTTTGTCTGAACCAAGAAGAAGGACTCAAATCAAACGATATGGTCACGATGAATCGGTTGTTGATATGTCGGAACTTGATAGTTCCGAGGATAGTGATGATGAAATAGGCATTGGCCTGTCGGGCAAGAAACGCAATCGAGATAAGCTCAACAAAAAATCTCGTAAATTCTATGACGAGTATGTGCCACGCGAGGGAGAAGTAGTGTACGGCAATTGGGCCCGTAGCGAATGCTTCAAAGTTGAGAGAGGACTGCTGACTTTTGGATGGGGACGTTGGGAAGAGATTCTACAGCATAGTCAATTACGTCGCGGGTGGACTGAGGCTGATATTGAAGACTGTGCTCGAGTGATCCTGGTTTATTGTCTGCGTTATTATCGTGGCGACGAGAAGATCCGTAATTTCATTTGGGATCTAATAACGCCGCTGGAAAATGGAGAGAAAGCAAAGAACGTGCAGGTGAATCAAGGTGCGTCTAGCAATCGAAATAGCAGACAGCAACAACAGCAAAAGAAAAAAAGCAGTAGAGTACGTGAAACTAGAGGATCAACTAATGCCAGCAGCAATAATGGCCCCGCCGATCCTAATCACTGGAGTCATGCCGAAAAATATGATGGTGACATATTTCTTGAGAGTACATACAAAAAGCACTTGAGTCGACACGCCAACAAGTTAGTATAACAAGATCTCCAGATAAACCATGAGTAGGTTAGATTCATCATTTTACTCATTAATGTTATAAATTTTCAGAGTCTTGCTGCGAGTGAGGATGCTCTATTATATTAAACACGAAATAATCGGAGATTTGGTACAGCACATTAACGACGGTGTGCACGTGAGGTCAGTAAATAGTGTTTTATTGTGTGGCTTTGCGGTGGTTTCTGTTTTCTTTTCTTTTTTTTATGTATTTTTTTGTTATCATTTGTTTTTGTTTTATTTTTTTAAATTTTTGTTCGATATATCGCGAAACATTGTGCACTCACACATGTGCTTACACAGCGCTTAAACAGTTTGCATGTGCGATGTATTTGTTCACCCTGGGTCTTGTTCGAGGACTGAATCCATGTTTCATAGCTGCAAAGCGCCGCTGAATGGCTACTAATAATTTTAGTTCATCCTTTATCATTGGCATATACACACATATTTATAGTTAAGAATAAAAAATAAAGATTCACCATGCCGGCACCAAATTGGCTCGGCGATTGCCGCAGCGTGATGACACGGTAAGAAGCAATATCAAGCAGTGCACTGTGTCAGAGGGCAAGCGTTATACCATTTTTCTTCGTTTGGCAATATCAGTATTCCATTATTAACCGTTTACACATTTTTTTTTATTAGTTTTCTTTTTCCTTTTTTTCTTTTTTTTTTTTTTTTTTAACTTGACAAAATCTGATGTTATCAAACGTATGCCATGAAATCAAAATTAAGACGAGACAAACAGTCGTTTCGCAAGCAAAGGTCTAAATTGATAAGATGTAAAGAGACCCAATTGGCAAAAATAATAAATCGGCAAAATTGCAAATGAAATGGCCCTACAGTGCGTTGCGGCTAAACCTGCCACAATTGCCAGAGAAGCCAGTCAAGTGGTGGGATTCGATGGCCGACAAGTCCCTAGTCGTGGGCTGCTACAAACACGGCTATGAGAGTTTCGACCAGATGAGGAGTGATCCCACGCTCACATTCATAAAAAGCTGCCCGCTCCCTCCCCAGATCGATAATAAGTCCAAGTGAGTACACACGATTATTACTTGTATCCTCTATTTCTCTCCGCTCTCTGTTGAAATTTTCTCTAAGTATCTCTCTATTACTATCACTGCTATAACTGCACTCTCCCTCTGCTATGCCACCTCTCGATTATCGAATTGCTAATCGCATGCTCGACACACTACACCTAACACCGCTTTACTACTGCGAGATATGAGCTCATTAACACGGCTAATCATATGATGACTGATCATTTTGGACGAGCCAGTGGCAAATTATACTTGGCTTAGCCGCACTTGTGCTCATTTGTGATTCTTACTTTATGCCCTTCTTGGTTTATTTAGTTGAGAGTTGTTGCGCCAATAATGCAAATAAATGGACTATATGAATTCTCTTATCAAGGCTGCCAATGCTATCAAGATTATAAAGGGATTTCAAGGATTGTTTCATTATAATTCTACCAATTTCAATTTCTACAATAATATGAATTATCAATCGACGATAACATTATTAATCGTTGGCTTAGTCCCTTTCACGTTTCATTTCTTTGTTAACTTGGTCATTCTTTCTTTAAGGGATGATTCCGGTATGGATATAAGCGAGCTCGAAGAAGGCGAGTCCTCGGGCATCGGCAAAGACTCGCTAGCGAATTCACCGTCGGTGTCAGCGAATAAGGCTGACAATGAAGCTGGTTCTAGTGGAGTTCAAGACGGTCTGGAAATTATCGCGGACGATGAAAAAAATTGGCCGAGCGTCGTTGATATGAACACGCGTTTGAGACGAGTTATAACGTCTTATCAAAGGAACATCAATAAAAAAGAGGACATAAAAACATCCATTATGTCGAATAATAAAGTCGGCCAGGATATCAAACTCGGTAACCACCAGGGCATTCCGACTATGGATTCCCCTCTGAATGTCCAAAATTGGGATTTGCAAAAGCTAGCTATGTATCTTTTGGTGAGTAGTCTTGCAGTCACCGAAAATTAGCAACACATACGTACAATCGCGATATTTTTTTTATTATAATGATTTTTCATAGAAGATGGAGAGAAAGGAAAAGATGGAACAAATGGTCAAGGAGCGCGAAAGGACACGCTTGGAGGAGCACAAAGCCAAATGGTCGAGGCGGGAAGAAAGCGAATTTCTTCGCGTTGTTTCCACTTACGGCGTCAATTATGACAGAAAGAAAGCGCAATATGATTGGACCAGATTCAAAACTTTGGCCAGATTTGACAAAAAGAGCGATAGTGATCTCACCGAGTATTATATGGCTTTTAGAGCAATGTGTAAAAGAGCATGTAGCGCAAAGATGAGCGAGGAAGAAGGTAAGTTAATTTTATATTTCATTATAATTGACTCAAATCTAATGTAAGTTTTCGTCAACGCAGGTTCTGCAGATATGCCGATCGAACTTTTGAGTTCAAATAAAGCCAGGCATATTTTGGATCGCATAGACTTGCTGAGCAAAATCAGAGAGGAAATGCTGTCGCATCCTCAATTAGAAGAACATTTGTCTTTGTGCCAGCCGTCGGGTGATACTCCAGACTGGTGGATACCAGGACGACACGATAAAGAACTTTTACTTGGGGCAGCTAAACATGGACTCGGACGCACCGACATCACCATACTCAATGATCCGGATTTTTCATTTCATAAAATGTTGAGTAGAAGCTTGAACCGAGAGAGTCTCGATCGCTCAGACAAAGCTATTAAAATTGAAAACAGAGAGGATATTTTAAAATTCGATAAAGATGAAATTTTGGTGAAACTAGAAAAGGGTGAAGGAACATTAAAAATTGAAAAAGTTAGCATCAAGAAAGACTCTCCGCACACCTCGGATAAAAAAGGAGAAACTGGAAAGAGCCAAGTTGAACTCACCATTATAAAATCTGAAAATAAACCCGAAGAAAAACAGATCACTGCTGGCGGTTTAACCATCACTACTATAACTAAGCCTTTGCCTATTGACAAAGAAGTTGACCATGAAAAACCGGAAAAATATGAAAAATCTAAATTAACTGCTGAGTGCGAAAATGTGAAGCTAGATCGTGCGGATAAATTGGAAACCAAAGCGACTGATATTGAATCCATGGAAAAAGATGAAAGTGATGTATCCACCGACAAGAACGAGGACGAAACGAAGAAAATGGAAGTCGATAGAGATGAAAGCAAAGAAGGAAATTTGATAGATGAATCTAAAGAACTGGCATCAGAAACCCATGAGGATAAAGCGGTGGAAAACTCGGAAGAAAATAGTGAAACTACTAGCAAAGCAGAAAAAACAGATGTTGAAAAGAGTAGTAATGAAGAAACATCTACTGAAGAAGATAAACGGCAAGACAGGAATGAAAAAATGGATATGTCTATTGATAAAATTACTATAATCGATGAGAAAATTGACGATAGCGAAGCTAAAGTCAATGATGCTAAGACTGAAGAAATGAAAAAGATTGACGACGACAATAAAATTGCAGAAACCCATAAGATTGCTGATGTCACTGATGAAAACGATGCAAAAAAGAAGCCAGATACAACGGACATAGAAAAAGAAGTATTAGAAAATAAATCGGATAACAAAACTGAAAAGGAAGAGATTGAAAAAAAGACCAAAGATGACAAAGTGAAAGAGTCACTTGAAGTGGAAAAAAATAAGGAAAAGGAAGCGGAAAATGAAATGGAAAAAGAAAAACAAGTGGAAAAAGAAAAGGAAGTAGAAAAGGAAAAGCCGAAGCCTCTTCAACTTAAAGATGACAAATTATCAATCACGAAAATTGAAGACAAATGTAGCATGCAAGCAGCAGAACTGAAGGCAATGTTTCCAGATTTGGAGGTAATTCAGCCGCTATCACGATTAACTCAGATTGATACATTCGTGCTTCGAGACAGCAAGGAACCCACCGTTGCTCAACTCTTGGGACACACCCACAAGTCATCAATTAAATGGCCAAAGGTAATTTACAGTTTATTAACAAATTTTATCAATTTGGTGAATTATATGAACCAACTGTGATTTCTATTTTAGGAACATGCTATTGAAGCTCGTTTGATGCACATCGTACATGCTATTGAGCATAAAGAATGGCCTGTTTCCATAAACTTTACTGCTGGTGACGAAATTGAAATCATAGAAAAAGACAGATCTGAAATCATAACAATCACTACGGATCACGGGATCCCACGTCCAATCACTGCAAATATTGGAGGTAGCAGCGGTAATAGTATAACCATTAGTAATATTGGCAGCAGTGGCTCTCATGGTAGCAACATCAACATTGGTAGTAATATAAGTGGTAGTAATTCATCCGCCTTGAAGAAACGTAAAAGGCATATTGCCATTGACGTTGAAACGGAACGCGCTAAACTTCATGCATTGCTGAATAGTAGTCATCTGGCATCTCAACCACCTTCTCAGTTAAGCAAGCCAGTTTTGTCTAGTGGAAGTTGGGATATTAATGATGATTTGGAAGATACAAGACGTTCAACCCAACCACCACCAGCTCATCAGCAAACTAGAGCTCCCGCCATACCATTTGACTTAAAATATACTATACCTGGCAAACCCACGATTATTCCAGGCACATCTAGCACTTTAACGCCTATAGATTTATCATCTGGGTACTACTTGCATATAAACCTTACGATTCTTATTTTATCGAGAGAATATAATTGTGAATTATTTTTCAGGTATTCATCTAAGCCATCCACTGATAATTCTAACAAAGATATTATGAATGAGGTACAAGACTTCTCTATGCCAAGTAAGATTAAACAAATTAGTAGTAACAAGGGAAAATTGGATAGTATGTTAGAAAAATTTGTAAAGAAAAGGAATATTGTAAGTAGTATTTTTAGCACTATAAATTTTCATTTTCGAACGTTAATAATGAATGATTATGTATAATATAGACCGTGGAAGAGCCACCAGTAGGTAAAGAGAAGAAGCGAAGAAAGCTAGACGAAATCGTGCAAGGTTTGCAGCGAGAAAAAGAGCAACAGAGCACTCATTATCCGGAACACAGTAAGAAGGGTACTATAACGCCAAATGTAACTGTAACTCCAACTTCGGCCCCAGTTGGCCTTCCCAATCCACCTTCATCGTCGCAGAAACCGTTCTCGATCACTGTTACCTCGATACCATCTTCGAGATCATCTGGCAGCTCTGTGAGTCAATTGCCACCACCATCGTCACATTCGCACAAAGACAGCTTTTCAGCTTTATTAGCTCAGGCCGAACAACAGAATAGGGAACTTTTAAAGAAACAACAACAGCAGCAGCAACAACAGCAGCAACAACAACAGCAACAAATGCTCAATGTAGCTCATGCCTCCTCTTCTTCGAGCCATAGAAAGAGTTATGAATCTATGATTGCCGAAATCAACAAAGTAGCCGAATATTCCTCGAAAGTTGGAGCTTACTCTCACGAAGCCAAAGTTAACAAATGGTTAGCCGAACAAACAGCAATGTCGGAGCAATTCAATGCTGAATATCTAAATGCAGCTAGAAGACGAAGACCTCGCGTTGATCCAACTCTTCTTGATTGGAAAAAGCTTACTGGCGAGGAAAATGTGGCTGTGATAAACAGGCTTACTGGCAAAAAGGTTAGAAAACAAATGTTTTAAAAAGTATCTAATTAAAGAGAAAAATTCTGGAAATGTATTTATTAATTTCAATGTTTTTTGGTTTTAGGTGACTGGAAGCAAAGCTCCACAATTGAAGCGACTTGGACAATGGTTAATGGAAAATCCCATGTACGATGTAGATCCTAAGTGGGCCGAACTAGTGAAAGAACGTGGCAATTTGCCACATGATTTACAAAAGCGATTGCCAGGGCAAGAGAGACAACGACAAGACAAGGGCAAGAGCCCCGGTAGGCCGCCAATGATGCCAAGTCCAAACAGTCAGCAATCGAGTGTCAGTCAGGCGAATTTGGCAGCCACCTCGATGGCGTCGGGCCTCAACTTTCCCGGACTGGGCAATTTAAACAACTCGCTGCTGTCGAGTCTCTCGTTAGGCAATTTCGATCCAAAAAATCCATTACTCATGCCCTTTGGTGGTTTGCCTAATCTCGGCGCTCTCGGTGGACTGGGCAACTTGGGTAACCTTGGCAACATGAATCTGACAAATTCGTTGTTTGCCAACTTGGCAGGATTAGGTCTGCCTGGATTGACCGGAATGGAGGGTCTAACAAGTGGTGCCGGCGGTCCCACGACCACCAGTCAAGCAGAAACAAATGTGGTGAGTTCGGCTAGCGCCCGAGGCACTAACTCGACAAGCATAGCAAGTACAAGCAAGTCACGCACAAAGATGGACACCCCGATGACGAGCAAGTCGTCGGCTCCGTCTACGTCTACGTCCTCGTCGCTACCGACGACGACGCCCTTCCCCTTCTTCTTCCCAAACCCCAGTCTACTTTACACACCCCTTGGCCTCGGCGGTCTCAATCCTTTCTCTATGCAACCCGGTGGCGTCTCCTCCGCATATGAGAGTCTCGCCCAATGCGGTCTCTTGCCTCCAACCTCCACCGCTTTGTCCTCACGCAAGTCCACGTCGGTTTCGTCTAGCTCGAGGCACGCCGGTGCCAGTAACCGAGAAGAGGTATCTATCAAGCGCAGTAAGGACGCGCAGCTTGAAAAAAAGCCTAGCAGCAGTAGATATCCACCGCTCGACCCAACTTTGAGCTTGCAGCAGTATACGGACGCCGCCCTCCACGCGGCGGCTTCGGCGGCCGCCTCCGAGGAACGTCGACGCTCCTCGAGCTCCGCTGCTCTGGATAGGAAGCCCCATACGGAAACAATCGAACTAGGTGATATTGCCGATCTTTCCGCACGCATTGAGCGCAAAACCAAGGAACAAGAAATGAAGGAAGCTCTCGAGCAGCTTAGCAAAACCAGTGCTGAACTGTTCACTAGGAATCTTGAAAGCTTGCAGCAAGTTTCGGGTAAGAGAAGCTCGCTAGAAGTCAGCCTCGAGCCCATTGTCAAGAAGCCACGAGTAGATTTGAAAGATTACGGTAGAGACTTTGACAGTACCGTTATTTCTTTGACTTCGGCGGCTTCCACTCGCGATGGTAGCAATTTACCTCCACCGCCTGGGAGACCTCCTTCGCGTCCACCGTCCCGGCCTCCATCGTCACATCGAGAAACCATGAGCAATCCTGCATCTATTTTACCGAAAATCGCTGCAACGATCGAGCCTATATCCGAAGTGGAAGCGAGGTCGGTCCCACAAAGCCCCACGCAATCGGGTGCTGCTCACATTTCGGTCTCACCAGCGCTCTCCGGTTCGACGGCTCACTCTATGAGGTCACCGGCCATTTCTCCAGCTCCGTCGACGGCGTCGCCGTCCAAACAACAGACACCCGAGCCCAGCCCTTCCCACAACACCTCGGGCAGTAGTAACAAGGAATCATCAGACTCGATCCCATCGTTTGACGAGACATCTTTGGCGCAAGCCAGCACTACTAAGGTGACCGATGGTTTGAGCAAGGCTTCGAGTACCGAGTTGACCGAATCCTCTGTTGACGATGGCAAGGGAATGAAAAGTAAAAAAGCCAGAAACACTAAGCGATTAGTCACCGAACCACCAGTTGAACGAAAAAACTTGCGCTCCAGCGCTGGCAGACAGGCTCGAGCAGCCGCCGAGAGACAGGAGCGAGAGCAAGCTGAGCAGCAGCTACAACAGCAACAGCAGCAAGAGAGCCATGGCTCCAACGAATAAATACGATGAGTGCTTGAATCAGAACTTTTTTAGTCTGATTTCCGTTACTAATAACCGAGTTTTGAAACAGTGATTCATCGAAGACATTGAGTTTTTGACAAAAAAGAAATGCGTGAACAAGTGATTTTTAACCTTTGGTATGAGACAAACTAAGGCTAATATAGTGAATTTATTTAAAATGAGAAATTTGATAAACGATAGAATACTGAGTGAAAATACGCGTGATAAACCACATCCAAGGGCGGGCAATAGTATTTTGTGATGTAATCCTTTATGTGGTAATTTTAATTTCATAATGTTATTATGACGAGATATAATTTTGTTAAATTTCTTATACTTTTTGATCGTATTGGTTTTCACCAGGGACTGTTTTGTATAACTGCTGCTATATACATTAAATACTATACGCATAATAGTGTAATCATACTATGAAAACGTAAATTAGACGTAACTTGTTAAACGAAAATGTAAATATGATATAATTCGTCTAGGTATTATAAGTGAAAACGTGTACTTGGAAAATGTATATAATGCAGTGTACTTTTAATTATACATTAGGTGAGATAATAAACGGCTTTTTTTGTTGTTTGCAGAAATGAATTTCATTTAAATCAACGAATTAATGTTTATTAAATCAAAAATTTTATTTCAGTCGTCAAATAAATTTTCAAATTGTCTCTGTATAAAAGTTACATTAAATCCTGTTAAATGTAATTATATTTACTTTCTTTTCTTTATACAAGTATTTTACCCAAATGACACTCAAAGATTTATTATTATACAAAAACATAATTTCAAATTTTTCAGAGATAGTTAGATTGAAATCAACTTTGTTGAATACTGTTCAATTCAAAAACTTGAAGGTTGAGGAACTATTCGAAGATACGATTTACCTGAAGGCATGGAAAGAGTTTTAATATTGTTACCATATATTTTATTTGCATCATCGTCAGATACAGTTGGTTGAACCATTACAGGATCACCTTTCTATAAAATAAAATTTGTAAAATATTTGAAAATTGCTAATATTTATAATGAGTAAAAATGTACTTGAACAAATTTACCTTCCAGTCAACTGGTGTAGCCACTTTATACTTATCAGTCAATTGGAGGGACTCAACCACTCGAAGAATTTCACTATAAGTATATAGTAACATTATATCTATCGCTCTATTTTAACGGTTTAAAGATATTTACTCAAAATTTCTGCCAGTGGTTGCTGGATATAATATGGAAAGACGCATTTTCTTGTGTGGATCTATAATGAAAACTGCTCGAGCAGATACTGGTACACCATCACTATTCAACTCAGCAGGGTCTAGCATTCCAAGATTAATTGCTAATTCTCTTGATTCATCTGCAATGATTGGATAAGGGAAGTCACTTTCTGCCATTTCTCCATATGATTTAATATCCTAAACATATATAAATATATGAGGGAATTTTTAAATTATAATTCAACTTTGTAGCTAGAAATATCTTGCCTCTATCCATCTGCGATGGGAGTCAACAGAATTACAAGAGACAGCAATCACTTTTACTCCTAATCTCTCAAATTCGGACATTAATTTTGCAGCTCGAGCTAGTTCAGTTGTACATACGGGTGTGAAGTCGTTTGGATGAGAAAAAAGAATTCCCCATCTGCACAAAAAATTGAGTTGTCAACAAGTGCAATCTTAAACATGGTTATAACTAACACATTTTTAATATATATGTAATATGTTACTTACGAATCTCCCAACCACTTGTGAAAATCAATTTCGCCAACATTCGTTTCAGCGATAAAATTTGGAAAAGTATCTCCTAGAAGCACCATTTTTACACAGAATTTATCCTAAATAACCACTTGGAATACATGCAACCGTTTGATCAACTAGAAGAATTAATAATTTTAACAAAGATAATTTCTGTAAGTTTCCCTAGCAACTACCGAGTATCTTTTGTCTTTTTTTTTTAGAATGTTATTATGATTTTTGAGTCAATTCCAAGAAGAGAATATTAATTTATATACACGTGCACACAATACCGGTATTGAGGTAACACTATAGTTGAAAATTTGCTTTGCAACGCGATTTCTTAAATAATAGTGTCGTCAAGGGCGCTTCGCGCGTTCATCTCATGCTTGAATTCAGTAGTTTCAATGTGTCATGCTGCCCTGGAATCAAATTAAAATTATTATAGGTGAAATAAAAAAATTCTAAAATACATTACATACATAAATAATATAACAATTCAATAGCTCGGAACGCTTTCATACGTTGATATTAATTGGTAAATAAATAAAAATCAATCACGATGATATTCGTCGATTTAGCAATATTTTCAAACCTATATAATAACGTATAACAGATTTTCAGATGTTTAGCTAAATAGGTAGTGACAAAATATATTAAGTTAGTTTTTCTTTTTCAACTAAATAGAACCATCAGCTGCGCCTAACAATTTATTTTTAATATATATATATATACATATGTTATATTTTTCCTAAGATATCTCCATATAAACAGATATTTTATTTTAACTGTTTTTTAACTGTAACTCAATGGTTCATTCGCCACCATTTGGAGAGTATGTTTATTTATAAATTAAATTAAATAAATTATAACGGCCCCGATAATATATCGAAATCAATTTTAAGATTTTTATGTAAAATATCGATTTAAAATTCTCTTCACCATTGATGATATTTTTATTCAAAAACTAAATTTTCTAGTAGAGTTTCATTAATATTTATTTATCTTATAAATAAATATAATTATATAACATTAAAATTACTTTATCATATTACTTTAAAGTTAGGCCGTTGTGAAAATATGGGCATTATTATCTTTTCAACGCGTACAAATTGTTATACTTATTTTTATTCACTGATTGATTAGAGAAACAATGGATGTAAAACGCCTCGGTCTATCAATTTACTCATGATAGTAACCCAACCCAACCTACATGACTATATTCAGCCAATCAGATCACGAATAAAGCATTTTCAGCTGTGAGGTCATCAGCAATATGGCGGCATAGTCGAGGACAAAGTTCAAATTCAGATTTTCATTAGTTTTAAATTATAAAATGTTAAACGACATTATCTTTATACGGGTTCAATTTGTATGAAATCTCCACTCCATAAGCTTTTTAAATATTTCTATATTTTCGGATTTTTGATTGAGGATTACAGCATTATATTCAACAAAAAAGGCTGGAATAAAATTGTTCCAGGAAACCAATATAGCATACAAAACTATTGAAGATTGAAGAACAAGTTTGAGTACATAAAAATAATTATATGATTATCATAGTCAAATACAAACTATGCGAAGCTAATTCATAGAGAGGTCCTATATGAAGTTGTTCGTTGTGCCGTGTGCGGCCTGTAGCGAGTAACCTCTGTCTCTGCTGAGTGCTCTGTCTAAAATATGAAATTAATACAATAGCATTATCTTCATGGTAATTTACCGAACTTATCGATTCACTCTATAGTATTATATTATTATGTGATTCAATTTTGTGTATTTAAATACATTTTTTTAATTCTCTAACGACTATTCAAACTGCATCTCTTTAGATTTTATCTAAACCATAGTAAAACTTAACAGTAGAATATAATTGTATATACGTATACATTTATTTGAATTTTTTATTTTAAACATATATAAATTTATAAGGTAATAATTTCGCTAAAATTTAAAATTCTATGAAAATATATGCATATATGTGCAATAGGCATTCTATACATATCTTACATTTTTCTGAACAAATAAAAGTGTGCTAAGCAATTATAAATACGGTGCTGTTTGACATGCTGACCTGTTACATAGTTGAAGGCCGGTCAGGTTAAACACATGTCATGTTATTCTTCGCCTTAGGCCCTAGATCTGTATTATCGCTTTAGGCGTCTATTCGTATACCGCAACAACTATAGCTGTGTTCAATTTCCCATCCTGGTTAGTTACATCGGTAGTTTGATACTTTCAACTTTTTAGTCGATATAACTTGATTATAGTCCCCTAGATTCCCTCGTAAAAATGTGAAATTTCTTAAAAATATTTAATATTTAATATTTTTTTCCTGTCAGTTGCATACATAAAATAATTCATCAAGTTTCAGATATGTATCTATAAGTAGATTCAATAATTAGTGTAACTGCATAAATGAGACAGTACATTTGCGGTCACACCGCCATGCTTCAATTCATAAACAAAACTGTTTGAGAAAACCAGGAGAAAACAATTCGCGTAGTTACCGGGAACGGATCGCTACAAATTTTAAGTTATATTTAACAACTGATGCACTGTTAATAATGCGATTTTTATTTAAATAGTTCAAGATACCAATCACTTGGGAATGTGAGCACAAACAATTTGCTTGGTTTTAACGAAAAAATCACCTAATTTTATAAATTTTAATTCTGATAGAAAAATCTATTAAGAATAAAATGACAAAAGAAACAAGGACTTTGAGAGGACTTTTCCCTGACCCAAGTAAGTTTTTAAATATACAACATTATTCATTTGTATTATTATTTGATGAATTATTTGTTCATTTAGAACCTCCAAGACGGAAAAATTTTATCAAAGAAAATGTAAGAAGTTTACGTAGAATGGAGCAAATGTTTCATGCAAATAATGCAAGTGCCAATGATTTGAAATTACCAATTTTGAGGCACAAAATTTCTCACAGACGTGAAAGTGTAGGAGATAATGAATTTGACAAGCTTAATGAAGGTTTAAAAAATTTGTCAACAGAAGAAGCAATTAGTATTGGCATTGAAAAATTAATGAAAAAGAAGTCATCAGCTGATAATGAAAAAAGAGAACGGAGTGCCCCAGTATTTTTAAATAAACAAATTGCTTTGAAAAAATGCACCAAACCACCTATTAATGGACTACTAAATAGAAAAAGTCAGGTGTATCAGTGTCGAATCAACAGTAAATCTGAAAATAAACAAAAATCAAAAGCACATTCAATTGGAGATATATCTTTTGATAATCAAACTCTTAGTACTGAGAATGGTGCAAATATTAAATGTAAAAGCCAAGGAGTTCAAACTTTAGATACTAATGATATGAGTAATTTATATTCTGAAGGAATTATAAGGTTGTTTGAATTTATATTATTTTGAAATATTCATGAATTTATTGACTTACATAGAAATAATATTATAGATATTCATCTGGAAAAAGCAAGGAATTTAACTCTCATACAAAAGATGTATCAAATGGATCATTAGATCCTGTAAATTCACCTATTAAACATAATACAGAAGATTTTTGTGGTGATAATGTAGATGATACCAAATTAAACAAGGAAAGCATTTCTATGGCCAGCAAATTGGCTTTACAATTAGGAAATGCACCCCCATCAAATTACAAAATTGGAGTTGTTCCAAAGTAAATCAATACAATATCATATATTTTTTTAAATTTTCAGTTAAATATTGTTTTAATTTGTAGATACATCAAGGAGAGAAAAGAAGCTTTAAAAAGAGAACAAGCAGCTAAAGCAGCTGCTAAATATTCAGATTGCCCTGATGGTCATATTCCTCTTCCAGATAATGAACGTAAAGAAACACTGAGCATGTTGAAAAAAAGTTAGTATACTATAAATGAAAAATTAGTACTAAAATAAAAATTGAAATGTGGAATTATATGTTTTAGATTATCAAGAATTCGTAAATGAACTTAACATGTTACCAATCAGAACAGATACTCTAAGATCTCAAAAACGAAAAATGGAAATAGAAAAACAGTTAACTAAATTAGAAGAAGCGATAAAGGTCTTTTCTAGACCAAAGGTTTTTGTTAAAATTGATTCCTAATAATTAATTTCAATTTGCTTGACCTTACTATATAATTCCAATATTTCTATACTGATCAATATACCTTTATGTAGAAAATTTTGTAATTTTGATTGTCGACATCATCATTTTCCCTATAATTGTGTACATAGTTGTTCGTTTTAAATTATCTAGTTTACTTTCTTTTGAATTGTATCAATAATGTCATACAAAGTAGAAAATATACATTGATTATTTTTATAAAACAATTCTTTATTCCAACAATCACATTGTCAAATTAACATTCACATATAAATATACATAAAATACATTTAAATTAGTGATGTATAATTTCAAGTATCTATAGCATCTTTATCTATGGTATGTACAAAAAGTAATGGATCAAATTTTAATCTTCCTATTCTGAAATATGTTTCTTCATTTTCATACCATTCCTTTATATTAAAATTTTTCAAAAATATTCCAATTTCCCTTTCAGCAGACTCAACAGAATCTAAAATATATTTTCAAATTGATATTGAAAAACATGTAATTTAATTAAATATATTATTATTCAAATGACCTGATCCATGAGCAGCATTTCTTGTGTCAGACAAACCAAACATTCCACGTATTGAATCTGGAGCTGAATACTGAGATTGAAAAACTTTGGTAGGACCTAATAATTGTCTCCACTTTGTTACAGCATTAGTATTTGCTAAAATGTGAACATCCGATGGTCCACTGCACATGAATGTTGTTAATCGATTATAAAAAAACTTATCCCTATGTTCTTTATAAAATTCTTCAGCTTCATCAGGGCTGATGATTGTTCTATGTGTACATACAACTTTAAAACCATTGACAAGTATTATTTCTCTAATTTTCTGTAATAATAAAGCAACGTTTATTGTAACTACACGTTAAAATCAATAAAACTACATAATTAAATTATAATCAAGGTTAAAATAAAACTATACTTTTAATGCAAACGGTGATTTAACTACATGAGGCTTTAATATGGCAAGTGTAAGTTGTAAAGGAGATTGAGATATCATTATAACGTTTCCACATTTTACTTTTAGCTTTAAAATTTATATTTTATTTGAATCTAACTTCGCACCAGTCCCGTGGTACCTCATATACGCACGCAGGTTATACTGACTAATGTAATGCTGACAATTACTGACCATGTTTCAGAATTCAAAACAATGCATTTGCGTCGTTTGACGTAAATAACATTAATTTTTTAAATCACAAATGAAATACTATTTTGCTTTATGCCAAAGTATTATAAATTTTCTTAAATATTTTAGTTGAAACTATATAAAAAATGGTAAAATATTTAAATTGTAAAAATATTTATTTCCAGTATTTAAAAAATATATGCACATATATTAGATTATTTACGGAATTTCAACTTGAGCTATTTCAATCATTTCTGATATATCAACAATTTTTTCTCTTGGTTTCCCTAGCTTTTTTCCTCGTGCACACTCTTCTTTATCAATTTGTTCCCACCCTTCGAAAGTGATTGGACACAAGCCTCTTTGCTGAAAAATATTTTTCAACTGTTCATAACCATCCCTTTTATGCGTACAGTCCAGTTCTTTTGAAAGAAGCTGACCCACTTTAAATGCATTAGTCATAGTAGACAAAATAACGCCTACAGGGCCTGTGGCCACCCAACCAGCTGCATAAAGACCATCTTCAACTTTGCCAGATGCGTTCAAAATCCTTCCATTACGCAAATCAAAAGGGATATTAGAATCTATTGGAATAGATTTATATCCAATACTTTTTACAGCCAATCCAGTCGAGATTTCTTCAACTGTAGTTGAAGACTTAGCTATCTGATTGAGCAAATCTTGACCCTGCAGTTCATTAACTGAAAACTTGATCTTTTCCACAGAATTTAAACCAGAAAATTCAACTGGTCCGCGTAAAAATATAGGATGAAATTCTTTGAGACATTCTCGATTATCTACTTTTGCATCTTCAATTGATTTTAACATGAGTTCAGTCAGTCGTTTTCGTGGTCTAGCAAGATCACATATTATCTCTTTTATTCCTTTAAAATCATCAGTTCTCCAATATGTTTTACAATTTTCAAGTTTCAGCATTTCCCTCAATTCTGCAATAGTAAAAGCTGCTTGCAAAGGTCCTCTACGTCCTACCAACCACACCCTCTTAATATTACTTTCTGCTAGCTTTTCCAAAGAATAGCAAGTTATATCTGTATTCTGAAAAGAAAAATATATTCAACGCAAATCAAATAAAAATGAATAATATGCAATTTAAACCATTAGAAAAAATGAAACCAAAAGATATAAAACTAGTACTATTATGCCAAAATAATAAAATTTACTCTGTATTATAAAACTTCTACAAAAGCTCATTAAACTTGTACATATAGCATTAATCAAATAGAGCAAATCAAGTGGACTTAGACAATCAAATCAACTCACCAAATCATAACATTTAATTTTAAATCTTTAAAGAAATTTCCGAGAAAAAGTTGTAGCATTGAACAATTGAATTTAAAAAGTTAAGTACCTATACTGTCAAGTCCCACTCACTTAAGGCTTTTTTGAATGCTCGTAAACAGTGTAAACATATTACCTTTAATTTATCGATTGGAGATAATAATATTCTCGCAACATCAATAGCTACGTTTCCTTGACCTAAAATTACAGCGTCTTCAGTATTTAAGTTGATATCCAAATCTTTTTCCTTGGGATTTCCATTGTACCAACCAACAAAACTTTTTGCTGATATAACATTTTTCAAATTTTCTCCTGGAATATCAAGCGTTTTATCTTCTTCAGCACCATATGTCTGGATAAATAGATGTTGATTAATAAATAAACATTACATTCATTATTTCAATTATTACTATAAATATGTTTATATATTTTGCTTAATATGTACATAATTACCAATAGAACCGCATGGTAGTGTTGTCTAAGTTCTTCAATACTAATGTTGCATCCTACATTAATGTTTCCTAAAAATTGCACTCTTTTGTCTTTGGCTATTTTTGCAAAAGTATTGATGACGTTTTTCACTTCTGAATGATCAGGAGCAACACCAAATCTAACTAATCCATAAGGAACTGGTAGTCGTTCTATAATATCTACTTTTACGTTACCAATACTCTACAATTAGTTCTAAATTAAATTCCAGAAAATACTTTTGCAATCAATTTTATTACCAACCTTTAAAATTTGTTGAGTGGCGTAAAAACCAGCAGGCCCAGCTCCAACAATGCAAATATTTGGAATAGTACTCTGAGATGAAAAATATCTAATACTATTTATTAAGAATCCAATTTTCAACATTTTATCAATTTTCAAATGTATCTGTGAAACTGGATTGAAAAAATTACTAAAAAAAAATGTGAGTGAACTATATTACTAATAACTAAAAATCATTAAAACTCACACTGCTGATTCCAAGACTTGCTTGATAAGAAATCTTTTACCTTAATTATTATATTTGAGGAATCTGTTGTATAATATGTATTCTATAGAACTTATTGTAGTTAATCTTTATCAAGGGAGATAATTAATACATTTGTACTTGATGTTAGATGCAATACAAAATTTTTAACTTATTTTAATTATATGTAGCATATTAAATCTAAAAATTCCAATTGTATTACAAATTAAATTTATTGAAAAATAATTAGACACTATTCCAATCACTTCTGACTATTTTTATAAATTGAAGCAATTTGATTAATGCAATATTTTGCTATCCAGTTGTTTAACTTTCCAATAATTGGATATAATTCTGAACCTAAAATATTGAAAAAAAATTATTTGTAAATGAAACATTTAGCTAAGAACAATAAATTTTCAATTCTTACTATACAATTCCATAATAGAAATGACTGACAGGATTACTTTCTCTTTTGAAGAAGCAGTTTGTTGTTGAGTTTCAAAAATTTCTTGAAACGTTTTCAGTACTAGAGCTCTATTTTTAAAAGATTTAAAATGTAAAATGCATCCCAATTCTTCATTTATGTTGAATTCTACGCTTTCAAATGTATGTGCTAAAATGTAAATAAGTCCTATATGAAACTGAGTCAAAAGCAAAAACCCAAGAATAAATAAATTGTCATCTATTTGTAAATTTGTCAAAATTTCCTTGAAACGAATCATAGTAGTATTACTGTCATAAACATCTGTGTAATGGAACCTTAAAATTTTGTACATATTGGATTGTTCTAGTCTAGTTTCATACAAACTCATACTTTCATCACAGGGTAAACTCAAATGTTTACCACTCTCCAAATCTATAGTTTGAAATATCAAATTGAATATTTCTGAAACTTGTACAGAGCAAAACCTTGAACTTTTTGTACGAGAGTATGGTTTCCCTATATTTATACAAACATCTAGTGAAACATTAGTAGGCTGAAATTTTAAATGACAGAATAATGGTAAATTAAATTTAAAGTTTAGATTGTATTCTTACTTTGAAATAAAATGTTTTTATAGCTGGTTCAAGTGATTTGAAATGTTTCACATGCAACATCAAGCGTTCCATAGGTTCCAATATTTGCATTTTCTGTATTTCATTATATGACTCTGTAGGTGCTTCTACTACCCAATGATTATTCTTCATCCTCTTTAATCTTATATTGCCAACAATGTGCAAATCATTATGTAATCTTTGCAATGGAAAATTGGTAATAAATTTATCAGAAACTAATTTTGCAATTTTTTTGTCCTCAATACTTAAACTTGAATTTAAATTGTTGGGATGATATGCTGCAATATTACTTTCAATGACTTCACATTGATAATTTTTAAACATTTGTGCACAATTAATTATTTGCTCAATAAAACTTTTAGGTAAGTCATTCTTCTTAAACATGGCTATTGAATTACTTTTTCCATATTGCTCTCTAAGTATAGGCAAGTATGGTAAAATAAAATCTATACCTTTGTAATTCAGACAAATCACATAAATTTCTGAATTGCCTTCTTTGCTTGTAACTGGCTTATAAAAATGAATTTTTTTGAAAATACAAGACAACAAGTAAATCAAGCAAATAGATTGATGTTCAAAAATGGTAAATATTTTAAGCAAGAAATTGCCTCCCGTTTGTAAAATATTTATAGCAGCTACAACTTCACAGAAATGCAAACTAGCTACTATTCCCTCTTGCTCACCTGGATTAATTGAACAATTTACACTACCATCAGCTGTTATTAAAAAAATGTTTTCCATTGATTTGGCCCTAGCAATAAGTGCATCTAAATTTTCAAGACTCATCAAATTTCCAGTATTATCACTACCAAAATACCAGTTCTGTAATGTATGCATTATAAAGCGGTCATCACTAATCATTGTATTATTAGAGTTACCTTCATAATAAGGATTAAATGTCATTGCTAACCAATTCCAGAACACAGAGGGAAGATTTGTTTTTAGCCAATTGTTCAAACATGTTATAAAAGCACCAGGAGCTTCGCATAAATGTAATGATGTAAAGACATTGTTGTTGTCAAAAATGACTTCTTTAGGTACTAAAGGATATTTTGATACTATTTCATGAAATTTGCACCATGCCTGTGTAACAAATTCTGGATCAAAATCTCTACGCACACGCCATTCAATGTCTTTTGCTTTATTTCTTTGGGATGTATGTTGATGCCATTGTGCAAAATTGTAACAATTCAATTTTGACTTTGTTTCATTTAATTCCAATTTTATTTGTTGCAATTTTTCAACATTCCATCCATAGTCCTTAAACATTGACTGTGGATTTGGAATATTATATGTCTCATTATCACTAATGGTAAATGATTTTTCAAAAATGCCATTGACAATTGCATTAATTCTTGTAGAATCTTGGTCTTGATTATAAAAAGTAGTCTTATATTTTGGCATGACTGTTTTGCTTTATTTCTATTTTTGTTTTTAAAATCCTTTGTAAGAATTGAACTAAATTTACGTTTTATTATTAATGTTTTAATTTCTCAAGATGTTGGAAGTAGCAGTGTAGTTTCTCTAGACAAATTTTATACATACCTGACAAATCAACATATCAAACATATTAATTAGTAGATTTCATAGTTTTCATGACTATAAAAATGAGTTGTACTGCAGAGATCCAATCAATTGACCAAATTATCGTCTACTTATCTATTTTATTATTTTGAACGATATCAATAAAATAAATGTATATATTTGTAGATTTTGTTACTACTTTCTAATTTCAAGAATTATTTATGGAACTGATTACTTTTATAAAATTAATTATTTAAAAAATATCAAAAAATATTGCTAATCTAAACTAGTAAGAGATTCGGCATTATATTACAATGAGACAATCATGCCCAAAGCAATTTTTTACGTTGTGCTGAAGAGTTGTGACATCTCGCGGCTGAGAGCCGAACTACATAGTAATATCTTCGAACTAGATGTAATATAATTAGAATCGAACTTCACATACAGGTAAGTTCGTTTGATTATCAAATTAAAGCCCTAAGCCTCAATTTTTGCTATATAATTTATTAATATGAATATATTAATTATATATATACTTCCCTTCCTTTTCAAAAAACTTATCTACAGTCGGTACATGTAGTTAGGTTTATAGCTACTTCCGTTTTCATTGTTGCTTGTTCTTTTCCGGCAAGTTCTTTAGGTGGCACAAGATGGGTGAGTAAAATTGTCAATAATTATTTGGATTTTTTGTCTATTAATCAATAATCAATAATCAAGTTCTAGCATTACAATTAATTATTTGAAATGTAATAAGGTTTACTTAAAATTATAAAAAAAGAATTAATATTTTTTAGAAGAACATAAAACAAAACTACTGCATTTCAAAACGTGGTGTACTGTCAGTATCTTTTTTAATGTTTCGTGAAGTAAACATGTTGTTTCGATACTGTGTATTTAATTATTTATAAAGACAATTTATAAATATATTCCATAATTACAATTGTCTGATTTTTATGAGACGTTAGAAATAACCACCAGTTTTAAGGTTATATATATGGCTTGCTTGATAATTATAACCTTTTACAGGCAAACCCCGTGGTCTGCGTACAGCTCGTAAGCATGTCAATCACAGACGAGATCAGCGCTGGAATGACAAAGATTACAAAAAGGCACATCTTGGTACTAGATGGAAGGCTAATCCCTTTGGTGGTGCTTCCCATGCCAAAGGTATTGTGCTGGAAAAAGTGTAAGTTGCCACTCAATATTTGTTGGATTCTGTATCTCAATGCATCATTTCATAAATAATTTGTTGACTTGCAGTGGTGTAGAGGCCAAACAACCCAACTCTGCCATCAGAAAATGTGTCAGGGTACAGCTTATCAAAAATGGAAAGAAGATCACTGCTTTTGTACCTAGAGATGGTTGCCTCAACTGCATTGAAGAGAACGACGAAGTTTTGGTTGCAGGATTTGGTCGTAAAGGTCATGCTGTTGGTGATATTCCTGGAGTAAGATTCAAGGTTGTTAAAGTGGCTAATGTATCTCTGCTTGCTTTGTACAAGGAGAAGAAAGAGAGACCAAGGTCTTAAATTTATGTATTTTTATTGAAAAAGTAAATAAGCACAAAAAAAACTAAACATGTTTCTTAAATCATCTCCTATTCCATAATACATTGAATTTATATTTCATTTTCTTTAAGTGTGTTATAAGCATGTTGAACTGAAACCAAATTATTACTTATTGCCAAACTTAAGGGCTTTGTTATCTTTTCATCATTTGCTGCTATTGTTGGTCTATTATTGAATTCAACTTGGTTAACTAAGACCTAAAAGAAATAAGTTTTTATAAATATGCTTTATTATTAGTTTGAAATTTGACAGTTTAATACCTTGTTGATTGTTGAAAATTTTGTATGTATTTGTTCGATATCAGTTTTGATATCATCAAAAGAATTATTAAAATGATTATTTTCAAATGGAAGACTTGTAATATTTTCATAAGACTTATAAAATTCTAGTAGCTTTTGTTCATAAATATTATTCTCATGTTTCTTTAATTTTTCAAGGATGGACTAAAATTTAATAGTTAATTTATTAAATAATGTTCACAATTTACAAAAAATATAGGAAGAAAATCACCTTTATATCACAACACATCTTTTCAAGATCATTGTTTTGTTCATTATCAATGGCAATTGTTGGTTCTAATGATTTTAAACCTTCTGAAAAAGTATTTTCACTTTTACAATTACTTTTTTCTTCACCAATGCAATTTGTACTAGAACTGACATTCGTAGTAACTACCTAAAAAAATATGGGATTTAATATAGGAAAAAAATTTTCTATTGAAACTTACTTCTACTACTTTGTGCACATTTTCTTTATCACATTTTACTGATTCAGTTTTTGTTGAATAAATCCTATTTATAAACAGACTGATCAATGATAAGAAATGTAGTTGTTCATCCATTTCACACTTTCCCTAAATATAAACAAAAATAACAACTAATAATTAAATGTTTTATAATTCTACGCAAGTTTGATTAAAACTAGGGACATACCAATAAAATTTCTTCACTATTGCAGAATCCCATTTGAGAATAACATTTTAAAAGTTTGTCTATAACATTTCGCAGATATATAAGTAATATATTATTAATATTTTTTTGCACAATAGAATCACATCTAAGTACCTTCAAGAGATATCTCTTTAAACTTATTTAATAAATTACAATTAAAATTTGGATTCTCTTGTAGAAGCCAATGTAACAATTCCACCCTCTTATTTCCTATAAGGATTGTACCTTCAAATTCCTGATAATTAATTTGGGCAACTTCTGGATATTTTAATTTTTCAAGTTTATTGTATAAACCCTTAATGATATTTTCCTTGTCATTCACTGTAATTCAACATATTAATCATTAACTGCAATAGCAATTAAGTTAATTTTCAACAATAAAACTAAAAATTAGATATAAAAATTGCAAATTGGAGCTTCGAACTTACTCTTCAATATTTATTTTAACTTTACAACCTTCTAAAATAACTGCCGCAAGTCACTAAATGCAGAAACATACAGTAGACAATATTTTATTTTTAAAATGTTGACTTTACTTGATACTCCATCAACAATACTTGATTAATTACTATAATACGTATTCAGTTCAGACTTCAGTGGTTTAAGTAGTGCAATTTTGTGTTCCAGTAGTTCGTCCTGGCGCCATCTAACAGAATTTCTGGATTCAATGCTAATCAAGCAAATATGCTGCATTGTATATATATGCTGTATATATATATAGTATACACGGACCTAACCTAAAAGCGTCTATGTATTCGTTGGTATACGACTAAATTGAACGCGACTACAATGTACACAATATAGGTTAACTTATGTTTATATTTTATAGTGATTTAAGAATATAAAAGTTAGTTTTTATCTAGTTTTTATGATAATTATCAACATACACATTCAATTCTACTTATACCAACTAAAGAACATAAAATATGATCTGCATTATTCATTTACTCATTTATAGAATTGAATAATGTCTAATTAGATAAATATTTAGGTTATATTTTATTGATAAAATCTATAAAATCATTGAATGGGTTGATGGATAAACAAGACTAATTTTTAAGTATTTAGTATGCTGGACACTATAAAAGTTTAACAAATGGCTCTATATGACAATCCTCACTGGCTTCTCTCATATATAAGAGATAGTTTTATTTCTACAGATGACACAGGTAGGTTCAATGTGATTGTCTAGTAAATTCTTTTCTAATTGTGAAATAATCATGTTATTTTTAAGGTATGTGTGAAACTGTAATGGTCAGAGATGACATCCCAAAACATTTACTTAATAGTGGTGTATTATCAGCATATCCTAATGCTGAAGATAGTGATGATGAAGATCTTGATGCTCTGGGAGACTCATATGATCTTAATTTTGGTAAAAAGTTTTTGTACCATTTTATCATTTTATATATTATCACTTATGATTATAACAATTTTTTTCATGTAGATATAGAGTTTACTCACAGACAACGAACAAATACTGCACAGCGACTAGAAAAAATGGACGAAGAAAAGAAGAAAGCATCTGAAATAAAACATATCAAGTGGGAAAATAATCCTAATCATATTACATTAGAAGAACAGTGTGAATTTTTCAAATTCAAAGATTTGAAACAAACTAAACCAATAGTTAAAATACGCTCATTATTTTCTGAACAACTGGAAACATGTCCTGATTTACCACAAAATCCTTTTGTTGACTATGCGAAATTTGATGGAAGTGTAAGTTTACGTGATAAACATTAATACTTACATGATATATTGATCTTCTAATTTGTCACTTCATAAATATTTCTCATTCTTAGTTTCAAATAGGACTTGCAGTTAGAAAATATAGAATCTTTATGTGTATGCTTCCTAAAGACCAAAGATCTTATCCTCTTATTATAACTGTTTTGGCAAATGCTAAAGTCAAAGAATGCATTGGTTTTATTTGTTATAAATATGTTATAGAACACCCAGACCAACACATTCAGTAAGTAAATTTACGATTTAGAATGTAATATGCCTCATGAAAATAATCATTTTCCAGAGAAGATATTAGCAAATATGGATTATACATTGCCGAAGACGATGGAGAAGTTGACTGGGATTTTCCATGCTTAGATCCCACTGAAGTTATTTCAAAATTTGAATTCTCAACACTAGGTCTTGTTGAAATGAAACCAAGTGACAAAGCACGCCATAATACTATAAAAACTATCGCTGAACATAAAGAGGAAGACAAGCCCTTGGATAAGTCACAACGAGAATTTGCAGAGGATCTTGCAAAAATGGAAGGTCACACAACTGCCATGGAAGCTCCTTTATATCAACTTTACAGGTTTGTACTTATATTTTAAAGTTGTTAATCAAAATTTATTGTAAATAATAATGTTTTTAGAGTACATATTATCAATAAAGTTCGGGCTAAAACAGAAGTACATCTTGGAATTTCTGGTGAAAAAGTTGAAATTGACCCTGTTATTGCTGGAAAAGGAGCAAGTCGATTTTGGCATAGACAAAGAGCTGTTAGTTACCATATGGATAATGTTGTATGGTGTGAACTTGTAGAAAGTAAAGGATCGAAATCAACCTTTACTTTAGTATATACTCCACATACCTCAGTAACATTAGATGGTTTGAATGGTAAGTTTTTCAATACTTAATTTCGAAGATTTGAGATTATAAGTAATAACTGTTTTTAGTTACTATTAGCCATACTCAATCACTGAGACGCTCTGCATCATTCAAAAATCATGATTTTGAAGCAGAATCTTCTACAGCTGAAGAAATTGTTAGAAAAATTAATCACATTTTAGAATTGAGAAGTAGTTCCATCAGAAGAGAGTACTTAGCTCAAAAGGAACGTAAAGCTTCACGCAGAAAAAGTTTTCATATCTACAGATGACTAATTTGTAATTTATTGACTAGTTTTAATAATTTATTTGTATTTACAAGCAATGTCATTATAAAGTAATTTATTACAAAAAATATACATTTTCATTATTTATGTCTTTTCAATCAGCAAGATTAATAATTCTATATTTTGCATCATCAAAATCGTTTTGTAATTTTAATGACGATTTGTAGCGGAAATTTTCTGAGCATAAATTAAAATAAACAACTTTGGTAGCTAGTGCATGCAACTGTAACAGATTATTGTTAAATTCATCATAATCGGGTTTCATTGAAAGAAATGCTCTCTCAGAATCTGATAAACATATGTTGTTTATAGTTTGAATAAATTCATGATTTTTATCACGTTTCAATAATTCCTGTACTTGATACTTCCTTTTCAAATATTCATCTCGCCAACTCTTGTCTTCTTTTTTTAAATTATCAATATATACTTTGATATTAAAGATCTCTTGCTGCTCATGTTTATTATGTGTCTTGAATTTTTTTGATTCATGACTAGCTTCTTCAGTTAAATTGGTGATTTCTAAATCTATATTAGATAAAATCATTAATATATATAAATCCATAAAGTGTTATATAATCGAATATATATATATATATATGTATCGAATAGTGTTAATTATAACCTTGATCTTTAGAAACAAGTGATTGTCGTTTGAAAACTGATGATCTACGTTTGTTTACTTTCTGATTGCTCGTTGGAGAGTTCAGTAGATTCTCAGAAGTTAATGTTTCGGGATCACTCATTATTTTCTATTATTTATATTTACATATTCTCAAACGAAATTAGACATATATATATACACACTGGAAACTATGTGATAACGGCTGTTTCAAATTTGACTGTTTTTTTACATATTTACCATTTCCTATACAAGTTGCAAAATACTGACCTGTCTTTTACCTGTCAAAATGTCAACTGTTCTGTCAATGCGAAAATCTTTGACGCGCATGCGCTGCTGCAAACGCAATGTTCGAGAAATTTCCTTATCACAGCATCACAGGACGCAATTCTTGTGTATATATTTTTCTAGAAGCCGGTCGAAAGCGCAGCCAGAATTCTCTTCTATCTCGAAGTCGGTTTAGTTGCTCTGAATTTGTTGGATTTTTATCACAAGCAAAAGATAGATTGTTAACAAAATAATCTATAAGTTCGTCTGTATAAGTTTTCGAAGTATTTAAAGTTGATAATAAAATCCCAAGTCATAAAAATATGACTTCAATATCAGCGCGAGTTAACGAGGTGAGCAGTCTAATCTTCCAAAAGGCAAATCATTGGATGACTTGCTATGAAAGTTGATCAATTTCGCATTCCGAAATAAAATGTATTTATTTTTACAGATCAAACTTGATATTGAAGATTTAAATTCCCTATTAGAAAATGCTTCTCGTCAAAAATCTAAAGATGTTTTGGTTGTAGAAATAAGAAAATTACAAACTGAGCTGATCAACATGCAGAATCAAATATTTTGCAACACAGACAGCAGTATCCCAAAGGCATTTGTTAAATCTGGACCTCAGTGCTATGAAGTCAAACTCAATAATTATGCATGGGATCAAACAGACGAGTTTATCAAACTATATATCAGACTAGACAAGGTTGGAACTCTTTCAAAAGATGCAATAGCTTGTGAATTCTTGGATAGATCTGTTAACTTAAATGTTTTGGGGCTTGATAATAAAAACTATGTCTTTACAATTAACAATTTGTGCGAAGAAATCAATATTAATAGAAGCAATTTCAAAACAAAAACAAACATGATTATAATTAATTTAGCAAAAAAGTCTAGTAAGACATGGTCATGCATTACGAGCGTTGAGAAAAGATTGAAAGAAGCCAAGTCTAGTTCACCACCATCTGCTACAGATACAAGTGATCCAAATGACAGTTTGATGAATTTGATGAAGAAAATGTATCTAGAAGGAGATGATGAGATGAAAAAGACAATAGCTAAAGCTTGGACTGAAGCTCGAGAAGAAAAAATAAGTGGTTTACCTAACTGTGATGAGTAAATGATTTATTGTTGCCAAATTACAGCCACTCAAGATTTAATTTATTAAGTAATGTAAATTCATTTATTAAGAGTAAAATGTTTATGTAATTTATATATAAATACACACCTTTTCAGTATATTATTGTTTTTATTTATATAATTTCTGATTATCAATTTTTTTTAATTTATAATGTAAACTTGTCTCTCTCTTACAATACAATAAAAAATGTCAAACATAAGTGGAATGCAATAACTTAAATAAATATTAGCAGTCATAATGAAACTGTATTATTGACAAATAATTTTTATACAATTGAAACTTAGTGTTCTAAAAACATTGATTAAATAAAAAGTGATCTGACTAGGAATGCACATAATATACATTGCAAATCTCACTAGTTACAAAATCATATTTGGTATTTAGTCTCAAAAATTAAAATTCAAAGCAATTATATTCATATAATTAGCGGTTTTGGTTTTTTCTAATAAAAACTTATAATTACGTTTATTTAAATAAAAGGAACCAGTCGCTGCAGCTTTATTGTTCCCTCAATGATTATCAAAATGATATATTTAATATTGTTAAATTCATTGTAATTCTTTTAATTTGTGCAAATATGTATGACTGTAATATATTTAAAATGATCACTTAATTTCATGTTATTAGATAGACTAATTCAACAATGAAAAAAATATCAAAAATTTTCTATACTTTATTCTGTTTTCACACTGATGCAAGTAATAATACTTCAAAATTTATTTAAAAATTTGAAAATGCTCTTTTACAAAATGATGTAATGTGTTTTTGGTAATTAAAAAAGAAAGTATTAATAAATAGATATCAAACAAAATACATACAAAAGATATCTAAAACGATACCAAGTTTGAATAGTTTCTTGATTTTTAAAATTAATTTCACCAAGTCTAAAAAATGTATTGAAATTTTTTAATTTTATTTCAAGTATCGTTATCTGCAATCCAAAAGGTAATTTTTTCTACTGCCCATTTTCCTCTTTAGGAGCCATTGACAACTGTATTTCTTGATTTGTGGATTGAAATACATCAATCATTAAAGATCTCGTTTTTTCCATTAAATCAGGAACATCTTTTACATCCAAACCCTTCGTAGAGATTGGTGGTAATGCTGTGATGATGATACGTCCTAAAAGAGCACAATTTCTGTGAATTAATATTAGTTATAGAATAATAATCTAATGATGCATTGATAATCTACCTGGATCCAAGCGTTTTTCTGGCTTTGACATAAAATAGTATGAAGAGTAAACTACAGGTAGTATAGGTAACTGAGCATTAATGGCAACATGAAAAGCACCCTTTTTAAAAGAATGAATTTCACCAGTATTTCTTCTTGTTCCTTCCGGAAAGATCCAAAGTTTTATCTAATACAAAAGTTGTACAGTGTTGAATGAAAACACTTTTATATACTAAAATAATCATATAAAATTACCTTGTTTTCTTTCAAGTTCTCAACAGCAGTATTGATAACAGATCTTGCTTTTTCAGAATTCATTCTATCAATAAAAATCAGTCCACACAGCCAAGCTGCCAATCCAAAAGGCCAAGCATAAAATATCTCTTTTTTAGCCACTACTGTGCATTTGTCCATGATTGGCCAAAGATCAAACATTCCCAAAATATCTAGTGAACTTTGATGATTGGCTACGATAATACATGCACGTTCTTTCTCTAAATGTTCCCGACCTTTGATTTGCCATCTGATTCCGAGCAGAGTACTTACATGATGACAGAATGAAGATGCTAATCTGAAACATGAAATCATTTCTATATACATGAATTAATCTTCAAGTTACTTGATGCCTTGACAAATACTTACAATAAATTTTTGACATTTCGTGAACGAAACATCATAACTGGTATAAGGATAACTGCATTAATCATAACAATGCCATAGTACATGAGAAACTTAAAGTAATAACGAAAAGTTCTACTGGTTTCATAAAGAAATGGCAAGATCAGTACAAATGCTACAAGCAACACTTCAAAAGACAAAGAAGACGGCATGTTTTTATATTAGTGAGTAATAATTAATTGGATACTAAATCAAAAAGTCAATGGGCTGATAGAATATAGGCTTGCTTGCTATATATTCATAAGAACAACGTAATGTTGCTCTGGAACACGTAGGATGATATTAAATGTAATACTGATGAAATGATTAATTGGTAAACAAGCCGCTTCCGTTTATTTGAATGTCGAAGACGATAAGAGGGTCAAGTCCTTCAAATCGTCCAATAATCACCAGTGACTGTTGATGAGTACAGTAATGACGACAGAAATGGTGATCGCAGCTTTGGCTAACCATAATCGAATTTTACCGATTCAATAGTAATATTACGACTCTACGCTCATTGCTTTTATGTTACGTCTGATTGAAGCTTTATCAGTCTGCACTCTCTATCTCTATCTCCCTTTCTTCTCCTTTTGTTTCGCCTGTACACTTGCTGGGCAATTGCAACGAATTATTTGTGAACGTAGATATATACTTGCATACGCAAAAGAACTGGTGCTATAATAATACTGTTTGTCATTAAGCTTCGTCAACATTTTCGAGCATTTGTCTCCGATATTGCAATTCTTGGTATCCGAAAGCAGCCCGCCGCTGTAACGTCATTCTCCTTTAAAAAAAAACAGAATGCTTATATACGTCGTGCGTCACCCTCTTGCGTGCATAAAGGCACAGGCGCCAGCAGTGAGCAGCAGCACTCACTAACTGCGCTGCGGAACTGGAGACTGTCAAGATCTACCTCGTATATATATAGTTATCAAAACTTGACAAGTTACAAATAGTATATGTGTGAGTCAAAGGTAATGCTCTACTGATGCCGTCTGTTCTGCTCACTTTTTTCCCTCTTTTGCCCCTCGAACATAGGATCATTGCGCGTCATGCTAATGCACACGTCCACACCCTAATTACTGTGGGTTTATTTGGCTCGCACTACCCAAATTTCGTTTGTGTACACACCCCGTGCTATGTATATATAAATATTGATTGATTTATTAATATTTGTTTATCGTGAACGATAGACATTGACCTTGAAAACTCCTGTATAAGATTCTGCAATATTTTTGTCGAATCGATTGCTACTTGTTTACGTCTCAATGACGAATGCCGAATCACAACTGATAAACGGCGTGGCCGCACTCTCGGTCTATTATGGCTTTGTACTATTGCCAGCAAACAGCTGTAATGCAAGCCGATGGCTATTGAGGGCGTTTGTAGGCGGCTAGGCGCCAACTTTTTGTCACTCCGTTCTGACAACGATATTTTTGCTACTTTAGGATATTGTCGGTCATGCCGGTACGTACTCGGAACGATTCCTGATCATATCCAATTTGGTACCGAAGTATGTACCAGAAAACAAGTTTCCAGTACGTAACTGATACGGTCGATGTTATCTGGATATGTGACTAAAGAACATTCAACTTATTAATTACCAATGAATACCTTTAATACTGATGAAAGCTCTAGTTTTCAGTTTTTCTGCTTTTTTGCGAGAAAGATGCAAACAATTTCATTGTTATCGATACCAGACTATCAACGTTTTCTTTAAAAATATACGTAACTTGTTTCGTCGGTTTTTGTTTGTTTTTGTATCCATAAACATAAATTAAAGCAGCGAATATCCGAATATATACTTATTCTAGCATTACATTTTTTGAAGCGCAAAATGATCATTACTTATGGAAATCATGTTACGATAAAATATATAACAAGATATCGTATTGAAGCACTTCCTGCACTTTGTGATTACGTCACACCAATAAATATAGTCTATATTCACTGTTCATATATCCTTTTCAAATTTTATTTCTCAAATTTGAATTGTGGCGCATCGGAGTCCTCAGGTACCCACGGCCATTAAAACGAAACGAAACGATCATATATATTCACTCTTTTATTCTTTTTCCCCCTCTACTTACACGTGTACCCCTTTGTTGTCGGCACACAGGCATGCGGCAGGGGCCGAACACTGCCGACTGAGGGCCGAACAAGCGTGCGAGTCCCGCCACTTGGTTTGATTTCGAGGAAAGAGCGAGAAAGATAACTTGTACATAAACTGGCGAGTAGACGATTCGTATTTGGTTGATTCTGCACAAGTCTACAGGTATCGAGTAAACAGGATTTGTGAGTGTGCGTGGTAAAGCAATTAAACGCAGAATTGCCAGAGTTGTGTATAAACAACAGGCCAACTGTGCGTGGTTAAGGAATTCGTTTGTCGTGTTGTTTATACTTGCCGGCAAACTGCAGCAAGACAAAGGCGCAAGCTGTTATTGCACTGTTTTGAGGTAATGCTCATGTATCTTCTGATTTTACATGAGCAATCTGAACCAAGGTGGACAGTACTGAGAACAAAGATAAACTCAATTGTTAACATCACTTACCACTATCTTTAGGTGAGATTTTTTCTTTAATTTGTGTCAAAAATTCGTTCTCTGTATGTTGAGTTTTATTGGTTGGGCGCGTAGGCATTTGTGTGTCTGTCTGTCCGTGGTATTTAAATAAATACCCATAGCACTGCAGGAGCCTTTGCACTCGTAACGCGTTCTTTTTTTCTTGTATAGATAAGGATTCGCACTAAGTATCACGTAGTCAAGTAGTCGAGCAAAATATAGTAAAGTATCAAAAATGCCAACGGCAGTGGGAAATTGCGATCCCGAACGGCTATCTGAGATCAAAACTATTCTCAGGGCTCTATTGATATCGAATGGTAAGCTAGATGTTACGTTACCCCGTCTTAATGGCATGTTCAGGGAAGAAGAAGGCGAAAACATTCCGTTCAGAGAGTTCAACTATTCAAGTTTACAAGAATTTTTACGTAGTATGCCCGATGTCATGATCCTTCGATACAATAGAGACCACCAGCTTTGTGCCTACCACGTCGACACCGAGGAGTCGGCACATATTAGCTCTTTAGTTTCAAGACAAAAAAAGCCGCAAAAGAAAGCTGCCAAATTCAATGTTAGTTACAAACCTCGTGGAAACTCTCATGGGAATTATTATTCTAATTATTCCAGACCTGCACATTCAAGTACAACGTCAACATTAAATTCACTACGTCTAGTTTTGGAAGAATTAAGAAAGGCTCCAAAACACTTTTCTTATGATATGGGAATTAGAAAATCTGATATCTTACAGAAACTCAAAGAGAAACCTGGTAGAAGTTCAATAAACAATTTACATACCCTTAGTACTAAATTAAAAGAATTGTCTCAGTATTTTGTAGTAGATGATGATTTTGTCTATTTTAAAGAGGATGTTTTCACAAACAATATTAACACAGGCTCGCATTCTGCACAAAAGTCAACTAAATACGCTTATCAAAATTTACAAGTTAGAAGTGCTCCCAGGCAAAAAATAGAAATCGTTCAACAAGCTAATGAATACCGGCCTGTCATTAACCAGTCAACTCCTCAATTTAATAATGTGGAGAGGCCAACTCAAAGTAGCCAGATGCCATTTACGTCACAACAATCTGATCAAACTCAGCAAGTAACATTGACAAATGTTCAACAAGTCAACTATGCAAATGAATTAATAAACGAAAGAATGAAATTCAGATTACAGAAATTAATAGAAAAATATCCAGAAGGGATTTGGGCAGCAGATTTACCTAACATTTACTATAAAGAGTACAACATAGATTTGAATTACAATGAATTAGGGTTCAACAGCATAACAGAATTTGTATCAGCTGTACCGGAGATCTTGAGTATCACAGATCCAGATGACACAGGTAGACATATGGTTTTGGATGCCAAGATACCATTGGATAAAACTGGAAGTAAACAACAAACAAAAACTCTAGCTTCACAATATAATTTTGATGATTTCATTGCTACAGATGCAGAGCCAATTCCAAATAAACTAGTAAGTAATTTTATTTTAATTTCAATTTTCAATGGTATATCAATTGGTAGATAATAATCCATTTCGATACTAGTGCGAGAAAGTAATTTCAGCCTCGTGTGGCCGTTTGCGCTCAACTGAAACGAGGGTGAAGTAGTCGTACGAGGGTGAAATAACTTTCTCACACGTGTATCTAACTTTATTTTTCGATATGATGTACGTGGGACGAGATTTCAAGCATGCTCAATTCCTCGAACGTATGTAAAGTTGAGACCCCATGTATGGAGTGTCGAAAATATATATTTTCATTCTAGTCCCCGACAGTATGTCAAAAATTTATACCTGAGGGCATGATGGGCTTTGATGAAACTGTTGAACACATTAGCGTTAGATCATTGGATCATGAAGATTATTTTGAAGTAAACATCTCAGAAATATTCACTCCATCTTTCTTTTGGATAACATTAAGAAAAAATAAATCAAAAATCAAGAAACTGATGGATGAACTGGGGTATGCTATTTGCAGTTTCATTTTTTATTTTGAACTCCATTTTCAATTCTTATTTTACTTACAGTACATTTTACCAATCTCAAGATTTGGATAGATGTAGATTACCTCAGGTCCTGATTGAGACAGGATTAAATGTTGCCTGTATTTATGCAAAAATGTGGCACAGAGCAATCATCAAAAAAGTGAAACCTGATGGATATGCTGTTGTAAGATTATACTCTTGTTATAGTGCCAATTTTATGTTAATTTATAACATTATTTGCTTTCTTAGGTTCTGTTTTATGATTATGGTACTGTTAAAACATACAGTCCAAATGATTTATATTATTTGCACAAAAAGTTTTCTGCCTTGCCTGCACAAGCTATAGCTTGTGGATTGTATAATATTAAAACACCATATGATAATGAATGGCCTATACCATCCACCAACATGTTTGTCAATAAAGTATGGGGAGTACCATTAATAGCAACAGTGTGTGAAATAAATGAAGATGTTCGATTTCCATTTAAATGATTTCATTTTTTCGAAATTTATATCCATAATATTAACTTTAATTTTATTTTGTAGAACAACACAATGATGATAACTCTGACAGACACAAATGATTCTTTTGATTTACATCTCAACGATTGGATGATAGAAAATGGATTAGCTGTACATGGTAAAATGGTTTGTATTGGGAACAATTTTTCCTTTGAACACTATAAAAAATGCTTAAAGAAAAAAGTTTATAATCTGTCTACTTTAAAATTTGATAAAAAAACTATTAAAAATGAAAATAAATCTGAAGAATCAGATATTTTAATAAATATTCATCTTGATTATCATGCAAAAATGGCTACTGAAAAATATAATAAATTATATTGCACATCTTCAGAGAGCTCATCTAATGATGAAACAGTTATAGTATATAAGAGTGATAGCAACAATAATCCTAATAGACATGATAATGATTTACTTTTTGATAGATTGAAACAGTTAAATTGGAAAACATGTAATTATGCAAAGTTAGTTCAAAGTAGTACTTTGAAGCAAGATTATAAAAAATCTGATAGTGATAATTACAAAATTGAGAAAATGAGAAGTAGATTGATGGCTTTAAAATGTTCAAAAAGTAGGCAAAACTCAAGTGCATTTAAAAATAATGTGGTTTCAAACGGCGATTTTGATATTGATAGTTTTTATGGTATTAATGGAGGTCATGGCCGTATGAAACCCATTGATTGGTCTGCTATAAATTAAAAACATATACTTTTGATTAGTTTTCTTTTAAAATCATTAATTGATAATTACTTTTACTTGGAATGAAATTTTATTTTTTGAATTGTAATTTTAACTCTGTACTAAGATTTTTTAGTTTTGGGACAAGTAAGTTTTGCTATTGATAATACTAATTAACTTTTCTATGAAAACATGAAATAATTTTGTTTTTCATGAAAGCAATTTTTTAATTCTCTCATAAAGTAATGGTGAAAATAAGTATTTTTTACTTCTATCAATATAATAACGAAAAAATATTTAATTTTGGGAAAAATCTTACTTGTTTTATTTTCTTTGTTACAATAAATAGTTTTTAATTATAAATTTTGTAACATTTTCAATAAAGAAATATTGACATCAAACTCTGTAGTTTTAATATCAATTAATCTGCGTATTAATGTCAAGTGATTATTTTTCCCAAAATTTTTGTTTTGTTTTTTATTTTTATTTTTATTTTTTAATTTTTTTTATCGTCATAAATATAAACGCCTTTATAATCAATACAGGAAAATACTCCATCCAGTAAATATCACGTAATTACTTCTTACGGTGTCCCGTTAGACAAGTTATGCATGTATGATGAAGATGTATTGCGAAAAAGGGATCAAGAATACGAAAAATCGCTAACGATGAAAGATCAAGATAAAACACATTATATAGGCAATAAATACACTGAATCTGAGAAAGTTGATATTAAACATGCAGATGTGTATTCTAACTGCAACGTAGATTCTTCATTTGATAAATCCAGTATTTTGACTTTAGTTCAAGAAAATATAAATTTAACAAGACAAACAAACACAATTACTCAAGCCATTCTTTCAAACATGCCCATTAATACACAATTAGAAAGTAGATCTACTTCAAGCTTTGAAACGACTGTCAAGAATAATTTTGAAAACGAGAGTTATGTTGTAAACAATTCGTGCTCTGAAGATATTAAAAAGAGTTCTTTAGACCTGAGTAGTAACCTAAATACAATGAAAAATAATTGTTCGGAAATTATTAATGATTCTCGTGCAGATGTATTCAAAACAAGTTCTGTGTACCTAAATCAAAGCGTATGTAACTCCAATCGCGAGTTGTCAGTTTCGTCGAGTTCACTTCCATCAAATTACACGCAATCAACAAAACACAATTCAAATGAATTCTCCAACCATTGGCCATCAAACCAATCAATTTTTTTACATCAAGATACTTTAAATTTTCAATCGCAATCAACACAGGAAATCAATCATCAAAATCAAGTAAATCAAGAATATGATAAATTTAGCATTTCAGATGGTACACCTACATACTACAATATTAAACATGAGGACAATCTACAGGAAAAGATGCAATTTAAGTATACATCTAATTTTGCGAATATATTGATTGATAAATCTAAAATTAACAATAATTTGAACGTAAATGACGTGAAGGAATCTGATGATGGTTATCAAACAGGTAAATTTGCGTCTAGTGCACAAAGTAGTAATATATCATCAAATACATCTTTCCAATCCAAATCTTCATCTATACCTGCATTTATTCCAATTGGTAAGTCAATTGGCAATTACTTTAAATTGACATATTTTCAGTTTTTAAATTAAAACTTTTTTCACTCTTTTTTTTTCAAGAACTAAGTGAAAGATGCTTTAGAAAAATTATTCACATATTCCATTTGGATAATGAAGGCTGGATTCCAGTTAATGAATTCATTGAATGTTTTACAAATTTGAAACTAGAAAGAGTCATGTTCAAGCTACTTACCATATTCAATATTAGAGTAGATTACAAATATTTAACCAGAGCAGATAATGCTCAACTTTTTTCTCAGTTGGATAAGTAAGTATACATTTGTCTTAAACTTTACATATATAAAACTTTATAGACTACGTTTATGTAAATTTTACGATTTGTTAAATTAGAAGTAAAATCAAAGCACCAAGAGAATCAAACAAAAAAATTAAAATTGATTTCATACTCACTCTCCTACCATTGAAAGCAATGTTGCATGTGCTGGCTAAACTTGAGTTTGTAGATCAAAAAGTCTTTAAAGAAGCATCAAACCTGATTAAATTACAGAAACAAAATGCAGCAGATGTTGTATTTGAAAAATTCAACAACAAAATTTTGTATGATGCACTGGTGAGGTTAAAAATTAACAATACACTCTCATATTTAATTCATATTACAATATCTGTATTACTTTTTCAGAACTTACTTATACAATATAGACAGTTTAGACGTTTGCATACGCCATAAAGAAATTTATTAACAGATTTTGCAATTTTCGTTCTTTTATTCTGCTTCTGACAGAGTTAATTCGTCGAAAGATATTTTTTTTATACTGCGTATGGTTGTAAATAAGTTTAGCTCTTTTTTTTTAACCAAGAGGGGTTATGCATTACGATATGTTGTTGTACTCTTTGTTCATAAATAATAAATATTTATAATTGAGTTTTGTTTTTATTATTATGAAAATATTCGACGTCTTTTAAAAATTGTCTACGTAATAGCTAGCAGTATATTTGAATAGGCCGCTTGTACGACTGCGCACGTTTCACACTCCGTATTGGGTTGCTCGACATCTGGGCAAATTGCAAGCGCACAGATCAGCGCAGACCACTAAACTGAATTTCACTGTGGATTGACTGTTAAACAATCATAAAATTAACATTAATATCGTTTGAATTTTAACACAACCAACAACCATGTCTGGTGGCGATCCACCCGGTTCCGAAAACCTCAAAGGTCTAGCCAGAATTTTTAACAGTGAAACGAATTTTGGAAGAGCAAACGTAAGTAATGTTATTTGACGTACATAACCTCGACATTGATTTTTACTTAAGAAAATTTCTCAAGTAGCACGTCCCTTTCAGGTCGCGAAAGCTACGTATGCTGCGATAGCTTTGATCATTGCGTACAATATGTTGAAACCCAAGAGCAAAAAATAGTCATTAATCTTTAAGATGATCATTCGTCAGAAGATATACATTATTACATAATGTTAAAATCAATTACTGTGTAACACCTAAAGTTGCGTTAAATGAAAAAAAGTTAAATAAAATATAAAAATGTGAAATGCTATTTTATTAAATTATGGTCTTTTCTTTATGTTCTTTTCATAAAATCACTGAAAGTCGTATCATCATCTGGAGACGTATATGTAATCAATATTATTGTTCATATTACTTCCTACCTTATCGATGACAGACTATGTAATTACATATACACACATTATAGAAAAAATTAATTTAATATTCAGATATAGAAATTCAGCGTGAATTCGACCGAAATTGACTAGAAAAGTTATAGAAAACCTGTTCATGATTAGCAAGAATAATAAAATGAATTAATAACTTCGTTTAAAATATTTAAAAGTTGAATATTCGAAAAATCGAGTAATGCATTAATTCGATTTTTATAAAAAATAAATATTTTAAATAATAATGTTTCCATTCAATAAAAATATAACTATAGCCATCCGTTAAAAAATAAGTGTCCTTCCTCATTACACCGATACGTGAACCAAAGGGCTGTACCCATAAAGATACCCTAATTTAACATAAAAAATATCCTTCCAAGAATACCCGTGCAAGAATTGTACTTATAGGGATAGATTTTTTTTTTCGACAATAACAAGTATTTTCGCAATGTCATTTCTATTGGTACAGCTTTTATAAATAGCTATGTAGTTCTTATATAATTGATGAGAGTACAAAATTGTCCCAAGTATAGATTTATGTTACCGACTGATTTTTCAGGTGCGTGTATCGTTGCAATAACGATAAATAGTATTTATATCTTTAACTGATGATTAGGATGATATTTTGATTGAATAGAAAAATTGCACTATATATTTTCTAACAATTCAATACAATCATTTTTATAAAAACTGAATTTAAATACTACGCAGGTTCTTAATTTTTACTGATCTGAGTGGGTTCAATTTCTGGAATTTTTTTTTTATCAATGAAAACCTAATTGTGCTGGGTCATCAATGACTACTACTATCATTATTAATCATACGTTGTTTTTCTATAATTTTTTCGGATAGGAAATCGTCGATTTCCTACTGAGTTCCTTTATCCGATAATTATAATCAAACTTCTTTTTGTAAAATGGTTTAATTTTCAATTATTTCCTGCATAGTTCGATAGCCCAATTTTCAAACACTAATAACGTTACTGAGTATAGCGAGGAATATATTTCCCGTTATTTATTGCCTATAATAGGCATTATCTTGCTTAAAAAGTAATATAAAAAAACTACACTTTAAGATTTAAACAACAATGTCAAAAGATCTTATTCGACTACACGTTCATGAAGCTCAAATCAATTTCAAACAAAAATAAATGTGCGCGTAATATATTAAATATTTTTCTTATTTTTATGTTATTTAAGCAAGCTCAACTCCATGTTGGGTTATTTTTTTTAAGAACTTAGTATACAACATTCGTTAAATTATAACAGATTTTCGTACTGAACAGTAATTGACACAGTGGCTAAAGGTTACAATTTTGCCTAAAAAGTTACTTAAGTTACTCAAGTTACTCAATAGCCTGAATAGGCCTTAACAACTATGTGATTAATATTAACTGTAGCTCATGTAGCTGTAGGATATACATCTTACGGCGTTCAAAGCATTAAATTAATTCTAGTCTTTGTCATACAGAGGGCACTGCCATAGAATATCCTTATTTAATAAAATTGGAGTATACTAATATGATACAACCTGTGAATCTTCAGTATTGGTTAATAATATATTGAATGTAAATGTCTTGAGTCAAGATCTTGTAGAATATTGCCGCATTCACGGGTTGAATCATTATATACTCCAATTTTATTAAATAAGGATCTTAAATTCATGTTACCGGATCTCCAATGATCGATTTTCATTACAATTTTTTAAATGGAACGAAACGAGAGAACCACGGTTTCACGCTGTCATTCTGAAAATTGGTGGAATAATCGACGTTTTTGAACGATTCTTCTTCGTAGGTTGTGAACTCACGTGTGTTTTTTATTGCATAATTTTTCATTTTGATAAAAAGATTTTTAAGTGGTAATCTGCATTTAGTGTGGATGCGTGCTTGACTAAACAGTCAGCGTCTACGTTACTCTGAATTCCCGAGTGAACTTGTAACCAAATAAGTTGGATATTGTAGTCGTTATATTTGCTCTTTTGAAATTAGCATATATTTATTTTAATTGCAAACATACATGGATTTACTCTGGTGCTAAGATTTACATTTTTTATAGGGATAGTAACGCATTTAGAGAATCAATGAAGATATATAGGTTGACGTTTTGGTTAGGTATAAGAAAGAGCAACCTTGATCGCTTCGTTGATCGCTAAACATTCAGTAGTATAAATAGAAGCTTTCTTGTATAGGCTATACAACTCTACGCAATAATATACTTTTCACAAATGATAGCAGCTCTCACCGAAATTGTACCGTCTGATTTACTACCGTCAGTGTAGATAGCCTAAGCTTCATCATTATTCAGTCGTTGATTGATGAGATCTGAGTTACTAACTTTATTTAGAGAGCATCCAAAGTCGGTATCAATTGTGATATTATATCAAAATTTATATCCTAACTATATATTATTAACGAAATTCGAATTTTGTATGTATTTAACGAGTAAGCGTCGGCTATTTGATAGTTTGCTTTGCTTGTGATGTTGTTTCATTAGAAATGCGGTTAATATTATTGTAAGCTAGTAAACTATAATTAGATATAATCTGGTTAATGCAATCGTTACATAAAAATATAGTGCGATTTTTTATAAATGTTAGTATGGATTCAGACAGTAATATGTTGGTGGGAGTGCTGTTACGATAATCTAAGGCGAGCTTGATTGCCGCATACTGAACTTTATCGAACTTATTGTATTGTACAAGTGTGCTAGAGTAATATACAAAATATCCATAATCAATAATGAAACGCATGTAGCTTTTGTACAGGATCAGTAATGTTTCGGGTTTCGCTCCCCACATGACGCCACGAAAAAAATTTCACATCGTTTCCTCTTGGGAGCAATCTCACAAGTGTTGCTTTACCAAACTATTAAAGCAGTAAACTCTTGAGTTAGTCAAAATTTAGACAGAACTTTGGGGGGTTTAGAATGATTTCCCTTTTAACCAATAGTAGAGATTCTTCAATGTTAACTTCGACGTTAACTTCGCTGGAGACATTACTCGAGAAGAAATCTTTTTTAGTTTTTTCCATTAGGGGGCTTTGTGTTCGATTGGCTACTGGAGTTAGAATTTGAAGAAGAAAGTTGATGAGTTTTAACTCCATAAGGAGTTTTGAAATTACTGAGAGTATTCTTGGGTGGAAGTGGAATTGTAAGTTGTAGTAGAGGCGACTGAGGTATTTTCCATGAGTGAACTTTCGTTTTCTTTCTGGGATTGTGAAAAATCACTTTGCGTTGAAGATGCGCAGTCTTGCGCAAGAGGTAAGTTAATGTCAATTGAAACGGAAGGTTATCTTGAGTTATTGGTAGAAGAGTATTGTCACTTACCCTCAAGGGCGTTGAACCAGCATTTTTGGGACACAGCTTGGCTACGTGTCCGCTTCGGTTGCACATAAAGCAGCAAAATCAGATCACAAATCAATACTGAGAAAGATCCAGTATTTTATATTGTTGAAGTTAATTTGGAGCGTGTCACGCCAGTGTTTCGTCCCCCTCTTTGATATAAATTTGCCGACGAAAGCAAAGAACGTGCGTGCGTCCTGGTTTACTCGCGCTTATATGTATAGAGAATTTCAGATAGAGTTTGTATGTCTTTGGCTTTTAAGGCGTCAATCATAACTCGGTTTAGGAATAATTGGACTGACGTTTATCAAATTATTACACTTTTTTGCTTCCTTGGAAAGGAAGCTTTGTTTTCGGTTTTACCAATAATTTTTCCTTTTTCGCTGTAATTTTTTTAATTTTATCGTTCGCGGTTCCATTCTTGTTTTTTTGATAGATCTACACGTCCTGAAACTGTGTAAATTGATATTTTACCATAGAATTATTGTCAGAAGCTCAGAATCATCGTTAAAGTCATATTTTTATGAGGTCTGTCCGTGGGGATGTATGAGTGTATGCGTGTGTGTGTTCTGTCAATCGCCATGACTATTCCAGTCGATAGATTTTGATGAGACTTTTTTCATGTTTTGTTATGATGGAAGGTAGGTGGGAAAATATTTTTTAAGGCCAATAACCAACTTAAGTATTTTGTACCCATTTTTAGGAAAAAGTTGTCAATTTTTAAAAAGTGATTTTTCTGTAAAATTGCTATAACTTTTGATTGAGAACGTATTTTTCGTCATATGACAGCTTGTTTTACAGCTTTTACAAGTAGCTTTTAAATGAATCATCGCATGATTGAATAATCGATGTATATCAAAAGATATAATACTTAGAAGAAACCTATTTTCAAAAATTTTATAAATAACATAATGTTACATTATAGTTGTAATAAAATTATGCATGTAACCAATTATTTCATAATTGCTGTATAAAATATACTATATTTAATGAAATACAATGAATATAAAAACGATTAATAACGTAAACACAAACGTAAATAACTAATAAAATTCCAAGGAAGCACACCGCCAGAGCAGTTGGCAGCATTTTTCTTTTTGTAAGGGGACGAATACAAAGTTGATGACTAATTGTGACTGTAACAGATTTCTTTTCGAGACTGCGTCGACTTGAGAGAAAAATACGTGCACGACCTGTAGATATTCTGGACATGAATTTATAATCATCTTGCATTAAATAATTACTCAAGGCTATCGGCGTAATAATCAATAGATAGTCTTTCGACGGTTTCAATAACAATGGCTTGATCACTTTTAGACTGGTAGCTTGGGCGTAGTAGGTAGAGCCGATCGGAGTGGAGTTACCAGGAGAGTCGTTTACCGCAAGGTTTTCATTATATGTGGAAACCATTGCTTGGTTGTAAGGCAGACGTAAAGACTGCGCCACCTTAGGGAAGAATACACGAGCACTTTATCGGAACGCTCGGACATATAACACTGTATAAAAGTAAACGAATTGCACGTCTAATATAATTAATAAGAAAGCTGAATGACTAGTACTTTGCTGTATCGATCGGCGTGGGTTACGAATAAGAAAATGGATAAAGATCTTGAATAAGTTTGTATTTATATTGGATAATATTTACAAGTGAAACTTTGTCCAGAACCCGTTCAGACAAGTTCTGATCGAATGAAGAAACGTTGAATTTCCGTATAATGATTGGAAAGTGCGACTCTACGCTGCTTGATTGACGGCGCACTCGAGGTATAGATATAGCACTGCAATGCAACGCTCGGCTGCACTGCGGTCGCCCTTTGTAGAGATAAAAACATACGGTACATTTCTTATACAAAGTTTGATAAGAGCTGCGAGCACGCACGTCCGACGCGGTTAATTTATAAACTGGTAAACGGTGGCGCGTCACGCTCGCGCGAGATAAAATTCGACGGATAATTTGCGCGAACATCGATATTATGCTACGCGTCGCAGACCGCTGGCGCACTGCCTGCGCGGAGAGGCGATCGAGGAGCGAGAGAGAGAGAGAGAGAGAGAGAGAGGGCTGCGAAAGGCAGCGAGAAAATATACACGACAGCGAAGCGCCTCTCGCCGATGACTCGTGTATATCACAATTGATCCCGAACGGAGCCCGCGCGCCGACACGACGGCGGACGAGTCTGTCAGCAGAGCGTGGCCTCGTGGAGGCGCGTGCCATGGACGTTGTGGCCGTTGCGCGCGGGTGCGGGCAAGCCGGGGTAGTAGACGGACGAGCCGTTGGGCTGCCGCTGCTGCTGCTGCTGCTGCTGCTGCTGCAAACGGGCGCGCGCCGACAGGCGCATTTCCACGTGGCTGCTATTGGTGACCAGCGAGTCATCGTTGGTCTGGAAGTCGGGGCTGTCGGCTCGACTGGGCCGGCCCATGCAATCCAGGCCCGCGTCCAGCGAGGCCCGGCAGAAGATACGCAGGAAGACGCGCTTGAACTTGCGCCCGAAGATCACGTATATGACGAAGTTGACGCCGCTGTTGAAGGTGACGAGCAGGTTGCCCGTCTGCACCAGCCAAGCGGGCGGATTGGTGTAGAAGTTCTCGTAGACGTTGGTCACGAGTGGCAGCACGTTGCACACGAGGAACACCACCACCACGCACAGCAGCATGCTCGCGAGGCCAATCTCGCGGCGCTGGCTGCGCGAAAGCCGGCGCAGGTCGCGGTTGGCCTTGCGCACCCGCCGGTAGATCAGCACGTTGAAGATGGCCAGTATGACGAAGGGCACGGCGTAGTAAGCCAGAAAGTAAAACCAGTGCACGTAGACGGTGATGTAGAGCGGGTCGCGGCGCAGCGCGGTGCTGGCCACGCACAGCACGCTGACGTTGCGCCGCCAGTGGCGCTCCGTGCGCAGGCCCACCTCCCAGAAGCGCGGTAGGTTGCACAGGCTGGCGAGCACGGCCAGCGCGAGGAGTGCGCTCCTGGCGCGCCCGTGGGTGCACAGCGAGCGCGCCTGCAGCGGGTGGCACACGGCCACGTAGCGCTCGATCGTCACGGTCAGCGTCACGTACACCGTGCCCATCTGCACGATCAGGCTCAGCGGGTACAGGAAGCGCACCACCTTCGGGTACACGTAGAACTTGTAGTCGAACAGGTAGCCCGTGTAGGCGTAGATGCCCGGCAGCCCGTACATCAGCACCTGCAACAGTCGGTCGGCTCGCTCAGAGCGGTCCGTTCAGCCGTTCGCGCGCAGCCGGCTTGGCGAGGGGTTGCCCGGGAGCCCGAGCTCCCGGATATTCTCGTTCGCAGCGCCGACTACGTAATAGTCCTCGTCGCTCAGCCCTCGAGCACGCCCGCGAGTCTCGCGCGGATCGAAGGCAATTCGGCTCTCCTCGGCGAATTGCCCCGTCAGCGTTGATCGAGCTGACGGCGGCCGCAGCCAATCGCTCGTCGGCGACTAATTGTACCGGCGCTGGTGCGCGCAGCAACAGGTGAGGCCCCGAGCGGCGCCGGCACCGCCTCGGCTTAATCGAGTTTCCCAAGGCTGCTCCAACGAGATAAAGCCTCGGTCGCGCGTGCCGAGGTCGATACTCGCGCGCTCGCTTTCCTCTGGCGGCTCGTACGCGCTCGGCCGCGGCCCGCAGCACCTCGACCGCAGATCAGGCTTGCGCTGAATACGAATGAGAGTGCAATAGGCCACGGCACCCGAGCGAGCGAGCGAGCCGCGGGAAGGCTTTCGACTGGCGCGTCTGTTTGGTTTATTGCGCGATGCGCGCTGTACGACAGGTCGCCGAGAGTTTCGGCAGCAGTCGATACTCGAAGCTTATTGCGGTCGGCGCGGCTTTACGAGAAGCGAGAGCGTGCTCGCGTCGATTGCGAGAGGAGAGGCGAGAGGAGAGGCGAGAGGACGGCGGCTGCAGGCGGATCGCGGATAAAAGCCCACTCTGTGGCCCGAACGCGAGAGGCGATCAACTCACGGACAAGAGAATGAGGACGGTGTCGCAGGTGGCGAGGCCGATGAGCAGGTAGTTGATGGAGGACTTCATCTGGGGCCTGGACAGCACGATCATGGACACGGCGTTGCCGGCGATGCCCAGCAGGCTGACCAGGTTAAGCAGCAGGCCGTAGATGACGAACTCCAGCAGGCCGTCGGACACGAAGGCGTCGCACTCCTTGGGCGCCTCGGCGCTGCTCTGGTTGGCCAGCAGCAGCAGGCCCGGCGCCGCGGCGCTCGCGTTCTCTGATTCCATCGTTCAGTGGCCGCTGGCGCCGCTGCTCCGGCGCCGATTGTGCACTGGGGGGACAAGGACCACTTTACCGAGCTCCTTCCCGCTGGGTGACCGCGCCGAAGCTCTCGCGCGCGCCTTTCTCCCATATCGCGGCGCCACGCTACATTTACTCCAGTCCCGCCCTGCGCCGCGTCTCGTTAAGATGACTGCGATCCGCGACGTAGCGCGACGCAGCGCGACGCCAAAACGAAACGGCTCTTTGATTCTGGACCGGCGCGACGTTAGATTTGGAAGCGCTGAGCCATATCGCTCGTCCGCTATCGCTCCCATCCCAGTCGCTCCACTGATAAAGAACCCCGAGCTCCCAGTCGACGAAAGTTTTGTCCGCGCCGACGAGCCCATCGAGCCGATCCCGCGCTGTCGCTCCGAACAGGCCGATCGGCGCATTAATTGCTGATAACGCTTCGCAGTGCCAGAATCGCTTAGCCGCGCTATCGTCGCAGGCAGGAAGAGGAAGTGCAATGTCGTCGGCGTCGCAGGCCTTGAGATCAGAACGCTTTCGAGAAAGAGAGAGAGAGAGAGAGAGAGAGAGAGCTTATCGCGAGTAAATTTCTCTCGCCGAGAGCTCGTCGAAAGTCACCGAGGGATCGGAGCGCGAGGTAACTGACTTCGCGTCGTGATTCGATCGACCGTGTGCACTCCCTCAAAGTGCAGTGAGCCTCGGTTCGAGCGGATTCGTCCGGCTGTTCGTGGCGGCCGCGAGGCCTTCTGTCGTCGCGCCGTCGCTCCGTGGCTCGGCGTGGCCGCTGAATCGCAGAGCCCACGGATGGCCATCGGGCGACAAACGGCAGAGCAAGTTAACGAGCCGCGGCGAGTTCGCTGGCACGCGCGAGCGTGCGACAACGAGCCCGGCTATCTGGCAACTTTGCCTGGCGGCCCCGCGTTTATAAACTCGCTGGAACGGGAATTTACGTCCTCCCAGGGTTGCGCTCGCGCCACGAGAATTATAGCCGTGGCGCGGTCTGGCCCCTGCGCGCGAGTCTCGCGGGGCACGAGGCGATGAAATTTATTTGCCGCCTCGTCGGGCCGCGTTGGCGAGCAGCTCGGCATCGGAGACCGCGGCGTGGACAGAGGCGGCCTCGGCGAATGCCATCTGCCGCGCCGAATCGCCGAATCGCCGAATCGAAGGGACAAAGGGTCCCCGCCACCGCGCGCCTCTTTTCATCGTGCTCTTCCGGGCATTCTTGCGCGCCCGCCCCGGCGACGTGCGATTTACGGCCGCTGCAAGGCAATTTGTAATAAATTGCGAACCGCGCGTACGCGCGTACGCCCGGCACGTACGCGCCAAATCGTCGTAATTCCGCGTGCGAGGAGGAGAGCAGCCGGGAGGGTGGCCCTTGACGGAGTCGTTAGACTATCTAAATATCGATCGCGGACGCATCGCCAGGAGCAGCGGCGGCGCCGAATCAGATCGGGTAAGCAGCCTCGTAACTCCTCCAAGATAACGGAAAAACGACGGAAGCCGCGTTTGCCTCCGTCCGTCGGCCAGGTTGACGTCAGACTAACCAGCCAATATATTAATCGGAAGAGCTTTTCGCCAGAGAATTACATCGCGGGACGCACGGCGACGCCGAGACGCCGCCGCCGCCGCCGCGGCCGCTGATAAATTAAGCCTTTAGGTACCCGCTGATTCATGTCGTTTTGATTGATTCAATGGACATCGGCGGACTATAAATCGCGCGCGTACACAAAGTGGCCGGCCAACCGACTGCCGTAGCTGCGAGCGTCGGCCTGAATGATGGTCCTTCGGTCGCAACCGCCGTCGCTACCAATTGCGCGTGACGGGCACTGAATTTTCGCGCGTCACGCACCAATGGTCTCGGATGGAGCTCGCGGTGTACATCCACGCGCGGCGGGCCTCGCAAATACGATCGCTCGCACCTAGCCGCGCGAGCGTCGGCTCGAATCGCTTCGCGCGTCTCTCCGGCCAAATCCCCGTCAGCCCGACAAGTCGTTCGGGGCACGAGGTGAACGAGCGAGACGAAGCGATTGCGCGACGCCCGAGCAGTTGAGCCTGCGTCCAAGCGAACGACGCAATTGGCGTTGGCGCGGTGGATGATGTCACTCGCGCGCGCACACACACACACACCAACACGCGTGCGTATCGACCTCGCGCGGATTATTCGGCAAGTGTCGCCGAGGCCGAGAGGAGTCGACGCGGAGAAAACGCGCGTCTCGCGAGGGCGGGCGATCGGGAGAAGGCGCATCGCTGGTCGAGGCGCGCTGGCTGCGATACGCACTCTCCGCGAGTGGCGCGTCGCCGCTGTGACACCGCCACCGCCTCGGCGGCGACTCCCCCGTGGCTGGCTGCCCGCGCCTCCTCGGCCTCATCCTCGGCTCCGCATGCCCGCGGCACCGCACCACACAAGCTCGGCCGGCAGCGAGGCCGCCCCGCCGCTCTGCCGATCTTCCGGTCGCACTCGCTCGCACTGCACTCGCGCCGCGGCTATTTTGGCGCTGAGGCCGCTCCTGGTCCGCGCGCCGCCGGAACGTGCCCGCGTCTGCGGCGCTGCGCCTCCGCGCTCCGACGAAAAGCGCGCGCGCCCGACCCTGGCGGCGAGGCCCGCCTGCGCAGAGCGGCGCGCGCCCGTCGGCCGCCGTCGCCGCCGCCGCTGCCCGCCAGCGCCGAGCTTTCCTTAATCGACTGTCGCGCGGCTGCTCGGCCGGGTGGCCCGGCGAGGCCTGGCTCTGCTCGGGCGCGACTCCTCGCCGATTGCCGTGCGCGCGGTGCTGCTCGCCTTGGGCCGTGTCGCCTCCCCCGTTCGCGCTGGCTCGCTTGCGCAACGTTGCACGGCTGCACGGCTTTCTTTCGTCTCTTTGTCCGCGCACGGAGCGGCGGATCGCATCGATTGGCTCTCCCTCGGCTGATCGTCTGAGACGCCCGCGGGCACCCAGCTGGCGCGTCGCGCTTGGCGCTTTCTTGTCGCCGGCGTCGCCAAACGCGGGCGGCGGCAGCAGCAGCAACGGCAGCGGCAGCGTCGTCGTGGCTCGCATCGATCGTCCGCCAAAAGTCGAGTGCACAATGCGCGCGCGCTCGGGCCTTTTGCGCGCGCGCCGCCGCCGCCGCCGCCGCCGCCGCCGCCACGGGCGTACTTATAAATAGGGCGAGCGAGCGTGCCAGCGAGAGCGAGGCTGCTGGCGGCCTGGCCGGCCTCATCGGCTAAACACTCAAATCGCCCGTATGATTCGCGAGCGCGCATTTGCATGCGTACCGCGACAGCCGAGCGACGGCGCGACGCGCGTCTCTCCCAAGCCGACGCGGGTCGAGGGCTCGCTCGTTCGTCGCGCGTCAGAGTTCGGCTGATTGGCCGCGGCGACGCGCCTGCCCGGATCGGCCGAACCTTTTGCGGAGCGTGCGCGGACGTAGCCGGCGGCTGACGTCATTCATTAGCCGCGCTGTCGCGACGTCGCACGCTGCGACGAATATTCGTCGATTTGCAAGTTTAGGGTCCGGCCGTAGGATATCGCCGCCGAGCACCGTTGATCCTAATTTAATTGAATCGTGAAACCGAAGCTAGCCAATCGATGTCGCGACTCATTAGCGAGTTCGCAAACTCCATCTGCCTTTTTCAACGAGCTCCTTTGCGTCGTCTCGCCCTGCACCTACGTCGGCCCGCGTGCAATTTCAAACTGCTGCTCGGCTATCCTCCGCGCAAACAGCGCCACTTTGCTCGTCAACTTATCCCGTGAAAAATGGACGGCAGGGCCAATAAATAAATCCGTCCAACGGCTGACCGGCGGATAAAGTCCGCTGTTAGTAACAATTTTCACGCGTCAATAAACGAATACAAGCCGTTGTTTGTTCGTCGGCGAGTGGAGGTTCGTTCATCAATCAAGATTTATTTGAAGTGGGAAAGCTTGCCATCCGTGGAACGCGTATAAGTCCGACGACAAACACGTCCACGTTTATATGTACTTCGTGCGGCCCTCGTCGCGATGGCATCGGGACGGAATAGAGAGCACTTATCGATGGCGTCCGCTAACGAAATGCCTCGCCAACGATTGCCTCGTCGCAAGCAACAAGTTCTTGTTTTCCCTGCGCCTCGACGTACACGAGGGACGCGTCCGGCAATAAGCAAGGCAGATTGGCTTTCGGGCTCGGCGCTTCTCATACGGGATTCCGCCGGACACAGTCTATTTTTGTATTCGCGCACGCACTGCGAGCAAATCGTCATTGTCGAAAATGCTCGCTCGGGGGGAAAAAAGCGGCCCAGAGAACAGCGCTATTTCGCCGTTCGCCGCTCGAACGCGCTATTTATACGAAAAAAAGTCCATCAACTCCTGACAAACTCTCGCGTTCGGCGCGCGCCCCCGGCGATTTTCGGATTTTGTCGTTCGATTGTACGAATGAAAACCGAAAAAGCGGACGCGCCGTGCGACACAATTGCTTTGTTCGTAAAAATCCGACAGTCGGCCGAAGAAAGTTGGCGCGATTTTCACGATTCTTTTTCGTTGGGATTTCGTCGACGACGAAAGACGATGACGTCGATCGTGCACGCGGGTCAAAATATAAATTTTCGTTGTTTTCCTTTTTTCTTGCCAGGAAATTCCAATGAACTACGAAAAACCCACGAGAATGAGGCTTTTGTTTTGATTGATGTAAGCACTCCCATGGGCAAACAAGGGGGGGGGGGGGGCACGAGCACGAGCGGTGTAGAGACAAAATTTTTTTCGGGGTGAGCCACACTCCGCCAAAAAGAAAAAAAAAGAATTTTAAGAGCTCGGTCGCTCTTAAAACTCGGTGAAGATCCTTCGAATATTCGGAGAAAAAGTAGCGTGGGCGGATGTCGATCCACCCACGTTCCTTCTTCTCGTGCTATTGACTACTATTAACTCCGAGCGGAGGAAATACCAATGTGCTGTTCATTCCACACGGAAGAAGTGCATTGGCATCGTTTCCGCCTCGAGTTAACAGTACGAGACAACGCGGCTGCGCGTGTGCCGATGATCGAGCGTCAGCGATAGCGTTCGATCATTATTATGAATTCCCCTTGCAGCATGTAGATAACGGATGATAGATAGATAGTACGAACGGGAACGCATAAAGATTTGGCGGCGGGGGTGGGGTGCAAAGTCGAGTATATCGCGCGTTCATAGAGCCAGAGATTAATTGGACGATAAAGGCCGGCGAGGATGAATGGCGAATATTCCAATAAGCAGCGCTGCTTTAGGCGTAGATGGCAACTTGCTCGCAATCAATTCCCCGTAGAACTCCGTTATTGGCGCCTCGACGATCGAAAAGTCGTCGTGGTTACGCCTCTAGGACAGCGGAGCAGGCAGCAATCGCCGCGGGTCGTTTGCCCTCGGCGGCGGGCAGCGTTCGGGTTCGGCGCTCGCACCGGCCGACCAGCTGCGCCCGCGATTGATCGCCGATTGTCCCGCTTCCTCCTCTCCCTTTCTCTCGCTCGCCCCGTGTTCACTGCTCTCGTCGAGCGACGCATTTTCATCAACCGTACTTCGTTCGGTCGAGCATCCGTGTAATTCCGCACGAGAAGGCTCGTCGACGTGACTCTCGATTAGCCGCTCTTCTGATCCGGCCGTTCCATCCAAGTCGCGTCACGAGCGCTTGTTTTCGGCGCGCCGACCTCGGCCTTTCCTGTTACCGCCCAGCGCCCTGGACCCGTTAAAAATACGCCAGAAAACAGCAGCCGTCGATCTCGCTGATTCCCCTCCCCCCTCACCCTGGTACGCCTTGACGGTAACACGATCCATTTTTGCTCGGGGCTTATTCCGAGTTTTCACTATTTTTAAGCGACGAATCCGTTGGGCTGTCGTCGAGCCCAACGAATCTTTAGGAATGCCCATCGACATTCGGAGCTTCCGAAGGCTGTCTAAATATACGTGGAGGCACGTGGAAAAAGTGCGCGGCTCTCGTCGAAACAAACAGCCCCGATAACATTGTGTCGGCAATCAAAACTCGCATAATAATGAATCGGCGCTATTAAGCGCGGCTCGGTCGCGCAGCCATCAATCTTGTTCGCGGAAAATATCGGGCATTCCACGAGCCGACCGACGATCCAGCCGAGCTGCTCGTCGACCGCGCGCGGCACGTCAAATAGAAAAAAAAAAAAAAAATACAGGAAAAAGACAAGCGCGCGCGCGGAATTAACTGCGAGTTGCACGGCAACGAGACGCGCCGACGCTTGTCGAGGCGAAGCCGGGAATGTCGCAGGCACGACCATTGTTTCACTCACGTGTTTGCCGCTGATCGCTACGGTCGCGTGAAAATATTTCACCGTGCGAATGGGAGAAAGAGAGAGAGAGAGATTGATTGATTGGAAAATTGTATTTTTACCACGCTGAAGCCCAATTTTAGGCCCGATATAACTCATTTTATATGATCGCATACGACATAAAAATAAATACAGATGAGAAAATTATAACAGCGTGAGAAAATGTTAACAGCGATAAACAGTTGGCAGTTTGTTAACGAGAAAAGTGATGTAACGCAATTAATCAAGAGAAATAAAGTAATGCAATTGTAATAATGAGAAAGATGTAACGCACAAATATTAACGCTTCGCTCTATATCTCACTTAAACCTAATCCTTAATATCACTGGAAGTAATTAATTGCCAAAATATGTAATATACATATAAGCGTAAAATACGTTTATTCATCGTTACAATCACAAAGACCATGAAGCAGGTAAGCAAATAATGCTTGCCTAAACGAATCAGGAGAAGATATAGCTTTTATGGAGCATGGCAAAGAATCCCATAACCTCATAGCTGAAAGGCCGAATGTTTATCAAAAGTAGTAGTAAACTGTCGGAGAATATCAAATAATGATGAGAGAGGGAGAGAGAGGAAGCAAGGAGCGGGAAAAAGCGAGCGACTGGCTGCCGCGGACAAACGATAAAATAATTTCCAATTAACCGTGGCAATCAGGGCAATCCGCCGGCGACGTTTGCCAAGTTAATTAACCGAGCGCTCTCTCCCCCGCTCGCGATGATAACGCCGCCGTCCGTGCAACCCCGAGCGCGCACCAGCAAACAGCGACGGAACGCGCGAACCTCCCGGCGAAGCCCCCAGCTCGAATAAATTGCGCTCCGCGTGGCTGCCCCTCGGCGAAAGAGCGAAGGGGGCGACTCTCGATCGAGCAGCCGACAGCTCCGCGACCGCCGCGTAATTTGTCATCGGCAGACGTGCCGTTTTATCAATTCTTCCCGTCGCGCGCCGACGGGCGAGGCGCGAGATAGCCAGGCGGCGCTCGTCGATCCAATCCGCGGCGCCGTCGTTGGCGCGCAGATTGCCCGCAAAGTCCCGACGAGGCGCGGCGAGCGAACGCATACGAATCGTCGTCGGAAGCGAGCGAATCGCATCGGGCGCGCAATCGCGCGCAGCTGGATTATCGACGGGACGGGTCGCGATCGGCATTTCCATCGCGCCGTGGCGCGCTCGCGTCTTTTCCGGCTTCTCTCGACGAGGCGACGAGCCGCGAAACGGCTCCCGCGCCAGCTCGTTCCCTTTTATCTGGCCATTCGCGCTCACGGCCTCGCCGCGCTGCACTGAATTTATGGAAATGCAGCCCGGGCTCGCGCGGGCCTCGGATCCCTCGGCTTAGTTCGCGCGCGACGCCGGCCACCGTAGCTTCGCGCGGCGCCGCGCGCATCAACGATAATCCGCTCGGCCGCTCGCCTCGCACGCGCGCACGAGCCAATCGCAGTCGCGGAGCGGATGGCGCGGCGGCTCGGCACGCTTAATTGGTTCCGAGATTCCACCGCGACGGCTCGCCTCTCCGGCTCTCGCCGACTTAATTTGAATTCCGGCGCGCGCCTTGCTCCCTCGGCCACTTATTCGCCGTCGCGCGAAACGTCGATCGACCGTGCCGCGGCGTCCAGCGCTCCTTTGCCCTCCGACGCGCCGGCTTAATTGCGCACCTCGCGCGCAATCCGACAGCGAGGCGGAGACTCGCCGCCGAGCCATCGTCAAGCCCTCGGCGCGCGAGTTAACGACGCCACTGAGCTCGTATATTTGCAGTGCCGCGAGGGGCGTTGATTTGCGCGGTATCGCGGCCGGCGAGCGCGCGACGACCCTCAGAGGCGGCGCTCCAGCCGCGAGCCCTGGACGGAGAACGCGTCGAATTAGCGGCGAAGACTTGGCCCCGGCTGCCCGTGGCGCGCGCGCGCGCGACACTGATCAACGAGCCGAGGCGAGGGCGCGCAAACGCGCCCCGAGCGCGCGATCCGCGGCTACGGGAATGCGCCGAGGCAGGAGCAGCGAGGCGAGACGGAGCTTGGCCCGGGGGAGAGCGCCTTTACGGGTGCTCCGCGGCCCCGTGCGTGATCTCGCCGACGAGGCGACGTCGATTCGCGCGCGCGCTCCCACGCCGCGGCTTCTATCAATCAAGCGCGGCTGCGCGCCCGATTGATCGGGGCTGTTGGCGCTCGCCGGCCTCATTAGCATCTGGTCGGGCATTCCGGCTCGCCTGCGCCATCCCGAACCGGGCTTATCCATTGTCGCTGCCTAATAATCGGACGGGCCGGCGCTCGTATCCGTGTTTGCGCACGCTTCGCTGCATACGTCCTCGCTCGCCGAATCCCGGAGGGACGCCCCCACGCGCAAAGGCCATACGCCGCGCGGAAGGAGTCGCGCGAGCGCGTCGACGGCCGGGCGCAACGGGACAACGGACGCACGGAAAAGCGCGAAAGAGAGGCAGACCGCGTCGTTCGGGCCAATACGCGCGCGCCAAGATTAGAGAAGTGGCGCCGACGGCGCCCGCGGGGCGAGGGAACGAGAGGGCGAAGACAAAGACGCAGCCGCAGCGCCAAGTTTTTAGCGCGATAAAAGTAAATTAGACGAGCTGAGTTTTCTTCCTTCGGCGAGCCGCCACGCACGCTGGAAATAAGCGACGCGAGTGAATCCGTGCGGGAGGGGCCGAGAGTTTTGCGCCCACGCGAGCATTTTCTCCAGTGGTCTGATCCGCTTGTGAAAAGTGACTTGTGACAATCGGGGCTGCTCTCCCCAGTGAATTACGGAAGCAGGCCGTGAGGCTCGCCCGCGTGCTCCAATCTTCGACGACACGCCAGCGTGTACAGCCGGGCACGCTTTTCTCGTTACGGAAAGTGCTGCCGCGCCGACTTAATGACGGAGAGAAGCTGGCTTGATTGCGTGCGCGATCGTTGTTCGATATTGCGCCTGTGCCACTTCGCTGACGCGACTACTCTCGTCGGCCGGGGGCTCGTGCGGCCGGTTCACGCTGATCCGCTCGGACTACTGCCGCGACGAGGCTACCTGCGATCGAAGTCCACTGATCCGAGGGCGAAACGCGGCCCGCAGCGACGACTCCGAGGCGAGCATCACTCAACTCGATCTCCACCGATTGCCTCGCGTTTTTTCAGCCGGAGCCCCGGAGACGTACGCAAGCGTTGGGGCGAGCATAATCCACTCTCGTGCGCGCGCGGAAAACCGCTATTTCTCAGCGGCACAATGGGCCGTAATGGCGGAGCTCGTCTCGCTCCGATGCGGCCGCGGGAGCAGTGCGCATAATCTCGCGTCCCCCTCCCGCTCCTTTGCGAGGGCTCCTCGACGCGATTTTTACGGCGTGCGCCGCGCCCAACGAACGCAGGGGCTCGAGAGCTCCGAACGGCGATCAGTCTTCCGGCAGGGCTGGCATCGCCGTAATAAGCAAACGCCGCGCGACACCCGCCGGCCAGCTCGCGGCGAGGTCCGCAACGGCCCGTCGCTCCTCGTCGCTCGTCACGCTCCGCGCGCGCGTTAGCCGCTTCGTGAATCATGCGAGGCGAGGGATCGATGAGCGTCGGCCGCGGGTCCGTTGTTCGCGCGGCGGGCCGCAAGTAGCGAGCAGGGGAGCGGCCGCTCGATCGGCAACTCAATTATTAAGCGAGCGACATAGAGGGGCGCTCGCGAGCTCGATGGACTCGGCGCCGACGCTCCGGCTCGGCCGACCTTGAGCGCCCGAGCTCGGCCGTGATCGCGCTAATATCGCGCCTCGGCACGCCGCCCCTGATTTATCTGCACCGCGCGCGCCCCGAAGAGTCATGATGCTCGACCGAGCCGGCAGCGCACGGCGCTTATCCGCCGCGGACGCTCGCCCGAGCACCGCCTACAGACGACTCGGCGCTTATCGCCGCCGGCACGTTCACGATTTCCCGATCGGCCGCGCTGAGCCGCGACAACGGCAATGGGCCAATTCTTGCTCGAGAGCGCGCGGGCGCGCGGTGCAGCCAACGCCCGACAGCAGTGTCCAGTACGCGCGCAAAGCGGGCGAGAGAGCTTCCTCGGGACGACTCCCCAAGGGGGATCGCGCGATCAATACGCCACTTGGCGATGTCCGCGCTCCCGTCGTCCCTGCCGACCTCGTAATTGCCAGCTCGTCTCGATCGCGGAAGCACGAGACCGAGCCTCGGACGAGTTTCGTCCCCGAGCGCTCGCTTCAGCCTGCATTGTCGCGCGCCCCTCTGGCCCGCGAGTCCTCGCCGAGAACGGCGCCGGAAACAGACGTCCCGCGCGCGCTCTCGTCCTCCCGTCAGCCTTCGGCCGCGGCGGCCGCGCGATCGATGCCACGCGCGCCCGGACGTTGCATTCGACGAACGGCAGCGGCTGTTCGTCGGCGTCGATCGCGCGGACTCGGCCGCGTCGGGATCTCGATATCGCGCGAGCGGGCTGATTGTCGTAGACGCGCCGCGCGATCGATGCCGCTCGGCCGTCCGCAGGCGGGCAGGAAGGGCGGGCGCGGCGTGCGTGTCGAGGGGCAGGCGGCGCGCGGAAAAGCCGCTCGATCGCGCGCTCGCTCTATCATCCGCGGATCTGGCGATCAATTATTCAGCCGGTGCAGGCCGTGCCGCGAGCCTCGGACACTGACAAACGGAGCGCGCATCGCCGGGCGTTCGCGCGCGCTCGCGGGAGCAGCTGTCGGCGATAAGACAAATTTCGCGCCGTCGCGGCCGACCCGGCCGACCCGGCCGACGCTCAGTTGCGCGGGCGAGTGACGTGCTTTATGGGGGACGCGCTCCGCCAGGAATTTTTCAATATCGAGCTGGCTGCTGCCCTTCGGCGGGGCCGCCGAGCTAGCGCAAGATAATAGAAACGGTTATGCGGACAGGCAGTCGGCGAATCGCCGCGTCGGCCAGTCTCCGGTGAGTCGTAACCGCTTTTATTATTCCGCTCGATCAAGCCCGCCGCGATTGGATTTGCCTCTCCTCGCTGTCGCGCCCTGGGCGTCGCGTTTCGCGCGCGCGAACAATCGACGAGAGAAGCCGGAGGACATCGGCTTCCGAGGGCGACCGTCCACCGAGCGTCGCAAGACACCGCCGGCGGCGAGCAGTCGGAGCTCACAGGCGCGTAGGATGAGCGGCGGCGGCGGCGGCGGCGGCGGCTGGGCGAGGGCGGGGCAGTGGCGCGCCGCGGGCGACGCCAGGGGCAGCGAGTCGCCGCTCTACGAGGCCGTCAGCCCGGCGCTCTACGTCGTGCGGGCCTTCGGCCTGGCGCCCTACCGCTACCCGCCCGGCAACAGGCCGCCTCGGCTACGCGCCTCCGGCCCCTACTGCCTCTACTCGCTGCTCTGGGCCAGCCTCTACAGCTGGATCGTCGTCACGGCGCTCATGCGTTTCGGTGGACTCGACCGCGACAAGCCGGTGCTCGGCGTCACCGAGAACGGCAAGGTAGCGGGTCGGGCGTCGCCGCGACCGGACCAAGGTGACCGCTCGGCTCGTTGCAGCTGGTTCTCAACTACGTGACGGCGCTGGCGGAGCTGGTGCTGACGGTCGGCCGCCGCCGGCAGTTCGCGCGGGTGTGGAACGGCATCCAGGACTTCGACGAGAGCTTCCAACTAGGCCGCGACGGGCTCGGTGGCCGTCTGCTGCGCCTCAGCCGGCTCTGGGTATGGCTCAGTCTCGTCGCCTCCGCCGGCGTCTGGACGGCCATCAACCAGCTGGGCATGCACGCCTTCGACGAGTCCTATCTGCAGAACGTCGGCTACATGCTCACCTACGTCGGCACCTACATCGCCACCCTCAAGTTCGTCGGCATGGTGTTCCTCCTCGGGCAGCGTTTCGCCTATCTCAACCGGCTGCTAGCCGCCCAATGTCTCGTCCGGCCCGCTGGGCTCCCGCCGACTCAGCGCAACCACGCCCTCGCCAAGGTATGCCCGCGAACGCGGCCCGCGCGCTCGAGCGACGGAAACTTCTCGCCTCGTGCCGGCGTATTCGCTCCTGGCTCCGTGTTTCGTTTTCCCTTCCGACGCGAGTGTCCGGGGCACGTATCGAGGCAGATTTGCCGTTGACCATTCACGCGGCTCGCAGGGTTACCCATGCTGACGCTCGCGCGAGCAGTTTCAGCTTAAGGACCAACAGCACCAAATATAAAACACGCCAACGGTATTTCATTCATCGTCCTTCCGCGTGCAAACTGCATTTCCGATATTGGCCTAGGGATAGCAACGCCTCGCCATTTGGATCGCTGGCCGAAAATACGAGCAGCAGGCAACTCCACCGTAAAGAGCGAGATTTGATTGGTATTTCGGAGGTCACGATACGATCGATGTGAAACGACGGGGAGGCTCTACCTTGATGGGTCTGCCAGCCGCTTCGAAGCGCTCGATTGGAAAAAGTTTGGCACTGCCGCGCGAGAGTTCGCGGCTGGCGGATTCGGGGCGCGCGTCGTCGATCGATTCCGCGGAGGCGGCTCGTCTATCGATGGGAAAATGAAGGGACGACGCCGGTTGTGGACCGCCAGAAGGTGGAGACGTGGTACAACAATCTACTGAGCACGAGCGAGATGCTGAGCGAGCTCTACTCGTGGTCGCTGTTTCTGTTCCTGCTGAACCTCTTCTGCCACGCGGTCAGCAACATGTACTTCTTCACCATCTGGACCATCATCGACCCGAGCTACCTGAAGAACCTCAAGGTGGTGCTCTGTCTGTTCACGTGGCTGGTGGTCTACCTGCTGCAGCTGCTGTTGCTGCACGTCTCCTGCCACTTCACCAGTGTCGAGGTGAGCAGCGGCGCCTCCAATGACCGCGGGCCGCTCACGCTTTTGGTCTTTTTTTCGGCCGACGCGCAGGCGAGCCGCATGGCGAACGTGCTGCTGGACTGGCGAAGACAGGCGGAGCGCCAGGGCAAACAGCACGTACGTTGTCCTCCCACTGTCGTTGTCGCCCCGGCCTCACCTAGACTTTGCAGCATTTCAGGTCGACTCTGCATTATCTAAACAGGAGGCTCAAGTTCACCGCGGCTGGCTGCTTCGACGTCAACCTACCCCTGCTCACCACGGTAACTTGTCCAGCCTCTGGCATCTTCGAGCGCGAAGCGTCTTCTTCTACTCACCGCGTTTCTCGCCTTTGCAGACCTTCGGTCACCTCACCACCTACCTAGTCATTCTACTGCAAATCCCGGACAGCAGTTAGCTTCGCAATCGACTCTGCCTATTAACTGAATTATGTACTGTAATCTCATGGAAATGAGCTGACATAAAGAAAAATCCCGAGGAAAGCTGTAATCCGATGATTATTGAAAGCCAGGATAAAGCTGACAAATATTCACTCTCGGCATCGACGATTCAGACTAGTGGCGCGAAAGCGGGACCGACCCTACTTGCTATTCCGCTCGCGCTGCACTTCTTTCTGCCCTTCCTCAGCCTCGCCCGGCCAATTCACACAATTCCAAAAATCTTAATGACTCGAATGGGCGCTCGTAAAAAAGTATAAAGTAGCAGCGACGAGTGGGCGTCAGACAAATAGGATGAGATGCGCGCGACGTCGCATACTACAGCTTCGTCGTCGTAAAAAAATCTATATGCGCGCGTGCATTAGATTCCTCGCGCCGAGTGGGAAGGGCCGCGACGACAATCTGCTGCCAGACATTCGTCTTCGCCGCGTCCTCGCGCGCGCGCAAACGCGGAGGTCAATGGAACGCGGAGGAACGCCTCCCCTCGGCGCTTATCTTTTTATCGGGCCGAGCGCCGCAGACGCGGAGCGAGCGAAAACGACGCGCCGGCCTTTACTGCCGCTCGGCGCGTGCTTTAATGCGAAATAATCGGCCTTCACGGCTAATGAGGAAACGGCCCGGATTAACCGCGAGGATCAACTGTAACCGAGAGCTCTCGCGATTTTCCTTAAATTTCTCAATTACGCTGAGTGAGACCCTCCAGTCCCAGCTGCTTTCATTATGTCGCTCCACGCGCCACCCGCTCTGAGCTTCCCTTTATACCGTAGCCTCTAATTTTATTAATACGATGTCCCTCGGAGATTAAAAATCCAAAGAGTTCGTCTCGCGTGCCGAGACGCCAAGGGACCGGAGAGGACTTTACTTCTTACTTCCAGCCGAGGCAAGCGGACTAGACGTTTAATTGAATTGGAAGGCTGATACAGCAACGTTACACTTTTATTGAGCGCCTCTGGCCAACGAAGCAACTTGTTATTGCGACAGGAAAATATAGCTTTCAATCGGTTTACATCTCCAATATCAGATAAGCCGACTATCTCTTTGCCTAGCTTATACATCGTAATAACAGACATCAAAGCAGACGCGCGCAAAGCCACGTAACTGGAAGCTCCGGCAAAGCCTGTAGGTGCAAACTTTCCTTCTCGGCACACTCGAATGTATGCGTACGCCGAAACAGCGGAGATCAGTTGGCGCGCACTTGCAAGCGCACCAATTCAAGATTCGTAAAGTTTGCCAATGAGCTTGTCCTTGCACTCGCCGATTGTGGCGAGCACTCGCTCGAGGACGTCTTGGTGCATTTCCTCGACGGACTTGGTGGCGTCCACTCTGCTCCAGCGGAAGCAGGGGGCCAGCGCCTGGAAATTGGCCCTGACCTTGCGCTGCGTCTCGGTACGCTCGTACCGCTCGTCGCCCCAGCTAGCGCGGGTCTGCTGCACCTCCTCGGGCACGTCCAGGTAGAACACCAAGTCGGGCGCTGGCAGACCGCGGTCGAGGCCCTTGCACCACTCGAGCGAATGGTCGGTTGTCGCCGCGCCGTAGGCTGCTCCCGAGGCCGCGTATCTACGTCAACATTTTCTACGTTATGCGCCTCGTCGATCGAACGTATACTTTCAATGCAGTTGTCGCGCGCAACCCCAATCGGTCAACAAGCCACGAGCGAGCTAATGAGAAAAGTTTTTTTTTTGCCCTCAGTCCTACTCGGAGGCTGAATTGACCAGCGAGCTGTATAGACACCCACGCGACTGATAACGTGCAAATGACGGAATCAACAGGCCGACATAATTTGTCGAACAAATCCGCCAAAAGTTTTTTGTAGATTTAACTTTTGCAATTAGTTCGAGTGCAAATAAGAGCGCTCGAGCGCCAATAATTACAAAGTTTCAGCTAACCAGATACACCAAATAGCAAAGTTAAACCGAATCATTTTGTAAAGTCCTTCGTACCATAAATGAAATGCAAAGAGCCAGTAAGATATTTCAAAGTTGTTAGCTACGAGCTTGAGAAAGGAAGAAAAAAGGAACCGGTGAGGGCCAGGAGTCTGAGCGAACAAAAGGAACTCTCGAAAAATGTTGCCGTTGGAAAGTAATGGACCGATCGAGAGATGGCCGGTCAGTAAATTAAGAAAAGCAGCGCGCTGCACGTGTATAATTGAATAGCTGGGTGGTGAAGAAAAGAAAGTTAGCCGAGAGGAGAAAACAGCCAGTGATGTACTCGGTGAATTACGCCGCCCAAGCGGAAGAATGGCTACGGTCAAACTAAGTTTCACCGCTCTGGCGAGAATTAGTGTCCAGGAAAACGGAAAACTGAAAGACATTTTCGCTTGTGTTAAAGCACGTCGCTAACTTGTAAAAAGCCTACGCACCCGGCAAGTATTCACCAAGCGTGCGCTTTTACAGAATCAAGCCGATAACAATCTGTCTCTCTCGCTTTCTTTCTCACCACTTTCCCAATGGAGCTCTTTTATTCGGATTTTCATCCCCACGATATGTATATAACGAGATAGCTGAAATAAAAGTATGACGTCACTCGCAGAACGCGAAAACAGACTAGTTGCAAAAGAAAATTGACCCACCACAAGCCGTCTTAGCCACTGCTTACCCCTACGGGAATACTTCAGTCAAACTCTCGCATCAACTTGCTATATAGTTGGATATGATATGGCCCGTGCAGCGCTAGCAACTACGTGACAGTAACAAAACACAAAAATTGTAATAATTATTAGCGCACCGATCCACGACCAGCGTCGTTCCCTTTTTCAACGTCTGGCAGATGCTTTCCTCGCACTCCCATCGATTAGCAGAAAATAGCAGATGAACGGACTTAGGAGCGATTTCAATTTTTTTCAACAAATAGTCGTTAATAACTCCGCCGATGATTGTTGATCGATCTGGAAAAGAAAAGCGCAGTACATAGTAGTAATAGTTGTACATATTGGCATCAACTTTACACAGTAAAAGAAAGCGCATTTGAGAACGCGGTGAGAATGCCATCTGTTGTGAAATTTGAAAGTTACAAGCTGTTTCTACTGTATCCGCTTCGATTCTAATCTTTCGAAAATCGAATTGTCCACAATATAGATTTAATAGTTCTATAGAATTTTGAGGTATGAATGACCTTTAACTGTCTGTTAATCTTTCAAATATATTTGCCAGTAAACTACGCCTGTTTTCTTTTCTTTTTTATTATGATATGCAAGTTTTTAACGTCTTGCGTTCAATGATCGTAAATGTTTATTTGCAAATTGTTATCAACTTACCGGGAAACACTCGTTTTTCCGTGGAAATATTTCGTTTCTTGAGGGCTTCGAGTAGCATTGACACTTGCGTCGATTTTCCCGCCCGATCTAGTCCTTCCATAACGATGAAGGCTCCTCGCACCATTGTATGCTATTTTTGACGTTTAAAACACCAATTAAACTGATTGACTACTTCAAAGCGGCTGACTCTACAACAAATCAGCAATTTTAAGCTTATGTTACTCAATGTTGAATGTGATATAGCAGTAACAGACGCGAAAGCGTTGCAAATACCGGAAACACGCGCACAGCTCTATTTTATGTTTTCATTCAATATATTTGACAGCAGGTAAGTGCGATTAGTGTGGATCTCTACTTTACCGCGCTGTTATCCACCGGGTGTAGCATATATATATGGTATCATACGTGTGCGTCCGCTTATATTTGAGATAGATTATCTATATTTGTAGTAGTGCAAACAGTCTGTGCGCTAGTCAAGTAAAAGAAAACCGAAAAAATCCCATTTATTTTGCTGATAGTGCGTATTATTCAATGTTTAATCACCTCAGTGGGTTTCGAATTACGCTTAAAAAATTTAGTACAAGACCATTGGCTATTCATTGTAACAAAATTGCATTGGAGCTTGGAAAATTAGAGCGATTTTGTGCGCCCGGTACTTTTCTAACCTCTCGGTTTACCGCACTACCTCAGCTTTGTCGATGTCAGTGTTATTATTCCACAAATAAACTTTCGTCAATAAAGAGTGTAATCGACGATAAATCGAATTGCTACAGTATGCCTTCTATGACAAAATTCAATTATCCGAAAGCTCGTCGTGACGAGACTGCCGTTGATGTTTATCATGGCGTTGAAGTAAGTTTAAGGAATGCAAAAGCTCTTGCTGATCGTATAAACATCTTAAAATGCAATGATTCTAGGTTCCAGATCCGTACAAATGGCTTGAAGATCCAGATGCTGAAGAAACAAAAGCATACGTTGATGCCCAAAATGCAATCAGTTTACCATTTATTCATGCCTGTCCTAAACGCCAAGCAATTCATAATCGCCTAAAGCAACTTTGGGACTTTCCAAAATATTCATGTCCATCTAGAGAAGGAGACAAGTATTATTTTTTTATGAACACAGGATTACAAAATCAAAGGTAACTTTTGTTGAAGTAGCTTGTTTTGACTACGCGATAATATAAATTGTTTTTACAGTGTTTTGTATGTACAAAACTCCTTGGATGGAGAACCAAAAGTTTTTCTTGATCCAAATACCTTTTCCGATGATGGCACTGTAGCTATATCTGATGGACAATTTAGTGAAGATGGGAGCATATATGCCTATGGCTTATCATCTAGTGGGTCAGACTGGAAAAAGATTCATTTTATAAATGCTAAAACTGGCAAGTTATTTTTAAAATTGCTTGATTCATGATTCAAATATTAAATTTACCTCAATTGTAGGTAAAAAGTATCCTGAAGTATTGGAGAAAGTTAAGTTCTCATCAATAAGCTGGACTCATGATAATAAAGGTGTTTTTTATGCTTTATATCCTGACCATGCTGAAAAATCTGATGGTTCTGAAACTGTTCTCAATAAAAACCAGAAAGTATATTATCATAAAGTGGGATCACCTCAAACAGAAGATGTTTTAGTGGTGGAATTTCCTGAACACCCACAATGGAGAATGTTTGTATAGTTTCTTTAAACTTTAGGACAAAAGTAAATTTTTTTCAATATAATTTCAATAACTTGTAATGATGATTTGTTAACAGATCGGCAGAAGTTACGGATTGTGGTAGATGGCTAATTGTTTCACCACAGCTAGAGTGTCAAGATAACATGGTTTTCTTCACCAAGTTAAATCCCAATGAAGAAATAAAAGGAAAACTGAAGCTAACTGAAGTAATTGGTACTCTAGAAGCTGATTATGATTATGTAGCTAATTTTGGTACAAGAGCTATTTTTAGAACAAACAAGAATGCTCCCAATTACAAATTGATTAGTATTGATTTGGAAAATTTTGAAAAAGGTAATTGGTCAGAATTAATCGCAGAGCATCCACGTAATGTTTTGAACTGGGCTTGTGCAGTTGACGGGGATAAGCTTGTTGTCTGTTATCTGGAAGATGTTAAGGTATGTTACAAAAAAATTTTCTGGAAAAATATTAAGATTAGTTGAATAAAGAAAATTTCACTTTCAGAGTATATTAGGCGTATATAGTTTAGAAACTGGAAAGTTACTTAAGCAGTTACCTCTTGATGTCGGAACCATTGTTGGCTTTTCTGGAGACAAAAAGTATTCAGAAATATTTTACAAATTTACGTCGTTTTTAACTCCTGGAATTATTTATACTGTAGATCTTAAAAAAGAAGAACTGCCAAAGGTAATGAAATTTACTTTTAAATGTAGATACTTTTTTGTGTATATATGAAATAATGTACAATGTTTACAGGTGTTCAGAGAAATCAAAGTCAATGACTTTGATGCTAGCTTATACAAAACTGCTCAAATCTTTTATCCTAGTAAAGATGGAACAAAAATTCCAATGTTTATTATAACCAAGAAAGTAAGTTTTGATATTAAAATCTATATTTTTGAAATAAATATCAAAATTTTATTTCCATAGGATGTTGTATTAGATGGTTCGTCTCCTTGTTTGCTTTATGGATATGGAGGCTTCAATGTTAGCATTCAACCTGCATTTAGTGTCACAAGACTAGTCTTTTTACAGCACCTTAATGGTATTGTGGCTATTCCAAACATTCGTGGTGGAGGGTAAGTTTGACACATTTGAAATTTTGATGTTCCAACGTTGAAAATCTTTTGTAGCTGAAAACATTTTCAATTGTATTCTTAGGGAATATGGTGAAAAGTGGCACAATGGCGGTCGTTTTAGTAACAAACAAAACGTCTTTGATGATTTCCAATGTGCCGCAGAATACTTGATTGAAAATCGGTATACTTCAGCCAAGAAGATAATAATTCAAGGTGGCAGTAATGGAGGGTTGTTGGTAGCAGCATGCCTTAACCAAAGGCCTGACTTGTTTGGTGCTGCTATTGCTCAAGTTGGGTAAGATTGAAGAAATTTATATTCCTGCTAAAATAATATTCCTTTGTAATAATTAATCTCGTTTCATTGTAGAGTGATGGATATGTTAAAGTTTCACAAATTCACAATTGGATATTGCTGGACATCAGATTACGGCTCTGCCGATGATCCTGAGCATTTCAAAGCTTTAATTAAATATTCGCCTCTACATAACGTCAAACCGCCAAAAGACGGAGGTCAATACCCGGCGACGTTGTTACTTACTGCAGACCATGATGATCGCGTTGTTCCTCTGCATAGTTTGAAACTAATTGCAACGTTACAACACGAAATCGGACAATTGCCGCAGCAAACCAACCCTTTACTAATTAGGCTTGACGTCAAAGCCGGGCACGGTGTAGGAAAACCAACCTCAAAAGAGGTATTTCATAATTTTTAGTACTTTTCACTTTACATTAAGGGTGCACACAATTGTAATTAATCTATTTTTTCTTATTTCTGTCCTTCCTTTTCCTTTCACTGCAATTGTCGAAATTTCGAAAATTTTTAGATTGAAGAGTATACCGACATTTTGGCGTTTATAGTTCAAACGTTGAATCTTGATTTCAAAGAAGTATAAGTGAAACTGCATTTATATTTCGCAATTGATTAAAACAGAAAATATTTATTCTTGACTGCAAGATGTTACATTTCTTCATCGCAAGGTTCATGGATATTCTTGTCTATTCTTATACTTGTGAACGTAATGTATTGTTTGAGTATAGAAAGTTTTCGTTTTGCAATAAATTAAAAATTAATTTGATAATTCGCTTGTTGACTATTGCCGCGAGAAAAGAAAACGTCGACCTTGTTCCATATCCCCCCTGAAAATTAACAGGATTGAGAGTGAAGCATGCTTGCAGTAGACTGTGATATTGCAAGTCAAATAATATCGATACTCTTGCACACGCATCACCTTGAAGTAAGAAGGAAATTCGTTGCGGCCGAGACCTTGGAGCAATGTTTGACAACAATCGGATCATCGAGCAGAGACCAATTTGGAAGTTGCGGGTAAGTATATGATGTATCTTGGGACGCTGCACCTGGAGGACAGTGTTGAAAGCGCGAAGAGGCCAATGACCAGCAAAGCCCCCACTTGTCGAGTTTCGGTTTTCGCGAGTCAAGCACGTGCGCACTGGCAGCAACAGCAGGAGCACGCGTCCTATCCTATCATCGTCGTAGGCGCTGCTGGGCAGCTCTGTTTGTGTGTGGAGAGAGATAGAAAGAGAGAGAGAGAGAGAGAGAGAGAGAGAGAGAGAGAGAGAAAGAAAAGAGCGCGCCACTTGGTCCTCGAGTCCGTGCTCACTTTTCGGGCCGCCGGTGAGAGACGCGCACCGCCGCCCAGAACGACTCACAGGGAGCATTGACACCACCTGCAGGACAAGACTCTTCTCGTTAGGGCGGCGCACCATCAGAAAGGTATGCGTCCTCATGATTTATTTGCGTTATGAGTGCTAGTGCGCGGACGAAGATGTCGTTGCTTTTCGACGGAATTCTCGCCGACGCTCTCGATGTATACCGCGTGCCGGTAGCCCTTCCGATTGTTCAATTACACAGTGACGTCGAACATCGCGCGAAGACCGTTGGTAAACATTTTTGTCAATATTTTTGTGGCCGTGTTGTAGGCGTCGTGTTAGTGCAATTAACTAGCTCGATCCGGCCGTTAAAGTGCGTGGAAGTCCAAGCGACGCTATAATGATGCTATCTTTCGAAAAATCATCGGCCAATCGGCAATGCACTGGCTTCGATTTAACCGCCCAATCGCGCGTAAATCGAGGGATGTGTCGCTGACTCGTACGTATCGGAAGCAATTCAAATTACATAACGTACACAACAACTGAAATTTCGACGAGCCGATCGGTGTTCCGTAACCTTGACATTGAGCGTTAAAAAAAAGGGAAAGAGCTTGTTCTCACAAGTGCGTTTGCGTTTTGCAGGAATTTTACGTGCAGCACGAATCAGAACAACTCTTCAAGATGCGTCCGCTGGATCTGTTTCAAAAAGATCGCCCGCAGGAGACGCTGCTGAAGGAGCGACGGCTGGACGCTATGTCCGAGACGTCCGAGGGTACCACCACCACGGGCACGAGCATCTCCGGCAAGTCGAGCCTCGACAACGCCGACGATCTACGGGACCTGGCCGCCGTCCTCGGCATCGCCAACCCCGACGAAGTCGAGCAGGAACGCTTCCGCGTCGACCGCCGCAAGCTTGAGCAGATGCTGCTGGGTGAGTTCAACCCTTTGAGCGTTTCTCTTTTGCGATGTTCACCATCGAGCCTTCCTTCGCAACAACGTACTCGAGGCGCGAGCGAGTGTCAGTGGAGTAAAAGGGGAAGAAAGTTATACGTAATAGCGCAAGCGTACACTCGATGTCCTCTTGTTTGTAAATAACATTGGCAACCCTGAGAGGCGTATGAGCGCGTACGAATTTTCGATACGCCGGCAAAAACATCTCGTCGGGAATTTTTCCACTCGATCTTCGTCTTTGATTTTTGTCTTGTTTTCGGGCGAGCGTTCGGCTTGCTCATTGAAACGATGCAAACGGTGCGAGCGGCCGTCGACGGTGACCAGCGCTGTGAATTCGAAAACCGATCGATGTAACAAGTCGAACGAACTTGGCGCAACAGATGCTCCCGAACTCGAGGAAACACGGCAGTCTCGCTACAGGCCAGTGTGTACTCGCAAATACGAAATTAGTACGTCGTAAGGGAAATAGATGTTGACTCGAGGCGATTGTAGCATAATCGTAGAGCGCGCGATGTTTTGATGCGGAGTCAATGACCACGCCGGGATAACATGAAAATTTTAGTGTAGGTCGACGACATATACGCCGCTGCGAAAAGCCTCGAATCTGTTTTCAAATGTGCGAGCAACGGTGCCCAAGCACTTCGCTATAAATTATCAATGCTTTCGCGGGTAATAAAATTCAAGACTTTCCATCAGCTTTCCATTATTCCAATCGGTCCTGGTTAAATAATAGTCAAATCTTGTCCGCTCTCTTGTCCCTGCCATTGATATCGAATCTCTTTTATTCCCATTTGCATTGTTCAGAAAGTTATTAACAAAAAATTAAAAGAAAATACCATTTTTAGGGTAAGGAAATTCGAATAAAACGGGTTCAGTGTAATAAAATCGTTTGTGAGGGTGGAAGCGTAGACGAGCATTAGAGCATCAGGGATGCAAGGCTAATTGGTCTTGACGATTCGAAGAGCAGAATGCAGTGGGGGTATCTGGAAAGGAGGCTGAGCGTAAATTAAGCCATTGTTTGCGGGCTTGTAATCTAGGCATCGGTGATCGTCTGGCGTGGCATAGGTACATGGACCCGCCTTCTCCCCTCCCTTCTCTGACTGTAACTGCAAACAGTAGCCGAGCACGTGCAGCTCTGCAGACGACAGTTGCTGTCCGACTGTCAGCAGGCGCGCATCGGTGCACTGCCGGTTTAGTTCATTTCGGTTCGCCGAGCTGTCCGTATCGCTCTTGTGTTCGTCCGTGTTCATCCGTGTTCACTGTTCAACCATGTTCTCAAACATGCTTCTGTTCGCTCTCGCTGACATCCCATTGCTCCGAGGGATGAACGCGTTCGACCTGCGAGTCGAGCTTCATCCAGTGAATTTAAACATACCACAACAAGATCCCCCAACTATACCAAATACTTACCATACTGAGCCATTCACTTACAGTACTGTGTGAAACACTAATTCTACTGTGCCAAATACTAACTCTACTGTGCGAAACAGTTACCATAATGAGCCAAAAACTTACAGTACTGTACGAAACATTAACTCTACTGTGCGAAACAGTTACCGTGCTGAGCCAAAAACTTACAGTACTGTGCGAAATAGTTACCGTACGGAGCCAAAAACTTACCGTACTGTGCGAAAAAAATACCGTACTGTACGAAACACCTTTCGTATTGTGCCAAACAACTACTCAACTGGGCCAAATACTTACCGAACTGTGCAAAACACTTACGGTACTGTGCCGAACAACTACTCGACTGCGCCAAACTTTTGGCCAAGTGTGCTAAACAATTACCATGCTGAGCCAATAATTTACCCATCTGTGCGCCTTGAATTGTTCGCAGGTGACAGCACCGGCGAGAGCGCCGACATGTTCTTCCACAAGGTAAGACGCCCACAATCATCTGCTTATCACCGCGGTTTCTACGGAAAATCGCTATCGCGCTCGCTCTCATGACACTACGCGTAACGTATACGAGTGCGCGGCCGGTTGCGTAAACAGCGCAGCTGGAAATACGTGATGTGCGGCCGCTGCTCGGCCATTCGGCGTGGCGGTGGCGGCGGCGGCGGCATTGGTGGCTGCTGCGGCGGCGGCGCACGACGACGGCGACGACGGCGCGATTATTTATAGAGAGGCTTAGTTAAATACGGCTGCAGGCCCGACGAGCCGTCGTCGTCGTCGCGGCAGTACGGCACTCGGCGACGACGACACGTGTCCGGCGCTCGGTTGCGCCGATTATGCAAGCGAGCGCGCACTTTTGATGCAAATACCGGCCGCCCGTCCGTCCGTCCGCTCGAGCGCTCGGCGACGCCGAACAGCGCTGCGCTGTGCAGCAACACCCCGGCATACCGGTTTCGTCTCCGCCGCGGAGCGCCAAATCTAGCCACGCTCTCGGCTGGCCTCGCCAAATCCTATCGCTTTAGCCGCACCATGTGAGGACTCGACCGGCCACTGTAAGTAGCTCTTGCTTTTTCGTCGCTCCGACCGCGAGCGCGTTCGGGAGGGAAAACGAGCCGAGCGAACGACGCGCGAATCTCTGATTCGGCGTTGCGTAAGCCGCCGATCGACCTTAGAATAATATCGACAAATTGACGCTGCGCGCTTTTTTTCTTTTCGCGTTTCCTCGCCGTCGCCGCTAGCGCAACAATTTTCTGCGGCGATAATGGCGCACCAGCGGCGACTCGCCGGCGTCGATAATGGCCGGTCGTTTGTTTTTTGCGCGCGAGCCGGTCCGCGCGTCGGCTTTGCATCGCCGCAGTTATCAGCCTCCTCGGCAGCGCCGTCACCGGCGTCTAGCGAAGGTCGCCGCGCGACCGCCGTGCGACCGCCGTGCGACCGCCGTGCGCGCGCCCAGTCCACATCCGAGTCCGACTATACTTAACGCCATGCTTGCGCGCGTGTGTGTGCTTGCAGGTCATGGAGGATACCAACACCTACATCACATGGCCGAGTAGATTGAAGATCGGCGCCAAATCCAAAAAGGGTAAGAAACACATCTCACATCTGTCCGTGCCTTGCCTCGCGCGATACGAGCGCGTGCTTTATCGGCGTATACGCGCGCTGGCCGTGCGGCGTTGACGTATTTTTCCGCCGAGCGAGCGGTTCCTCGCGCCTCCTCGCGCCTCCTCGCTTTTCGGCGACTCGCGCGACACCTCCGCCGCGCCGCACGTTCCACGTGCTCCGTGGCTCGGACTTTCACTCGGGCGGACGGCATTCGCCAGTCGAGCGACTGTTCCTCTGCTCGGCTATGCGCCGATCCGCGCCTTTCGTTCCGCTCGTGCGTCACACCGTCCGTCCACTCGACTTTTCGCTCGGTGCGGCCAAACTTCGACTCTAATCGAGCCTCTGCACTTGTTTGCACGACGCGACTCGGCTTGCTCTTCTTATTTAATCTCCGCTTATTCCAGCTACGCGGCTCTCCCGCGCTCATCAATTACGTATTCCTTATCTCTCTGCCAACTCCGATAATGCCTCGCAAAAATCCTGCTATTATGTGTTTCCAGTGCAGTTAAAGTGTTCTCAAAGATTGTGCTAGTTGTGCCGCGGCTCCGTTCACCCGACGTTTCACGTTTATGGCCTCGATGCCAATTGCTAACGCGATATTTTTTCATGCAGATCCCCACGTAAAGGTCGCCGGTCTCCCGGACAACATTCAAATGGCCAAAGATCAAATAACCCAGGTTCTCGACACACGAGTGAGTATTCGCTTTCCAACTGGACACCCGACGTTGATCGCTCGAGTTGCATAACCGCTTGCTGATGCATATCTTTTTTCCTCGTAGCAAAATAACCGAGTGACGATGAAACTGGATGTCAGTTATACTGATCACTCCCACATAATCGGTAAAGGCGGCTTGACCATTAAAAAAGTCATGGAAGAGACCAGCTGTCACATTCATTTCCCTGACAGCAATCGCAGTAACCATCAAGAAAAGAGCAACCAAGTGTCCATCGCTGGCGACATGGATGGCGTCGAGAGGGCTCGAGCTCGAGTCCGGGTAAGTTCACGAAGTTACATCCAAATTCGAGCAATTTCACTCACGCGATCTGCCTCGTGCATTTGCAGAACCTGACCCCCCTCATCTTCTCGTTCGAACTGCCAGTCATGGGCAATTCGCAACTTGCTATGGCGGCCAACGTCACGCCGTTCTCCAACTCCCCATACATTGCCAAGATCGAGGAAAAGTACAACGTTCAAGTCATGTTTCGAACGAGACCCAAACTCCACGCCACCCTTGTCGTTATCAAGGGCTGCGAATGGGAAGTTTCCAAGGTCAAGGAGGCCACTGTACTCCTTATCCATCACATGTGCGAAAATCTAGCGGTAAGTTTATAGGGAATCGCGACTTTTGGAACAATAAACACATTTGGTCGTCCAAATTAATCCGCTCGTTTCATTTTTATTATAGAGTCAGATCCAAGTGCAAATGTCGATGGAGATTTCACCCCAACATCACAGTGTGGTGCTGGGTAATAAAAGCAATAATCTCAAGCAGATAATGCAACGTACCGGCACACAAATTATGTTTCCCGACGCAGGCGACCCAAACATACCAAGCCTGAAGAAGAGTAACGTCACCATTACCGGCTCCATCCACAATGTATACTTGGCGAGGCAACAGTTGGTTGTACGTATTTTTTAAGCTAGCTCATGCTCTCGGACAGTCGTAACTGTGATTGCCTAACTGACAATGATTTTGTTACACAGGGATCTTTGCCACTGGTTTTGATGTTTGATTTGCCGGAAAAATCTATCAACTCCGTCATGACCGACGATGTAGCACGGCTGATGCAAACTCTTGACGTTTACATAAACGTACGCCACAAGCCAAAACAAAGCACTCTATCGATTGTAGTTAAGGGCATCGAGAGAAATGCTAGTAATATTTACGAGGCTAGAAGACAACTCTTAGGTTTGGACGAACCTAAGGTCATTGCTGATATTCCTCAGACTTATCTCGCGCCCAACTCGACAAGCTTTATCTTACAAGGAGGAACTACATCGTTGGGCCCTTTCATCATCAACGGTTAGTACACGTCTCTCAAATGATCAGTACCGTAGTCCTTAAATTATTCTAATCTAATAATGATCTTTCTTGATCAATTGCCTTTTAGAAAACATCCCGAGTCCCAGCCTGAACTCAAATACTCCACCGCCTCCGCCGCCGCCGCCCCAGTCGCAGCCACCCTTCTGCGGTATCTCGACATCGTCGACGATGCCAACGCCATCAAATAATTCCATTAATTTCCCAGCTACGTGGGGGTTGGCTCCAATGCCACCATCCTTATTTTCTCCCCTTACCTTGCATCCAAATCACCTCACTCCGACTTATGCCTATCCGCCGCATCTCAGTCACCTGTTGACAATGCATCAGCAACAGCAGCAACAACAGCAGCAGCAACAACAACAGCAGCAGCAACAACAGGCCATGCACAATGCCAGCAAATTGATGGGACTCGGAGCACATATGCATACTGCAAACACTGCTATGTTCAATGGTTCTTTGCTGAGCGGCATGAAGAATGGCTTCTTTGCTCACGATAATAACAAGGAAGGTAGTGGTTAGTACACATTTTTCTTGTCCGCGCAGTTCAACCGAATGATTATTGTATTAATACTAATTTAAACTTTTTAGCATTTTCCTCCATCAGCAGCGTCTCAAGTTCTATGTCGAGCCCTGCTCTGAGTCCTCGAAATGTATCTCCAATCGATCCATGCACACAATTCGCTGATGTCAACACTAATATAGGTAAATAATAATTATTAAGTTGACTGCGATATGTTACGAGACCCTGATTGTCATTTTATTTTCAGACTTATCAAATGTACTTTCTGAACTGACTCTCACCAATAGTGCTCGGACAACGAGCAATGAACAGAAACCGACACATCTTGATATGCAGTCTAACCTGCAAGATTTTTCAAATATGACGTTCGATTTGGAACAAAAAAAACTTATGGCTGTCAAGGCCATGCAAATTAAACCGAATTCTAATGAATTTAGAGTTCCTACATCAGTTTGGTCAGGATATGGATTGAGTCAAACAACTCCTGCCATTGGAACTGTCGAAACTAACATTGTTGGTATCTTTTTTCTTGTGTACGATTATCTTATAGTTTGAAATCATATCGATATAAATTTTTTTTGCAGACTTCGTTCGATCAAACGTCGTCCTTATGGAAAGATTCGCCAACGTCTACGCAAGACTATGGCGTGACGTCCACCAAGGATGAGAGCTCCAATAACACCATCACTGGATTGACGTCTAATTACCTCGACCATACGTCTAGCTTCCAAATAAAAAAGATTACCACTCAAAATCACACCGATCTACCAAGTCTGCTCACCAGTGTGGGTCTTGAAAAATATATTCGTAAGTTTTTTCTTATATTGGCAATAATTTGTGCTTTGGCTTTGCATGCTTTTATTAATACACCCAATAACTTCCCCACTCCAGGCCTATTTACATCTCATGAAGTTGATATGGCTACATTTACCTCGCTTGCAGAAAAAGATCTCTGTGAGATCGGTATTGTCGCTTGGGGAGCTCGACGCAAAATAATGCTTTTAATATCTGGTGGGTACTTTTTTTTATGTCAAAAGTACATTATTAGTTATCCGTTCTACATACTTATTATACCAATTACAGAATTAAACAAACGAACAAGTTCGTTTTCCGGAAGTGCAGCTCCAGGAGCAGAAAGAAAATTAGCGGCATCGGGAACGCCAACAACACCCGTTCGAAAAAATAGTCTCGAAAGCAGTGCTTGGTAACTGTTTTTTCTTAATAGTGCGAAGGACGACTCTGTTACGTGATTCTTGTTCTATGTTATATATTTTGGAAGTTTGATGCATTTTTTGCTTTATCTTGCTTCACAGAGACACTAGTCCTACGATTATATCCTACTTCGATATTATTTTTTTTTCTTTTTTTTTGCACGCATTTATTCTTTGGAGCGCCCGGGAGGTGCGATTTAGGTGTAAGTGGCAGAAGAAAGTTTTTTTATTATTTCTGCTTATTGTTGTACGCACGCGTAACGATTGAATCTGTTCTCCGTTGCGCACGTTCACCTATCAACGATATTCGTTGCATCCACAAAGTGAAAACGAAATTATTGAAAAAAATAAAATTCTCGATTTGTCATCGAGAGACAAAAAAAATATAAAAAATATTGTTAAAGTGGATGCACGTGTAAATCCCTAAGAGAGAGAGAGAGAGAGAGAGAGAGAGAGAGAGAGAGAGAGAGAGAGAGAGAGAGAGAGAGAGAGAGAGAGAGACAGGCAGACAGGCAGACAGGCAGGCCGAGAGAAGGGAAAGAGCGAAAAAGAGTTTAACGAAGTGAGAGGGAGAGGGAGAGAGGGAGCGAGAGAGAGAGAGAGAGAGAGAGAGAGAAGAGAGAGAGAGAGAGAGAGAGAGAGAGAGAGAGAGAGAGAGAGAGAGAGAGAGAGAGAGAGACGGACAAACAGACATAGAACACAGATGCATTGACGCTGCGAGTATGCGTGACATATTAAGGCGCATGGGATTGTGCTAAATACGTCAAAGTCGACTTTGAATTACGCATTTGCGTATTTGTCTGTGATGATGAGAGAACGTTCTAGTTGTTATACTACTAATAAGATAAGAGAGCTTATTCCTAAAGAGTTAAGGGTAGAATTTAAGAATAATTAGCGGTGTAGGCAAACCAAACATGAATATTCAGCAGACTTATTAAAATCTTGTAAAACAACCATAAAGCGTCACAATTTCTGTGTTCTCGTGCTACTCTGTGCCCTTCTAGAAGGCTGATCAATTTTTTTTTCTTTTTTTTTGGAAATGTATTCTGGAATTCATTGACCACGGCATTTATCATCGTTAAAGTATCTAAATTATTTATAATTTATTGTCGACGAATTACAAGTGTTTTTTAAAATGATGTAAAAGCCGGTATCACTTTGATTTTTAATATGTATTTATCAGTACTTGTTACTAGTATAACTTGAATAGTAATATTTTAAAGGACCAAAGTATTACTCTTTTAACTCTTTCTTTACTGAGCTCTCTCTGTCTCTTGTCTTTTTTTCACACATGTACGCGCTTTAACACGCTCAGCATTATTTATACTTCTATATTATATATACACAAGTTGTTATAAATTATTGAATTTTAAAATATTTTTTTCAAATTTTTTCGAATGTAACGTTAGATGATGCTCACGTCAAAGTACATTGTGAATAACTTTGATGTTAAAATTCTGTCGTTTATGCCACAAAATAAATTTTGGAGCAGAATTTTTCGAGCATACCTAACGAATGATTTTATCGCTGAGAGTTGTTGACTAAGCTTGTACAGTTTTAAGCGTTAATCACTGTTGTTAAAGATTATTGAAATAATTATTGAGATGTTTCCGATCGAATTACGCGTGAACTTATTGCTCGTTAGTAACATAAAAGTGTGTCTATGTGATTGTTTGCGGACGTACTAGCGCTATTTTTTCTATTGGATAATTAATTGTTCATGCAAAAACAGCTGCTAAAGTTTCAAAAACAGTTATAACAAGTCCTGGATCATGTATTACTAATATGAATTTTTTTTTGTAAAAGTAGAGAATTGTTTGCTCTGATGTGCTTTTCGTTGAAGACTTGAGTCTGGAAATTAATTATATGCAGGAGTAGAATCAAATTTATAGAATAAAAATAATTAAGTATTAGCCTTAATGAGAGACTATCATTATTGAAGTATGCAATAATAGTACTGAGTTTATTAATAGTACATACAAGCCATAATTGTAAAAATTTTCATGTTATATAATAATGATTAGTTGTGGCCTACACCTATGTGAACCAACTGGAAATCTTGAGTAAAGCATTTTACAAGACTTGAAATGATATTTTAACAAAATATAATTACATATCCGATAGATATTTTGGTAAGCTCTCAAAGTAATGAAATGATTTGCATGAAATGAATAATGTGAGTGTATGTTTTTGTATGCCTGCTTGCCTACATGAAAACTTTACTTAAACATGATGTTGAATGCTTATATTATACCTTATACCTTTATTGATAATGAATGGTTTGATAGAATTAAAAACAAAAAAACATTTTTGTATCATTATTTTTAATAAAGTCATGAATTTATATAAAATAATTGAATATTCAACTTTTCATATTTGAGGAAAAAAGCTCTTCGTTACATACAGGACAATGATATGGATCTACCATGATAAAGAGGGCTTCTAAACAATAATAACAAAAGACATGAGAACAACCAGCCCATTTTGGTAAAATAGGTGATTCATTACAATATCCACACAAAGATGTCTTATTTAATCGATAAGATATCACAATTTTCTTTTCGTTTTTTTTTGGTATCCACAGGCGATTCCAGAATTTTTGAAAAAGACGTAAGTCTATCATGGGTAAGCTTATTGTAAACAACTCTATCAATCCGTGCCATAATAATTCTCTTGTCATATATGAATAGCCAATAGAACGGGGTTTATTCATTGTCGAAGATTGATTATGAATATTTAACAACTTTTCAATAAAGAGAGGTTGATTACCCAGGTGTAGAAAAAAGAAAGTCCAAATAAAATTTAATAAATGACAAAAATTGTCAATGTGCTCGATATAACTTCTGTATTTACTTCTTTTGTAACTAGATAATCTTGCAAACTTGGATAGAATAAAGTTTTCATTAATCAAGCGATCTCTCAAGTACTCTGGCACAGCCATTAGTGCAAAGAGGACTATAGCTTTTCTTCTGTCCAGATTTCTGTACGATAAGTTTAGTAGTCGTTGACCAAATGTAGAACTATTTGTCTTCAAAGAGAAGTTCCATATAAAATATTTGACAAGTACATCTATCTCTGGTCTCCATTTAACTATTTTGCCAGGGGCAAAGTATTTGGTTATTTCATTAACTTGAGTTCTCAGCACTTTATAAATCTCTTGATCCAGTTGTACAGCATCTATCTGATTGATGCGAGAAACAAATATAGATTTACTCATGTTGCTAAATTTTCAACTGTTAAATTGTTACTCAATTCTTCGATTGTAGAGGCAGTTGAAACGCTGTGTCCTACGATTCGGTTTGGGAACAATTGAGTACTAACGTTGGAATTAATTACGTCGGAATATCATTAAGTTAAAATTATTTTTGTTAAATGTACGCAAGTACCCATATACTTGTCGATTCACTCATTATAGCAGACGATGAAACTGCATTACTATAAAATAATAAGTATAATGACGTGATGGTGTATGACGTATGTATATCTTTTTAAGGTTACGTTTACACACTAGTCCATGTATACATATAATACATATAATTAATGTTTGTGGTACAGAAAAAAATGTTTTCATTCTACATAATTATATTCATCACGCCAGCTGAATCAGAATTGATTACCATTTTTGATAACTAAAAAAGAGCATTATAATTAGCAGTGAATTTTATATCGAGAACAATGAAGAAAAAATTTGTAAAACGCAGTTGATGAAAAAGTTATTCAAAGAAAAAGTAGCAGCATCTCTCTAAAATGGCCTGATTTACGAGTATCGATAAAATAAAAAAAGCAGTTTCTGGAGAAATCCTCTTAGTAAATCCAAGAGAATCGTATATATGGGGTCGCTTATCAGCCGGAATCTAGGTTGTTCGAAAAAGCCAGTTTTTAGCGCGCTCTTGGCTGCGACCAATAACGCGCTAGTTTCGACGCAGCGCTCGCGCGCGAAGGCGTGTCGTCGATCCCTTTGGCGCTTTACTCGCTTTTTTTTTACAGGCGGTACACATACACGCACACACACAGATGCCGCGGCAGCTCGCGGCTCGTCAAGTGCGCAAGTGCACGAAAGCGAGATGGAGCGACGGAAGCAGCAGCAAGCGGAGCAGTGCCGTAGCAGCAGTGAACGGAACAGTCAGTCTGAAGCGGAGAAGTGGTCGTGCGCTCGCCTGATAACGTCGCCGTCGAGAAGTTCGCTGAGAGAAAGAAAGAGAGAGAGAGAGAGAGAGAGAGAGAGAGAGAGCGCGGAGCAAGAGGGAGAGCGAGACATCCACGGCGAGTTCTCGAGAAAGTGCGGGCGGTCGGAGCGCGAGGAAGCAGACATGGCCATATGATGGCTGCGACTGCTACTCGGTGCTGCAGTGACGTCAGATCGAGGTGCTGCGAGTGGTGGCCACGGCCGAGCTCGTCCTCGTAGCTCGGATCCGTGCTGCGCGCGAAGCACGCTGGAACTGTAAGTAGTGGCCGGCGAATCCGAGCGGATCCCTCGGCCTTCCCTCCGGCGCCGCGGCTCACGTACGTGTCTACGTAGTGGCTGCTACCGCTGCTTCAGTGTGCAAGTGGTGAGAGTGCGATAGTGCGCGCGCCGCAAGACGAACAAGAGCGAGCTGCAGTTGTGCAGGTGAGAGGCTTGTGCGTAATTACATAATGATCACTCGCGCATCCTCCCTCGCACGTTAGCATTGTCGATTCTGGAGCAGCCAAGCGAGGGAGCGAGGTGGCAGCCGCGGAGCGGTGTTGTCGGTGTCCGCGGCCGGAACGGCGCGGCTAATGAGGCTCGTAGTTTGCGCAGCGGTGCTCGGCACGGGGTCGTCGTAGGTGTGCGAGTGTGTGCGCGCACGCGACCGCCCCTTGGCCTCGCGGGCCAGCCGTCGTTCGTCTTCGGCATCGCGGCCCCGCGACGAGAGCGGCGCGAGGGAAACAAACACACGGCCAGGCGGCGGCGCGACAGGCGTGCGGCAAACGGGAGCGAGCGCCAACTCGCGACAGGTAGACCGTGCTGAGGTTAGCTTCCGACCGCCCGGCGGATCGAGCCTATCGGTCGATCCCGCGCAGCGCGTCGCGGCACGTGCATCGATCGCCGCGCGGCGCTGGGGGCTGCGCGCGATCCATCGATCCCGCGTGCCGCTGGCGTCGCGCCTCTGAATTATTCGGTCGGCGGCTCGCGGAGCTGCGCAGGTTAAGAGCAGCGGAGGCGCCGAGCCGGGAAGTCAGCCGAGGGAGAGAGAGGCGAGGCGCGGCGAGGCGAGGCGAGACGAGACGAGGCGAGGCGAGGCGTGGCACGGTATTGATCGTTTACGCGCGCGACTCGCACCGCCGCCAGCGAGCCTCTCTCCCTCCGTCTCGCGCGCCGACGTCACGGCCCCTGCCGAGCCGCTGCTGCAGGTCCGCGTCCCTCGCAGCATCGCTCTCGCGCTCCCCTCGCGGCTCGGCGCGCCTACGCTCGGCACTCCGCTTATCTAGCCGCAGCGCCATTGTCGGCCGCGGCGCCGTCGACACGTGCAGCAGCCGCGCGCCGAACTTTCGCGGGGAGCTTTAATTGCAGTCGCGGCGCGTCGCCCGCCGAGGCTCGAGTGCCCGAGCGGCACGTGCCGACGGCCACCTAACGTCGTTACGCGTCCACTTCGGGCGCGCCGCGCGAGGCATTCTTCCGGCTTCGCTGGGCAAGGCCTCGAGCGCTCGCGGCCCGGTCGACCCGATGCCTATCGATGTCGGCCTCATTCCGCCTCGACTAGTCGGCTGCCGCGCCGCAGCTATCGCGACCGCGCTCAATTTCCGAATGCCCGATCGGCCGCCCGTCCGCCCAGCAAATGTTTTCCGCGCGCCACTCGCCGTTTCTCGCCACCCTTGCGACACGAGGGCCGTTCTAATGAGCAGCGCGCGCGATGCAAATTTTATTCTGCACTTGACATCCATTCGCGAGCAACAACCCATCCGAGCGTGGTCCTTTGTTATTCGAGCTCGCCGAGGAGCTTTCCAACTAAGCGAAGCCGTGCTCGACGCGCGCAACGAAATAGGTCCGCGCGGCCACTGCAATTTCCCGAGCTCTTGCTTCGAGCAAGGGCTAATTGGGCGAGGCTGCAAAAAATGTGCGCCGTTGCGCGCTTTTCGCCGCCTCCGAAAACTCCCTCTCTTGCACAAGCTCGGCGAAAAGAAAATAAGCAGCCCCGGAATTTATCGCGTTCCGCGCTCGCTTGCGAGGGTCGCAAGCTTTCCGGGTGGGGCGAAGCCGAGCAAGGCAAAGCAAAGCAAGGCAAAGCGCCACGGCAGCCTGGACGAGGACTGCAGCCGGCGGCCTTCCTGTGCCACGTCGAGCGAATGGGCCTGGCCGGCCCGCCGCTCGCAACCTCCCTCGTCGTCCGATCGCGACCGCGAGCGCCGCTGGCCGCCGATGCGCGCTGCTCCGGGCCAGGAATAGGCACGACGTCCGAGGCAGGCTGCCCGATTGGATTGACCGGCAAATCTAAGCGCCGCGTCGTCTCAGCAGTGGAACGGACCAACTCGTCGCGCGCTCTCGCACGCGAAGTATGCTCGGCAGGCAGGAGCAAGTCGCCACCACTGTTTGCGCTAATTGGCGGCTTCGGAGTCATTCGCGCGAGTGACAGGGAAAGGAGCGAGAGCCTCGAGGGAGCACCCGCTACTGGCATTGTATTAGCCTCGCGTGCGACGTCGTCGCGCGAGAGCGTAGGCACGACAACGTCGAAAGGGGAAAGGGAGAGTGGCGCGCGGGCGACAAGGGCGGACAAACTCGGAGGGGACGCAGACGCACCGTGGATCATCCGAGCTTGGATCGGCTGGCGTCGATCGAGTGATCTTGGGGGCGCGAGATTGGCGGACGGCCACCGACACTTCCCGCGCTCGCTCCGGTCTCGATTGCTGCTTGGCTGTCGTCGCGGACGAGACGGAAGAGGCCGCGCGACAGCCTCGAACGAAAGTCCGAGCGAAACAAGGCCGCGACGCGGGCTCCGCTCTCCTCGTGGCGCGTCAGCGCGCTCGAGCCGAGCCTCTTTTCAACTGTTCACCCGGTCTTTCGTTCGCTCCGGCGTTCGCTGCATCAGCCGAGACGGCAACGCCGCTACAGAGGTGGCGGTCGAGCCGGCGGGAGGGGTGCTCCGAGACAGGGGTAGCGAGCGCCCGTGGGCGGACAACGGCCTCGCTGTGTCCGGTAACACGCGCGCGAGCACCGAGGACGGAGGTAGAGCTGGCAGTGGTCGCTCGCCGTCCCCGGCATCGCACTGCTGATCTTCGCCTCCTCTCACGTGTATTGACCGCGGTCGCGCGCTCTTCTTTTGCAGATTCTCCCAACTGGGTCGGCGGCGCTTCCACTCGCTGCTTGGCACACACAATGCTGCTCGTTTTATGGTAAGTGCAACGCGCGCGCGCCAGACGCGCGATAGGCGGATTGGAGTGCGGCTTTCTCGCCGGAACGCTGCCAGCGAGAACTAGCGGTCGACCCTCTTTTTGCCCTCCGCCTTGGCTCCGGATCCGACAGATCGAGCGCGAGCTGCAATCAGATTACCGCTCGCGGCACCAATACCGTGCGCCGACCGAACGGACAGACGGATGGACGACCCTTTCCGTCGGAGTTCCGCATTTGCACTGAAAAGGAGTAAACGACTTGTTGCGCGTGACTGCAGGGAGCTCTGTCGTCGACGGACGAATCGTCCTTCGATGGTCAGCTCGCGACGGCTCACCGCGCGACAAGGAGCTCGCGACGGCTCACCGCGCGACAAGGCGCTCGCGGCGTGTCGCGTGCGACTAGCCTGCGGAATCGGGAGGAGGGGGCGCCGCGCGGTCGCGGACATCGATCGGTGCACCGCCTCGGAAGGGCCAAGAGCTAACGGATATCGGCGCTTTGCTGGCGCAGACGAAGGAGCGGTGGTGAGGTGAACGCGCCGGCGGCGAGCGAGCGGGAGCAGGCGAAGCGGCGGCGGCGGCGGCAGCAGCAGCAACAACAACAGCAGTACTAGCACTAGTCTCAGCAGCAGCAACAGCAGCAACAGCAGCAACAGCAGCAGCAGCAGCAGCAGCAGCAGCAGCAGCAGCAGCAGCAGCAGCAGCAGCAGCAGCAGCAGCAGCAGCAGCAGCAGCAGCAGCAGCAACAGCAGCAGCAGCAGCAGCAGCAGCAGCAGCAACAGCAGCAGCAGCAGCAGCAGCAGCGCAAAACTCGAGCCGGGTCGGAGCGCAGGCAGCACGGCGGCGGCGACGCCAGCAAAGGCAGCAGCGGTGCCGGTGGTGCCGGGGCTAGCGGCGGACGCGGCGACCGAGGCTGCCGAGGAAGGTGACGGCGGCGCCGGCGAGGCGGCCGGGGCCCGCGGCGGCGTCCGCGAGGACGACGAGTTGCCGCTGCAGGAGGCCGAGGAGGCCGCCGAGGAGGAGCGCCCGCGGGCCTTCGTGGCGGCCGGCTCGAGCCGGCAGCAGCACCAGCACCAGCAGCAACAACAGCAGGCGGCCAACCACGCGGCGAGGCGCATGCCTTACCTGCAGCCCACCAGCCAGGACATGAGCGCCTCGCGTGCCCAGCACGCCGCCATGTTCTACACGGTCGAGGTCGGCGACACCAAGTTCACCATTCTCAAGCGCTACCAGAACCTCAAGCCCATCGGCTCCGGGGCGCAGGGCATCGTCTGGTGAGTCTGCCGCCGCCCGCGTCTCCGCCGCCCAATATACCAATCGCTCCCTGCTTTCTGCTTTCAGCGCGGCCTACGACACCGTCACCGCGCAGAACGTGGCCATCAAGAAGTTGTCCAGGCCTTTCCAGAACGTCACCCACGCCAAGAGGGCCTACCGCGAGTTCAAGCTCATGAAGCTGGTCAACCACAAGAACGTAAGTTCCGTGAGCTCGGCCCACTCGCTCGCTTTGACCGCTGCCTTAATCTCTGCAGATCATTGGCCTCCTGAACGCCTTCACGCCGCAGAGGTCCCTGGATGAGTTTCAGGACGTGTACCTGGTGATGGAGCTGATGGACGCCAACCTCTGCCAGGTGATCCAGATGGACCTCGACCACGAGCGCATGTCCTACCTGCTCTACCAGATGCTCTGCGGCATCAAGCACCTGCATTCCGCCGGCATCATCCACAGGGTACTCCGTCGCCCAGCTACGCTGGCCGTGCCGAGCTCGCGGCTGACCCGTTTTCCTTCTTGCAGGATTTGAAGCCCAGCAATATCGTAGTTAAATCCGACTGCACCCTCAAGATACTGGACTTTGGTCTCGCGAGGACGGCGGGCACAACCTTCATGATGACGCCCTACGTTGTGACAAGGTACTACAGGGCGCCCGAGGTCATCCTCGGCATGGGCTACAAGGAGAACGTCGACATCTGGTCGGTCGGCTGCATCATGGGCGAAATGATTCGCGGTGGCGTTCTCTTTCCCGGTACCGACCATATCGACCAGTGGAACAAAATCATTGGTAGGTTGCGCGAATTGATAAACAACGCGCGGAAACATAACTGAATAACGCTCGCTCTCGCAGAGCAATTGGGAACACCAGCACCAGAGTTCATGCAGCGGCTGCAACCAACCGTGCGAAATTACGTGGAGAACCGACCGCGCTATCCTGGCTATCCCTTCGAGAGACTATTTCCGGACGTCCTCTTTCCCTCGGACTCCTCCGAGCACAATCGCTTGAAAGGTAAGGATTTTTCGATAGCACACTCAGCCCCCTACAAGCGTATCGAGCCGGCGCCCGCAATCTTGACATCGGATCTCTCGCCTTCCCCTACCCCCTGTTCCGCTACGCTCCCTATGCTCACCGGCGAATCGCCATCTCGTTTCACAGCGAGTCAGGCCAGGGATCTGCTATCGCGCATGTTGGTCATCGATCCGGAGCGGCGCATCTCCGTCGACGATGCTCTACTTCATAATTACATCAACGTTTGGTACGACGAGGGCGAAGTCAACGCGGTGAGTGTCTGTCCCAGTTGCAAAGTCGCGCGCAAAGTCGAGCGGACGTGAGCAATTTTCTGTGTTCACAGCCTGCTCCGGGGCCCTATGATCACAGTGTCGATGAGAGGGAGCACACTGTCGACCAGTGGAAAGAGCTCATCTACCAAGAGGTCATGGAGTACGAGACCAGCCACAACACCGCGTCCGCGTCGCAGTCGCCCGACACCGCGGGCTCCCGGTAGATACACGGCACCATGCCCAATCTGTACCAACAACAAGTAACACGTCCTTTCTACTTTCGGACGTCGCCGCGGCGGCGCTTCGCAAGCCTAAACGGCTCAACTTTAAGAAAATATTACCAGTCCCATCTTACAATTAAGGGGTAATACGAAGCAGATCCATACCCACAAGATCTGTCAAGAGTGTGCAAGTGTGTGCAAGGTAGCGGATTCTTGTCCGCTTCGCGTAAACAAGGTTCTCATCAATGTCCCTTCTTCGCCAACGGGACAAATCATTCTGTTCCCCGACGACACTAATTACAGCGATCGAGCGAGTCTCCATCGATTTTTTTTCGCATTTGTGCTGCGATCTTGTCAATTTATTTGTTATTGCAGACCAAACTATTTCGTCTAGAGTCAGCGTCGCCGGCATTCCACGTTTTTCTTATTTTTTTCAACAATGATGAGGAATTTCTAGATTGTTCATTTTCAAGATTTTTTTCGATCACTTGCTTTTAACTGCTGCCTACTAAGCCAGCATTACCTCATTACAGATATTTTGCATTTTTGTTTATTTGTTTCTACGTCAATTATATAATTAAAAAGTTTTGTGCACCTATAAACACTAATCATTTTCGAACGTTTGAGTACGTTTTATCAACGTTTTGTCTGTAAAACTCTGTAGCGCGAAGCGAACAATGTAAATATTTGGAGGGAGATTGAATTACGGTGTGCAATATGTAGTTCAAGGCTTTATCACTCTGGAATGCATGATACTAAAGTGTCATTAAAATGATGATGCGGAAAAAAATAATTATGAAACACCCTGTATTTTTATACAAGAGCGTGTTTTCGATAAAACTACGTCCAAGTACTTTAAAAATATATATATACAAAAGCCTGCTGACGCGTGTCTGTAATAGTCGAATCGCATTTTACGTCGTAAGTTGTGTAAATTTTACCGAACCTATGCGCATTCGCAGCGTTGTTCTATACCGGAAAATGAGGAAGATTAATAATAAAATTTGAGAAAAAAATAATGATAGCGATGCTGTGACAATAGGGGAAAAGGGTGAAATCATACAAAAGCTCCTCGATAATGTCAGCAAATTGCTACGCGCAAATCAGAAACGTATCCAAGCAGAATAATATACTCGATTAGAGTGTCTAGTCTCTGCATATCGTCGTGGTTCTATATAGTTATCTTGGTTTTCATTAATTGTGTCTGTAGAGAAGTAATTTAAGCTGTACCTTTCTTACCTTTTTAATCTCTCTCTCTCTCTCTTTCTCTGTCACTCATTCTTGTACTATCTCAGTCTATATACTTTTTATTTTATTCTTCTCATCTTTTTTGCCTCTCTCTCTCTCTCTCTCTCTTTCTCATTCTCTCTCTCTCTCTCTCTCTCTCTGACTCTATCTATCTATCTATCTATCTATCTATCTTACTATCTATCTATCCATCTATCTATCTATCTATCTTATTTACTTCTCGTGTGTAATTGAAGAAAAAAATGAAAAAAAAAATGAAAAAAATGATACTTTTGCAAGGCGAAAGTTATAGTTTTTTGTTATCGAGTGCCATGCGTTGACTTTATTATTATAGTAGCAAATTTGGTTTTGACGTTGCGTCATTGAAACTTATACTCGAATAAATAAGAGCGAACAGTAGTTTGGTACGATATTCGCGCCACAACTGTCGTTTTGATCGCGCACTTGAGAACTCACAGACGTGTATAATAATAATTGGAAAACTGAAGTAATCAATTAGACAGCAATGGTGTAGGCTGAATTAGATATTGCAATATTATTTTGCAGTAAATAAGTGTACCTAGATTAGCGCGCAAAGACAAGTAACAAATAGTTCAACAGTTAGCTGCGTAGATAGTCAAGTAGTGAAAAACAGTGGTAAAGAGCATGGACGTGTGAGCGAGAGAGAGAGAAAGAGAGAGAGAAAGAGAGAGCGAGAGAGAGAGAGAGAGAGAGAGAGAGAGAGAGAGAGAGAGAGAGAGAGAGAGAGTAAAGAAGAGAGAAAACACGAGAAATGGAAGCTAGAGTAAAAAGAGTGAGAGAGAAAACGTAATTTAAAACAAGCGAACGATACCTTGAAGTTGCAAAAACGACTGCTAGTGTCGCGCCATCGTGCAAAGTACGCAAGATGTGCGTGCGTATCCGAGTGAATTCGTGTGCGTGGGTGTGATTGTGTATACGTTAATTATTGCGATTGAGAAGAAGAAAAAGAAAACGTGCAAAAATATAAACGATGCGAGCGTTAAATTTTTATTTTTCACGACGATAGTTATGTGAATATATTGCTACAGTCCGATCCAAATAATCAAGCTTTTGTAACACTCGATATAATAAAGTAACGATTATACCGCTAGTTATGTAATTACATTTTTTTTTTCACTGCACACATCATTCGGTCAGTTACTTATGTGTTTTGATTTTGTCGGAATTCGTTATCCGAACAATCAAGCTAAATTAGACCAAAAGCGCATTTTATGCACCGATGGGAACACATGATATCGATAAATTCACGGGTTATTGTTAGTCTCGGGGGCACGAAAGTTCTTGAGTTGTGCTTCGTCGAGCCGGAAGAACTGATACGAGCCAGTAGGAAGAACTCTCCAATAAGCATTTTTTCAAAACTTACTTGGAATGTCTCTTGATAACACTGAAAGTTTATACACTGCTTTAAGAGACTTGAAATATTTGCGTGCCAATGTGAATTCACATTGTCAAGCTCGGGACGGATGTAGATTGGAGAGATAAATGCTGTTTTTTTCGTGGTGTTGCAGTTTTTTTCTTTATTATATACTGAAACTTTACAAGATTTGATCGTCTTGCTTTCTTCTTGTTTTTTCTTTTTTGCAAAAATCAACGCACTGTGGCGGAGAACGCGCTTAAAGTCAATAATCGCGTCGTACAGCCACGCTCCAAACATAACAGATTTGTCGTTGAAAATGACGAGGAGGCAATTCGTTCGCAACGATTTAATCACAACGAACTCCGGGCATCATCACAATCACAGCACCGACGTAACATAGGCGAGCAGCATTTCTGTGCGCAGCGGCGAAGGGCCGTCGTCGCCGGCCATTTGCGCTCCTGCGATTGTTCAAAATTCACTACAGATAAAACTTAACGTCTACAAGGCCTGGAGAGAAATGAGGCAACGGTAAACACGCGAATGAGAGAATGCTCGCCGAGATTTCTAACACAATGCAGAAGACGAGAATTGTGCGCTTTTGCGCGTGTATCTGCAATGTTTGTTGTCTTTGATATAACATCATTTATGCGTCACGTCTTTCGGGGGTCATTTCTTCGTGCGAGCTAGTATTTTGTGCCTCCGAGTTGCTATGCGCTCGATGATGATGAAATCAGTAAGCTAAAATGCTCGTATGGTATGTGTTCTGAAAACGGGCGCCGTGGCGCTTGTCTTCCTTCCAATGTACCTCGACCGTTTAGATCTTTCTTCCCGGGTGGTTCGGTGCACTACGAAGACGAGGGATGAGAAATGACACAAATTACTCGGCGACGCGTGGCGGTCTTTTCTTAGAGCAGAGCCGGTGCAATTCGCGAAAGCAGCGAGGGAAATGGAGGAAACTTAGCCAAGAGTAAATGCGCTTGGTATACAATGGTGAAAAAAGTGCGCGTCAGTTTTTCGTCAAAGTAAAGGCACTTGGGAGACAGAACATGTATATAATAATGGCTTACACGTATACTTTCATTCATTATGCGTCGACGTGAAACAAACGCTAAAAAAAAGAACTCGTACAAAACGAAAAATCGCTGGAGATTCGATCCTACATAGCGACCACCTCGCTTATCACCTACATCTCGCTTAGGAAATCATTAATATACACTTAAGCATCATTAGGACTCTTAATATCTATATAATGTACTTGCAGTACAATAGTACCAATAGTAATTAACAATACGAGATAAATATTGGAGTCTATCGTCAGAACGCTTCGTCTATACGTTATGTCGTTGACAAATAAAACAAACCAAAAACAAAAAAAAAGAACATAAACAGTTGATTAAAAATAGCAGTAAAGACTGTTTTTTGGCACACGCTTCCACGCCTGTCATTTGCCATTCCCGCCAGAACAAATTGTACACGGATATAAAATTCCAAACAAATGTCGACGACAACAACAGTCGGTTGGTAGGTAAAATGAACGAACGGTTGGGCGAGCGAGTGCACGCGCAGATATGGCCGAAGAGATTGAAGAACAAATGCATCGTCCGGAAAATCTCAGGAGACTGTGGAAAAGGTGAGTAAGGATCGCGGGAGAAGGAGGAAGAGCGAACGCTAGTCCGTCTGCCCGCGCGCGCGCGCGCACGCAACGCGTGCAGCTATGGGTATTTGAGAGGCAGAGACGGAGACAGGAGTGGGAGGGGGGCTCATTAGCGCCCGGATCGATCGAGGCTCGCGACACCACCGGCCCGTCCGCGAGTTCACCCGACGATCCAGGGTAACCATCAGCTCGGCTGGTTAGGAGGCGTCAGCCGCACCAAGAACCACGTGTAGAGCTTGGGCTTCTTCTTCACCAGCACCTCGTACTGCAGATTGCTCAGGCCGTCGCTGACGAACCGCTTCTTGCCCGTCTTCAGGAACTCGTACCTACAACACCGACAGACTCGTCACGTACATGCATTCGACGAATGCCTTTCTTTCTCTCTCTCTATCTCTCTCGCGGAAATCCCGGCACGCGGGAAAACACGCCGTCGCGCGACGTCACGAGCTTCGGTGCGAAACGACAAAAACCAGACGGAGTCGTATCGAGGTCAGCTCGCTGACGCGCCGCGTCGGCCGATTAATGAAACGGCGCAGTTTCGTTGCTCGATGTCGATGACTGCAGGCTTTGGCGGTCATAAAGCTGAGCGCCGCGCGAAGCAAATCGCGTGAGCAGACAAGAGAACGATATTAATAGCAGCTCGATAGGTGGTTAGCGCTATGCTGGGTCTTTGGTTTCCGCGTCGAAAATAGAGAATCTGCGAACCGGGCGGGAGGCCTCGGCTACCTATGTTTAAGCGAGCGTAGGGAGGGCGGCAAAGTGCACTGACCGTTTGGGGTTGGCCTTTTCCTTTTTGTGGGTGAGCATCTTATAGCGCGCGATGTTGGCCGGGTAGCGGGATATGTGGAGGCCTCGCGTCTTGATGCGGTTGGCCATGTCGTCGTCCTCACCGCCCCAGCCCCAAAACACGTTGCTGAAGCCGTTGACCAGGCGAAAGTGCTCGGTGGTCATGGCTGAGACGCCGCCGAAGAGGTCGCTGTAGGGCAGCCTGTCGGCAGAAAGGAGCGTGAGGCTCGGTCGCTCGCCACCCGCAGCGCCGGCGCCGGTACTTGCCTGTACATGAACTTGTCGACGGCCACGGACATGTGCCTGGGCTGCTCGGGACAGCTGTATAGGTTGCGATCGTCCTCGGGCAACAGGTCCACGTCATGGAAGACGAAGCAGTCGAAGGGCCGCTCCTTCAGGGCCTCCACGTAGCCGACGTTCATTAGCATTGCTCGGTTGAACTGGCCGTTGCCTTAAATACGAGGGTGGTCCGATAATTACTTAGCCTCCGTGGTAGCCGTTTTTGGAGCACCCGGGCGTGGCTCGTCAAAAACCGACGTGCGACCACGTTGAAATTCGTTAAACAAATTTTTGACGGCCGCGATCGAAGGAGAAGAGTCACCGTACACAGCATCCAAGCGCTTTTTGATTTCGCTGCGCGATTTCCCTTCCAAAAACAAGAATCGAATCACCGACCGATACTGCTCTTTTTCCATTTTTCAAAAATCAACGGACACACTTGCTTTCACACGCTCTCAAAAATAAACTACAACTCCGATCCGGCTGAAATCTTGACAGTAACCATCGAGAAAGTTGTACTACGTGATAGAATATTTCTTTTGCGAGAGTGGCGCCATCGGACGGTGAGGCTAAGTCATTATCGGACCACCCTCGTAGCGTGTCGCGTGAAGCCCCCAGCCGCTCTGTTCTACCCCGACGACGCCGCGACGCCCGTCCGTCCGTACTCACCTTCCTGCTCGACCACGAAGATCTGGTAGTCGAGCTGCTGACGCAGCAGCAGCGGGTGCAGGTTGTACAGCAGTGTCATGAGGTGCTGGAAGCGGTCGCGGAACGGCACCACAATGGCCACGCGGTAGCGCGCCACGCAGGTCTTCGGTGCTCCGCGGCCGCCCTGCTCCACCCCGGCGCACGCCTTTTCCATGGCCGCCACCTCCGGCGCGGCTTTGCTCACCGCCAGCGGACCAACTGTGGTCGCATCGAGCGCGTTACGCAAGCACGTCGCACCCGCGAACCCGTCCAGACCACCCGCACCCCTTGGACGCGCGCGAGCAACGAAGCCGCTCCCATTCACCAGCGCGGTCCGAGGGAAGCGAGTGGCGTGGACGCAGACCGATGCACGCAAGTTACCGAGGTTGGGCGGCACCGCGGGGCAGGTGCGCTCGGCGCCGGGCGCGTCCGCGGTGCTGGCGGACTGCTGGTGCCGCGGCGCCGCGGAAGCTGGACTCGTCGGGGCATCGAGCGCCGACCTGCTGCTCGTGCCGGGGCTCGCGGACGAGGAGTTGGCTGCTGCTGCTGCTGCTGCTGCTGCTGCTGCTGCTGATGTTGGCGTCGACAGGGTGCTGCTGACGTTCGCGGCGAGCTCGTCGCTGCCCTGCGCCTCCGGGCTGCCCGAGGCGATCGGCGCTGGCCCGTAGATGACGAGCGCGCGCTGCGCTGGCCTGCGAGTGTACCTTGCGTCAGTTGGCGTCGCGAGCGGCACGCGAGGCCGACGTCGACCGCGATTTTCATCCTTGCGTGCGCGCGATCTCGTTTTGCGCGACTCACGCGATCGCCCGTCGGTCCAGTACCGCTCGGCTTGCTCGCGTTCTTCCTATGCGCTCGCCAGAGTCGCGCCCCTCGGAGACGAGAGGTGACGGCTCGTCCGCCACGCTCGCGATTGCCGCCTGGCTGCGCGCGATACGCCACGGCGCGAGCAAAAGCGAGCAGACGCGAATGCACCGACGAAGTCGGCGAGCTGCCGAGGCATTGTTCTCGGCGGACAATGGCGACGCGTGCTAAAGCGCGAAAATCCAGGCGAAGAGACGACGCTTAACGTTGGTTTTGAAAAGCCGTGCGTCGCGCGCGCCGCCGAGCTGCACTTACCGCGGCGCTCCGCGAACGCTTGCTCGGCCGATGCGACCACGAGCTCCGTAGGGCCTCGGCGACGAGGCCCCATGCAGGGCAATGCAGCAGCACTCGAGCGACGAGCGGAGAGGTCGAAGATTACCTGCTGGTGTTGATGGTGAAGATGGTCTCGTTGGAGCGTCTGTCGATGGCGCCGCTGAGCAGGTACTGCAGGGCGATCAGCACGAAGACGACGCCGCCGAGGGCCTTATAGACGTGGGCGCGGTGCCACGGTGCCGCCACGGCTGCAGCCACAGTCATCGCGTGCGCCAGCCGACTGCACCATCACTGTCCGCGCTCTCGGCACCGGCTCTGATCGTCCGCCCCGCGACCTTGGCTCGCCCGAGCGCGCTCCGCCTGCGCGCCGACCTGGACAGCCGAATCGCCTCGTTCAGCCGCGTGCCAAACTCCTGTCGCGAGCTCCGCTCGCGTTCGACCGATCTCCGCGCGGATTGCCTCGCGCCGATGCAAATGTCGCTTTTCAGCGCGTCGAAACAATCGTTCGAACAGGATGCGTGACTTTCTACCGGGCGTTCGTTATGCAGCACCACAAAGAATGCGTTCGACGTGCTTTCGTCGGCTCGATAGCGTAACGAACGTGCGATTACGCAAAGCGCGCAAGATTTCGGCGGCGAGCAAGAGAGGGAGGGGGAGGGGGAGAGGGAGAGAGAGAGAGATATGGAGATAGCGACAATGTAACTTGCAAATCGCGTCGTGGAAAAGCAGCGCCGACCCCATGCGTGGTCGTAGACCGTAGGCCCGGAAAGCCAACGGAGTCGTCGAAGGGGCGGCGCGGGTGCTGTTTCGCAACGCGAGTCGTAAATTCGGCGTGTTTTCGTCGCGGGCTTATCGACGCGCGCCCGAGTGGTCGCTCCGGCACTTACGGATCGTCGCCAAGCTAGAGGTCGAAGAGGCGCGTGCCCGGCGATATCTCGGCCTCGACGGCTCGGCTAATTGCTGGATGCGCACGTCGCGCTAATCAAATTGACGGCGAGCGCTTTATTTTCAATTTTCGACTGGGCGGCGGCGGCTTTCGCAAATGGCTCCGATACCGCCGACCATTAAGATAAACCACGACGCGGCGATCGGCGCGGTGATCGGCGCGGGGCGTCGTCGCCGGCTTCCGTCCGCCAGCGGCTATCGGGCCCTCGCTTAATTGGGTTAGCAGTGCTAGGCACTGCCGCGCGGGGCCGCGACAAAGGCCCTGGTGGTCGCGATTGGAGCGGCGTTTTTTCCGCCCGATTCCGCTCGACAGGGAAATTTCGCGGACGCAACAAAGCGTCGCTCGCTGGCCGATTTGCGTCTCTCTTTGTTTATTCGATTTTCGGTCACGTTTACTATCGCGGCGCCTACATCTCTTGCATTATTTATGGAGCGATTCGCGCGGCTCGCATTGTCAGGCAAATGAAGAGCGCGGGCTCCCCGGCGGACAGCTCCGCGCCGAGCACCGCGGTCCGTTGGTCAGCGGCAACGAGAACTGGATTTACGAGCAGAGTGACGCGATCCGTCTCGCGCTACGTGATTAGACATCTCGCTCTAGCGGCACACGCTCGCCCGCCACGCCAGTGTCAATGTTAAGTGGCCGAGCGCTGCCTGCTCGCGTGGCCACGTGCCCGCGCCAACTCGCTCTTCTTCAGCTGCAACGTTTCCAATCGGCTGGTCGCTGACGGCCCTACTTTCCCACTTTTGTCTCATCCGTGCAATCGTCGCCGTTGCATCTCGCCGACGAGGCTCGCGAGGCACGCCACTCGCGGACGTGCTTTGTCTGCGCGTTCACTTTCGTGCTCGTTTTTCAACCCGCATAAATGACGATAAGTCAGGTGTTTGATCAGGCAACTGCTGCCTTCGAGCAGCCGGCTATGTTACTCCGTAAATTATGAAGCAAAAAAACATTGCACTGATAAGTCCAGGTGGCTGAGCCAACGCGAGCTCGCTCGATTATTTTGCGCGGCAATCCTCTCTCTCTCTCTCTCTCTCTCTCTCTCTCTCTCTCTCTCTCTCTCTCTCTCTCTCTCTCTCTCTCTCTCTCTCCCACTGCACGATCTCGTTAGCTCTTGATTTGACGGGGCACCTAGTCAAACCTATAAAGCGCTTTGGTTCCATATATCTTTGACAAGCTCGCGCGCGCGCGTGCCACTGATATTCTACGTGTACTCGCGGTAGGCTGGTAAGTAGCTCGCGACGACAAAGGGAGCAGAGAGCGTCGAAGATAATCGATACGTAATGCATTTATGCGGAGCGCGAGGCAGTCACAGTATCACCTCGTGACCGCAGAGAATTTTGCAATTGAAAGTAACTGCACTCGGCTTTGAATCCTTTCAAAAGTCAGAACAGCGCTCTAGTAGCTTGCTATTCTACTCTCTAGCTGCTGACTAGACGTTCAAAAGACGAATTCACGCAATTGCTGCGCTGCCAATTTAGCCCGTATAGAAAAGTGCAGCATCTCTGGATGTCAGCTGCTGTTCCTCTCTCTCTCTCTCTCTCTCTCTCTCGCTCTCTCTCTCTCTCTCTCTCTCTCTCTCTCTCTCTCTCTCTACATCCCGCTCCAAATGGCGACAACAGTCGAAAAGCGACTTACCTATTCTACGCTGGTTCAATGTTTAATATATGGCTGTTCTCCGCGGCTCTTTGTTTACTTGTCACGCACGCACGTGCAACGACCACGCACATCCTTCGCCATTTGCACGCGTGTATCACTTTTGTCCTCCTAACAACGATGCTTAATTTGCAACGCGACTCTCGAACGCTCTGTATCTATAGGCACGCAGTATCGACTCACCGCGGCATATATGCACACCGAAGCTACTCGACTACTGTTGCTACTGCTACTGCTGCTGCTACTGCTACTGCTACTGCTGCTGCTGCTACGACGAGAGCGTATTGGTATGCATGGATACACTGCAGCACGCGCTTCTTCTCCGGTGTTGGAGATTGTAACGAACGCGTTACAACGCGGTATAGCCAGCTTCACTGCTCGCACGCACAAGCAAGAGAAGAGAAACTTTCAGTCGAAACCGGAGAACGGAGCGAACAAGAGAGACCAATGGTCGACCAACATCGGCGGAGAGAGGGGACATGACCGAGGAGAACGGCTAAGGAGTATATAGGTATCGCATGCGGCAAGGACTGCCAATAACTTTTCTCTGCTTCTGTAAAGTCCTGCGACAGCCGCGCACTGGCAACGACTGCCGTGGCTTTCTGCTCGGGCTACTTACTATGTCTGCGTGCAGTGCGTTGGCACTGTGCTGCACTATTGACGTTTTCGAAACGAGATGCAGATGGAAAACGAAAACGAGGTGCGCGCGCGACTCACTACTGACACGGTCTCCGAGGAAGACTGCCCGTCCGCTCGTCGTCGTCACACACCGCGCGAAACGAGCCAAGCAGCTCGTGTTCGCGCGCGCGCAATTTTAACTCCTTCTCTTCGACTCTCTCCTCTCGCTGTTTCGTCTGGTTTCGCCTACCCGCTTCCAACGATCCGAGCATGTGCGCCTGCCTGCCCGTGCATGCGAGGGTGGGGATAACGCAAAAACCCGCAGTCGATCCGCACCAATCGACTATATATTTATGTCACTGACGACATCTGTTGGTGCAGCCAATAAAAGCTGTTTATCGAGCGAGTTTAAAGAGCGCCCAAATTGAAAACAAAACGGAGTTTTTCCACGCCGACCTTCAGGTATTCACTTGTTCTATTCTCAACAAAACGTATCAAAACAATGGTGTCCATTGTCGAGCTAAACGCAAAGATAGAGTGCATTCTAATTGTGTCGGCCCGTGATAAGTAAAGAATTTCAGGTCAATTAAGCATTTTAAAAAGAACAAGAAAAGCGCTTAAAAGTAGCATCACTGATGTTTATTAGTTTTTTTTTTTTTAATGATCAAATAGAACACTTAGTTATATGTACATTTATAAACATTATTAGGATATATAACAATAAATAGTTTCATACATTTAGATATCGATAAACTCTTCTCCTTAAATTTCATAAGATATACAAATATTTTCATACATCCTGAATTATTTTGATATTTTTAATATTTACACAAGTTAATTTGTTTTTAAGTTTTGTGTGGAATGGAAATGATTGGTTTTTCAACCACAAACTTCATGACCTAAATTTTAAATGCATCACTTTTAAGTTTCAAATTAATAAGGAATTGAATGAATGTAAATATGTGCTGTTAGTTTTTCCATAAAAAAGAGCATTTAAAAAATCATTACAAGTTCTTTTTTAAAAAGTCAATGGGGTTATATAGCTTCGTAAGCTGCATCAACATTACCAATGTTTGAGCTTGTACCATTCAGAAATTCTTCTAACTCGTCTTTTTTTTTATGATCTTCGTTCTTTGAAGATCGCTTCTTTTTTTTTTCGGATTTCTCCGCTTTCTCCTTATCTTTATTTTTATCTTTCGACTTTTTCTTTTTCTTCTTTTCTTTATCTTCAGTCTGGAAAAAATTTTTTTATAGAAAATATGTGTCTGCTGATCAAAATGCTTTGACTCGACTTCTTCAAAAGTTTAAGAAATTCGAGCAACTCGAGTTTTGGAATTGGCTTTAGCTTCTACATTTTTTAAGCTTTCTGAGCTCAATTTTATTTTAATTAAAAAAAATTTGTTAGTTCTGTAGCAATCGCAAATCGAAACGCACTATTTAAATACTTGAACCATTATAAAAGGTTTGTAGTTCTGAAACTCGAAAATTAGAGACAATCTCGAAAGCTCGAACTTTTGCAGAAGCGCAGTTTTTACTTTGCTAATTTCAAACTAATACGTACCTTATCTCTGTGTTTTTTCTTTTCTTTCATTACTGGACTGCTACTGTTGGAGCTCAATTGTTGTATACTACTGTTATCCAGAAGCTCAAGGTGAACATTTGAACTTGTGACACTTGCATCCAAACTTTTATCACTTAACTCGTGTCTGTCTTTCTTGGTTCCGACGCTGCTACTAACATCTTCTCCACCTTCAGGACTTTGTCTCCACTTGGAATCTCGGCCAAGCCAACTATCAAACGTATCGTCCGAATTCGCATCATTTTGATCATCTAGATGTAATTTATTGGCCAATTGCAACTCCTCTGTGGATGACGAGGAGTCACGTTTAGAGATTACTGACCCACTTGCTAAATTTGATTCAGCTCCTAAGGATATGTCTCCACGTTTATGCCTTTGCTTACTCAGTGGATTTTCGGCTAATTTGGGTTGGACGGGAATCGGTATCTCATCTGCTGATGATAGGTCGTCTTCAAATCCGGCAACTAACGGATTTGCAGTTTCAGTATCACTGCAACAATAAAAAATCTATGTTATAAATAAAATAAAGCTATAGATATAAATTAAGTATCAAAACAAACCTATCTGAATCGCCTTGTTTTTTCTGACTTGACTTTGAATTTGACTGACTATCGTCATCTAAAAACGATTTGTCCAGATAGCCATCATCAGGTACAAAGTCCTCAACACTAGCTATTGTAGTAATTGCACATGTTTTAAAATCTTTAGGTGGTCTTTCTTTTTCTAGGCTAGAGTCTTTCTCAAGTGTTGCCATCTTTGATGCAAAGGATTGAGATCTGTTGGAAAATTCTTTGCCATCACAATTATTGCTAGTGGATACTCTAGCTGCTAAATATTCTGGTGTGCTAATACTACTCGTCATTGTTAACTCAATTTTACCATTATTATTATTGTTCCCCTGTGACTGTGTTTCTTTTTTAACAGTTGACCTGGTAACCATATTTTTAACAGGTATTGGAGTGCCACCTCCAATAGGACCTAATATTTTGGCTGAAGGTGTAACTGGTTGACCCTGAGGTCCATGATTACTTAAGGTTGATGTGATATTAGGAACTAGAGTAGTTACAGATACAGAATCTGCTATAGCTCTTCTCTTATTTACTAAATTATCCAAAAACTTGTTGTAATTTGCATCATCGCTCTCTTGATATAAATCCAACTCTTGAACTGTTAAAAAAGTTTCTTCCTTGTTTGTCTCTATTTGTTGTAATAGAGTTTCTCGTTGAAGTTGTAGAAATGGAAGATTAAAAAATTTATGCAAAAGTTTCAACCCAAATCCATTCCTCATTGACGTTTCAGTGTATCTTACTTGTGCAGCTCTTTTTCCTAGTGAGTCAATAAAATAAATAACATGATCAGCAGTCACTGTTCTGTGATGACACATATCACAGTGATTGCCTAAAACAATAACTGGTATGTGATTAGGTATTTTCGGAAGTTCTCGTTGAACATAATCAAAAGTCCATTGTTTAGTTATATCCATCATGACTATTACACCATTTGTTCCTTTGTAAACATCCAAAAATTCAGCATCCAATGCAGGTTCTTCAGTCATACCATCTGCTGAGATGATATTATCCATTTTCAATCCTTCCATTTTTTTCCTTCGTCTACCACGATCTACTACATCCCATACTTCAACTTTTACAACGTCATCTGTAGCTTTATAATTCCATTGAATACTTGTAACTTGAATTTCTTCTGTAGGAATATATTCTTCAATAAATTTTTGGCCTTGCAGTCTGTGAAATAAACAAGTTTTTCCAACATTTCTATCTCCTTTTATAATAATTTTCACTAAAAAAAATAGTAAAATTAATACCTTATTACTTTTTTACAATACCAACATATAAATACAAAATGTACTTACTGTTATACTGAACACCTTTTGCAAATTTTCTTTGTAAATTAGTTGGCATTGCTTGGTGTGTTGGTCTAGAAGATGGGGTAAGTACCCCATCACTTTTCCCAGTAAATCTCTTGAATGCAGAGAACATTTCGACTATTTTTTAAAATTCAAAATCTAAGTTTTATGAGTTCCTTGTATGACAAAGATAACACTTGAATACTATGAATTGTAAAAGAAAATTTATGCAATTTATTATGTAGTAGTTAATATATTTCACTTTGATCGTGAAAATTTTAACTTACGAAATTTTACGATCCCCATATTAAAGACAATTTTTAATAAATTAAATATTTAATAACAAATAATAAACATCACTAAAAGAACAAAAGCCAGCTGATATCATTCTAGACCTGATCTCGAGGGTCTGACAGCTGATGAATAAATAATGCACTACACCATCTGGTATATCTTCTGACTTTGATGAATTTACACCTAACCTATACACACACGTATTCGCCAGTCCCTATCTTCTTTCTAGGTATTCGCCTTGTCTGTACACAAAGCATATATCTACATTACATAGTAGTATTAGTGTATATATATATATATATATATATATATATATATATATATATATATATATATATATACGGTATTATGGAATAAACCGATTGTCTTTGGAATTTTTTCATCGATACTTTTCAGTATCTTAATTTTTTCAGTAAGGAATCAAATGATATCATATAATTAAAAATCATTCTTTTTGAATATGTTCTGAATATATAGGACATGTAAAATAAAAAACATAAATGACTTATTTAAATTTATTTAATATTTATATATAGAAAAAATAAATATTAAACAGAATTTTATAACAAATTTTCAGTCTATTCAGTGCTGATTTTCAGCAACAGCTTGACAAATTAATGGTCTTAAATTCTCTTTGTATAATACATGTTTTTCACCATGAGTAATATTAATTATTTTACCAGCCTTTGTCAACATTTCTAAAGCTGCCTTAGATTTACCCAAATGCAACTTTATTTTTCCTATCATTAAGTAAAGTAGCCCAGTCAGTGGATGGATTTCTCCATAGTAATGTCTGAAAAATAGTAAATTATGTTCATGATATACATTTGATATTTGTTGAAAAATTATGTTATATTTTACATGTATCCAGGTAATAAATCAATCCCAAAATTTTCAGCATCCTCCCAATATGTCAAGTTGACAGCAGCATCAAATGCAGCTTCAATGGTTCGAACATGTTGAACATTCAGAGAATGTAATACATTTATTTGTTTTTTCAAACATTTTTTACTAATGTCTAAATCTAATAAAAATTTAATTGAGAAAAATACAAATTAATTAATTAATTATATAATAAGTTTAAATAAAGGATACAGGCTACACTCTTCATAGTTTCAAGATATTGTGCTGTAAAATCAGTCACTTCTTTGAATTTTTCTTTTAAATGATCATCAATTTTCTTGGTACATTTAGAACATGATTCTTTGGTAATGTCACAAGGTCCACTGCAATGTGGACAAACAGCTGCAGTGGTAAAAATGTCATGTTTTTTACATTTAGAGCATTCGCACAAGAAATAATAAACTCGCTGTAGTTCTGCTCTTCTTGTTTCTGTAGTATTTAGTACGTCTATGTATGAAATGTGTATCTGTAAATAGTATTGAATAAATAATGTACTGCTACATATAAAATTCAAACTCACTATTTTGCGAAAATTCTGCAGTAGTTGGTTAAGCACTCTCCAATTTTTGAATGCTATACAATTAATCTTACCTGTGACCAATCGAGAATAGGAATATCTTCAAGTGCTCTTATTAAAATTGTTGTACCATCAAAAACAGCAATTGCATTTGGTTTACAACTATGATCTATCACTGATGGGCCTAAATAAATACCAACTCCAATACTATTCATATCAGAATCTAATATATTGTAAGAATTTATACAAATTCTACCAAAAATAGCTAACAATTCTGCTGAATTTGGCAGGGTAGTATCGCACATATATTCCTGTAAAACTTGACAAATAGACACAAAATGTTCCATACGCTTTGGGTCATTTTTTATGTCTGTATAATCTGGGTATTTAAAAGATATTTTTACCAATGATTTCAAAATGTTATTAATAATTAGATGTTGATTTTTAACTCACGAGTCATCAAATCCTTAAACTTTCGGTATAAATATTTATCATAATAATCTCTTTCGTCTTCTCCATTTTTCTGCAGCTTCACAATAAGCCGAGCCATCAAGCGTGCAGCATCTGGCACTACTCGAGGTGCAATCTTCTTTAGATTCATACATTCTGATTTATGTATGCTCCAAGAATCTTTCTGACACACACGGTTACAGTAGTAAACATAATGACAACCTGCACACTTTAGAAGCTTCTCACTAAAATATAATAACGCAAGTTAAATTTTTTGCGTAGTCAATTGTCAGCAATAATGATTAAAAATCGCAAAAAAAAAGAAGCCACGCGACAATAAAACAATAAAATAACAAATACCTTTTAAAACAGTGGTCACAGTGTTTTTCTCTGTGTTTTGAACTCAAAACATATGCAAAAGGTTTTGAGCTTGCAAGGCAATTTCCTTGTTTGATCTGCATTACATCACCATTGTTTATGAAAATGTTAATAGATAGCGGCAAAAGGTTCATATACTTTTCACGCGTCTAGCAGAAGAAAACGCGCATGCAAACAATATATATGTACCATGGAGACTGTTACAGTTTCCATGATATGTACTATAAGCATTATACAAACGTGATATGGCGGCACCAAGCGCAGTGGACACTAGTGGACAGTGCGCATTTCACTCGCGCACTGCCTAGTAACCTGACACATGAGCATCATTGAACATGTGTTTGGTGTATATATACGTATTTGAGATTTGCCAAATCATGAAAAGATGAAAATAACAAATCTTGTGATATGAAAATAAACTTTTTCATAGATTTGTCTTTAAAAAAAATGGAGCGTTCGCTATGATTTGATAAAGGTTTATTACGAAACAATTATGCGATACTATTATGTATAAACTAATGCATAATAACAAATTCAATCGAATTTATGTTTACAAAATAATTTTTTTGCAATAAGCAATTTTTAATGTGTTGATAATCGCAGTTGGTACTCACTCGTTTTTAAAACAATGATCACAATGATCGTAACGATGGTAAGATTTTAATACAAAAACGAATGGTTTTGTTGTCAAAATTGTTGCTCCTTGTAAAACACCAGAATACACAGTATTCTTTTTCGGAATCTTCATGGATTTGTCGTAATAACTAATTTGTTTATTAGCTAAAATGGGGATCTTCATGATTTTGCAAAATTTGACTTTCTGACTTTAGGGAGCTGGCAATGACTGAGCATATATTCTATTTTAGGCAACGTTTATTTTAGAGAATTATTTATAGACTTCATATAGAACCTTACACCCAGCTGCACCTATTCGATAAGTAGCTTACCAATTAATGAAACTGAGAATTTATTTACAAGGATTCAGAATTTGATTTTCTATCAACAGGGTCACAACTAACAAACATAACAAAAATAACACAATCTATGCAAATATTATATGAAAAAATTTAATTATTTTAAAAATTTCAATTTGATTAAAAAAAAACAGATTTCCACAATAAAAAAAAAGAAGTAAAAGTTTTAAAATGTGCCAAAGGAAATCATTTTTATGACAAATGTCTTTCATTATTTACAAACTACTATTTGTTATATATCATAAATTAGTCTTTGTCCATTGTTATTTTTTTTCCTCAATATTTAAGGCATCTCGTCATTCCTCAGCATAATTAAACTTTTATTCTCAAGTGCCTTGATTCTTTGTAGATAAGAGTAGCAGTATTCATAAATAATCTGAAACTCCATTACAGCAGACTTATTACAAATCACTCTGCACACTGCATACTTTTTTCAAACTTCTCACTTGTGTATCAAAACATTCTGATTGACAGGTTGAGCTCATATATAACAGGAATGGAAGGTCTCTAATTCAATCTCCTCTACACCTCTACCACTTTTTTTTATGCTCATCCATGGAAACACCACCAGGCCCCAATGATACAATCATCAATAAGCCTCCAATCACAGAAAGAGTCTAAAAATTAAAACAATCTGTTTGTTGACAAGTGCAAAATAGTGTTTCAACAGATTTATAAACAAGTCAGACTAAAACAAATGTTTGATATTCTAGTAAACTTACTTGGAAGAAATCATACTTAAGGAAGTCTCTGAGAGGTTTGTAGTCTGGAACGGCCCACCAAGCATTATGGTAAAAGTTAAGAGCTGTCAGTATAAGTACGAGCAATAAGGAGCTCAGCTTTGTCTTGTATCCAATAGTCACAAGAACCATCATAATTCCTCCAAGGACATCTTGAATGATTTGAATAAAGGACCATTCAAATCTTATAAGTGTGATAAACATGAATGCCAGCAACACTCGCCCTGCTAGTTGCAACAAATTTTTTGGCTTATTTTCGCCCAAAGAAGGTACACCAGCAAATAAAGATCTGCCTTCAGCTTTAGACTCTGCCAATACAAGTAGCAGGGCCCCAATAAGAGCCAGGTTCCTGAATAGAAATTGCATATCCCAGAGAATGCTGTATGCTAAGGTCTGTAAAATGACAATGAAGAAGAGAACTCCACATGCTATGGTAACTTTCATCCTTCCAAGAACCATGACACATCCACCAAGCTGTCCTACTAAATTTATCAAAACAAACATTGTGGCCAAAAATTTTCCACAGCCCCAAGACATGTCCATGTATTCCCTCTGCTCACTCCACTGGAACCACATACGTAGACCATCCTCCAGGAATGTAGCGATAAGGCAAAGTCGAGCCATCGTTGGAAGCACATGCTTTCCATTTCTAATCACCTAAAGTAACATATGATTAAATTAGACATCTGAAAAGCATGTGTAAAGCATCAGAAGCATAAAGCGTGACGTGCACGATACAATGACAACACACTTTATCGCGTGTCCTATATTTTAGAACAAAGTGGGTCTGTGAAAGTAAGTAAAAGTGAGCATCCACAGAAATTGATTGCTGCCACGTATTTTTCGTAATAGGGGTCACTATTGAAAAACGCTCGAAGCACATTCCACAGCTATTAAAAACTCGAGTTTACGGTTGAAAATGTTGGGACATAAGGAAACAGTTGAGTGTAAAGTTAGTGGTATGTACTCCAATTGTGGCGGTATCGTGCGATAATACGTGGAGGTTCCGCCGGAGATTCATTCAGCGTGCCGGCTGGCGGACTGGTAGGGCGCATATGGTTGCTCCGAAACTCGACAATTTCATAACCAGGTCCCTGCAAGAAATCGGCGACTGCCTATGTGGTAACCTAGTTACCAAGGTAAGCCGTGGTGAAGGACTTTAAACCGTATGTGCGACTCGGATCAAAGTATCCCACGTGCGGCCCACAATAGCAGCTACCTTGAGCTTCGAGGGTCGAGGACTATATAGATAATAAAGCTATAGCTGATCACCATAGAATTTTAATTGAGCTGCTGAAATAGATTTTAAAAGAGAGAGAGCGAGCGAGCGAGCGAGCGAGAGAAAGAGATACAGCCAAGAAAAATGGTATAATTGCCGAGTTATCACAATGCTAGACGCGAGAAAACAGTTTGAAGAGACTAGTAATGGAAGATCTGACCTGGTCGGCTACTTCCTCCGCCTTAGACATGACCTCCTGTTGATTCATTGTGTCCTAACTTGACTGCGAGCCCGCTTGCACTCGACGCTGAATTCTTATTTCAAAAAAGTTAAAAAAAAATACACAGCCATACACGTATATACGCGCGGGGCTCTCGTTCTTCAGCAGCAGTCTCCAGCGCAGCAGTCTTCTCTCGTACTCACACACACGCAATCAGCTCAGTCCGCCGCCTCTTTCTCCTTGTCTGTCGCCACACGCTTGACGCACGTGTGCACTGCTGCCGCTGTGGCATTAACGAGAACTGCTGTTGGCAGACTCACTGCTCAGTGTTCGTTCCGTTGGTTGGCTATAAGAATTGAGTGCGTGGCCACTGTCCAACTCTCTTTCTCTCTCTCAGTAGTCTATTCAGCGTGAAAAAAAACTTCACAAAGAAAGAAAGAAAAGACAGAGAGATACGCATGCAGTTTCCATGGACGCGCGGCACAATCAGTCATTGCTTATGAGATGTATAATGTAGTGATGTAGGTATACATACAATACGCTCATCGGCTTAGTGCTCGGCGCTCGCACCGTAGTGTCACGGTCACGACCGATAATAAATTACGCATACGCTCGTTTAATTCATTGCACCGTCTAACTGATACAACTATAGCAAGCAACAAATTTAATCGTCATTTGACTTCAAGTAATTATTTATTTATTTGTTATAGATTCTTGCACTCTCGCTTTCGAATATATTTCTATTGTAATAATTTGTAATTTAAAATAAAAATTAAAACAATACAGATCGAGAATATGTGTCGGTCATCTCAGCCTCGTTATAGTTTATGGTATTTAAAAATTAATCCATTCTTTTTATTGTTTTTTATCAGAAAGATCACATAAATATTCAAATTAATTGGTGAATTATATATTCAATAATATGTAATGAGCTATTCACAATTTTGATTGCAATTGAACATAACCAATAACGAAAAGTAATAAAAAAATATAAGCTGCTATTATACACCTAACGATCGCTGATGCAATATGCTCTATAGTTGACAGACGCCCCTGATTCACTATTATGCTTTCTGTAAGGTCCGCCGCTCGAACGATTTGCTTAATTTTCGTACTGTTAGACATTATGACTTCGAGGTATTCTTAGCCGCGACGTTTGCCGTTTTTGTGAACACAAGACACCGCTACAATAATAATAAGTTAGTAGAGTGTGTTTTCGAATTATATAAACGTTTGTTAATAATATATCCCATTATTTTTTAATTATATAATACAAATTCAAAATGTATGATTTATATACGTATGTACATAAAAGAATAATAATGATGATGATTGTTTAAAATAAGTCAAGCGAATTACATGACAGTAATAGTGCTAAAACTTGTATTCAGCTCTACTCAAATTGATTACTACTTTCTCTTAAGCAAAAATTCTAATTCTTTTAACACGCGCTAAGTTTCCAATATTAAAATCGCAAATAGTAAGTTTAAATATGCCTTTTTGAGCATATTTCAAACCGATCTATTACTATTAATTATACACCCTACAGGTCATACAAATAGCAATAATAATAATTTTTCAAAACACTAGTGTTATTTAGCGAGCTTTTCGCGCTCTTTCTTGTATGTTTTTCTATTATTTATTACATTATTTGAACTTTTTACATGCCAACTTGGAGATTCTAATGAGCACGAATAAGTTATGCTGTTTAAAATAGACTACATACGTCAATATTCATCGATAAACAAAAATAGAACAAGCACTCACTTTTTCACAATACCTGATGAACTTATACACATTTCAAGGTATATTCGAAAAATTATCTAAAAGAATAGTTCAACCTAAGATCGATAAAGCTATTATATTATTACATAACATTCAACTTACATATTCAATAGTAGTGACTATGGCTCCTAACTTATATTAGTACGAGTAATACATTTAATATCGTGTACTGTTTATCGTCTCTATATGAAAACACCCGTGAATATTCTTCCGGGTTTAATATTCTCATAACTAGATTCCGTTGTTCCCATACGTCTTAATTTACAATGTACAAAAGATAAATATGTACTCTCATTTATTTTATTTTATTCATTTTCTTTCTTTTTCTACCAAATTTTAACACGACGATATTGATTTCAGTATCACAGATGGCTTATAACATTAACCATTTGTATTGATAATTTCAAAATATAACGTATTGTTTTTTCCAATCGATTTATTAACAGCATATTTCCATTCTTGCAGTTTATTATCTATGTTAATTATTTATAAATTGAATTTACGGCTGAAATATAAATCTCACACTCTTAGATATGTAATAAAAATATTTCAAAGTATAGGAAAATTCAAAATGTCTCTTTCTTAGCATTAACCAATCACAATGCTATAGATGTCGGCGACTCATCATTTTTTTAAGATAGGAAAAAAATTTTTTTTAAATAGGAAAAAACATAACTATGTTACTCAATATAAATTAAACCAATGGTATATATTTTAATTATTTGCTGTTGTCCTATAACGCTTAAAAGGTTGAACAACGCTTAATGCTAGTTTTGCTAGTTAAATTTGAACAAATGCAAAATTTCCTTCACATCTGCTAAATTCTTTTGTAATACGTGATGATCAGTAATTTGAAGCCAGTGTATAACTGGATACTATGCAAAACCGAGCGAATTAAAATTCAAAAGTAATGCTTGACGGCGCGCTTGCGTCGGAGAGTGTCGCGCAACGCCGTACACGTGGCGCACCCCCGTCTACCTCTGGCTGTGTAAGTAACGTACGTGAGTGTGTCATTTGTCTACATTCGTTTATTGCGTTTGCATCGCACCACAGGTAAGGCGAGCGGTAAACGTACACGTCCACGATAGTGCCGTACACAGTGAACATTAAACCGTATCACAAGCACATATACACTGTGTCCAGTGAATTTCCATCTGTTTGCGTAACAACCTAGCAGCCCAGGAATTCTACTCTTCGTGGGTTACTCATGAGACAAGTATAAGCTCGCTAAAATGAGGTGGTTGACGATAACGCTCGTGTTAGCCTTCGCATCCAAAGATGCATACTCCTATTTTATCACCGTCGATGCCCACGCTGAGGAATGCTTCTTCGACAAAGTCGATTTCGGCACCAAGATGGGTTAGTTTTTCCGGCTTCTCTTCAACGACTTCAACCGCGATATCTCATTTTTTCTTCCTCTACGTGTCCAGATAAGTTTTTCCTATACTTTGCTTTGCAGGCCTTACTTTTGAAATTGCCGAAGGAGGATTTTTGGATATTGATGTTAGAATAGTTGCTCCTGACGGCAAGGTCATGTACGATGGTGAACAGGAGAGCAGTGGAAAGTTTACGTTTGCGGCTCATACGCCAGGAATTTACACTTATTGTTTCAGTAATACTAAGGGTACAATTACTCCTAAAGTCGTCATGTTTAATATGGATGTTGGAGAAAGTCCAAAACAAGTTGGTGATGCAGCAGCAGGTGGTGCTCAAGAAGGAGACAGCTCCAATGCCAAACTTGACGATATGATCAAGGAGCTTAGTACTAGTTTGTGGAGTGTAAAAAGTGAACAAGAATATATGCAGGTATATTTATATTATATTTCTAATATTGACATTCCATCTTTATAAAATTATACTAAATATCTATTTTATAGGTACGCGATAGAAATCACAGAGCAATCAATGAAAGCACAAACTTTAGAGTTGTTGTATGGTCATTTTTTGAATCTACAGCTTTAGTGTGTATGACACTAGGACAAGTGTATTATTTGAAACGTTTTTTTGAAGTGAGAAGAGTTGTGTGATGTGAAATAAACTGTAAACTTATATTTATTGTTCTAACACTAATTTGTGAGTCATTAAAAAGTTAATGAGTAAATGGATTTTCCAATAATAAAAAAATTGTAATTCTTGTAAGAAAGTTTTGCTTTTTATTACCTAATATTTTAAGACACTGTATAACAAGACAAAGTTTCATTCTTAATCTATTGTCCATGGTTTTACCATTCTAGAATGGTCCCAAGGATTTGCATGTTTATATACTGGAGGTTCTTCTAAAGAAATGCCACCATTTTTTAGTTCTTGCAAAAGTGATGCATACCTTTTACTATTTGAATCATCAATGTCACAGTACACTGCTGATATTCCAGATTCAAGACATCTTTGTGCTAAAAGTCTTCCCACATTTGCAAATGCAGAAACATCTAATGTACTGGACATAAAGTTTATTATTAGAAACCAAACTTTTTTTAATAATTATGCATATCTCATACTTGTTACTTACCGATATAATTGTTTTTTCAATGACCATTCTTTAGTTGATACTGTTACTACTGCACCATTTTTGAAATGATGTATTTCAGCATTTACATGTCGAGCTGAAGTTATTACAAATAATCTGCAAATTCATTGTAATTAATTGTTTATATTAACCTTGTTAATCTATAATCCATTGAATCAAGTTACTTGTGCCAATAATGTCTTCCAGGATTATCTAAATGATATCCTTCTGGTTTCCGACCAATTGTCATCAACTCCAAATTTCTTGGATTTCTATTTTTTACTTCAACACAATTTTTAAGTAAACTTGCATTTGATAGTGTTTGAACTTGTCTATAATAACTTGTATTTTCTGAATATGCAACTAAAAAAGAATTACGAATACTGTTCATCTTCCAATATTTATTTAAGAAACTTTAATTTACGTAATATTCTAAATATTTTTCATTTAGACATTAGCAACATGTACTTCTTATAATAATTTACTAAGCCACAAACAGAACAGTCAACAAATGTAGAATATATTTTTCAGGGAGTACTGATATTTTTACAAGGCTTGTACTACGGCTTAAAGTTGGCATCGAAACTCTCAAACTCTATTTTACTAACTTCAAGTTAAAGGTAGCGTTCGATTATTTGAAATTGTACTGTACATACATATACATACAAATTCGCGATCCGAGAAATTCAAAATCAAAATTATTTTCGACGAATGGGCATCAATCACATTAAGATGGTTTTTTTCTGACAAATTGTGGGGGCACAATTTGCCAAAATAAACTCTTGACTTAACCTTTTTTAATGTCATCGATGCGTAATTGTCGAAAATAATTCGGATTTTGAACTTCGCGGATTGCGAATTAATGTTCGAGCACTATATACCTATATATATATAGTAACATGTGCATGCATATGCGTACGTATGTATATACATCAGAAAATTGATTTTACCTATCTACCCGTAAAGCCACAACATCTATAGATTGCACTCATTTTGTATACACAACTGCTGTCCACGTCGAGTTTTATTGTAAATTGCCATTTCCATTTATAATTTTACGTGATGAAATAGTAAATTATATTTTATAAAAAGTAAAATCAAAAGACTTATAAAAAATAGCATATATACTTAAAATAATCAAACAACCGAATTAATTTTTTAAATAAAATTAACACTTGAGAGAAACAACTTTCTAAAAATCAGGTAGGATGCAAATTATATTTATTTATTCAGTACCTGAAAATTTTTAATGGTGTGAAATTCGTTTTGATATATCTTGATCTATCTACGTAAACGGTTTGCTTTTTTTTAATGCAGGGAAATCTAAGCTATATTTTCCGTAAAGTTTCATGTTACATATACACAGATAGGTATATATGCGTTACGTGGTGATAACGATTAGTCGTAAATTATTTATACAGAAGATAAAAATTGTCCACTACAAAATGATTGACAATTGAAAAACTGACGATTTTTTCATAATTGAAAATAAACGATAAATATAATCATGAGTCTTGTAAATGAAAAATCAAGTAATGACAATGATTCAGTCACTAATAAAAATATTTTAGAAGAAGAAAAAGAAAATGATAATGGAAACATCAAGGAAACCCAGCATATAACACCTGATATGGTTTTACGTTTACCTTCAATAACAGACCGTACGTATGGAATATCAACCTCATCTTTTTAGTAAATAGCAAAAATAATAAAGTTTAATCAATATTTATTATCTGTTAGACTATCTGTGCTCACCAGAAGCCAATACTTATGATATTGATTTTACTAGGTTTCAAATACGTGACCTAGAAACGGGTACAATACTTTTTGAAATTTCAAAACCTCCACTTTCAGGTATAATAGTAAATACTGATAATAAAATTTTGAAATATGCAACTAATGATAACATTATATTTCTGTTTTATGTAGAAGAATTAAATCATCAAACGCCATCATCAATTGAAGAACACAGAGTAGACGCTAATGCTGGAAGATTTGTGCGTTATCAATTTACTCCTCAATTCTTGAAACTTAAGACTGTTGGAGCTACAGTTGAGTTCATGGTTGGTTCAAGGCCTGCTCGAAACTTTCGAATGATTGAAAGACACTTTTTCAGAGATACACTGCTTAAAACATTTGATTTTGAGTTTGGATTTTGCATACCTAATAGTAAAAATACCTGTGAACATATTTATGAATTTCCAACACTTCCACCTGAGTTAGGTAAGGTTTAAAAGAAGGATAAAATTACAAGATAATAACAATTAGTCTTTATATTTAATATTTAGTTGCAGAGATGATTGCCCATCCTTTTGAAACAAGATCAGATTCATTCTATTTTGTTGATGACCAACTTGTGATGCATAACAAAGCTGACTATGCATATAATGGTGGAACAGACAAAAAAGATTAAAGTGTTTAATGTTCTTTAAGATTACGAAAAGCCTAATGAAATGGCACTAACAGTATTTAATCAAGTGATTTTATTTATATGTACATATTTATATACAGACATACAATATCTATTTATTAATTTCATCACAGATGATACTACGATCTCTTGTTATTCAAAATAATTCTTTTTTATTATTTACACTTTAATCAGCAAGTTTTTAAAAAGCATGCTCTTTTTACTCATTGCAAAGAAAAAAAAACAAATAAAAATCAATAAAAAATTACAGATGATGTTTCATGTTATTTTAAATTATGTACACGTACAAAAATATATTACAATTTTCTTTTTACTATTCAGTTGATAAATAAAACTCTGAAAAATTTCAACCTTAGATTTAGTGAACACAATTGAGAAATTTCTTTCTTTACTAGAAAATTTTCATGTTAATGTGTTTCTACAAAAGTTGTCAAAGTATCAATAAATTCGACAGGTTTATCAGCATGTACCCAATGTCCAGCACCAGTTACATAGTGAAATTTTGCAGAAGGAAAAATTTGTTTAATATTTTCATGATCACTTTCTTTGATATAATCACTTTCAGTTCCAGCAATAAATAATGTTGGTCCATTGTAAGTTTTGTTTTTTTCATTGGGGAACACTGCTATGTTTTTAGAAAAGTTACTTTCTAAAACTGGAAGATTAATTCTCCATTTATATTTTCCTGGGTGCGATTCTACAAGGTTAGTTAATAAGAACTGAAAATCATAGCATAAATATTATTTTACTATTGATATCAGCCATTTCAAAGATTGAACAAAAATCATTTTAAATACCTGGCGGATAGAATTTGATTTAATTGTTACAGATAACTGTTCATCTGCCAATTTTCTTGCTTTAGATAAAGATGGAACTCCATCCAGAGAAATTAAACGCATTGATTCAAATAATTTTTTCATCAAGAGAAGACTTGGACTTGTTTTAGTAGGACAAAAATCAACAACAATAAGTTTTTCCACCAATTCTGGATACATTAGAGCAGTATACATAACAGCTCCTCCACCCATACTATGACCTACTAATACAACTTTATTTATATCCAAATCTTTCAGCAATAAGGCTATGTCTTCAGTCATATGATAATACGACATTTCGGAAGCATGAGGTGAATCTCCGTGATTCCTAGCATCTATTGTAATCACCTGTGATGTATAAATACAACTAAAATTAGAGCTATTGGAGAATAATACAATTCTTTCGCGCGCGCGCACGCACATACACACACCATACACACACACACCTTACGATTTGTCTTTTGATGTATGATTTTGGATAAACTATTCCAGTTACTTTTGGATCCAAAAAGTCCGTGCATAATTAAAATGGGCGATTTGACATTTTCATCAACTTTTTCTTTTGTAGACTCGTAGGACGCATATGCTAATTTTATTGGTACATGACTGAAAACATAGATAAAACATTTAAAAAGTATATATTTTTCTATTACAAACGAATATTTATAATAACTTACATTGAATGCGTACTTGCTAATCCTCTCTCCATTAAGATTGTATTTAACCTACACGGTAGTAAATATAGCGTTGAAGAACATTTTTGAAAAATCATTTTTGGTTGAATGAACGTAATTGTTTGCTAAACTACAGCGTTTGATTGTATTTTATCTAATCTTTCCAAATCTTATAATTCACATAGACATTTTAAGATTTTCAATGCCAAATATTCTGCACTAAACTTTTTGATATCTCGAAAATTTCCAATATAACCTCCTATAAATTAGCAGACGACGGACAACGACAAATTGATTTGTTTCATATGGTAAAACAGTTAGAGCAACAGCTGGGATGGCGCGGCCTAGATATAACACAGCGTGCCGTCATAATGCAGGCATAGTGCGAGTACGAAAAGCTACGCACGCCGTGCCGTCAAAATGCTGTCATTATACGGGCTCGCAAAACATAAATTTGAATAAAGGATGAAAGCACGGCATACCATGAAAATTTTTTTAATATTAATAAATAATAAATTAATGAATAAGAATAAAATTAATTTACAAATAATTTCATAAAAAAATCATTATTTAATAACTACATGATATAAATTCAATACATAATATATATAGTTATTAAATAAAAATTCTTTTATTAAATTGTTTTTATTTTAAACAAAACGGAAATTGAATTTATATACGTACATACGTGTACGCATGCGATACCGCAATCGTCATTTGTTTACAAAACCGTTTCGATGCAATTGATAGTTTTTGGTGGGTGATTGTGACGTTATTGTTCAGTAGAGTTTTTCTATTAGTGCAAGACCTTAGTAATTTATCGTGATAAATTAGTGTAGTGACTTGTGAGTGTCCAGTGCAATTGCGAGATGTTTTGAAGGACTAGAGTTGTGTTTAGAAGAAGTTGTAAAGACGTTGCTACCATCTATAAGATTATTTAAATTATGTAATAAAGCAATTTTCTAAATATTTGCTGTTGTAAATAGAAAAGTAATAATTTACTTTATTGATGATTGGGATGGCTTCGAAAGAATTTATTTCATCGCTTGATTTATTGACAAGCTTCGCCAAGTCCGGTAAATAAAAATCAGTGCTCAAGTTTTTGTCGTCGACTACTGTTACTTTTGGCTTCGATAACTGTGGGTTTTATAAAAAAATTTAATTTAAAATCAATTAATGAAACAACAAACTTCTTTTAGTGAGTTCTTCGCTCTACCGGAAATACGAAATGTCTCCTCATCCTGAATAATAGCTAAATTTCTTTTGCCGATTTTTTCTTCAACTTTCACATCTACTACTGACTTTTCAGGTTGAGATGGCTCAAATGCAAATTGAGGTAAACATTTCAAAGGATACACTAAAATAGAATATCAAATGTATATTATCTAATTATTCACAAAAATTGAAATATTTTAAATACACATATAAAACTCACGGATAATTATCATTTTTAAATGCTCATTAGAAGAAACTTCTTCAACCTGTATACCAGTTTCTTTTGTTTTTGCTTTCTTTACTGTGGACCTAAAAATAAATTGTCCGATAATATTTATAATAAATGATGTCGTAATAAAATGGTCTTTTAAGGGTACTATTTGAACTTACATATTAAATGAAGCATTGCCTCTGTCCCTGTTAATTTTACAATAATTTGCTTTAGGTTGTTCAAATTTAATAGCTCCTGACTAACAATTTACATTTTTCAGTCATAGAACTTACTTGTAAATTCTGGAATAATACAATGATCTAGTAAAGTTTTAATATTTAAAGATTTCTAAAAATATATTGATTTATAAATACCAATAACTAAATACTTGATTCTAATGTAGCTTTTTCTTTGAGTAATGCATTTTTTTCTGCATCTGTCGCTCTTTTTCTTACAATAAACAAGCTTGCTCCTTCTTAACATTTTCTACTCGAGCTTGAATTTGATTTAGTTGTTGACGAAGGAATTCAGTTTCTCTTTCTTTTGTCATGAAATCTTCCAATAACTTTTTCTTTTCTTCTTTCCACTTTTCAACTTGATCATCTGGAGTTATAGTAAAATTTTATTGCAAATTATAATACTACTGATAGTTCCTTCATTATATAAAAAATATGATTTACTACCTGAGACCGTAACAATGTTATTTTGAGATGCTGCTTACCCATTAATTAAAGTAGAATTCATATTGACTTTAATATTAGTTTGAAAAAAAAAAAAAAAAAAATACTAAGCAACGTAAAAAAAGTTACATTGAATTATACTGTGCAAGAAAAAAGGCGCGAGATTTATCGCGGTGGCGCGCGACTATAACCTCTAACCTCAGTTGAAAACAGTAGACCTATATATATATATGTATACGCACACACATACATCGTTTGGTATATGGTGATTATACGCGGAAAAAAGTTACAGGCTTTCGAACAATAATATTTCATAAAAACGAAAAATTTTTTTTTATTAAAGTGATGATCTTCTGTTCTAATCAATATTTTAATAACTTACAAAAATTAGTGTATTTGTTATGTAATAAACAATTTGGTGTATTTGCGGTTTCCGAAAGTTGACTAGATCAAACGTCACGGCCTTTTCAATAATAAAATATGTAGTCGTCGACGTTTTTTGTTGGTTGATTTGCAATATTTCCAGTTCTAATCATTATTTTTGCAATCTGAAGAAACCAGTACGTTCCTTATAATGAATAAGCAATCATTTGACTCGTTTTCCAGCTCGATAACTTGTTTAGCAACAAAGTTATGGTGATTTAAAAATTTAATTTGTTAATAACAAATTATTTTCACCACTTACAGATTTCCACCATAGAAATTCGGAATCAAGAGGTCAAAATGCATAGGAATCACTTAGGTGATCTCAGAGACATTTAAGTCCTACGAAAACCCCCGTTGCGCCTATATAATAGACTAGTACGCCATAACAGCTGAGTATGTAAGTGATTATAGTTTTTATGTTTATGCGCTATATAGATAAAGTGATATGTATTACTGCATAAAATTTTATTCAAACTGTTTACAGTTTAGGTCTTTTCATTTTGGCTAAAATCATTATTTGAGAAATATTTTTACATTCATGCGAGTGCCTTTCTTTTCTTTTTTACCACGAAAATTCATCGACGTTTGCTTTTGCTATGACGAATGTAAAAAAAATTTTAATACGTATAATACAAAAACGTTTATGAAGATTATTATTTGCTCCAATCATTGTAATTTTAATCTGGCTCAATTGATTTTTCAATTATATATTTAAAAAATAAGTCAAATATTTTATTTTATATTTTATTGAGTGATAAATCGAAGTACAAAAATTATTACATTTTGTCACAATAATAATTATGACCATATGCTACAGCTGTAGTATTTTTTATTATAAAAGTTTTTCACGTCAATATTGTGTTATTTACATATCACACGCAGTTATCAAAATTTTATCACAATTTGATTGTTTAACAAAAATTGAATTTTTTAAATTATTTGTTGTTCTATAATTTTCTGTTTAGCCACTTGATATTGATTGAAAAATTCCTCGTATTTATCTTTATTGTATCTCATTTTCTGCTCGAACAAACTACCCGCCTGATAGCAAAACCCGACTGCATCCATTTCAGCTTGAGTTCTGGTAGAATCAGCTTCGTATATTTGACGCTAACTATGTATATATATTACTGCAATGGTAGGGTGTCTCTCCAATACAGACGTAAATCGCACGCAGCTAAGTGTAAAACTTACAAGAAATTCTGAATGCTGCCAACTTTGAAATTCAAAATGAATTGAAAAGACCTAATTCCTATTGTACGCAGCCTCAAAAAATTGTAAATGTAAACATGAAGTCGGTTGACGGCAATCTATTTTGGGCTTCAAAGTATTTACCTCGCTTGAACAAACCATTTCTCTCAGAGTTCAAATTTTTTGCATTCATTTCAGCTTAAGCTTTAACACTATTGGCATAGTGCATTTGCTTTTCTGCGCTTATTTAAGATTTATTATGGACTTTCTAATAGTTGCATAGAGTTTCTATTTGCCTTTCTGGAACTGATCATCTCCTTGAGAATATAGCTGCATGGCATCCATTTCAACTCTGGCCAAATTTGCCACGTCGCGTACTCAAAACGCATATTCTGTATACTCCAAGACAGTATAGGGAGCTTTGACATCGACACTTGAACATTGTCGCGATGGCTTAATTGATAATTTATAACTTCTTAAGTGAAAATTCTAAAAATATACAGAATGCTACAAACTAGCGTAAAAAACGATTTTATATTTCCTTAACCGTCATTGAGAATAATATAGAAAAAGCGCTCCCACCGTTCGATGCGACTATTGTATTGAGGCAAATTATTCAATTAAGCTGATCTGTTGTTTGATTACACTAGTCTCGCTAGAAGGAGCTGTTGAATGGTTAGCATTATCAACATTGACGTCCAATTTGTGCAAGCCCAGAGTTACTATACGTTGTTCAATAATGTTTATGGAATCTATCACTACTTCTATTTGCTCCTGAGTGAATTCAACGCAAGAAGCAAATCGTTGGTCACCTTTGGTTCCCTCTTCGAACTTGTTTCGAGCAATTAAGAAATAATTTTTAGCCTGCTTAAATTTAGCATTGGCCAACTGGTATTTGGCTTGTTGATTTAGTTCTTGCGCTTCTTGAAACAACGTCAATCCAGTTAATTGCGATTCAATACCATGATTGAATGTCTCGTTGCCTTCTATTTTCAACGTGACAAGTACCTCGTATTGTTTGAATTTTGAATTATCTGGCGATAATTCCAGGTTTTTTCTAACTTCACGTAATATTCTTTCGAAAATTTCTGCTGCTTCATCAGGTCGATCATTTTCGGCATCCCAAGCTTGATTCCACAATGTATCGATTAACAATATCTGTGCACCGAAAAATTGAGCTTTATATTTGTTAGCAACATATATATTTCTCTTCGCTATAACTTGGGATTTATCATAAGCTTTTTCATATTTATTTTGAGCTTCAGAATATTTCCCTTGCTTCAATAGATTGTCCCCTTCCGAGCTCAAGTTTTTCGCATCAATTTCAGCTTGAGCTTTTTCTAGATTGGCTTTGTACATGCGATACTGTTTGTTTACTATGGATATCGAGTAGGCCTCGTTATATTTATCGTAGGCCTTGCTATATCTGCCCTCTTCAAACAGGCGATCCCCTTCAAAATTCAAACTTATAGCCCTGAGCTCGGTTTCTGCCTTTTTTGCATTTTCTTGAAATAACTGTTCATTACGGTATCCTTTAGAGCATGCCCGATAGGCATTGTTGTGATACTCGGCAGCTTCGGAGTATCGGCTCTCCGCGAACAATTCACAACCTTTTTCATTCAATTTCTCAATAGCTTCGTTTTTCTCGTGACTCAAGCACTCACCCGTTTTACTGTCGAAATACAATGAACTCCACTCCAATTCACCTCGAACAGATTGTACGGCTCTACAGAGACCGAAGGCAAATGTTCCTATAACAGGTATTTGTAGATTAACGTCTTTTCTCGCTCCCCACCAAAACTTGACTTCTTGTATTCCGTGAGATGCAGGTAATGAATCGCTATCGCCACTACCATTATTACACATATGATGTGGGCCTCTGTAACCTTGCAACACGTTTCCCCAATCGATTGTGGTGCGGATGCATTTCTTAAAGTGATTCATTAGATGAGTCGGCAATGAATCGTAGAAATTTTTTATGTGCGTTTTGTCTAAGTCCTTTTCGTAAAAATAGTCCAAGTCGGAAGACATTACGTAAGTTACTTGAACAATGCACCGAACAAGACAAATATAGCACTGTTAAGAATGACACTGAGCGAACAACTTGATCCACTCTCATCTTATCAACGATATATTTCGCTTCATTATCTACAATGCTCTGATATGCGGACATGAAAGACACGCCTGTCTCTATATTCCGCAAAGCACTTAATTTTTACGCCAATCGCGTTATTACTTGCACTGCATCGAACGATTTGCCCATTCGTGACAATTGCTTGACACTGAACAAGATTCTATCGCTCGTGAATTGACGCCGAAATTTCTCTTGTATGCTGCTGGTCGACGAATAAAATGCTTACACGTGCCTCGGTATTCGCAATATAATAATCGAAACGACCCTGGCGGAAAAATGATTGATTAAAAAAAAAAATATATACCATTAACTTTGTCTTAATTTGTACCATCTAGAGAATACATAAAATTAATTTGTACCCCTGTAGAATTTGAATAATACAATATTTTTTGTGCAATTGTAATACTGATAAATTTTACAGAAAAATCTTTTATTTCTTGAGAAAAAAATTAATTTCTTGCTTTTCCTTAAATTTTACCAACTGAAAATAGGTTTATTGTAATTTTTACACTCTTAAAATTTAATTAGACATGTTAATATACAAAGTCCTAAGGTAACGTGTGTTCTTAATATAAGATTTGTGAAGCTGACGCCCAATAAATTTTTTTTAAAATATCTTTGAGTCTTCATGAGGTAAAACGTTTTCTCCCTATTTCTGAATTAAGTCTCCGCTTGAAATGTTATTTCCGGATTTTCCGTTTTTAAGATAATTGCGAAAAAAAATCGGGCGTTTGGACAGCGCGCAATATGTATTGAACATATTTCTCCTGTTTAAAAAGAAATAATATCGATAGCGGATGATAGCTCCTTATTCCCGGATTACGAGATAATTTTCCTTTTGGTGCATACTTTAGTGAGAAATAATATTTATTCTTTAACGGATGATTATCATATTATTTTGATTGGATAGAAAAACTGCACCAGATTTTTACTAACAATTGAACGGGTTTATTTATCTAAAAACTTTATTAAAACTCCACGTAGATACAGTTATCGATGATCTATGAGTGATCAACTTTGATAATTTTTTTATCAATGAAAATAAAATTATGCGGAGTTATAAATAACTTTTGCTATCTTTGTTAACTACGCGCAGTTTTTGTATAATTTTTTTCGATCGATTTTCGTTAACTTTTGCATTTTACTAAGTTTCTATGAAAAATGCTGTATAATTCAAATTCTACAGAAGTACAAATTATATTTTTGGATTTCGTAGATAGTATGTATTAAGAAGAAGACATTTATAATCTTTTACATTAAAATTTCACGATTTTTCCGCCGTGAAAAGAGATTTTCCGCAGCGCGGAAGACACAAAATTAGAATCGTCGAATCAGACTACGAATTAATTTATTTCTCAATATTTGCGAGGGGTTCAAATTCCAAAATAACTATTTTTCGACTGGTACTGATTAAGGCAAGGCTGATGGTGTATTTTGTTTTAGGAAATAAATATTTTTCCTATCAGAGTTTTCTATTTTATCATCCGAGTAATCAGCTGTTTTTGTAGATATAAGAACACACGTTAACTTAGGATTTTGTATATTAACATGTCTAATCAAATTTTAGAGCTTAAAAATTACAATAAAACTATTTTCTGTTGGTAAAATTTAAGGTAGAGCTAGAAATATATTTTTTTCTTAAGAAATGAGAGATTTTCCTGTAAAATTTATCAGTATTATAATTACACAAAAAACACTGTATTATTCAAATTCCACAGAGGTACAAATTAGTTTTATGTATGTTTTAGATGGTACAAATTAAGAAGTAGGCATTCATATATATATATTTTTTTAAATCATATATTTTTCTGCTGGAAGATAGATTTTCCGCCGCGCATGCGCAGTAATACGTTAATTTGAATTGCTAATCTACCCTACGAAAATCTTTTTTTTCTCTATTTTTAGATAGGGTACAAATTCTAAAAAAGCATTTTTGTGATGGTACAAATTAAAATGAAACTAGTGATATTTTTTTCTTTTATGATATCAATCATTTTTCTGCCAGGAGTATGAGTTTTCCGCAATATCGTTTTTTTCGCTTTTTTTTAAATTTTGGGGGGGGTACAAATTCCAAAAAATGAATTTTCGGGTGGTACAAATTAAGACGAAGCTAATGGTATATATATTTTTTTTAAATCAATCATTTTTCTGCCAGGGTCGTTTCGATGTTCAGTCGAAGCGCAAGTTGTGGGTCGAATCAGCTGACGTATTTCGAAGCTGCCGACGGTCTAGTGCGCAAATGCACACACGCAGGTAAGAGAGAAAGATAAATAGAATAGTATAGTATACTCTATATAACAAACTCATAAAGCCGGTGAAGGGGGGATCTATAAAGCTCGAACTTAAATTATTAGCTCTGACAGCGTTTGTTTTGCCAGTGTCAAGGGAAACAATGCGTTTTACGTAACTATGTCATCATCATCTATTTCGAAATATGTATATATTCTGAGTATATTACGTGTTTTTTTATTATAGCCTTTTTTGCATGCATTCCTTTCGCTCGATATTAGTAATAGATTGAGAATACGTGACTTCGTCGTGAATATATCTTTATTCATTGACGCATCTATACGTTATGTACAGTAATGAACAGTTTTAATCTATTTTATCGATTTACCACAAACGTGGAGTTTATTTTAGATGTGTGTATCTATGCACTATATGCGGGCGTTGTCACCAAATGTAAAATTGTACGAAGAGACACCGTAATGTATGTAGATTGCTAGCCGGCTGTACGACTGTTTGCGCAGCTATGATGGATACCAAGGTCGGGGCCAAAATGGTTTGATATTTCTGCTGGAGATGGATTAAAATTGTAAATGATTCATACGTTTCACCGTCGTGTAATGTACAATCTTTTCTCATTTGTGAACGAAGATATTTTTTATCTAGATCATTCAAAATAACATTGTTGCCGCGTTACGGATTGTGCCTTAACGTTGTTATTGCCATAGTGAGTCATCTAGGAATATATTGTGCGTTTAGAAAGGAATGTCATTGTCTATAGATTGTAATTACTTTGATTACTAAAAATATTTATAATTAAATATTTTTTTTGTTATCAACTTCATTTATAGCTTATTACAAAATGTAATGAGATAAACTACTAACTGTACACTTTCAAGTCTAATTGAGTGTATTTTTATTTTACCTTTAATCATAGTAATCAATAATTGTTTTATTGCACCAGTGATTCTGATTATTGAGTTAAAATGGCAGAGCCAACAGGAGATGCAGAATCAAAATTAATTTCATCACTTAAAGAATCCATGATGTTATCTCCTGAGAAGGATCTAAACTTGGAAAAAGAAGATAATCAAATAAAATCATGGCCATACATGACATTTGGTACTTTAATTAAATCATTGTTCACAAAAGCAATAACTGTTGGAATAATCTGGGGAGTTGGCTACATGAACTGGAATTTTGCTTGGCTTATTCCTCCTATTGCATTTATTGTATTAAGAGGAGAAAGAAAAAAGGATGCTCAAATGAAAAGATTAACTGCTCAAGCTACTGCACTAGCCAAAGATAAAATCATCATTGAGAATCGCATTGATGAGCTACCGGTGTGGGTTTATTTCCCAGACTACGATAGAGCAGAATGGCTAAATGGGGTACATCTTAAATTGATTTTATGCTTTATTTTTGTCTATAGAAAATATATACTAATACATCTGGTTTTTTGCTTTGCAGGTTTTATATAAAGCATGGCCAATGATTAATAAATATGCTCATAACTTGGTTAAAAGTAATATTCAAGAAACAATTGCTCAAACTGTATCCAAATACCAAAAGAAAATGCCAGGGCTTGGTAAAGACTTCACTTTTGACAGAGTGGTCTTGGGAAGAATAGTGAGTCAAGTGATTTGGTTACAATATATTTTTTAAATAATGAATACTGACAATATTATTTATTTTTTTCAGCCTCCAAAAATCAATGGTGTCAAAGTTTATGACAAGCACACTTCAAGAAATGAAATTATACTAGATATGGATATCATGTTAGTTAAATAAACATTAAGTATTTTGATCAATAACATTAAATTAAGTTGAAAATTTTATTAATTTATAGGTACGCTGGAGATTGTGATATTGCATTTACTATGGGATCAGTTAGAGGAGGAATCAAAGATTTTCAAGTGATTATAGCATTTTAATATATTTGAAATTCGGCTTGGCTTTTTGTAATGATAAAAACTTTTCATGTATAGTTAAGAGGTATGCTCCGTATAGTGTTGAAACCACTTATTCCTATCATACCTATTGTCGGAGGTGTCCAGGCATTCTTTTTGAACTGTCCTCTTTTAGATTTCAATTTGGTTGGAATAGCTGATGTACTTGACTTACCTGGATTTAAGTATGATATAATAATTTTTAAATGTTACACTTTTTTACATTTCATAAAAAATAACAGAATATTGTTTATTTTAGCGACGTGATGAGAAAAATAGTCGCTGAAAACGTAGCTGCAATAGCTGTACTGCCAAATAAAATTACTATACAACTTTCGGAAGAAATTCCAACTGAAGTACTAAAAACGCCTGAACCAGAAGTATGTAAATATTTAGAGGAATGGAAATTTTTATTGAAAATTACTGTCTAACGACGTATCGTTTAATCTAGGGTATTCTTCGGATTCACGTCGTCCAAGCAAAGCATCTGCTGAAAAAAGATATTGGTGTGTTGGGAAAAGGGAAGTCCGATCCTTATGCTGTAATAACAGTAGGAGCTCAAGAATTTAGGACCCAAACAATCGACAATACAGTGGATCCTCAGTGGGATTACTGGTGTGAGGTATGCAGTATTCATATTGATAAAATATTTGAAGCTAGATTTACTGCATGTGCTTGGAGAATCAGTTTTTTACGTTTATTTACCTATTAAATTTTAATCTCAAATACAATGAGATTCTCTTGAGAGATCGTTGGATGCCAGAATGATAGTTATTATGTAAAAGATTATTTGCTGTAACAGTTATATGTTAATTTGACAACTGTGAATAATTGAATTATTGGTAATTTTTAACGTTAAAAATTAGCTGCGACTATCAGTTTAAAGTTCTGTTGAGCGCATAGAGCAAAGTGGATATAATTTTAATAATTAGTTTACTTCTGTTACTTGAATACTCATCACGCATTCATAGTTCTGCATATTCATTGTATTCACTCATTAATATCTTGGATTACTTATATATTTTTGTCATGCCATAAAAATGTATCACGTATTATTTATAATTGGTATGAATGTACGTGATGTTACGTGTGCTGTGTTATGCATTAATAGTGTGTCGTCACGTCGGCAATCGCTCAACAACTTACCATCCAAATTTGGGACTTTGATGATACCAAGAATGATGAAAGCCTTGGCAGGTATGATAATAATTCATAAAAAAAACTTTTCTTTTGTCCACAAACTCCAATATATCGCTAGTATTTTTTCTACGTAAATGGGTGACATCTGATTTTCTTATTTTTTATATATTCTTTTGGTATGTGGATTTTTCTAAATAATAGATTCTTTTTATTATAAAGTTCTACACAAAATCATCAATATACACTATTTCATCATTTATCACATCATCTGCTTCGCACGTAAATGTATTTAACAGTTTTGAATGGTACATTTGACCAAGGTGTGAGGTAATTCACTGTGTTTTTCTGTAGGTGGTGTCTACCCAGCTGCTTACTGTGTATATATTTTTTAATTTATATATTCACATGTACTACTAACTTGTAAATAATTGATACTAAAGTACAATTTCAATTGATAGTGGTCGACATGAATAACAGTTATTGATAAGATAGTTATTTATTAGAGTATAGATAGTCACATTGTCTTAATACCTTTTTAATATAATGCCATGCAGAGTGTGATCGATTGTGAACATAGACAAGAAATCAATATAAACGTTTGGGACTGGGATCCAAGCGTTGCTGGTATCGTACATGACTTTCTCGGAAGGTAGTAACAATATCTACGAATGGTTTTGATCTATCTAGCGCATGTTCGATTATTTAAGCTGCGCAGAAAAGAAAAAGAAGCCCCATTTTTTTCCATGCTTGAAACTATACTTTAAATTGATCTAGAAATTCATAACCGCATGGAACATACTATTTTAACGATTGTTTTTTGTTTTTTTTAATTTTTATTGCTTTTTGATTGGCGTAATTTTTTATAAAACGTCAACTAATGCTATCGATTTTCTCCGTGCCCATTTTATTTTTGCAAAATAGCCTTTTTCTCTAATGTGATAGCAAAGTGTTGAAGTATTTAATTTTAATAAACGAGATCGAATGCAACTCAGTCCAACAAATCAAAATACAAACCGCTCTTTAAAATTTCCCCGTATACCTGATTGTATGTACATACATATAACAAAAATCTCACATACAATACATGGACAAAATGATAGTTAAAACAATTGCACATTTTATAAATAACAAATTAATGCTCAAGGTAACGTGCGTTGAATGTTGATCTTTTATAACTAATGAAAAACTAAAAACACGTAACTTCTGATTGGATTGTACTAATTGGTGTCGCTTACATGATGTGTGGCGATAGTGCGTAATGGACAAGGGATTGGGATCCTGGAGCACGGTGACAGCTCATCTCTTTGACAGAGACACCACTGGGACAGACGATTTCCTTGGAAGGTACAATCACCAACTAGATGACAATTTATTATACATATGCATAAATCAATAGAATCACTCGATGTGTGACTGTACCTCGTTAAATTATTTTGATCGAAAGTAACTAAAGCCTCGACATGCTGCCTGCCCGATTATAGAATAAGCTTTAACTTTCAAGAAGTTAATATGGCAGTGCATGAAGAACAAAAATTTATATATCGTAGTTTTGGAACTGTCATTAATTGACAGTACATTATTGTGCTCGGTAAACGCTCTGAACACTGAGAATGGTATGATAAAATTGATTATTGGTTTGGTGCTGTTACAACACGCTTTGAAAATTGTTTTATTTCTCCCTGGAGAGAGAGATATATATATCCATTTTCTGCATGTGCGCGCTTGCAATTTCAGTCATTTTCAATAAATTTATTGAATTACTGAGGTTATAACCTGAACGCTCGCCAACGCTTGCCAATTTATGCTTTTGCCGCTTGAATGTTTTCCAATGAACATTGTATTTATAATGGAAAGTCTTGCTGGCATTCCATCTTAAATTTCATTCCCATCAGATTCCACATAATATCCCATTGACTCTAATTTCGAATTTGTTCTAATTACCACTTTCTTGCACGTAGAGCCACCATCGAGGTGAGCCGGGTAAAGAAGAAGGGAGTTCTCGATACGGTAAACACGAAAACTGTCAAACAATAGCGTGAAGATAATATCGCAGGTATTTGAAAAATTCGTTGACGTGCAATTTTTTCAGTGGCTAACTTTGGAATTAGTGAAGCATGGAATGGTGCATCTTCGCCTCTCATGGCTTGGATTGTCGTCGAATCCTGCTGACTTGGCAGCTGTAAGTTGAACTTTCAGAATACAACGAGCAACATGAAAAACCCCGATTTGGTGAACCGAAACATTTTGTGTAGGCTCTGAAGGAAACTCAAGAATTGAGAGTTACTTCTATGAGTAGCGCTATTTTGATACTCTACCTTGACTGCGCTAGAAATCTTCCCGTAAGAAAACAGGCAGTTTTCCTTTCATGTACACAGAAAAGAGCTTTTTTCGTTTGATCGGTAACTTCGTATTTTAGTGCTTAAAAGGAAGCAAACAACCCGACGTTTATTTGGAAGCAACCATCGATGGGAAGACCGAACGAACGACAACCCAGCACAGATCATGTAATCCAGTTTGGGAGCAAGGATTTGTTATGCTAGTTACCAACCCTGAAACTGGAACTTTGCATCTGCAGGTATTTGTCGATCCGATAAATGTAATTTTTGTTCCTTGAGCACTTGTAAACTTGTGCCTTTGGCACTTGCCTAATGTAGTGCATGATTTCGATACGACGCGTGCGACACGAGATTCGAAGCACGCTTAAGCTATCCCAAGCGTTAAACTTTCTTAATAATTTATAGATCACCGATGAGAAAACTACTACCGTCGTCGGAGTCCTTACTTATAATATTTCAGCTCTTTTATCTATGGATAATATGCAAATGAAATGTCAACCATTCGATTTACAAAAAAGTGGGCGTGACAGTAAAATCATCGTGTCGATGACTCTCAGGGTAAGTTCAGTGAGCAAAATCCATTTGACGTTAGAAAGTGAAGCACTATAAATTCACTTTATTATTTCAGATTCTGACAAATGCAGTGCCAGAAGTAACTTCCGACGATGACGAAGACGAAGACGTTCAAAGTTTGAACAAAAAAATCCAGCGACAGGAGTCGACTATTTCAAGCGTTCGTAAGTAAAAGCTATCTTCTTCCAAAAACGGATATCACGAGAATCATATTCTTAAAGAAACCTGCTTTCTTCTGCAGTTCCAGACAGTCCTCTCAAAAGACACCCATCAAAAGAATCGGTCTATAGTTCAGTAAGCAACGCTACTTCTGCTGCATTGGAAGACGCAATGTCAACCAAAGACAACGTTGAAGATTCCATTCGAGCGGAATATTCTTCAGGTGTATCAGCGATTCCTAGAGTTTCGTCTATTCGAAGTGACTCACCGGGGTTAATTCGTAGAAATCCGAGTGTTACATCATTCGCCGGTGAATCGAAACTCGGTAGGCTTCAGTTGACTCTGAAATATAGCGCAGCTAGGCAAAAACTCATGGTCGTCATTCACAAAATAGCGTGAGTATCATTACTTGATCAATTTGAAAAGTAAAATCAATAACGATCAATAATACAACCGAACTCTTTTCAAATCGCAGCAATTTGCCGTTGCCAGCCAACGACCCGACCAACATACCAGACCCATACGTTAAAATTTATCTACTTCCCGACCGCCACAAAGAAACAAAACGTAAAACTGCCGTCAAGAAGGATAATTGTAACCCAGTTTTCGATGAACAGTTCGAGTACATTGTGTCGCAGGGTGATCTAAACTCACGTGTTCTAGAATTATCCGTTTGTACGCAAAAAGGCTGGCTCTCAGCAGGAAGTAAATGCATGGGTCAAGTACTTATAAATCTGTCTGAGCTGGATTTCACCCAAGCTACTAGTAGTTGGTACGACTTGAAACCGGAAGGAAAAGACTAGAAAATAAGAAAGTTTAAATTATACTATTTCTGCATCGCGTATTTTTCTGAAAAATGATTGCACATGTCTGAATAATGTTTCTTATTTGTTTTGCTTTTTTCTCTTTTTTTTTTGAAAACTCTGATTTTCAATATAATTATGATACAAGATATATATAACTTATAACTGATTATTAAAGATTATTAAAGATTGTTTTTTTAAGCTTTGATAGAAATGAGACGTTTACAGTTATAATTATAAAAAATAATTGTATCTTTGTTATATAACCTTTGAAAAATTTGATTGGGAAAAAATGTTAAAAAATTTTTACGATAATTGATGTTACAAGAATAAGTTTGGTTTATATTCAAAAATTTACAATAAAGCACTTCATGCTTGTGTCTGACATTGCCGTCCGAAATTTATGAAGTTTATTGAATTATTTATATTTGTAGTTATGTAAACTTTTTTTGGCAATTGTAAGGTGCTACATCTTAATAGAAATACTAGATAATACCTAATAGCCTTCATGTGTGATAAAGAAAGTTTAACAACTTTCATAACGAACTACTAACTTTCATAAGTGCTGTGCAATATTCTTAGTTCTTATTACAATTACGTAATATTTGCTTTATTATTCAAGTCACATTTCTAATAATATAGAGTTAATCGAATGATTTTTTTTGAAAATTTCAAAATTTGCAATAGACGAAAACTGTAAGTTTGTAAAATTATCTTGCATTTTTGAATATTTAAAAATTAAAAGTTTGGAAATAAAACGTGGATTTAAAAAATAATATATCAAATTACGATTGCAGTCAACAAAAACATTATTAGTTGAAAATAATTTGAAATTATTGAAAAATTAAACTAAGTTAAGCAATGAAAACTTTGTTAAAAAATAAGTTGATCTAATGCTATGTATTAACGCTATTGCGATACTAACTGTGAATGAATATTATATTATATTTATACGTGCATTTTTGCTACATTCTATCTATGTATATGATATAGTAACAAAATAAACGTCTTATTAGATGTAACTTTCTTGTTTCACTTTCTCATTTCAATACAAAAACAAATAAAGTCATAATTCCATGTTACATTATGAAACGAAGTCAATAAAGTATTGATCTCACACCATCATATAACCAGCATGTATCACAGTAGTTGGCATTGCCAAGGAAACCTCAACAAATAAATAGAATGTTTTGAAAGTTCTTTAGCCCTTGCAACCGTACTAGTATAGCAGTGACCATTCCATAAGCAAATATTCTTTGATTTGTGCTTATAACTTGAATTCAGAAATCGAGATTGCAAAAATAACTTTTAAATATGAACAGAGCTCCTCAATTTCCTCGTCTTCCGGGTTTCAATTTTGACCAAAACGTAAGTCAAAATTCACAATTTATTGTAATTTTTGAACCGAGCAAATAATTGTTATTACTGTACTTGAACATTCAAAATTAAAAATAGTACAGTTGAAATGAACAAAAATGAATGATCATTACTGTACCGATGAAATTCAAAGTAAATATGTTTAGTTATTTCGTTACGATGTTTAACGAACAATTAATAAATAGTCATTATTGAAATTATCGAGTTACGTTGATGTAACGACAATTAATATTTATCGTATTATTAACCTACATTTACGTAAAATAATCTCCCAAGTCACATTTGTTTTGCATTAATTTCGAGTTTGTTGAGCTTCAATGTTATATAAAATCGATAGTTTTTTAACTCAATTCACAGAAACGATGATCGCACAACTTTTCAAATACACCTCGACATAGTGCGCAAATTATGCGCAAGCTATAAGAAACCTGATACTTTCAGATTGGGCGTACGAAGTTCAACAAGTCGCAATTGTTTGACAGAGTTCACGGCAATGTGTACTACTTGGCTGAGAAGCCGAATGCATCGGGAGACAGTCGTTATCCAGCACTGTATGCCTGGGGCGAGAAACCACCAGGTCCAACGTGGCTCGCCTTTGACGGCCAGGTTTGTCAAGTCGCTTGCTCACATTGCACTCGAATTTCATTGATTTTGTGCATGCGCAGAGGCTCATGTTCAAAGCTTACTTTCAAGAAAGCCTTGCAAGCGGCCGAGAGCCGTACAGAGTTCGTCTGGTTGACATAAGCTTTTTCCTTGAAGATGGTACCATGAAGGTTTCCGAGCCGTCAATTGAAAACTGCGGCCTCGAGCAAGGTACGCGAACGGATTGACGATATTCGAAGGTAACAGACCGTGGAACATTTGGGTTTCAGGCGTTCTCGTTCGACGGCAAAGAATTCCGCTGCCCGATCCCGTCAAGTACCGCTACTTCGACATACTCGACCTAAACATAGGCGCTGAGCCTCAACTCTTTGGTCGCGCTTACAAGATTTACGATTGCGATCAATTTACCAGAAGATTTTTAAATCGAATGGGAATCCCAGTGCCAGATCCGATCAGTCCGCCCGCTGATGTTCTGCGCGAGCGGAAGCACCATGTGAGTAATTGTGATGTTGCGTACCTTCGTCGAGCATCTGGAAAGGATCGACTCGATTGTTTTAGGCGTCCACTGAGAAATCTCATCAGAAAAGAGCCGACAAATTGGGCAAGTTCTTGAAGTACGATCGTAAGGTTTTGAGATTTTATGGGTTTTGGGACGACTCGGAGAGCCCTCACGGGTACGTCCACGAACTAGAAATCTTGTACTATTTGGCTGACGATACACTTGAGATTTTGGAAAGCCAGCCTGCAAGGCACGGAGCTTCGACGCGGTCGCTCCTCGTCAAAAGAATGAAGATACCGAAGGTAGATCAGTCGATCGCTAGACCATTCAAAGTACAACTTGGTTGCCACTCTTGACTTTCAGTTTTTCGCCAATTTGGAGCCCGTTGGTAGCGGCGATCCTTACACTCTCTTAAACGTTATGGGTGACAACATGCGGCGAGGCTATTACATTCCGGACAACTCTTACCGAAGCAGAACAGCGTCCGATTACTACAAGGAGTGTGACTTGGCGATTGGCGCGCAAATGGACGTGTTTGGACGGCGAGTTATTATTGCGGATCTCGATGAGTTCACTAAAGACTTTTACAGGTACGATCGCGATAAAACCTAATAGGCGCTTTTCGCGTTGATTGCTCGATGTTGGCATTAGGAAGAAATACGGCCTGGACGCTTTTACTCCAATACCAAAACCCGGAAAGCGAAACGACGAAGGGGAGCTTTGCTACGGTAGATATATACCTCCCTACAACGGTTACGGAAGTTACGAAGATTCTCTTGGATATTGCTTCTCGGTAGTGCCGAAGAAACCAAAGTTGCTAACGGATAAATTCTACCGATACGAAAAGTACGTTCAAACTTGACACACACACATTCTCCCTGTAAATGCATGCGTCGTTATAACGTGCTCGTCGGCGTGTTTACAGCCAAGTGAACGATAGTCGCGTTTTGAGATTTGGATGTAAAATGATAGACGACCGACCCGAGAATCAAGAGAGATGCTTCGTCATCAACGTTTATCTGTTCGACAAGACTATAGCGATCGCTGAAGTGACGTACAAGAAACCAGGTTCGCGCAATTTTCCGCGTGATTTTGATCGAGTATTACGTTTTACATTCGCCGCGTCGGCCCTTGTACACAGGTCACACCAAGAGTCTATTTCAGAAGAAAATGCGAGTCCGACTGCCCGGCGAAGAGATTTTCACGAGCAGCGAGCCAAAGTACTACGAACCCGCGGACTTTTACGTTGGAGCTTGCGTGAACCTCTCGTGCTTCAAATTTTACATCGAAAGCGCGGACGAGTATACATTCAAGTACATGGAGCAGCATTGCGATGAGGTAGGAGGCTTCGATGGAGCAGCGGCTCGAATAATCTGCAGCAATGAGTTTATTTCAGTTCCCGAAGGCCGACATAAAGACGATCTTGTCGAAAGTTCGCGAAAAATTGAGATGTGCGTATCGCCAGTTTACCAGCGAATATCCACCTGTGAAAGTTGATGACGACGCCGACGACGACGCCGACGACGAACCTCCGACTCTCAGTCTTTATTCCCTGAGGTAACTGAACTTTCAAGAGCGTTTCTCGCTCGATAACACACTCATCCCTCTGGCACTTGTTGTTGTCACTTTGCAGAAAAGCCATGCGCGAGTACGTCGGCGAATGCATCAGTGAACACGAGATCATGACCATCGCTCGCCATTACTCGCTCCAAGAGAGCAGGCAGCCTTACCCTCGAGACCATATAAGGTTCGTCCAAGTTCGCACGTATATATGGTACGCATTATATGGTTTGAATAACAATCGTCGCTGACGTCGCGATGGTTTTTCTTTTGCCTCGCAGAGCTTTGGTGCACACTGAGCTAACCCGTTTGGTGTGGAATGACTTGGACCGATTGGAAGAAGATATTTGCGCTTGGGACAGAGACAAAACTGGTTATCTCGGTCGCGATCAGCTTTACACGCTGTTACGCGCCAATAGGATTCCCTTGCAACGCGAGCTCATTCGTCTCATGCTTGACTAGTAAGTCGACGTGACAGTCGGCTTTAACGCGTTGCCCGCGAGGCTAATTTGCAAACGTCTTAATGTCGGCTTTGTTTTCTTTGTCTTTTCATCTTTTTCTAGTGTCGAGAAAAATAGCGAAGGCAAAATTAAATGGCGCGATTTGATCAATTTCCTCGATATCAAAGTGGATCCTCTTCCGCCGGTGGTGCCTATGAACTTGAAGGTAGGCTTCAGGAGAATCACAGAGAATGAAGCTACCTTACATAAAATATTCTTTCTGTATTTTTGCTTTTCTTTTGTTTTTCAAGGAGGTATACTGGACAATCGAAGAGAAACCCAGAGATTGCTCTAAAATTGACTATTGCGCATTCTTGAAAGATCTTGGTTTGGAAAGCGAAGTCAAAGATTTGGTTTCGCAAATGGATGACAAATAAGTATATCACCGTTTGTTTTTTCCAAATTTCATACGTCACATTTGTAATTAAATGAACGACTTGAACTTTTTAATGAATCCGAATGATTGTCAAGTGCAATAAGAAGAAAAAATACCTGGCTAACGCAAGCAAGTGAAGTTACCATTATAGTTTGGCTGCGTAAATGTATTTATTATAGTATATCATTCGAATACAATGTGTCGTTTACATCGAGAGTTTATGGATACTGCTATATTTACATCGCAATTGCTATATTTTGTATCTCTAAGACGCCTACTCTTACCGTTAAATATTCAAGTAGGTTACAACGACGTCGAGAACGGTATAATAAATACGAATATTTAAGTATAAATAATAGAAAAAACATCAATCTTCTAAAACTCTCTGTCGCTCTCAGCATCGTTATAATGTACGATATATTTGAATGAATTCAGAAAAGGATACATTTGAAAGTCATTGCTGACCTTTTCTGCGCATCTCGCGAGACCGCTGAAATTTCAATTTCCTCTCTCTTTATTTCTCGCTCGTTCGAAGACCACGCGGTTGACTTTGAAAATATCGCGCGTAAGTTTGCTCGCACGGCGCCGTGTTTTCTCGAGCAACAAAGAACGTCCGGCTCTATTTGTCGAAGGTTGCTCGAACGAACGAAAATGTACGAAGCCCTCTTATTGCATGGTGAATAGAAAAATTCGGCAGACTCATGATGTACGGCAGTGGCGTTGTATAAAAGTTAAAGAGTGATTTATCCGATGCAGCGCAGATTTAAGTACTTATCGCGACGATTGGCCTGCTTCGGTGCGGGCGTCGTCGACACTCGTACTCCGGGCAATCGCCGCGAGCGTCTTCCGTGCCTGCAATCAATCGACACACGCGAAAATCAATCGGTATCGAGACTCGGCAAAATTCAAGACTCGAGCGCCGTCGACGCGCGAAAAATCGACGAAATAGCATCGAAAGTGGGTACAGACCAAACGTCGACTCAGTTGCATTCGTGGCTGATAATGACGTTTCGACAAGTCTTGCACTTGACGTAGCAGCAGCTGTAGTACTTGCACTCGCAACGCTCGAGTACCTCCTCGGCGCGAGTCACGTATCCTCTGCCGCAGCAAAGGTACTCGCAGCCGTCGTAGCCCGTGCTGCTGGCGTTGCAGTGCCTGAAAACGAAGCGAATGTTCGAATAGCGCGCTCGCATTGGCTGCTCTAAGCCGAGGTACGAGGGTTTATTCTTGGCTCGCGCTGCCAAACGAGCGTCCGGGATAATTAGATTGGCGTTGCAAAGAACGAATTAATGCACGAGTCGTAAGTCAGCGTCGGTGGGGGCACAGCGGGCCCCCTTCGTTACGCTCGAGCGCTCGCGTGCTATTCGATCGCGCGCGTGAACGCGCATCAACGTTTTCTCTCCTCGTATCTCGCGGCGAGGACGAGGAGGTCGAGAGACGGAGAGGGGCCAGGCACGCGAGGAGCCACTCGGCGGTTTCCCAGCGGCGCTGCGACTAGTCCTCGGCAACCGCGACGGCCCGACTTTCGGCAGCTCCGGCGCAGGCCTACGTAATCTCACGGCGATCCCGTGCGTGCCGCTTGCAAAATACCTTTAATAACGCGTTAGTCACAGGTACGCTCGCAGCGGCCGCGGTGAAGGTAAGTCCGCTGGATTATGCGCGCGCGATACGTATAAATAAGACGTCGGCTGACGTTTCCATTTACTTCGGATAATTGCCCCGCGCGCTCGGACAGGCTCGCGAGCGCCAAGGATAAGCGCGTTGCGAGTGCGCCTGCCGGGAAACGTCGCTCGGGATTGCGCGGCTCGCGCCGATCGGCGATCGGCGCTCGGCGATCGCGGCCGAGCCGTAAATCAGCGGCGCCGCCGAGGAGGTAGGTCTAGCTCGGGTGGAACTGCGCCGCGGCCTCGGTTCGTGGCTTAATCCTCGATCCGGTCGCGGCGACGAGTCGGCCCCGGGGGGAAAAGCGGCAGCCTCTGCCTCGGACGTTGACGAGGCACGCGCGCAGTCCAAGCGCGCCTCGCAGCGCTGCTTCGGGCTTTATTGCGCGCGTTAACGCGCCCCTCGCTGACGGAGAGCATGGCTCCGTTTAATTAGGGACCCTCGTCCGCGGGTATTAATGCCGTTTCCCGCATCGGAACGCTCGGCTCGGGCAAGTTTCTCGACAACCGGCGCGGGCCGTAACGTCCGACGCCCAAAGCCGCGTCAACGCGGCGGCGGAGCGCGATGGAAATTAGACCTGTAACGTTCGTCCAATCTGCCGTCGTATTTGGCGCAATATCTCAGTCCGTTTACTCGCTGGCGCGCGCGGCTCGACGCAGCCTTGCTTTACGAGCTCGGCTCTGGCAAACGACCGAAATAAAGTGAAAGGTGCCGCCGCCGCCGCCGCCGCCGCCGCTGAATATACATTCCGGGACTGCGACTGCGAGTGCACCCGCCGAGGGGAAAACGCCTCACCTGCCGTAAGTGCCGAGGCTGCCGCGCCTCTTGTCCTCGGTGCAGTAGTCCGGACTCTTGGTCGTGTAGAGCAGGTTGTTGTGGTGGTAGAGCGGCGGCAGCCTGCCGCTCGAGGTCGGCCTCACCTCGGCGGCGCTGGCGTAGCGCCTCAGCAGCCGCGCGCCGGCCGCGGCCGGACCGCTCGCGCCCAGGCCGCGCCAGCACGTGCGCACGCTGCACGAGCCCGACACCCCGTGGCACTTGCACTCGAGCGCCAGCGACTGCTCCACTGCCTGCGTGACGACGGACGGCCGGTGAGCGCTGGCTCGGCCCGAGAAAGCAAGAGAGAGAGAGAGAGAGAGAGAGAGAGAGAGAGAGAGAGAGAGAGAGAGAGAGAGAGAGAGAGAGAGAGAGAGAGAGAGAGACGGCAACGAACCCTGCGTCCAGCGCGGTTGTTGTGCATGTTGACGGCGTGGAGGAACTTGGCCTGGGCGCCGGCCCCGGGCTGCGGACTGGCGCCCTGCAGGAAGCGCTTGGCCATGCGCGAGGCCGAGCGCACGTTGTCGCCGCAGCCGCCCCACTTGAAGGCGCTGCGCGCGGCGGCGCCGGACCCGAGGGCCAGGTCGGCCGGCGCGAAGGCCGCCGCGCCGGCGGCCGTCTGGATGAGCGCCGAGGCCGCGGCCGGCGGCTCGCGGCGCGGCGGCGTCGCGCACGAGCAGGCGGCCAGGTTGCCCAGGGCGCAGCCGCGCGCCAGGCGCCACACCGCCGCCGCCGCCGACATGGCGTACACGAACGCCTGCTCCTTGGTGCCTGCGGGCGAGCGAGCGACGCGGTGAGCGCGGCTCGGACGGCGCCGCCCGCCCACCCCCGCCCCGTCCCCGCTCACCTGACAGCAGCTCGGCGCCGAAGTCGGGCGCGCGCTCCACGCTGCTGCAGTTCCAGCGCTGATGGCGGAAGGCCTGCTGGCACACGGCCACCGTGTCCCGGGCGGCCTGCACCAGGGTGCGCATCACGTCGGGGCTGGCCTTGCAGGCGCGCGCCTGCTTGCGCTCCAGCAGGCCCGAGGCGCGCGCGCCCATGCACGCCTCGCGGGTCCACTCGAAGCCGTCGGCCGCTCGACCCAGCGCTCTGCGACACCACCACCACCACCACGCCACGTTGCTCGTCCGTCAGTGCGCCCTTGCCCGGCTGCCCCTCGCCCAGCCCGGAGCGGGAGGGGACGGATTTACGACCGTCGCGACGCTGCGGAGCTCTCGGCGCGGGCCGAGTCGCTCGATGACGCGAGCTCGGCAACGAACGCCAGGGCAAATTATATATCCTGCGGCAGCGCCTGATTTATGCGTTCGGTGCTCGATGCGCGCAAGAAGGAGATCCGTTGAGGAATTGGCCACGCTGCGCGGCGAGAGGAGCGGCACGATGCGAAACGACGTTGGTCGATCTGGCCTCGCCAAATACGCGTAACGCTCGCCTCCCCGAAGCCAAGTCGAGTCGGCAGCGACTCGATGGAGAAGCTCGAGTGTCATCGGAACCGCGGCTCGGGAACTTGCATACTTCCGATCGAACGATGCCCGCCGAGGCAGTTTAGGTCCACGGGACGATCCAGTCAAATGAAATGACAGTACGCGCGAGACAAAAAGGAAAAGGGCCAGGTGACGCTCCAGTGGTTCTTCTTCTTTGAGGATTACCGTAAAGCCTGGCGCTTTTACGGGGTTTGGCCGGACGAACGGGAGCGGATCCAACGGGGAGCGCGGCAGTGTCGACGACAATGCGCTCCGGCAAAGGCGTCCGTCCGCAAGTGTCGAAGAAGACGAGCCGATCGGCGAAGATCATCCGCCATTTATAGCGACGGCAAAAGGCGAGTTATTATTATCGCGCGTAAATCCGCCGGCCGTTAAAGCCGCTGCCATTGTCTTCGAATGCGAGCGCGACCTATGGGAGATGCCGCGTTTCAAGGGGGGCCCCACCGCAGAGTCGTTAAATGCTCGGCGCGTGCGCGGCCATGTTGCGCCGACGAGTAACAATAATTGCGCGCCTTCGGCGATGAGCTCTCGGCCGTCGACGGGGCTCCTCGGGGCACGATTGAGAAGCGAAAGCGCCCCCGTTCGGGCCGTCGTTGCGCGAACGACGGAGTCTCGGCGTCGGCGGGCCTCAGCCGCGCGCAAGCACTTGGAAGGGAGCGGAGATCCGGAGAGAAGACAAAAGCAGCCGCGACGAGAAGAAGCGGAGCAAGGATAGCTTGTGGCGTACGTCGGTGAAAGCTGGCGCATGCTGCGTGCGTGCTCGAAAAGGGGAGAGGGCAAGGCGAAAGATCATTGTCGATCCGCGCACGCGGCGTCCGCGGAAAAATTGATTTTCACGCCTCTCGCCTTCTCGGCGCTCGGGCCCCGAAAGCCGAGGATTGTGCGCCGCGCCGCGATAAATTGCCGCGTGCGCCCGCTCCCATTTTCGCCCGTGATTCTCTCTTTCTCTCCTTTCTCTCTCCCTCTCATCTCCGATGCGCATACGGATTCGTTATAGTTTAAAGGTAATCAATCACGCGCTCGCGCGCCACGTTCCAGTCAACTATTTTACGTTCTTCGGCTTTACTTTTTTTTTCTTTTTTCCTTTTTTTGGCTTTCTCGACGCTTCGGTTATCGACTGGATATTCATTGGTTTTCATTATAGCGTTCGTCGCGAAACTGCAAGTCCATCAATAATAATCGTTTGACGCTCGGGTCTCGGCGTACCTTTTACGGCGGTCGAGCTTTGTTGTTTGCCAATGCGAAAATTGCGGAGCTCTGCAGATTTTCGTAGTTCCGACGTGCGAATGATCTTCGGAAAACGTCCATGCGTATGAAACCGAACTACGAAATAATAAAGTAGAAATGCAGCTAACAAAATTGGCCTTACTCCGAAGCGCGCTTTCGTTCGGCCAAAGCCTCTAAATTAAGTAATGCCGTAAACGTCAAATAAACTATCGCTCGTATCCCTCCAATGATTAACATTCATTGAGAGGCCGAGAAAAGGAAGGAGACAGACGTATAGGAGGAGCGACGCGACGGCATCCTTATGACTTACGAGGAGCTCGAAGCAAAACTTCTCGTAGACGGCGCAACACGCCTCCTCTGAAACACAGCTCTGATTACCCCTAAGGAGGTCCTGCGGCCGGTTTCTCTCCTCTCTCTCTCGGCGTCGCGCCTTGTAAATCGAAAATTGAATGCGCGTAGCGCCGTCGCTCGAAAAAAAGTTAATTGAGACACGAGAGCTATTCGCCTCGTACCTTTTTCAAATCTCGTAAATTAGCCTGTTAATTGCCGAAGAAAAAATGTTGCGCCTAATTAAAGCGGTGGAAAACATCTCGTTACGTCGCAGAGAGCAAACGATCGCCGTCGCCCACGCGCGCGGGAATTACAACTGCCGCGCGCGGGCCTTTCGAAAGAGGCGATATTCCGTTACGAACCTTCTTTTTTTCCTTTTCCTCTCTGCCGTCCGAATCCCTCGAGCCAACGCTGCTGCGCCTAGCCTTTAACGTCCTACGCACTACGTCGAGGTTAATCACCACCTTGCGAGCTCTCCCTCTCTCGCCCGCACACACGTACACGCCCGACCGCTCGCTTTTTTTTCTTCTCAGCGCGCGAACCGCCGATACACGGGAATGCGTATTTTCGAGGAAACGGACGATGATTATAAGTCGCCGCCGACTAGCCAACGGCCGTGCAAAAGATCGGGAAGCTCGTGGGCAGCAGCCGTCCCGGTTGAGAAAAGCCAAGCTTCGCCGCAAGCACGCGCGCGACGAATCAATAGCGGAGCGACCTAATAATCGCACCGCGGTCGGCGTGCGCGCGTAACGATGTCCAACCCTTCGCACGCCACTTGAACTCGCTGCTGCGTTTCTTTGTGGCGCGCCTACCGGTTTTTGCTCGCTTGCCGCCGAGCCGAGAGCGCACGCAAAATCACCATCGGCCAGCGCGAGCGCCCATTCATCATCCACGCCATCCCCTGTTTCCGGTCTCATTGTCTCACGTGAACACTGCTGCCTTGCGCTTGCTTACCCTCCCCCCGCTTATATTCTTCGCTTTTTGCTCTCTCGACGAACAATCGCTCGTGTGCCCCCCGACTCCCTTTTTTTTCAAACCGTATGGATTGCTAATTTTGGGCTCTCTCTCTCTCTCTCTCTCTCTCGAGTGCCTGTCTGCGTAGACATCGATCAGCTTATTTTCTTGTCTACTCCTCGGGGATGCAGTTATTGTTGCCGCCGTGCCCGGCAACTGGCGCGTTTTCGAGTGACGCTCGATTACGATATGGCCGCTAATCCTTGCCAGTTGCTCTTTCCTTCGGACCGGGCAGCTTCTATTCGGGATAGCATCGATCGCCGAGTTTACCGAAATCTCGTGCTCGCCGGCAATTATCGAGATTACAGGCTCGTCCAGATCCAGACGACTCGCAGTCCGCATTTGCTCGGTCGGAGAAAACGAAAGCGAAGGAGAAGCGTATCGATCCGGCTTGTTTTTGCAAGCAGCGCATCAAAGATCAAACGTCAGCGCGTCTCCCGCGAAGCCCGCCGTGGACGAGCCTTAGCGGGTCGTCCCCTTTCGGCGCTCGCGTCCGCACGCTGGCTCGTTCGTCGATGAGCGTGGCGCGTCGCGATTTGCCGCTCATTAGCGTGGCCGCATTAATCAACGGACCTCCTCGCGCGCGGGCAGCTCGGCACGCGCGCCCAAAACGATCGCCAACGCAGGCGCGGACGCAGCGTGATTTATCGGGCGCTTTCCCCGTCCGCCGAGCAGCGCGCAGCTGACGAGCGCCTTTGGAATTCGCGCGCGCGCGGCCGAGGCGCAGCCGAGCAATTGCCGGCAATCTATGCGGATAAAAATAGTGGGCGCTCGGAGTAATTAAACGGTGATGCGCTGATGAAGGGAGACGTCTCGGCCTGCAATTGGATGACTGGGATAATTGAGCGCAAATTCAAGGGTACTTACAGCCACTTGATGCACGTGCCCTCCTTGGCGAGCAGCAGCAGCAGTAGCAGCAGCAGCAGCAGCACCAGTGGCGGCAGCGGCCAACGTAGCCGGCCGAGTGCGAGGGGATTCCGCTGATTCCGCTGCATGTCGCCACGCAGATGGACCGCCACGAGCCGAAAATCACATCTCCGTCTGCGTCCCAGGCTCGTCCACGCTCACCCGCTTCGCCGATCTTTCTCAGTGGCAGCCGCAGCGATCGCCATTCGCCGTCCTCTCGCGCCCGGCTATGCCCATGTCGTCGTCGTTGCCGTCGTCGTCGTCGTCGTCGTCGTCGTCGTCGTCGTCGTCCTCGTCCTCGTTCAAATCAGGCTTTTCGCGCACGGCGAGCACTGCTGCGACGCACCAACTCATTCACAGTCACCAACCCGAAGAGAGGAGAGCGCTACTCCCGCCGCGAGAAGAGACGGAGCGCCGATGGTTTGGACGCGTGTGAGCGAGCGCCGCGTTTTAGCTTACAGGTGTCCGAGGCGAGCGAGAGCTGTGCGCGCCGCGCGGCGCTGCTCGCTTGCGCCAGCAGCAGCCTCAACGGGGATACAGAGAGAGAGAGAGAGAGAGAGAGAGAGAGAGAGAGAGAGAGAGAGAGCGACGAAGAGAAGAAGGGGAGGGCACCGTGCGCGCGAACGATGGAAGGGCGGTGCGAAGGGTCGAGCTCGCCGACCTGCATATGTAGGCAGCTATCGCTAATGATACGATGATTTTTCACACAAACCTTCGATCGGCCCGTTCCTTTTTACTTTTCCTTCTGTGGCAAGCTGCGCGATCGACTGACGGGTACGCGAACAAATTTTTCAGGTTTGGAGTGAAGAACCCAAGATTTCCGATTATTAACAACTACGATCGCGAACGAATTTCCGTTCCCGTTTTGTTCCTTGAATCCAAATCACGTATTTTTGCAGACATACGATTAGCAAAACTCAGTCGGCAATTTCGAGATTTCATGCACAAACTACGAGTACTGTCAAAATCATGCTACGGCATTGTCAACGGCATACGCGTTTCTTCCGCTTCACAAATACATAAACCCGGAAGCATCAAGAGAGCAGTTTAGTGATTTTTCTAATGCCCTATAGTTTATGAAACGACTGCGCGAAAAAAGGTGCGCGTTTCTGATAAGTTTCAATTTGGGTGCACTTTTAATTTGGTGATATTAGCATTATTCCATGTGACCTCAAGAATTAAAAAAAGTTAGACCTGTCACCAAATAAATTTACGGCATCCTTCTTTGTGCTCATAAAAGTGCTAAAATTAACATCGTTTCCGTGGTTTTTTAAAATTTCAGAAAATATATCGGAAACCATAAGTTGATTTAACCTCTATTCAAGATTTTAATAGTCACAAAAATGTAGAGCCAATACATATAATGGAAGATTTTCAAAGAAAAGTTTCAAAACCGAAATTAAAACAAAATATAGGTTTCGAGGTAAAATTAGATTTGGAGCTCAGGTTGAGGCTATTGCTTTTCATTTTTTATTACGAATTTCAAAATAAAAAAATTTTTAATATTTTTCATGTTTATCGAAAGCAGAAAGCAAAGCTCGTAGGTGGTGTTAACGTGCAAAAACTTGGATGACCACAAAAAAGTGGGGTCAGACCCAAGAATTGCGCACAATACCGTGAAATGGTGAAAACGATGCCACATTCAGCTACTTTTTTTCATGTAATCGGTCACATACGTGTGCACAGAGCAAGAACCGAGGCAAAAATTTCAAGACGCGAGAAAAGAACTGACCAAGAGGCATATCAAAGTTGGTCAGACAAAAAGGATACGCCGCCCAATCATTAGACCGCAGGGAAAGTGTGCACGAACGAACGAAGAGGCGTACGATAATTTTTTTTTTCTCGTAATAAGGTTGAAAGCCCGCACTCGTGGAAGTGTAATTCTTTTTTCGAAAGGTTCAATTTAAGCGTCGCAAATTAGCCCCGCAACAGTACGTACTCGACGGTGCTAAACTATAATTACAGGACGACTTGTTGAAGATATCACCGAGCATAAAGTGTTGCGCTTACGCGGCGTAGCGCTTTTAAAGTAGTGAATTTGGCGCTCGCAAGAGAGCGTCAACTTAACGACGTAATGAACGTCTGCCGGAATATTATTTATCGGCGAAAGGGCGGCGCGGTAGAAGCGCCTTTGTCGAGGAGTGAGAGAAACGGAAGATCGTTCAACTCTTGGCGCGTCACTGGCTACCGACGTTTGCGCGCGACGGCCCAGCGTTACTTTCGCACCTCCGAACTCGATTATGCGCCGGCGAATGAAAGCGCAGGCCGAAAATTGGCCGAACGACAAAAGGAACAGGGCCGTGAAAGCTCGCGGTATACAAGTCCGCGCACCTCGATATCGCGGGGGCGGGATCGTTAAAAATTTAATCATGATCCACGAAAAAAAGAGAACGAGTTCATCGGACGCTGAATTATCCATAGCGAGGCACGACGGCCCGGAATGCCGATAGGTAAAAGAATTCCAATAGCTATGCGGATTATTAAATGCGCGCCTAGTCTAATCGATAAATCTTGTAGGCAAGATGAAAAATCATATCAATTGTGCAGTGAAAAATCACGGGGGTCGTTTGGAGGATCGAACGGGTATGAGCGAAGGAGGAAGAGAGAGAGAGAGAGAGAGTGAGCGAAGCTATCGGCTAATTGATATCGTAAACGATTGTGCGGGCGCGCTTTGTTGGCGGCTAACGCGGCGTTGTGGGTGGGTTTTACAGAGTGCGGGAATTACCGGAGATAAACGATCCCCGCGATGCGTCCTTTGTTCCCAGCTCTATGAGAAATTGTATGATTCGCTTGAAATATTACGCGGTTGATTTCTTTTCTCGTCCCTCCATCTCACCCTCCCCCACGTTTTTAATCAAGTGCTATTTTTTACGCCTAGTACAGTCGTTTCGAATTAAATCTTCGATTAAGCGATCGAGTCGAGGTTTCAAGGGAGAACGTGCAGCTTTTACTGTGCTCCGGTGCAGTCGATCTGATCCAAGTAAAAAGTCGTCGAGCGTGAAACGGCAGAACGTCGAAGGGCCGACAGTCGCAGCGTTATAAAAATTGGGTTACGATTTTTGTGTATGATGCGTAACAGCCATCTCGGTGAAGCCCATGAAATATCAAACAACGAGACAGCTGCGCGGGTATTAAAAGCGACTTACGAGCAGCCCCGCACTCGCTCTCTCTCTCTCTCTCTCTCTCTCTCTTTGACTTCATAGCACACTGATCCTCTCGAGCCTTTTCTCTACCCCCCTTTCGACAAAGTTTCGATTAAATACACCCGCCGCCGACATCGTCGCGATCCGCGCATCTCTCTCCCACTGCCTCGCTCTCTCCTCGATCTCCTTTTGTTTTGGACTCCACTTTTTGTCCCGCTCGTCTTTTCCTGCATGTTAATTACCGCCCGCTCCCTCCACTCAGCCGCGAGGGCTTCTGTTGCAATTGGCCGCCACGGAGAGCTCCTTCGCGTTGCGAAATAATTGTTCTTTTTCTTTTTTTTCGAGCCATGAATGCCTGACAGACTCGCTCGTTGTTCACTGTTTTGATCTACTATTTAATTTCATCTCTTCCCTTGTACATCATTTGACTGCTCGTGGCGATTCGTTGATTTACGTTTTTCTTTTATTTGAAGCGTAGTGAATGGTCGGACGGAATCGATGCGAAAACCACGGGCAAGTTGCGTTTAAAACAGCCTCGGAAATAATCCGCACCGTTGTTCATCGATACGAGAGTCGCAGCGATAAACAATTATTATTCGTGCATAAAGGCCGGCATTCAGTCACCCAAATGCGCGCCGCGCAGTCAACGTCAGTTTTCGCGTGTCACGTCCAGACCTCGGCCGCCGCCACGCATTCGTGATGTATAACGGTAGGTGCACGTGGCAAACCCAAAGTGGCCTTTTACCGTCCCTCCCTCCCTCCCTCCCGCGCTCGTTTTTGCGCGCCCTGTTGATCTAGTTGTACGTTGAAAAATCGACTTCCATGAATCGCAGAGGAAAGTGCATAAATAACGAGGCCGCGAGCGCGTCAGGCGTACTCTCGGCTGTGAAATCGATCGAAGGCCACGACGACGGACGAGCAGCAATGATCCGATGAGATGAAGCGCGCGCGCGACTTCTCATTTCCATCGAATTGCGCGAAGCTTTAATATGGCGAGGCTGCGGAGCGAGGCGATGCAGCGAGCCGGGGGTACGCGTGCGCGCTCCTGGCATTAAAACGACATCAGCGCTGAAACTCGGCGGGCGAGAAGAGGGAAGACGCATCAGGGCCAAAATGAAACGGCGCGCGCTCCCGAGATTTCGCCTCCGCGCGGCCCGCGCTTCATCTGCATAATCCCTATACAATGACGAACAAAGCGAGTTTCTTACGCGCTCCTTCGCCTCCTCCTCCTCCTCCTCCTCCTCTTCGCTCGCCCGTCGACTCGCTCTTTTTTCATCCTCTAAGTCGCCAGCAGTCTAATTAACGACGCAAGCCGGCTTATTATAAATACGCGCTCGGCTAACTAATTATCCGACAGAGAGGGGAGGAGAGGGAGCCGGAGCCGGCTCGCGATTAACTATTTTTCATTTTTCTTTTCCTCCTCTCGCTGGCGGATGAAACGCACGACGAGGACGCAATCAATTGCGGAGTTGCGTAATACAGATACTACGCGCGTGCTTTCTTTTGCGCAACGGCAACGTTATTATCTATCCATTAGCGCGGGCTCTTTCTCCGTCGGTGGCCATGGCACTGAGGAATTACTTGGGCGCTCGCTATGAAAGAAATGGTAACGCGCTCGAAGACGAAGACGAACAAGTGAATCAATAACAGGATCAACATTATACGTATATTGATGCGAACGAGTCGACGCGCATTGTCGACTCGAAATTTTGCTTATCAGTTCGTTATCGTTCGTCATCGGAAGCGTTCTTGTTGTCCGTATTGTTTCGGCCCAGAATACGAGCAGGGCTCTGCTGTCGGGAGAGTTTGCGGTACCAAAACCTTGCGGTAGCTGTCGATGAACATCTTTAGAGCAACGACGTCCTGAAAAATCCAACAGGTCGCCGGTCACCGCATCGCCCTCGTCGTAAATTGTAGTCTACGTACGTTAGGTCTCTGCTTTGACAAGTCGCGCGTCTCGCAAGGATCGCTAACGATGTCAAACAGACACGTGTCGCTACACTTGGAATAGTTGGCCGAATGTCGACAGGTTACAACAGCACTGGCTCGCAACGCTCGAGCTTCGTCCTCGGTCGAGTTAACGAAGCCGGGCAACCGAGCGATAGCCAGACCAGCTGCCGAGTTGAACGCCTCCGTCAAGTTGTACGACGGGTACGAAGGACTGTTGCAGCTGTGCCCGAAATAACCGTCGATGGACTTGTCGACAGCTGCAAATCGACGAATAATACACAAAGGTGGCCGAGGTCTACGAACAATCTGAGATTTGACGCACGCTTGATGATCTTGAGTCGGCCGACGATCGCCGCTTCCTCGGCGCGCAGCTCGTCGATGTTCAGCAGCAGGTTTCGCCGCGGCGAGGCGAGATCTTCGGTGAGCGATCGCCACTGATCGAAGCCGTCGATGTCGGAGCCGAGGTCGGAGACGTTGCCACCCGCGGCCGAGTACAGCGTCGGCAGCCAGTCCGTCACGTGCACGTACTCCTCGGATAACTTCCGCGATCGCTTGATCAACGGCGAAAACACGAAGGTCGCGCTGCGAACGGCGCCCTCGAACAGCGTGTCTTTGATCTGGCGAGTGTCGTTAATGAGCGCGTGGCCCGTCGACCGGACGGGCCGAGCGCTCGTCGCACGCGTATATACGTACGCCGCGCAAAGGATAATTCGAGCCTGCGTTATTCGAGGGGCCGACCGTCGCCGCTCCGTTGTCGGACATGAACACGACGATGGAGTTGTCCAGCATGCCAGCGTCGCACAGGGCTTCCACGACTCTGCCCACGGATTCGTCCAGTGCTCGCATCACTCCTGCGATTGTCGATCGATCGATAGCGAATTGCCGGGTGAACTGTCGGAACGTTTGGTTAGCGTGTACCGTACCCGCGTGCCTTCTGCACTTCTTGTCCTCGATGTAAGCGAACGCTCGGTCGTTTTCCGTCGGGTCGCGAACTTGTTGCGGATCGTCGGTCGAGAACGCAGCGTGAGGCGCGAAATGAGCGATCTCGAGGAAGAGCTGCCTCTTGTCTGCATTGCTCTTGATAATCCTCACGGCCTCGTCGGTGATCAGATCGGTGAAGTATTTGCTGTTGTTCAGCTCTACCTTCATGCCATGGGAATCGTCGCGATGCAAGTTGTAACCTATCACCTCCTACGTACGAGCGTTTTTTTACCTTGTCGTCGCAATAATAACAGCCCAGAAACATACGTACCAGCTCGTCTTGCACCTGCTGGCTGGTCGTGTTGGTGAAATAGCTGATCAGTCCGTTGTAACAGCCTACGAAAGAGTCGAAACCTCGGCGTACCGGCGTATGGTTTTTAGTGTAATAGCCGAGATCCCATTTGCCGAGGAGGCGAGTCTCGTAGCCGAGATCGCGCAGATATTGTGGCATGAGTGTGACATTGAGAGGCACCCCACGTGGATGTGCATTATCCACTGGTACGCCTTGCAGCCCTTGGACCGACAAGCTCGTTATCCAACTGATTCAATGGAAATCTTGGCTCTTGCGTGCTTGACTCTTAATCGAGCACGCAGAAGCGGTTCGTCGTCTCGTTCGAGTATTCGAAAATTCAAGCGGTCGTATTTTTAAGGATTGATCGTTGCATCGAAAAAACAGTCTTATCTAAGGCAATTACCTTCTCTAATGGCATACCGACCGGTCATCAGGGACATCCTCGATGGCGTGCACGTCGGCAAAACGTAGTGCCTATTCAATATCACGCCGTTGTAGGCAAGGGTATCGATATTCGGCGTAGAAATTTCATTCGCTCCGTGAAAGCTCACGTCGTTCCAGCCCTAATGTTCACGCGTACGGAACAAAAATCAACGGCTATTGTCTCGCGTCAACTCGTTCCGGCTCGATCGCCGGTGCCTTAACTTACCGAGCTTCACTTACCAAATCGTCAGCGACAATTAAAATAATGTGGGGTGGCTTATCGCGACCGTCGCGAGCTTTCTTCCACGCTACGTATCCTACGTAACCACAAAGAGCTCCGATCAACGACACTCCCACGGCTACAATGATTATCTGGTACGTTTTCATGCTCGCGGACAAATTTTCCGAGTAGCGAATTCGCGCGACCATTTATCCTGTTGGAATCCTGCCTGTTGGATATTTACTCGCCACGTACTGAGCGTTGCAGCGAAACTTTCGCAGTGCGACGAGTAAAACGCCTAACTTATCGGCTTCTAAAGTAGACGCGCGCATGCGAGTTTAATGTGCTAATTGTCTATTTTAAGACAAATTAAGCCGTGAAATTGCTGACGAAACCTTCGAGAGCAACCGTGCATTAAACGCACACTTGTAGCGTTAATTAAGGAAAAGCGAACTAACACAAGGTAGGAGGTGGGCATCGACAACTAATAAACTCTTGGAAAACAATTGTTAGGGCGTTTAATGCGGCGCTCAAAGATCAAACTGAAACATTCAATCATCGACTAAGTTACCGAGAAGCACTGGTCAAAGCGGCGTCATCTTTCCTCCAAGGCATCCACGAGCCGTTGAAGTACTGGGGAAACGCACAGTCATCGATGTGCGCGACGCCTTGCGGCGCCAAAACTGCTCGATACTTTTCAATGAGCATCTGTAGAAGCTGCAGCATCTGCAAATAATTGATTTGGAAGCAATAGCAGTCGTGCCAGCACTCGAGCGAAACGAGATCGACTTACGAAGACGTTGACCAGCGAATAATTGCTTGACAAGTCCTGCGTCTCGCAAGGATCACTGATAATGTCGAAAAGGCAGGCTTCCGAGCATGTTTTCGGGACAGCCTCGCGTCGACAATTCACCACGGCACTGTCTCGAAGCTTACGAGCTTGCTCTGCCGTGACACTGGTGAATTCGGATAATCGACCGATGGCCAGACCTGCCGGTGAAGTCAAGGCCTCTTCCACGGTGTACTCGGGATAGAGCGGATCGTTGCCGGTAGCGCCGTAATAGCGTTCGGTGGAGGGGTCGGCGCCTTCGTCGCACGCCAACCAAAGAAAACACGTTATCGCGAGTAATTGTAAATGACATGACGCCAATGCAAACTACATATCCCCACACCTTTGACAAGCTTGTATCTGCCGACAATGGCCGCTTCCACTTTATGCGTTTCGTCAATGTTGATCAGAACGTTGTGTCGCGGTGAAACCACCCCGTTCACCAACGAATCCCACTGATCGTAGCCGTCGATTTCTCCGAGATCGGCGACTTGTCCATCAGCCGCGGAATAAAAGGTTGGCAACCAATCTGTCACGTGCACGTACTCCTCCCACAGCCTCGATGACTTTTTTATCAGAGGCGAAAATATGCAAGCTGCCCCGCGCACTCCGCCTTCGAACGTCGTATTTTTTATCTGATACAGAGTGTTCGTTGCGTGAACAAATCATTCATTCCAATCTTCCGATGTTATATATTGTTGCGTAGAACTGAGCGACAGCTAACAGGATTCCTTAACGTTTCCTAGTTACCTTATCCCGTGACCAGGAATCTCAAAATCATTTCACCGCTAACGTCCACGAGTATCCTTTACTTATGGAATTATAATGTGCAATCAGTAATTGCAAAAAAGTTCACGGGATACTTACACCACGCAGGGGATAATTAGAACCAAAATTTTCATAAAGATACTTTGTTGGCGCGCCGTTATCCGACATGAAGAGGACGATACTATTTTCGAGCATGCGAGCTTCACTCAAAGCTTTGACAACTTTACCCACGGACTCGTCCAATGCCTTCATCACTCCTGTAATTTATTTATTTTAAGTGGTAATCAACTGCTCTAATGTCGTTTATTTTCTAATGAAAACTCAAATAAAATCATTTTAATTGTAGCCATGAAGCAGCTTACCGGCATATGTTCGACGATCATTATCTTTGATATAGGCAAAAGTCTCGTTGACTTCTTTTGAATTACGAACTTCCAGTGGATTATCCTTAATACCGTTCGAGTGAGTCGCAAGATGAGCGATTTCAAGGTATAGCGGCTTTTCGTTACGATTGACCTGAATAATTTTAACGGCTTCCTCTGTTATCAGATCGGTAAAGTATTCATCGTTGCCATACTCTACACAGAGACGTTGATGATTGTCCCGATGTAAATCATATCCTACGTGCTGATCATCAAATTTGTTTGAAAGTGCGTATATCGAAAAAAAGAAAATGATTAAAAGATTTGTTTGAAATTTACCAAATGATCCTCGGCGCGTACAGCAATCGTTTTATTGAAGTAGGTAATGTGTCCGTTGTAGTAGCCGTAAAAAGAGTCGAAACCACGCCGAGCTGGTGTATGGCTTTCGGTGTAATAGCCGAGGTGCCATTTGCCAACGAGTCTTGTCTCATAGCCGAGTTGACGCATGTACTCTGGCATTAAAGTGACATTGAGCGGTAAGCCCTTCGGTTGGCCAGGACTAAGTGGCGTCCCTTGCATGCCTTTGAAAAATCAGCTTAAGATGGAATGCTTCTCTCTCTCTCCCAAATCATTAGGGATTCGATTAGATCCGAGCTACTATTTCAGCGTTTATTCGGAGGATGAATCCGAGGATTAATTCATCGAGTATCGCGGTCGCGGTACGCACGTGAGTATAGACGTGAAATAGCTATGGAGCCTTCCCGCACCCGCCGCTATTTATAATAAATTAGCTGATCAGGCCTCCCCCAAAAGTATTTTGTCGTCTTTATAGTGTCCACGCATCATATATTAATATATCAAATAGTAAAGTAAAAAGTCTAAATTAGCATTTTTCATTGAAAAAAAGTCCAATAAATGCAATTTGGATAATTATTTTCAATACAAGATTTTTTTGTCGTTTTCTCAGATAATTTTTCGTCGCCGGTTTTGCCTCAGGTTGACGCAGTGTACATAACTTGCATATTAAATACATACTTTGATCTATTACTAAAAATGTCACTTGAGGTGTGCAATTCTAAGCACTTGTATCTATGGGCCCACCGCTTTTTTCAAAAAATAAAACTGAGCTGCGAGTAGGCTACAGCTAATACCTAAAGCCTAACCAATTTTGTAGTTGTATAAGTAAGTAAAAATTGTAATTTAACAATTTTATACGCTAAATAACTATTTTCAGACGTATATTCCATTTTCATACGAAAGAAAACGAAATCGAAAATATGAAATTTCTTCTTTGTTTGCCTGTTAAGCTTTCGTTACGAAAAGCTTTCGACAGAAATAGAAAATATTACTTCAATCTTCTAACGTGAAATGTTGAGTAGTGAACGATGTTTTGCATGAAAATGAAAGTGAAGCACGAACTTCTTTCCTTACTGGTACGATAAATACTTTACAAGTACATTCAACAATGTCTCCTTTGATTTATTTGACAATCGGTGCATAATAGTAAAGTTTGAGTTCCAATGGCACTTACCGTCTCTAATGGCATAACGGCCAGTCATCAAAGAGGACCTTGATGGCGTGCACGTCGGCAAAACGTAGTGCCTATTCAATATCACGCCGTTGTAGGCGAGAGCGTCGATGTTCGGAGTAGGAATTTGATTGGCGCCGTGAAAACTTACGTCGTTCCAGCCCTAAAAAGACGTTCAAACTCTTGTACTACGCTAATGTTGTAGACGCGGCAAGTTACAAATTCTTGACTCACTGTTTCTAAATAAAAAACAAAAAAGATCTCGCTTCGGCAAATCCCAAAGCTTGGTTAAGCTTTCGAATAAAAATTGCGACTTACCATATCGTCAGCCACTATAATGATGATATGCGGTTTCCGTGCAGACGGAACTTGAAGCTTACACCATATCGCATAAGAATTAAAGCTCACGAAAGTTATGAGTAGTACTATGAACATTGGAAATGTTCTAGCTCGCCGTACATTTTGAAAGCCTAATCGATTGTAGTTCATCGTTCGTCAAGCACTACTAGGTACAGTTGTAGAACTGTCGATACTTCACCAATTCTCTATGCCAGAAAATGACAGATATAATCGACAGCTTATTGATTATTATAAGTCGTTATTCCGCCATCTAATAACAAATAATACAACGGCTCACGGTCAATGAAGCCTTATCCGTTCCGCTCTAACGGAAAAGTAATTCAACTAATTGTTCCGATAAAATATCAATTTTCAGACAGTCTAATGTAAGATAAGAAATGAGCACGAGGCATGTATATTTTTAAAGTGTTCTCGATACTTTCTACGAGAAAACAAAAGTCAAGTGAAACTTATTCTTCGAAATAAGTTGATGGGAAAAGAGTGTTGTATTTATTTAAGGAATATTGATAATGTCAAGTGACTATGCTCTTCAATATTGACACACGCTGCTTGGTATTATGGTCGATAGATCGCTTTTTAGCCAAGGCATCCAGGTGCCATTGAAATACTTGGGGAACGAGCACGCGTCTATTGGATGACGCGTTCCTGTAGAATTTCTTTGCTGCATCAAAACGCTTCGATAGCTGTCGATGAGCGATTCCAAAGCTTTTACCACCTGGACGACAATATTCAAAAATGAATGATTTGAACGGTGATTATTCGAAAGATCCATGCATGCTTACCTTCGGTCGCCGTTCAGATAAGTCTTGAGACTCGCAGGGGTCGTTGACAATGTCGAAAAGGCAGGTACCCGAGCAGTTGGCATATCTGCTGACTGGCTCACAATGTACAGTCGCTAGTTGGCGTAATTTTCGCGCTTTCTTGGCCGAAGGACTGACAAAGCCTTGTAGCCGCCTGATCACTTGGCCTGTCGTTGACGACAATGCATTTTCTACATCGTAAGCTGGATAAGAAGAATCGCTGCCGGTTTCACCGTAGTAGCCTTCGCCCAGATTTATAGCGCCTAGTAGCAACGAGAAATTTCGATTTAAAAAAATTAGTCTTGCTGGTAAACGAAGTGTGTGAAATCGAGTACATCGTGAATTAGTGAATTGCAAATGAAAACGCTGGAATATTGACAATGCAAGAGGAAATGACTTGCAACGCGATGCCCCAAAGCTTCATCTGACCTTTGACAAGTTTGTGCCTGCCAATGATAGCAGCTTCCCAATTGCGCATCTCGTCGATGTTGACGAGTACATTGTGTCGCGCCGGCGCGAAGGAAGCTTGCGTCAGTGCTTCCCACTGATCCATGCCGTCGATTTCACCGAGATCGCCGACTTGCCCACCGGCGGCCGAATAAAGGGTTGGCAACCAGTCGGCTATGTGAAATAATTGCTCGGACAGCCTCGACGGCGCTTTGATCAGCGGTGAGAAAACGCAGGCTGCGCCGCGAACCGCCCCTTCGAATAACGTGTCCTTTATCTAGAGTGCGACAGATAACGCGCAGAGCGTACGAACATTGGGTCATTTACACTTGTTGATTGACATTTCTATCGAAAAGTTAAGCAGCCGTGCCGACTTTGTCACGACAAGAGAAGCTGAGAAGCAAGGATCAATAAGCCCGATACGGGTGCAAAGGAAATCTTACGCCACGGAGGGGATAATTAGAGCCGGCATTCTCGTACATGTCGATTGTCGGCGCTCCGTTATCAGCCATAAAGACGACAATACTATTGTCCAACATTCGGGCTTCGCTTAAGGCTTTCGTAATCCTACCCACTGACTCGTCCATTGCCATCATCATCCCTGTGCACAACGACAATCATTATTCGCGGCAGCGCCGGCAAACAAGTCGCTTCGCCGCGCGTACCGGCGTATTTTCTGCGCTTGCTGTCCTTGATGTGGGCGAAGGTCTCGTTCACCACGGTCGCATTGCGAACTTGGAGTGTTTCCAGCGGGGAATCGCTGGCGTGAACCGCCAGATGTGCCACTTGAAGAAAGAGTGGCTTCTCATTGCCATTGCTCTTTATGATCCTTTCGGCCTCGCCGGTAATTAAATCGGTGAAGTATCGAGAATCGATGGGTTCTATGCTCAGACTACTTGGCCCGTCACGGTGAAGGTCCTTGCCGGCTCTCACCTATTTTTTATTGCCAGGCAAAAACATTGTTCTTTAGATCTCTCGATGACTACTCAACTCAAACGACCGTTTCTTACAGACGATACTTCGCGTCAAATCATTAATCAATGCAAGCAAAGCTCATGGTCTTTACGATCCATCTTATTTGTATAACCGATAAAGCTTTATTGCGGTATGATATCATCCGCCAATAAACATATGTACGTAGTCGAGGCTGTAAAATGCTTTTGTCGAAGCTTGCGCGTAAACGTGACCGGTAGAAAACAAGGCCAAGGTGTTCTTAGCTCTCTCTCTCTCACTCTCTCTCTAAGAGAGATCACTTTGTAAATCGAATGATATTCCAAATACTCACACTTCCGTCGTCCAACGTTTGACTAATAGTTTTATTAAAGTAGTCGATGTATCCATTGTAATATCCAAAGAACGAGTCGAAGCCTCGTCTTGCTGGTGTATAGGCTTCGGCGTAGTAACCGAGATGCCATTTGCCGACAAGCCGGGTTTCGTAGCCAAGCTGTCGCATGTGCTCCGGCATTAGAGTGACGTTCAGGGGAATACTTCGCCTTTCGCCTGCTTGTAATGGAAAACCTTGCATCCCTTCGGAGCAGATTCAATAATCAAATTGATTTTTAAAAAGTCATGGGATCTCGGTGTTTAACTTTCTTATCTATTTCTATTTTTATTTTGTTATAAAACAATTGTTGCTTCTATTAATTCTACTTGTGTGTTTATTTAATATTTAAAAAACAAGTATTCAATCATTCGCTACTATAGCGATTCCATTTTGAAAATTTAGGAATCAACTCCATATCGCTTGCTAATTATTTTTATCCTCTAAACGACTCCAAACAAATTGCGCTTCATCGTTCCTTCAAATTTCGAAGAAGATTCTGTCCACCAAAGCATTGCCATCGCTTTTTAGCTCTTTTTAAAAATTAAGTCTATGGTACGCTGAGCAAATCGTACCGAGGAAAGATAAGTGATAATTTAACCACATAAATAATTTGCTTTTCGGTCAACAATCGTTTCAACACAAGAAACTGACTATGCACCATTAAATGCATTATTTAGTACTTAAGATAATTTACAAAAAAAGCGCTTCAAAGTGCATTTGACGAAACTAAATAAAAGGTAAGTGTCAAATATACAGAAAAACACTGACCTTAATAAAAAACTGCTCCGAAGAAATGACTAATAAACGCGACAGTGAAATTATTTAAGTAAAATAAAATATGAACGTTAAAATGAAAAATAAACATTATAAAATTTTGAGCATTACTGTATAATTTAGAACAAGAGTTACAATTGCATTTAACAATTTCACTGGCATAATATAGAAAAAAAGATTTGCTCGATTACCGTCTCTAATGGCATAACGGCCAGTCATCAAAGTCGTCCTCGAGGGTGTGCAAATTGGCAGAACATAATGCCTGTTTAATATTACTCCGTTATAGGCGAGAGCATCGATGTTCGGGGTGGGAATCTGATCTGCGCCGTGGAAACTCACGTCGTTCCATCCCTAAAATTAATGCCAACCGCAAGCTCAGTATTGTCGTTACATCAAGCGGCTCTCTCCTTTTTATTTGCGACTATTGTCCGACAATCATCCACGTTGATTTTGACATTATTATTATTGATTGCCGACGTTAACATTGAAGATTATAGTTTCTACTTACTTTCTCACATGCCATTGATGCGCAACACGCAGTTAGATGGTCCTTAATCGATATAATGGAAGGACTAGCAATCACCCGATAACCACCAACTTGGCGTACAATTAAATACAAAATAATTCAAACACGTACCATGTCATCTGCTACAATGAGTATAATATGCGGTTTTCTCATCGATTTGGCTTGAGGTTTCTTCCAAGCTACAGTTCCATATCCCAACAAACTGCCAATCCCAATCATGCTCGAAAAAGTTAACAAACATTTCAGATACGTATTCATCTCTTCGCGGGTATCGCTACGAAACGCAATGTCTGCTCGCTTGCGCACGCACGCCACAAATTTATCTTGTCCGCAGTAGCACTGTTGGCGTATCGGTGCAATCAGCTGGAATGAATAGCTTTTTTCCTTCTCTGACTGCTTACAGCAAGGTCGCCGCCTGTGAGCACGAGCCACGCTCTGCAAGTGTCAATCCGCGATATTGCAACTCGGGCGTCGTTTTCGGTCGGACTGATTCGTTAATCTCGCTCGACTGACTGTTGTTGCATATCCCGTTACCGCGTCTGCAAACTCAATGTTACGGTGAAGCTAGTATCGTGGCGCCATGTGCTTTTTGCGATGACTAGATCGACTATATGGAAAAGTCATCGGTTATTATATAATGTAACTATTTTTATCGACTAATTCATTTGTCCAAATTTATTTCTGATTTTTTGTATTTTTTAAGTCTATAAATTATTATATATAAAAACATGTTTCGCTACTATTTATAGAACACTTGCAATTAATTTTCCTTAATGACGTCTACTTAAACTTATGGAAGATTTACTTTGTATTGAAAAAATATTGAGTCTGGTTGTTGAAAAAGAAATCAATATTGACATTGAGAAAAAGAAAATTTACTACGAAATTAACTTAATTGCATTACAAATAATTTCGTGCCAGCACATTAGTGCTCGATAATCACGGAAAATCAGGAATTGGTAATTCATGACTGACCGTCAATATTTTCTTTTCCTTTAATTCTGACAAGTATTGTTATAAATACTATTCACCAAGTGTATTCATTAAACAAATTTATACGTATTATCGTTTCCGATGAATGTTTTGTAAGTAAACCAATGAAAGGAGATCGACAAAGCAATCAGCATAAATATTGAGCGAAATGGAAGATCTTTGAAACTGGCTGATTATCCATTCAAACGTAATGAATGGAAAATAATACGGGGCGAAATAAGTTGCCACATTTTTTAAATTTTATTTAAAATTTAAGAAGTTAAGTTACGATCTGATAAAATTTTGAGTTACTTATTTATTAATTATTAAGCTTAACCATTTACAATACTATAATAATATCCGATACAGATGTATCTATTTTTTTTACATATGATCATCTGATTTATGAAACTACTCTCTATAACGTTTTGGTTTTCAAAATTCTTAAGCGTAAATAATACTCATTATATATATATATGTAATGTAAAATTTGCAATTAATAATAATAATAATTACAAAACGCTTCATGGAAAAAATTTACATAAACCGGTACAACGAGTTTCGAATAATAAACAGCACTGTATTTTGAACATTATTCTCAAAGAGCAAATGAAAGAAGTCCAAACAAGCTCACCTTGACAACTATAACAAAGAATCATCACTTTTTGCGATTTTAAATACATATGAATATTTATGATAATAAGAATTTTTTATAATAAAATGTATTTAAATAAAGTATGTAGACGTTCATTTATCTTTCATAAACTTCTTTTTCAATTGCAGTAGAAAAAGAAAGCTTACATTTTTTTGGTAATAGTATACGGAGCTCGCAGCGCTAATTGAAATTCAACACACGTCAGAGTCTTTCGTTGTGCATCAAATATGATTGCGTTTTAATCTTCTATATATCAATTTTCATAGACACTTCGGGTATCGTTATCCGTTCATCTTATCGTATCGTTTTTTTCCTTGTTACCACGATCGCGGCACTTGGGACATCGTTTGCAATTGGATTTGTCTTGAGGATTAGCACGAAGTCAGATGAACGTGCGCAATCCGATGATAATAAAAGCCAGACCAATATGAGCACAAACTGCAACGCCGCCAAAAGTCGAGCCAGCGTTTTGATAAAAAGACGTATAATAGCTATCGTAGACACCGCCGAGCCACGGTTGCCATGTGTAGTTCCAACGACGTGGCTCCGCATTGTAATCCACCGGCAGCTCTAACTGGCGTTGCAATACGTTACGATAACGTTGAATGTACTGATTCAAATCTTCTGTAAACTGTAGAATCAACAAAACAAAAACAATTGAAATTAATCGAAATGTAACCTACTGGTTTGTCTCTTATTTATTGATTATTCATTCACAACCGAGAGTACGCGGCTGCGTTAAAAATATTTTATTGAAAATTTATGCAAGCTACTGTATTAAAAGTAATTTTCACGCTGAATTCAATGAATAATTTAAGTAGCTGCTTAACTATTTGATTAGATCTAATCGATACATATTTAAATACGTATGATAATTGATTCGATAAAAGTCAAGTAACAGCCACAAATGTGTAGTTATTTTACGAACACAGTTCAATAAATATCAACAAATTCAAGTGATGTGATTCCAATATACAGCCGAAAAATGATGTGACGCTAGAAAACATAAACTACAAACCTTAGGATAACTCTTAGCAATATTATTGGTTTCACAAGGATCGCTGCTAAGATCGAACAAACATTCGCTGTCGTTGCACGACGTGAGAGTTGGTCGATTGACGTAGAGCATATTGGTGATATTTGGCCTGCACAAGACAGTCGCCTGAGCTTGAAGATGCCACATACTACTCGCTTGAATGACCGGTCCTCCGAGATGCTGACGTATCGCATCGGACACTGCACTCTGCAGTACTTTGGTCGTGTTGTATTGTGGTACGTCACGACCGCGGCCTGTATCGCTTTCAACGTTGTCGTAGTAGCCGCGAAATAGTGAACCTAAAACATGAAAATTATGTATAATAATTAATAAAAATTAAGCCTTCATTGTTGAAAAATTGTTAACGTACCTCTGACGAGCTTAAAACGCTGATAAATGGCAGCTTCAGTTCTGGTGACTTCGTCGATGTTTAGAAGAATGCGGTCGCGTACATTGCCAGTGCCGATACTCAATACGTCCCATTGATTGACACCGTCGATCGGTGGAAGATCATGCAGATCACCACCGGCTGCTGAGTACAGAGTTGGTAACCAATCAGTCACGTGGAACAGTTGTTCGGAAACCCGACCTTTGCTGACTAATCTTGGTGACCAAATTGCAGCTACGCTACGTACGCCACCTTCGTACAGCGTATACTTTGTCTGCACAAAGGCGATTGCAGTGAAAAGAAATGGTATGGAAAATATTTGCTGATAAGGTGTGCATACTTACGCCTCTAAGTGGCCAATTAGAACCCCAATTACGGAACTTGCCAATCGGCGCAGCGCCGTTATCGCTGAAGAGTACAATCACGGAATTCTGCAACAATCCCCGATCCCCCAATTTGGACATGACACGGCCGAGCGATTCGTCCAACTTCATCACCATTTCTGCAGATAATTATCCATGTAGAATAAAACTGTACTAGAGCAATTATTCACAATGAATACATTGCCAGGCTCACTTGCATAATTACGTCGATTAGGATCAATGATGTGTCGAAGCTCCTCGTCATACAGATACTCGTTAGGCACGTCGAGCGGTGAATGAGGCGCCAAATGATTGATCTGCATGAAAAGTGGCTGAGTCGGATCGTGACGTTCGATTTCATCGATGGCCACTGTGGTCAGTAGATCGGTCAAGTATTCACCTTCCATGCCGTAAGCTGGATTGTTGTTCAGGTGCATATCGAAACCAGACATGTTCTGCAAAAAGGCTCAGTGATCTTAGCCGATTAGCCATCTGAATCGTGACAATGCACAATGCCTCGCCGAGACTGGAGCAAATTGATTTTCGCTAATGGCATTCACTTGATAACGGTGTTTTATCTCAGAGAATTCAACGATTCAAAATCACATATGAAAAAATATTTCCTTATACATACACCTTGCGTGTACCGGTAGTCGTAGTAGCCAACGTAGCTATTGTAAAATCCGAAGAAAAAGTCAAAACCACGATGCTTCGGTGTGTGAAGTGGCGTGTGATAACCAACGTGCCACTTGCCAATGAGCTTCGTAGTGTAGCCAAGTCCTTGCAGGCACTCCGGCAAGATTTTCACGCTCAATGGAATGCCGCGGGGCTCGCCGCCCCGAATTCCACTCCCTTGCATCGCTGCCAATCGACCGAGATACTTCCATCAGCGAATGGAACAAGCGCGAATGGAACCAGTTGACAAGATGCGAGTGATACGTACCCATTCTGAGAGGATATTGGCCTGTGAGAAAAGCCGCTCTGGTCGGACTGCACGAGGGCTGCACGTAATGCTTGTTTAGAATGATGCCGTTGTAGGCAAGCGCGTCTATGTTCGGTGTCGGGATTTGTGACGAACCGTGAAAACCCACATCGTTCCATCCCTGCGTATTTCAATGAAATTTAATGGTTGTTTTATGCGTACGAATGCCTATACTCATGCTTGTTAACCAATTTTCAATTTCAATTTGCATTATCTGCAACGGGATCACGCCTTGCAAGTTTTTATTGAAATCGCGAGTGATGAATCGTCATTTCACAAGTAGCTGTGGCGATGCTCTTGAATTTCTAGTGCGTTTAGATGTCTTGCATGAAAAAAGAAAGGCAATGAAACAAATAGCTTAAATCACTCGTATATAGAAGATTATGTTCGAAAGACTGACTGTGCCGCAGTGTTACTTGACTCGTATAAAAAATACATACCTATTTATGCTACTCAATACATATATTGTTCGCTTACTTTTTTCTAGTTTATCAGCTTTATCTAACTGCTATGATCGTGCCGAGTAATTGATATTGTTATGAAATAAAATTTAATCTACGATCACTTGGTATTAATTAAAAGAAATGGATATTTTATAAATTTGGCATAGAAATACGTTAGTGTGTCTAATCCACTCGACACACAACGTCCGCCACTCTATCACTCGAAAAACATTTTAAAAAAAAACCTTAAAACTTCATCCAATTAGCTTGCCCGGAAGTCTGCAGAGCAAACGACGTCACCACGCTAATTAAAACCGGAAAGTAACCGTGCGGCTACATTTCGGCTCTGGGAATTTTTATTTGTTTGATGCTCGGATGTGCACATACTTATACGCGCGACAAGTCTTTCTCTCGGTGAATCAGCAATGGGCATCCTTGCGTAGGCGTAGACGCTGTAATTGTCTCAACTAATGACTACATTAATTCAAGTCTCGCGACGGCGCTAGTACTCGATTGTGGAAAAAAAGAAGAAGTCGGAAGACTACTCATTGCCGCACTCTAATGACTTAAAATAATAATATTATGCGCGCGAGCGGAACTAGAGAGAGAGAGAGAGAGAGAGAGAGAGAGAGAGAGAGAGAAGGAGAGAGAAAACCGCAAATGAAGAGCATATGTGTCATTATTCAATCAACCGATTGTTGCTTAATAGTCATTTATGATTACAAGCGCGCCAACCGCCTCATTAAATATACGCACCAGATCGTCAGCCATGAAGACGATTATGTGGGGCGGTTTGTTGTACAATGGCGTCTCTTGTTCTAGTTGACCATAAGTCCCAACCACAGCCCATAACAGCAGATTGAAACTCTTCCACCGCATCATATCCATTCAAATGAAACCTTCCTTTCTTATATCGTCTTTTCGCTGTTCTGTTGCTTCTACGTTGTCGTTGTCCACTTGGTTGACGCCGCTCTTTTTCTGTCCCTTGGCTCTCTCGTTCGCGCGCCGTCAATCGCACTCTATTAACATGCAAAATTAAAATCATTTAAATTGTATTTTGCTCGTTGAAAGGCATTAATTTGTTTTTCTTTTTACATTTCGTATTCGTTGTTAATTTGCAACGTAACAAATGTCGCAAACGTAACGGGTAGAAAAGAAAACATTACAAAATTCATATTGATGTTGATCTGAGCATTATCAGATTTTTAGTACCGAGTTGATCGAGACAATGATATTGAGTAAAGCTTAGTTTAGTAGAGTAACAATCTGAATAACAAAAATTGACTTAGATAATTCTGCAATCTGATCGCAGAGGCGCACTTTAAAAATATTGAATGTCAGTGAAACTACATGCTTTTTTCATTCATATCCAATTTGTCAATAATATAATAATACTATTTTTAAATAGCTTTTTTAGTCAAATTTAATCAATGATAGATTGTAACAATAACAATGAACTCACAATTTAAATAGTCGCACCAAAATGAACGCCAATTAGATTCATTAAAAAAAATCAAAATTAAATTTGAGCAACTATCACGTGTAAAACACAAGTAGATAATCTGAGAGACAATAAACGAACAGATGAACAAAAAAATTAAGCGTCCCTATGATCAGCGCATCTTGCGTTGCAAGTACTTTTCCCGAACTGAGAAGCTTCGCGTGAGATTAGGCCGGCTTTATATACCCCGCCCACGAGACAAGTGGCTGTTGTCGATGAATGAACTGAAGAGGGCCGCTTTGAGAGAAAAAAATACTCAAGACATAGACTTGTACTTCAGTAATGACGAGCATACTTACGTGACGCATCTCAACCTAGACGCCGACTTATACTTGCGCGTCTATGATCAAATAGAACGCCGATGAAGATCTTTTGCTTGATTGATTGATGGGAAAGCGAATGTGAGCTATCCGTGTGGTTTTTATTTCTTTTATGTTTCCATCTGTTTTCGATTAAATATTGAAATTGAAATATTGCATTTAAGTACAATTAAATTTTTAATTTCATTATTAAACACCTGTAAATTTTTTCAATTAAAGTTTTCTATAAGAATTTTTATATGAACTGTTATGAAGCACATGAGGAATTTTTTCGAGCACAAAGGATTTGAATTTTCGTTTACGTACAAAGATCAGGTTGATAAATTGATAAATGAATATATGTACCTTGATTTTTTTTTTACTCGAATAACATGATGTCAATAGTTTGCGTTTTTAATAAAAATGGTCAATTTTATAACATATTAATATTAAGTATATTGCATATTATTCAACGTAAAGAGTATTTCACAAATATTTTATTTGCTGCAATGATATTGATTGATTACATGATTTTCATATTTGATATTTCATCGTTATTATTAAATCGCAACGCATTGTCAAATTAAAAAAATATGCAACGGAGCATTTCATTCTGCACTCAACTGGACAGCTTTTATTCCAAAATTAATTCGATGTGGCTTTCATCAGATATAATTAATGCAATCAAGAAGTTAATTCGTCACGCACGGGACTTGAAAATATTCAAGTAAATGGCCTGTCAAAAAGAAACTAATTTGCGCAGCGTACAAATGTTAAATCTTCCGTAATTGTGGTTTGCTATATCTTGTAGCCTCGTCGCAGACAAAAGGTGGCGGTTTTACTTCCGTTGGGACAGTTTAACACTTTCTTTGTCTTTGTTGCTTTTCCTTTTGGAGAGACGTAGACAGAGAGCGTCAATTCAACTTATAACCGCAAGCTGCTGCATCTCGCCTCGCGATTAAAGTGGAGGAAGAATTCATGAACGGCACGCGCGTCGCCCCTCCCGTATCATCTTACACTATCCGTTAAACTAATTCAATCTAAAGCAGCGACATAGACGACAGCTGTTCCTGACGCGCGAGCTCGCCTGAAAAGTCGGAAGAGCTTTGTATAAGTCTGTGACGTTTAATTAATGACACACTGTGCGGCGCAATGCGCGCAGGGGACCTTGTTTATCAATGCCTTCAGGAAAATTAAGCGACCCGCGGCTTCGCCACTTCTAAGTGATCGAGTTGGTCTGTTATGTACGCGTGCGGCTGCTTTATATTCAACGTTTCGTTAAATGTTATTGAGACCAGCAGATGCTGTTGACTCGCTTAAAATTCTTTTCTGTACTTTCTCTGTGCTTTTAAACGAGATGCAGCTGATTGAATGACAGTGGACGACGCCTTGATATTAATTTTCTCAACAAATATTTCTTACTGCAGTAGTGTTCACTTTTGAACAATTGGTAAATGAACCGACGATATACCGAATCTATTTCAAAAAATTATTATAACGAAATTACGTATTATCGTTTCGATTGCAATTGTTGAGAACAATTAATGATCTTATTTGAATTGTCAATTGATTCACCGTTAACCAAAAATAATATTCTATTAAAAGGCATAAAATTAAAGACTAATAGAGATGGTTAACTCTTTTTAAATAGAATAAAATCTATCATCAGCTAATTCTAGGTTAAAGAAAAAATAATTTCGGAATCTTAGAAAAAAGTGCGCTGTGTTGTTTCTTCTTTTCGTTGTTTCTTCGCGAATACTCCAAAAGTAAAAGCTCGTATGCCTGAAATAAAAAAATTAAACATATGATAACTAACAAATATAAAATTCGGATTCTCAAACAAATGATTCACTGCATACTTGAATCTTGAATATTCTGACTTTTAGAATAATTGGCAGGTGACTGAGCAATAATATTTTCCGGTGGTTGCGGATATTGCATTTTAGGACTAATCTTCTGCATTGGAGAACACGCATTTCTCATAAACTTGTCATAATCTAGATCACCGTCCTCAGAATTCAGATCAGAGTCTACGATTAAAACATTTTTTTATTCGTTCGTATGAAAAAAATTTAAAAAGCTATTTTGCTAAAGTTTACCATACAAACGCCTTGCCAATTCAAAACTACCTCCAGGCTCAGTAATCTCACTGCCAAGAATATATGAGATATTATCAGGGAAGTTATAACTATTGTCAGCTGAATGCATGGTTGTAGACATCATACTTGACGGCTCTATTACTGCGGTTTTCGGAGTGATGTTTTCATTTTGCTGGACTCCATTTCCGAAAGGAAGTTGGTAGGTGACTGGCGTCGATTTCATTTTCGTCATAGCTGAAGTACTCCTAGTTGTTGATATTTCAGACAACGTTTGAGGTGCTGGTTCTACTGGTGCTTGAAATTTGCTTGACCGCTATTCAAAATTTAGCGTGTTACTCATTTAAATAATCTAAACATACGTTGAAGTCACATTTATTATCTAGAAAAATATTCCTACCTTGTAGTTAAGAGCTTGCAGATCGTAGTTTACATAATCATTCGATACGATCACTGGCTTGTTGGTAGATGAACGCTTCGAAAAATCCAATTGCTCCGAATTCTGTGGCGACACTTCCATTTTCTGAGTTTGTTGGCGCAGTTCTGAGCGTTGTTCGTCTCGCAAGTACATCTCCTGCTGATGATGATTTTGTTGATGTGTTTGTTGTTGCTGTATACACATTTTTTGAGACGATTGTCGTGATACTTGTTGCTGTTGATACGTTTCTTGAGATGGATGCCGTGATAATCGTTGCTCTTGATACGCCTCTTGCAAAGATTGGTGAGGCAATTGATTGTGTTGTTGATTTTCCTGCAACGAGTGTTTTAGTACCTAACTGTTTTGCTGTTGTTGAATAATTTCTTGTTTGTTAGTTTGATTATGCGAATGCTTTTCTTGGAACGAGCTTTTTGTCACCTTTGTTGATGTCACAATTGGGCAACGGGGAGAAGTAGAGAATTGAACGTTTTGTACTTTTCCATCATTTGCAATACTTACATTCAGCGGCATGTTTTCTTTGTTTTGTTGCTGTATTTTATTTACTAAAAAACAAATCATAATATTATCATAAAATAGATTAACCATAATTATTAAGATGCAATTATTGAATATTATGGATGACTTTTATGAAAATATAAAATGAAAGAAAAAATCTTACTTCGTTTTCTGGATGAGTTCGCATTTGAATGGCTCTCTTGGCTGTCTACCGCTTGATCGAACTGTAACAAATATTTACACTAAAATTAAATTAGTAAAGCTTACTCAAGACATCTTTCTTAGTTTAAAATAAATAAAATACAATTTTCATGTACATAATATATACAAAAATCTTTTCATATTAAACCAGTGATTGCATATAACTAACAATTCTATTATATTCGCCAACGTTGCATTCATCTAAAAGCGGAGTGGATTGAATTTTGCCCTCATTATCAGAAGCACCCTTGAAATCAAGTTTTCTCGGCGATTCTTTGGAATGAACTAGTTCACACTCTTGACTATTGATTTCTTCAGTATCGATTTCCATTGGCATAATATCTTGAGTATCTATGTCCATAGCTATGAAAAAAATTCTTTATAACAATAAACATTGAACAAAATCTCAAAATTTTAAAAAGTTTTTAGAATTCCCACCTTTATTTTGACTACTGTCTAATTTTTGACTGCTCTGCCCATTGTTATTGATGTATTCTTCCTCCAAAATATATGAATTGATGGACATAGTGTCTGAAATATATTCATATGTTTAATAATTATATAATAAAGTTTTTAGAAATTTCTTTGAAAATACAAACCTAACTTGTCTTGTCCTTTATGTCGGTGTATAATAAAACGCGACAGATCTACTTGAGGTAATTTTTGAGGTTTCATTAACGCCGAAGCTTTTTGGAGCTCAGTATTTAATTTTTGTTTCTTAGAATTGTCTTTTTCTTGAAGCTTTAAACGTAAAAAAGTTTTGAAATACATCCCATTTGAAAAAGTAAATGGAAATGGAAGGCAATAAGAAAAAATTTACTTGTTGTCGCAAATGTTGTACTTGCTCCGTGAGCTTTCTATTAAAATCCCACAGTTCTCGACAATGCTTTTGTCTTTTCATGTAGTCCAGCATCAGTTGAGCAAATTTGATGACTAGAGCTTGCTCTTGCTTTTTTCTGACTAGTTCTCTTAACTGCACCATACGCTGTGCTTCTTTCATTTTCTTCGAAACTAATCGATGTTTAATCGATGTGCACATATATTTTGCTTCAGCTTGGCGTATTTTTCTCACTGACGCTAAACTTTCATACTCTTCCTGTGTATCGAAAATCAATATAATATATAATATTAAAATTAGTCTAAAATACTAGTATTTGGTAAGGTACCTTGTATTTCTGCCAAATGCTTTTCTGCTCATCTAACATATGCTTGTACTTCTTTATCAATTCACGCTGTTTCAAGGATTCATTATCCTCCATTTTTGCAACCAAATCGATCTGTTTCCTCACCAATTTTTCAGATTCCTCCAATCTTACAAATAACGAGTGAGTTAAAATTTTTTCCGTTTATATACGGGATGAACACAGAAGCAAATACAATAGTGTCAGACAAGTCTTAAAGTTTTTGTATAAAATATATTGATTCTAATAGTAAATTAAAATACTAAAAAAATTGTTTTTAAAATTTAATAATTACAATATAAATGACTGACCTGTCTAAAATTTGAAGCTGGAGAGCTTCTCTCTGCTTGACTTCTTCAATTTTCTTCTTGAGCTCTTTTCTATTTTGCAGCTCATCTTTTATTTTTTCTATTAAAACTTTCACTTTGTTTTCATATTCTTAAAAAAATTAATAAAATTGAGTGACTTTTCGGTCAAAAAACTTAATTGATTTATGTGGAGACAGAAATCATTAAAGCCTACCAACAATTAATTCTGCAACTTGCTTTTCTGTGAGTAATTCCATTTTCCAGTATTAATAAAAAATGATTTGCGAAACTAATCGTAAATTGTCAATATACCTTTGTCAAACAACGGCTGTACTTATTTTGTACAAATTTACAATAAACAATTGAACACCCTACAATGAATTGCTTTTTCTCGACGAAATTGTTGAAACTAAAAAGTTGGTTTCTTGAAAAGTGTCGGGGACGTAACCGCCCTCTGAACGTTTTTTGAAACTGTTCGAACAACACCTACACATATATTTTCGTATCCATCATATTTACCTATTAAAATTTTTTATTTAAATACACGTAGATAATGTTACTACTCATTAAATTTATTTATTAATAATTTATTGATAATCTTTCAAGATAAATACCCACACCCGGTGTATAATTATGTTTTGACAATAATTTTATTTTAATATTTATTTTAATATAGTATGAAACATTTATATTTTCAAAATCTTGATTTTACAATAAACTATGCCTATGCACAGCATTTAAAAATAAAAATATAATTTTTGTTTTGAAATCTTACTGTCGGTAATACAGAACGATTGTGTACTCATCGCAGGTGGCAGTATGAAGCTGTGCAGAGCCTATATTAATCGCAGTTCTACTCCAAACTTAACACATCCATAAATATATATATATATGAATACACGTGTTTTTATTTTGTACTTTCTAGCGGATGTTTTGAGGTAATAACGTAAATAAAGCCATTTCCAGTTAGAGTATAAAATAGTGTCGATATTGTCAAAGATAAAAGTTAACTGTGTTGTAAATTATCGTTAAATGTATGAATAAGTCTAATCTGCACGCTCGATTGAAAGCGTAATCAAGGGATGCGTAATCTACACGCGCAGATATGATACCCCTACACAAGATGAGGTTTGCATAACTTGTGTAATGTTCTCAACGAAAGAGCAGTTGATAAAGAAAACAGGGAAACATGGGGTCGGACGCTTCGCCTTTTTACAACAGTTAGTCAATGAATATAACGCAAGCAAGTCTCGAGGTAGGTCTCGAAACAGTTGAGAATAATTTTAAAAAATAGATAAAAATTACAATATTATTGAAACTGACGAGTACGAATATAACGTAACCTTATTCCTCAAAACAAAATGCAGTTATCAATACTTTTTGTTTCAGAGGCAAAAGAACAAGTATTGGCTAATTTAGCAAATTTTGCATATGATCCAGTGAATTATGATTATCTTTGGAGATTGAGAATACTTGACTTATTTTTTGAAGCACTGGAAGACAATAACAATAAAATTGTTTCTTATGCTATTGGAGGAATTTGTAATATTTGTTTAGGTAAAGGAAAAGTTATAAAATCACATACTTGTGAAAGTGAAAATCTAAACATTACATTTTTTTGTTTACAGAACCATTGAGTAGAGAATATATTATTCGAAATCATGGAATAAAAAGTATTTCAACTCTCTTATCAAGTAATGAAGAATCCATAGTATTATCAGCCATAACATCTTTGATTTATTTGGATACTCCCAGCTCAAGAAATGAGATTACATCACTTGCAAATGTGAAAAGAATCACTGAATTATCTAAGAGCATAAATCCTAGAATAAAAAACATAGCAATTATATTCTTGAAAGATTTGTGCAATGTTAATTTCAGCACTCAATTACATTTAAGGAAGATAGCAACAGCAAACAAGAAAACTAGTCAGAACAAAACTTGTGATACAAATAAAAGCACAAATACTACAACAAGTACAACTGCAACTGCAAGTACAAGTAGTACGCCTTATTAAAAGTTATTAAAACAAAAAAGCAATGAAAAAAGCAAAAATGTTTCGCACAATACTTGCCTCGGCAAAAAAATATTGTAGCAAAACACCCTCTAGTTCAAGTGCAACAGCAACTCTGGAAGACCTTAAAATTGGAAATAGAGTTTCGATTCAAAGAACAGTAACCGAAGATGATGTTCTTGGATTTGCTCAACTAACTAATGATTATAATCCAATACATATAAATTCAACCAAAAATATTGTTCATGGAGCCTTTTTGAATGGACTTTTATCTGGTATTCTTGGTACCAAATTGCCTGGACCTGGTACAGTTGTAGTAGAACAAATACTACGCTACCCAAAACCATGTTATGTTGGAGACACTGTTGAAATTTCTGTTGAGATAACATCAGTAAGAAAAATAGTTAAATGTAAATATACTTGTGTAGCAAACTCAGAAAGAATTGTAATGGAAGGGGAAGCTAAGTTAGTAACAAATGCAAATAAAACTCAAAAGATCATATTTACAAAATAAACGATTAAATAAGTAGGCACATTTGTTTGAATATTATATTATGAAGTTTATTTAACATATAAGATTATGAAGAGTAATGTACATATTAAAGTGGGCCTCAATATACATATGAATGTGAATGTTACATCAGCCATTTAACGAATATGCAAAGCAAGCACTTTCATTCCATACATTTTGATTTCAACATTTCAATACACAAAGTTTGGTAAGAGGATAAAGCAAGAAAGAACTTTAAGCAGATCATTTGTACTCAATTCATCAAAGCTACTACATTCATTAAAATTTTAGTGAGTATCCACTATTCCACGATTTTATCACAAGTATTTTGATAAATTAATCATTTACTGACTTCTTAGGTAAACATGTATCAGTTCTTTGGTATACTATTACTAGTATCACTAATACATGGACACGAGGACAATTCAATCACAGAAACCATACCACCAATAGTAATGACTACAACAACAGAAATACCAGTTACTACGATAAAATCAGAACCATCATTAATTCCATGTAGTTGTGGTGTTTTCTTGAGTGGTCAATTAAAAAAAGGAAACAAAATATCACCCAGTGGAAATCCAGCTCTTCTTCATGAAATGAGTGAAACATACCCATGTACAAGTGCTGGAAATAAAATGTGCATTAACAAATGCTTAGATATGGTGAGAAAATTTTGAATTACCTACATCAATTTACCTATTTCTATTCAAATGCATTAAAAAAATAATTTATTGTATTGTTTCAGATTGTAAAACACTTACCCAACAGTCCAAATATTCTTTGTGGATCTATTGAAAGGGATATTCATAAAGAAAGAGTAAATTTATTTAAATAATTTATTTGTCAATTAGTTAATATTTTTCATTTATATTTACAATTTTATTAACTATACCATAAAAGTATTTTTTTAATTGAAAGATTTAAAAAAATAATGTTATAAACAATTTAATGGATATTTGTAATATCAAAAACATAAAAATAACAATTTATTGCAGGCATACTTATTCATCAAAAACTGCAAAGACGAATGGGTAAATACAAACTTATCTGCTGGTCGAGAATATTGCTGCAAGGATGGCCTACCTTACAAGTGTCCTCTTTTGAGCTGAATCCTCTAGCTAAAATGAATATTTATATCGTTATTTTTTTATACTACTATCGATAATTAGAACTAAGCTTTTTATATAACATGACATTGAATAATAAAAGTCCAGATAACGTTTTAATAGACATTGTCGATTTTATTTAAATATTCGTTTAACCATTTTGAAAACGTTTACTGACATTTAACAGCCAGCTCATCAAATGAAAATCTGCCCCGCTCCAAAACGTGCCTCTATATTTAGTGGAGGTCGGCGCGTGCAAGTTCGAGCAGCCAAGAATACGAAAGCTGCGCTGCTATCGGCAGCCTCGTCGTCGTAATCGAATGTAAAGTTTGAATTAGGAGAAAAAACGAGAAGATGTAACTGTGTCTTTGATTGAGAAAAAGGAGAAGAAAAATAAGCGCGAGTGTTAAGTGGTATTATTGAACAATACGAGCAGGACGCTCGACAACGTTGAACTAACAACCGCACGATCTCATCTTGTACTTCCCGACGATTATAATTTTGGGCCGAAAATAGTTGGGACGAGCTGCGTAAGAAGTGTGCAGTCTACTAGACGGCTAAACTCATTCATACGCTTTGAAAAAGTGCTATTGATAGGTTTTTAAGCCATATGTCAATTCGACAGTTTAGCCACAGTCTGGGCATCGACTCGACGCTGATGATTATAAATAAACCTTTCTGTATGTATTAAATAAGCAACCCACGTTGTTGTTTTTTTGTCTCTGTGCGTGTTTCGCGATTACGTATTCTTTAGCTGTCGATCGTTTGTTTGTTGTTCGTTTGTTTTTTCTTCGCTTGTGCCTTGCCAAATCGGTAGCTTCGAAGGTCTTTTTTTATACAACTGCATTTTCGTGAAATAATATGATAGAGCATTACTTAATCGCCTGGCATACGAGAATTTCCGTTCGATTAACAAGGCGCGAAGCTGCAAAAACGATGACGCCGTCTTTTATTCGGTGGGTATTTATGAAATAATTGTCGATAAAACTGTTGCCGAGCTGGTTCTCTGTACTACGTCAACTTAATCGAGATTGATTATTATATTACAAAAGCTGCGTGGACGTTGTTTCATTTTGTCGGTGTTACTTATTCCTTTGTCGAAGCGGTTCGAATCAGCACGGAATCCTCGCGAAGATATTGACACGTTGCATTTGTCATTAACATTTGATTGTTATATATACGCACCAGATTCAATCGTCATTCATTAAAACATTGAAAAAGCCAGCCTGAAATTCTGAAATGGTCTTCGAGCAGGCTCGCCAATAAGGATGCGCTAGCAAATTGCACTCGGCAGGCAATCGTCTCGATCGAGAAGGAAAAGATGTGTGCTCGCTTGCTGGCATGTCCGTTATGCTCGCAACCGGGTTTCCTGACACTGGATTCACTGCGAGCTGGTCTTGTCAGTGTGTCGACGCGTCCACTGGCGTGCCCAGTTTGCAACGAAGTGCTACTGGGTATCGACAAGCTGACCATTCACTTGTTCGGCCACACGGTCAGTTCCGGTAACACACCAGTCGGCGGCGGCAACGAGTCCGCCAAGCTCATCGAGAACGCCAACAACGCCCAAATCGTGCGCAGCGCCATTCAGTCGTGGAATGTGCTGGACGCGAACAACGTCCAGGTGAAGGATACCAGCAGAGATAACACGGGCAGTGGGATCTACATACCCATCGACGAGATCGAGACTTTTCGCAACCTGACGACCATCAAGGACGGGAGTGGCATGATTCCGGTGCAGAGCGCACAGGCAATGCTTGCAAGCTCCGGGGAATCGAGCGGAAGCTAATGTCGTTTGTTTGGTGTGCACGCAGAACGGCGCGCAGAACGGCCCGAGCCAGGTGATTTTCCTGCAGAACGTCGGCTCTCAACCCAAGCTATTCTCGGCAGACCTGATGGAGCCGATAGTCAAGCCGCACGAGCAGGCGAGCCTCTATCAGACGATCCAGGCGGCGACGGGCGTAGCTTGCAACGGCATGGCGGAGCCGAACGCGAGTGCCGATCTGATAGAGCTCGGGGCTCCAAGCCGTGCCGCTGAACTCGAGCAGCAGCAAAGTGCACGGGTATCGCTGCCGAGCGACGAGTGCCGAAGCCTTCGGTTTCTTGACGAGGGCGCGATTTCTCTGTTCCAGGCCTCGTGGCGCGAAGGCGCGAAGCCCAGCGAGTCCTCTCCCGCGTTCCCCCAGAGATCCCACACGGACCGCCTCGAGGAGCTCGTCAAATCCGCTCAGATCAGCTCCTCGCCGCTGGGCACATTCCACGAGGCGTACGACTGCTCGAGGCCCGCCTCGCCGAAGGCGGCCGAGGCGACGGCGACGAGCAGCGGCAAGCCGGTCGTCAAATCCACCCAGATACTCGCGGCCGGCGAGCGCATGGAGCGCTGCAACGTCTGTGGCATCAGCTTCCCGGGGCGCAACGTCTTGATTCTGCACAAGCAGCTCGTGCACATGATCAAAGAAAAGGACGCGAGCGTGTCGCCGGACGACCTCATGAAGAATTATCCGTGCCACCTGTGCACCAAGGTCTTCAAGATGCGCGGCAGTCTGATGGTCCACATGAGAGTCGCTCATCCCGGAGTCCATGTGCCAAGAGGTATTTACAAGATGAGTTACTTTTCTATCCTGCGTATGCATCAGAAGAGGATGCGCAAGTCAAGTTGAATTTGCCGCTTTTCTCTCTCTCTCTCTTCCCTTTTTTTACTCTGGCTCACTGTCTTTCTGTTCTGTTCTGTTCTTTCAAGTTGATCGAATAAAGCCAACATTCATAACCACGAGATTATCCAGTGATTATTTTGTATTTTTCTTTCTCTTAACGACTCGCCACGGAGCGACCTCGCCACTCGGTGCCGTCGGTTCGCGCACTCGATATTGTCGATCGTCGTCATAATGCAAAAACCATTTGAACGCAGCGTCGAAGCCGGCCCCGAAGCCGATTCAAGAGCCAACTCAAGAGCCGATTCCAGAGCCGATTCAAAACGACGAGCCAGCGAGCGACGAGCCCGAGGGCAACTACATCTGCCCGACGTGCGGCAAGAGTTTCAAAAAGGTGAGTAATGGCAGAGCGACGTGTCTCGATCGCAATGAACCGCGTGTACAGCAACGCTACGATTGACCCGCGAGCAGGAGCACCAAGTCACCCAGCACATCAAAATCCACGACACCAAGCAGTTCGAGTGCGACATCTGCAGCAAAATGTTCACTACCAAGTACTTCCTGAAGAAGCACAAGCGCCTGCACTCGGGCGAGATGCCCTACAAGTGCAACATTTGCGACAAGACCTTCACCTTTCAGCAGTCTTATCACAAGCATCGACTCTATCACAAAGACGACAAGCCGCACACTTGCAACACTTGCGGCCGCTCTTTCAAAGAATTGTCCACGCTGCATAATCACGAGAGGATTCACACCGGCGAGAAACCCTTCTCTTGCGAAACTTGCGGTACGACGTGCGCGCCTCTCTCTCTCTCTCTCTCTCTCTCTCTCTCTCTCTCACTCTCTGCGCGTGTGTGTGTGTGTGTCTGTGGCGCGCTCGTGTACACTCGTGTACGTAGCTTCCAAAAATACGACTTAGCTTTTCTCTCACTTTGGTTGTTTTCTAACTAATATTGCCGGTATGTTCCGCAAAGGCTCAAAGTTCAATGCAGCACTTTGACGGAATTGAAAGAGGCCCATCGCGTAACCGAATTGCATTTCCAGGCAAATGTTTCCGGCAAAGGGTGTCTTACTTGGTGCACCGTCGTATTCACACTGGCGCAATGCCATACGAGTGTCTGGCTTGCGGCAAAAGCTTCAGATACAAGGTAATCCTCGACGGACCTCCGCGTTCTTCACACTGACGAAACTGCTTATGAATCTCAACGACAGGTCAGTCAAAGGACTCACAAGTGTCCAATGCAGCCGCAAGACGGCTCGGAGCAGCGATCCGGTGAGGCGTCGCAAGCTTCCTTGGACAACGACAATTTCGAGATGAGAGACACGCTGGAGATGTCGTCGCAAGACGAGCACAGCATGGACGATTCGGTGACCAGCGAAGATAATCAGTACATCTTGGTTTTGGGCAACGACGGTCAGCACGTACTGAAAAAAAAGACGGAGGTCGGCAATGAATCTAACCAAACTTCGACGAGCGAACAAACCGCCAAGCAAACAAACCAACAAGCCAACGGCGAGAGCCACGCTGTAATGAGCAATATGTGGAGCGAAGAACAGCCCCATCGAATGGAATTCAAAGAAGACAGTTGTTCCAAGAGCGAAGACGCGACTGAGAACGCCAACTTGTGGGGTGAATCGTTCAATACCAAGAACGTCAATCAACATGAAAATTCGAACGAATTGTGGAGTCAGATAGCAAAGCGAAATGCCTCAGCTGAAAAACCATTCGACAAGAACGACTCGAGCAACACGCGCGATTTCCTATCGATGATACTGGATAACGAGATGACAACTCCGTCCGCGGAAATGGAACACTTGAGGCTGTCATCGCCAGTCAACAGTTCGGAAAACAATTCGAGCGAGACCAAGGACTGCTTTCCACCGATGAACAGCAGCGCCAGTGCAGTGCAAGTGGACCACCATCATCGTGCAGATGAGACGTTCAGTAGTAGTAATCTGTCGACCCTGCAAACCATCAACGAAGACTCGCTTAAAGAGTTGTTAAACAGCATCGCCGATAAATAAGAAAGCACAATTATTCATTGTGATTCTATACTCTAACGTTTACTGCATTACCAGTCTTAAATTTGTGTTTTTGTTTTTTTTTTTTGTTTTTTGTTTTTTTTGTATGAAACCCACTTGTTATAACTCAACGTGACTTTCTTCGAAATAAAACTGTTTTTTCTATCTTACCTCAATTTTTACGAGCCACGTTAATCTGTAAGTCGCGCTCGATAAAAAGCCCGCGCAGGTCAAGATAAATCGAAACAAAGATGGTTGAGCATTCAGACCAAACATCAAGCGACTCACAATATATACAGTACATATAGGACGTACAGTGTACTCTCGGAAAAGCTAGTTGGAACCAATACAAATAGAATATAGATAAACGTTATATGTGGACACTGCGCGAGGATATCAAATGAGTTTTGGCGTTCTTTTGCCTTTCAAATCTAATGCAGATTCATGACAATGTCAATTTGTATTGGACAAGGTAGGAAACTTATTATCAACGTGTATTTTCTCTTTGAAAATTTAACATTTAGTGTTGCAATGAGAGTCAATAAATTATTTGTGCCGTAGTAGTCGATCGTAATTAATATTTTACAGAAAAGAACGCTTGAAATGGGGAATGATACTGCTGAGTGGAACTTGTCTTGTTTATGCATCAAGAACATCTGTTCCTCTCTTAGTGCCAATAATTGGAAAAGAAAGAGGATGGAGCAAACCAGACTCTGGGATAATTCTCTCCAGCTTTTTCTGGGGCTACACATTAACACAAGTGTTAGGTGGATATATCAGTGATAGAATTGGTGGACATCGTATTATGTGGATCGCTGCTGTAGGTTGGGGTACCTCCACTTTCTTCTTACCTGATATTATTAGATATTTTTCCAAAGACGATTACTCTATTCAGATTATAGCTTTTGCTAGAGTCATCAATGGAGCATTTCAAGGTAATTATTCATTTTCATAGAAGCTTTACTGTTCAGTATTTATAATCTCCCGATGTATTTTTAGGAATGCATTTTCCTAGTATGATTAGCTTAACAAGTCAGAGACTGACCGAATCAGAAAGGGCCTCATTTTTTAGCCTAGTTACTTCAGGTTCTGCATTGGGAACCCTTTTAACAGGAGTTCTAGGCTCTTATGTATTGGAGAATTATAAATGGGACACTGTTTTCAGAGTCCTAGGTAAACAATAGATATTGTTTTTATTTTGCTTGTTCATTAACTCGAAGTGATAAACAAATGATTAAAAATTGTAATTGAATTGAACTTAGGGATCATAAGTGTCGCATGGACAATGATTCTTATTTACCATTCAATGTTATTAAATGGAAGACCTACAATTAGTAAATATTCATCCAGTAATAGATTGCCAATAAGAGAGCTGATAACAAAAGCACCTTTCTGGTAATAATGGTAGATACAGTCTAATGACTTGTTTTCTTTATTAACTTTAACTGAATAACACTTGTTTTAATATAATTTATCCAATATCTAATGTAAAACATTTTTTCAGGTCTTGTGTAATTGGTCATGCATGTCAAAACAATTGTTTTTTTATTCTATTATCATGGATGCCTACATACTTTCATGACACATTTCCAGAAGTTAAAGTAACTTTTTACTTTTCTTACTTTTCTCTCAATAACTTTCTTCATAAAGAAAACAAAAACAATTATTTACAGAGTTGGATCGTAAATGTGATGCCCTGGCTGGCTTCAATACCATCTATATTTGTAGGCAGAGCACTTTCTGAGAAGCTTATAAATACTGGTTATTCTATAACGGCCACACGTAAAATTATACAAACTACTTGTTTTGCTATACAATCCATAAATTTGCTCTTTATAGGTTTGTATACAAATTTTAATAATTTTATGAAATACTTTAAGTTATTTACACTTTACTTACAAGCTTATATTTTTTCTTTCTAGCTACAACAGATTCAGCTGAGAGAGCAATTTTGTATATGACTTTAATAATTGCTGGATCAGGGTTTCACAATAGTGCAATTGTTGTCAATCCCTCGGATTTAGCCCCAAAGCATTCAGGCAGTGTTTTTGGTTTTATGAATACTGTTGGCTCAGTACCAGGTAAGAATTATAAATTTTATATTTCAAAACATGTCTATATTAGTATCAAATTTTAATTAACTTTAATGTTATTGTAGGATTTCTGGGTGTATACTTGGCTGGACATATTTTACACTTAACACACAGTTGGGCTGTTGTATTTATGTATATTTTCATTGTAGAAATAATAGGATGCTCTGTTTACCTTATATTTGGCTCTGGCAAAGCAATCTTGTAAATACCAGTATTCCTTTTACAAAACAAATTTATTAAAGAGTCTTTGACATATAAGGTCCATCTAATTCATAACCCATTTTCCTGTAGTAATTTCTAGTTCCAACTCCTGTAAACATTTAATAAATTTAATATTTTCTTCTATTTAAAATATTTAAGACAAAACAAGGCTTGTAAACACATGTTACCTGAAATAACAGCAATTTTAGTAGAACCATGTTCTTCTTTTGCAATTCGTTCTGCTTCTTCCATAAGTAGCATACCAAATCCTTGATGTTGAAACTTTGTAGGATCGCGGGCATTTACAGGAACAACGCTTCCATAGACATGAAGTTCCCTCACAATAGAACATTTTTCTTTCAATTCAGATCTACAGAATTTTATTGAAAATTAGTAAATTATAACTCCAATTATATTTATAAACAGTACCTAAATGTATCAGATGAACATTTCCTAAGTCTTAATAATCCTACTAAAATATCTTGTAACGGGTCTTCGTACGATAAAAATGTTTCCCATCCGTTATTTGCTACATAATCTCGACGTATTAGTTCAATCTCGTAAGGTTGAATTTTATTATGGATTTCTTGAATACCAACTTCTCTAGTCCTTACATCTCTACATGTGACGCCCAAGTCTTTCATTCTTTCTAAAGCTAATTCACGAAGATTACCATGTTCAACGCCTGAACTGTAATAATATTTTTTGTTAAATCACATAATAATAATTATCCTCTGAATTCATACCTTACTAGTGGCATTGGAATATCTCTTTGTACTCGATAAACTCGAGTCCATGGTGGAATGAGAGCTAATATACGTGCTATAAGATCAATAAGTGTCAGAGGAGGATAGCTTTTATATCTTCCAGTTTTCCAAAGTTCATATAAACCAGTGCCTCTTATAACTAAAGTGGGATAAATTTTCAATCCATCTGCTCTAAATGCAGGATTTTCAAAAAATTCCTAATAGTAAATAAGTTATTTAATATTAATATAAAATGAAATGAAAATCTTTATACACATCTTTCCAGTCAACTCACAATAAATTGTTCGATATCTCTTTCAATATCTACATTTGGCAAATCTGGCATCATATGGGCAATTACTTTAAAACCAGCATCTTTAGACATGGAAAAACTTTCACATACTGCACGAACTGTGTGGCCTCTGTTAGTGTCTCTGGCTACATCTTCATACACAGATTGAACTCCAATTTCAAGTCGAGTGCACCTATTTGACACATTTATTTTTAATTTACAATGACTACAAGTTAATCAATGAATAATGTTACATATTACTTACCCATAATTAAGCATATCTGAAAGATGCTTTTTTAGACAATAGTCTGGTCGAGTTTCAATTGTAATACCTATACACTTAGTTCTACTTCTTTCTGAATATTTCACAGCTTCTGCTACATTATTACTCACATGTCCTGAGAGAGCATCATGTAAATTTCTTATAAAATAATCCCTATAATCTTCCGGTAAAGACATAAATGTTCCTCCCATAACAATGAATTCGACTTTGTCAACACTGTGTCCTAATTGTTTCAACTAATGAAAAAAAATTTATTTTATTTTATTTTTACAAATAAAATATAATTAATAAGAAATGTTTAAATATTTACAAACCTGTTCTATTCTATGTCTAGTTTGAAGAAAAGGATCATAACGGGCTCTTATTGCTCTCATTGATGTTGGCTCATATCCAGTGTAAGATTGTGTAGAATATTCAAAATCTGAATCAGGACCACCAGGACAATAAACACAAATATTTCCTGTCATGTTTATGTGAGGACATCTGTGTGGCTTGCACATGAGAGCAACAACAGCAATCTGAATAGATATGATTTTTTATTTATATGTATCAATAAATTACTTTACTAACAAAATGTCAATTACCCCACTAGCAGTTCTTATAGGCTTTGCTTTGAGTTTTGGTAATAAAATGTGTTTGACATCATATGGAACTGCAGCAATAATGTCGACTAATTTAGGTGATGACGAGAGTCCATACTTTGCAGATATTTGAGTTTTTAACTTATTTAAATCCACATCTTTGTTTTCCTCATATGCATTTAAAAGCTCTCGAATGATATCAGTAATAGTCATTATCATACGAGCTTCCTTACTTTCAGTAAATTCTAACAATATATCAAAGATTTAACGGCATATTTAATAATCGTATTTTATCATTCAAAATGAAATGTTAAACTAAATTCAAATTGACTTTAAAAGTTTATATTAATGTTTTGAGAAATATATTTGATAGATATTGTACACTTGACAATTAACAAATTTAATTATCAATAAGATTTATTTATTTACCTTTCCGTTTCTTCCCCATGATTTGTACAACTCTTCGGCAGTAAATAAAAAATAATAATAAATAAACGATGTGTGACAACTAATTTTACTTTTTGATTCTTATGAATACAGATTGGGAAAACCACGCACGTTTTGGCACATTCCTCTGGATCTACCGAATCAACCAATCAAAAGTGTAAACCGTTAATGGCGGAAGTAGCGCAGATATATTAGTTAACTTCGTGTTCGTGAGACCCTCGCCACATATGCGCATACGCGCGCGTACGAGCGCATACAAACGCGTACAAATCGCTAAAAATTTTAATAGTGCCAACAACAGAAAGTTACTACTATTCCTCGCATGGCCCAAACGAACACACTTACTCCCGGGACAAACGTATCATAACCTTCAATAATATAGCGTTATGATACGTTTGTTCCGGGAGTAAGTGTGTTCGTTTGGGGCATGCGAGAAATAGTGGTAACTTTCTGTTGTTGGCACTATCAAAATTTTTAGCGATTTGTACGCGTTTGTACGCCCTCGTACGCGCGCGTATGCGCATATGTAGCGAGGGCCTGAGTAGCCAATGTATTCGACTCAGTGTTACCGACCAAAATCGGTAATGAAGCTAGACTGTTGATGATAACACCTGTCTCATTGTCAGACATCTCTGATAATAACTTGGTTCGATATATATACGTATAGTATTCCAGCTTTTTATGATAGCAGGGGTCCGGGGACAGTGTTGCCGCTGGAAAAATTGCTTTCAGGGACCGTATAAATTAAGGCACTAGATTTCTGAATGTTTGAGTTGTGTCGGCTGCTTGACCAGTGCCGTATTCACCTTATTGAACTAAAAACTTGCCGGTACCACTGCTCACACTTTTTTAGGTGATAAATAAACATAACAATGTTATTTATTGTTGACAATTAAGATTAGCTGCGTCGATTCTGTAATTGAACTAGCCTGTAATAAATAAATTACGTACAAAGTAATAAAATCAAAATAAATTATTAGGTATATACAATAACAGACTCCGAGGTTATACATTCAGTTAGAGTAAGCACTTATCTAAAATGAATACGTAGCAGGCATTGGTCGAGCAGCCAACGCAACCCAAACATTCAGAAATTGTCTGAATTTAATTCTAGGATCCCTGAGAGTTTTTCCAGCGGCAACGCTCTGCGGGGATCTTGGCCGTATGGCGGCGAACAAACAAACCAAAGGAGGGACACATGCTTATATACGAATTTTTTCATAAATTTATCAGTATGTGGCGGTCTCATGATTCCGCTCATCCACATCGAGATAGCATCGGCCAGCCACGAGCGGCAAGAAATACGCTCCCTAAGTATATAAGTTCGCATAGCGACTGACGCACTTCGAGCGTATGAGGCAGATGTTACCGGCCGTCGAGCCTCACTGACGAGTCCAGCCGGTAACATCGGGACGAAACCCTTCCTTCTTTACCGACTGCCCGAGTTTCAGCCTGGCTAGCTCACACTGCGACCAAACCTTTTCTCGAGACTCCTCGTACCAATTTACGCATGCGCGAACGACGCGCATGTAGCCAAAAGTACATCACGAAATTTAAAAATAATTTATTTTTTTTGCACAAGAAACAAATTTATGTTAATGTGAAAATATCTTAATAGATACTTACCATATTATAGTACAACCGATTACTTATTTATTTGTAAAACTTTCAAGTAGTACATTAAATTTCCACTGATTTTTAGTTTGAGCATAGAATAATTTACACGAATGTTCAATATACATGCAAGTAAGTGAGCTGAATATGTATCAAATTAAGTTTTTCTTTGTGGATGTGAAAAGAAAGGAACAAAAGAAGCAATAATAGTCCAAGAAATAAAATGAAACTCATTTATAATAAAGGATTGGCGTAACATAGCTTGCGTTCATAAATGGTAATAACTTGGATTTAAAGCTTATCCATATTACCAGCACGCATTTAGTACGATTTACTCCTCAATCATTTCTAATTTAACTATAATTTTATTTTATACAACTGACGCGGACCACTTATTTCTCTTTACACATACATTATTTTTCACGTTGTTCTTAATCCGTAAGATGAATTACGAATAGAATGTTGTAAAAATAATTGCATATTCTTTGTTTATGGCTATACAATAACATATTTATTAACATTGCCAAGTAAACGCTGCATACATCATCAGACCAATAATCATATAAAATATGTGCAGTTCATATTCTCGACTTTATGTTCCTTTTCCACATGTCAGGACTTCAAACTGAAAAATTAACACTATAGTTTGATATCAACTTACATACGAAAGATCACTTATATAAATACACATGACATAGCTCATTAACAACAAAAATCAAACTTCGTACTTGTTCAATTGACTAACTGTATTTGAGAAAGTCACTGTAAAATAGATAAAAACGTGGTCTGGTGATGCTGGCCGTACTTTTACACAACTAAGTAATAATCAAACTGTTGACCTACAATGAAAAATATTAAATGATAGTTACGATGATACACATAATAAAATTAAATGTAAAGACGTTGCAATTTCAATTGTGCATCCGTATATGCGCTATCCGTCGTTCTTCGGAGAAACCGGCCACAATGTAGATGCGAAGAGATCGATTACAAAAGAAAAAATGAATCTCACGAGAAAATAAAGTCAAACAACGAACAAGAGACACGATATCATCCATTATCATATAGTTGTATGTATATTATATATGTTTACGGGTACGGTCATCCTTCCAATCCCCATTTATATCGCATTTATGCACTAACTCGATATAGCACATGCCTTGAGTTATACCTTTTTATTTTTCCCTTTATGAATCATGAAGAATGCTTAATCTCCGCACCGCTTGACGAGGCAGGGGAGAATGGGCATTTGATGCACAGAGATGCGAGAGGCATCAATGATATAAAACTTTTTACTTACATCTAGCAAACGTCCTTTTCACGTTAGCTTATACTTCAATTAGTTATAGTTTATATTGTGATACCGGTTTTTCTGAACCATCCGTTCACTATTATATAAAGTATTTATATATACTTGCATATCAAACTATGTCGAGATAATATACTTCATATGTACAACGTTTTCGTTTTCATTTTTTTTCTTTTTTGTTGCTCTCAAAATGTTTATTTTAACTTTGCAACACACACTCTCACGCGCCAGAAAAACAAGTCATTGCTTTCGAGTTCAGAACACTGCGTAAGTGTATCTGACTTGCAACCAATACTTTAACCATCCCAAATATCTTATACTCTTGGTTTACTCTTCTATCTGATAAAATTATTGTATATCACAACTCCAAATCGTTACACGTACAAAAATGAACACTAAATTGGAATTCATAAAAATGAAATATAAACAAGAAAATAAAAGTAATATACGGAGATATTGATCCGTTTCATAAAGCAAAAACTAAATTCTTGTAAATTGTGTAAAAGATTCATTGTCTCCAATATGTTTTCTGCTATTTTTATAATCGTTTTTTTTTGTTTATTGGATTGCTTCTCGCGCTTTTTCACTAGGCAGAGCCAAAAGTGAAAAAAAGAATATACTGTGTTTCAAATTTCCATTTCTAGGAGAGATGGAAAGAATGTTGTCCTTCTTGCGCAGCTATTCTGAGTTTTTCTTTCATAATTTCCAAAGTAGAGTAGTCGGGCAGTTTTAAATAGTTGACACAAGTCATAACCGATGGTAAAAATTCGTCTGGTTTCATAGAAACATCAAACGTTTTTCGCACTATTGTAAGAGGTGGCGTTAAACTCTTGAAACCTAAAAAGAGGAAAAAAGAAGAAAAAAATAGAAGAAATTTCCATTAGCTTTATGTTCTTTGGATAACTAAGCTCTAGTTAGATGAATTAATTTATGATGTACTTTATAAATTTGAAACTTACCGCCAACGGGTAATCGTGGGGACCCAGTAACAAATTGAACGAACTGTCTCTGTTCTTCGCTAGTGTATTCTGCCATACACTCATACAAAAAGCGTATAGCTCGCGAGTCGGGCGTGTAACCATGATCAGTTCGACAACACTCGGACAATGTCTTTATATCCCACTTGCCACCAGCTTGCGAATGGCCACAAAACACTGCTTCTAATTCTTCAGGAAAGAATAGCCGCAACTGTGCAGGTGGGAAAACTGATTCGAATCCTTCTCGGAATGCCTCCATTTGTCTAAACACTCCTTCATAAAGATACCAATGCACCACAAGCTGCAATAATTATAAAAGAAAAGAATCGTCAATTATTATTGTAAATATATTTTTTTATTTTTCAGTAAAATTATTTATACCTTAATATACTGATCTAGATTATGAATCGTAACGTTAATATCACTTCCACCTTTACGCAATTCAATATTGTCGTAACCAGGTAATTGATAAGCTAATCCGAGTTCAGCGATTCGACAGCCATCCAAGTCTAATGTTTCTATCATTTGGGTTTTTTCATTCGATCGCAAGTTTTGATCTTTTTCGATTATTTCTTTTCGTTTAGCAATATCTTGTAATTTACAAAGAGTACGGTATACATCAGCGTCTACGTAGGCAAGATCTGATAAATTAAGCGCATGTTCTTCACCTAACAACCATCGATAGAAAGTTAAACTGAATGGAAGGTCCAACTGCAAAATAATAAAAATTGTTTGAATGATAAAAAAGTTCAAAATATCTCTATTAATAATATTTAAAGCAATAACAATACTCCTGCAAATAGACTTTAAGATAATGTCGCTTTAACTTTCAAACTTAAATTATACTTAATTGAACAATATAAGCTACACGTGTTTGGTATGAAAAACGCAGAGAGATTTTATCTAATCGATGGTGTAATTAACTTTTGATTAAAAATAATAGAAAAAAAGTTATTGAATGTTGAAAGTTAAGACGACTCATTTAAAATCTACATTTAAACAAGACATTACCATTCTCGAATCGTAGATTGCTTTCGCCATAAACTTTCCTAAGAACTTGAATTTTGTTTTAAGTTTGGCAAGGTTGGAGACTTTAGTATTCCATGCAATCGGAGCAGGGAACAAACCCTGTGAAAGATATACGTAGCCTTGTTCTGTAGGACTTGAGCTTCCGTGCCACAATTCTAAATCAGCACGTTGCAGTTCTTTTGATACTAACGCATAAAATTCTAGAGTTGGTCCGAGACCAGTTCCAACCTATGATAAAATATTCCATGATTACACGTAAATATGCTTAATTTAATGTCAAATAAAAGCAAACAAATTGCAAGAATTACCTCATTTACATATTGCACTTCCAATAGAGCTTTACTCGAGGCTAAATCTTGAATGACTTGTTCGGCTTGTTTAAGAATATCAGTTCGCGAGATCGTTCGTTTTCTTCTCTCCAGTCTTGGGGTAACTCTTTCTTGGCTATCTGAACCACTCAGTTCCGGCGCGGAATCAAGAAGTCGCTGCAAAGCTCTATCACGATCAAAGGACGTTGCGTAGAATAGTAATTGTCTTGTTTCGAACGGGAACAAGAATGGACTAAAAGCAAAGAAACATTTCAAATACTGTTTTTAAGATAGGTTCTATTAATTGATCACACCTGTTAATTACTTACCAAACTGAAGCAATTTGTTGTAACCACGAAGGTAAATTTCCAGTCATTATCACTAGTGGATCTTGAAGTTGTCTACTTACTTTAGCTGCTATCTTATTATTAATAAAGTCTTGTGAAGATAATACACTACTACTCTTGACATTTGGGTAGAGTATACCCCAGTGACGATTTAGAGAGTAGAGTAGACGTAAGAGGCATAAGCCATCCAGAGAAGCATCTGCAATGGTTACAGCCGGAGGTAGGATTGGAGTCAAGAATGGCATTAAGGGGCAGCGTTGTTGAGGTATCGATCCCTCGAGCCATAGGCTGTCTTCTTTCCTCTTGGAGAGAATCTTTGTACTTTTACCTTTGCCCTTACGGCTGCTAGATTGCGAGCTAGAACCTGGCTTTGACGACGAGGATGACTCTTCCTCGGGTACTGGCCTGTAATATATCGTGTGAGTCTGCACCCAAACGGCATCGTGACCGAGAGGAGGCTCACTATCAGCATCAGCTTCTGAATGATCGTTGTTTGGGCAACTAAATTGCCTCACAGCTTGATAAACAGTCATGTTGAATGGAAGAATTTCGTCTCCAATCAAGAACTGTAACTTGTGCTTTGCCGAGCCTTGAGTGATGACAACTGCCGCGAGAGTATCATCTATATCATCTTCGCTGTTGTCGTCATCGCTTATCATAGATTCAGCATCACGTATTCTTCCATAGCCACGGACCATCAAATAACGTTCTATAGTCTGTACAAGAGCAAGTGGATCGACTTTTACGGTTCCGCCTTTCCACTGTTTCAAATTATTACAGTCTGGATGACGTTGAAGATTGCACTTGAGTTGATGTGTATTGAAAAATTTGAGGGCACTTGTGCCACCTCTACCTGCTCCAGAACCGGCTGGTAAGTCATGAACTTTGACTGGAAATTGTTCTAATTGGGATACACAACTACTGAGCTTCGAAACCAATGCTCCAAATGCACCAGGTTGAATATCTGCCAAGTTGTCTTTTTGCAACTGTAAAACACGATTGATTATTACAAAACATCCTAAAAATAATCTAAACTCAATTATTAAATGTGTATAATATACTCACTGTAGATTCTGCAAATAACTTCCAAAACATTTTAAGACGATCATAACGACTACCAGGACTTTCCGTTGTGGTAAGATAATTGAGCAGGGCTTTAATCAGGCCACTGTGATTCATTTCAAACGGTGAAATATCACTCTCCAAGATCACATCACGTAATTCCGTAAGTGCAGAATACATTTCTTCCAAGTCCTAGAAAAATACCGAGCAGTGTTAAAAATAGTTGTAATTTTAGACAAAAGTAATTTTTTTGATTACGACTTACGCTTGATTGTAGGCGTTGAATTGCTGAAGTCAATCTTGATAGAACAGTGAGTGCTGGATGCGTACATGGAGCATCTAATTGATATCTAACCAAAAATTGTTGTGCTTCCTCTCTTACCCAAGCTTTGGCTTTTTCACGATTGCTACCTGTCAAACTTGGATTGCTGGGTGGTTTCGACAGACTTGTGGACGAACTGGAATCTCTCTTTTCGCTCACGCTATTAGGCGACGATTTTTTGCCCCAACGAGCTGGATTTAGATTGCCCAAGAAACGACTATTCTTAGGCGTGAAACCAGTAAACATAGACTCTGGCTGCTGAGTTTGCGGTGATGCGTTACTTCCTAAGCGTGAAAATCGACTCTTTTTATTCTGGCGCTTTCGTTTTAGCACGTCACCGATTCTCATGTGAGCATTTGGCGGTGTAGTTGAATCTTCCATACTGACGCTCAAGTCGGATCTACTGCGAGTTTCCATAGTGGCAGCGAGGTTTGGCTTCATTTGACTTGTAGCTATTGTACCGAAGAGAATATTGCCGTTGGTTGTTGGCGAAGCAACCGGCGATGTGGCACTGCTAGAAGACAATGCCATTGTAGAAGATAGAGGAGTGCTTGATGGTCCTGGTTGTGGACTTGGTAATGAACCTAAACATATAAAATTAAACATATAATGTTTTAAATATTAAATTTTAATAAATATTTATATTAATGGCGAAAATATTAACCAGAAGGGCACTTGGGTGGAGATACTCCAAGAGGAATATCCGGATCGGCTAGTTGACGTACTTGATGCAATACTCCCTCACGATGAAAATGAACTCTAAACACGTGAGGCAGCCTTGTCATTAATATATTTGCCATTTGCAGAGCTCCAATAACTATTCGCAAATCTTGTGATGCTAACATTCCAGCTATATGAGAAGAAACTACTTGATTTTTCAGCATCTCCTGGAAATAATAAAATGATGAAAAATAATTAATTTTTTTTTGAAGTTCACAAAATTGAAGCTTTTACATACCTTCAGGAGATCACTTGGTGAGTAATATAACATTCTAAGTAATGCCCGTAAGCATTTACATTTAACAGCCGGACCAGCTGAACTACTGTAAACCTCATACAACACAGAGAACAGTGTTCGTATAAAATTTACAACCCACTCATTAACTTTGACTACGAGAGGCACAACATAAGAGTTGCTGAAAAGAAAGAATGATAATTTACGAATAAAATCTCAGCGAATTTATTATTTTAATTTAACATATTTGCAAGACATTTACTTTGACGACGAAGGTACGTTTTCACCTTCAGTGGGCTGAGTGTTTACTCTACGAAAAATACTTCTAGCGACTCCGATGTCTTCGTTAATTTGCTTCATCACAGTTAAATCAATTGTATAAGTGCGTCCGAGAGTGGACAGGCAGATTTCATCTTCTCCATTCTGGAAAGCCATCTGTGAATAGTGAAGAAAATTATTAAACAATAAGTCTTAAATTCTGAAAAATAGTTTTGTATAAAACAAATGCTGTATACCTCAATGATTCTGGAATCAATAGTGCTAAATGGATGACAGCACTGTCTCTCGTCGCGCCACTCCCAGGTAACGGTCTCTTGTTGATTGCTAGATCTATCGAGTAAACTATCTACATTGAAGATGCCGTCAGTGGGTAACGGTGGCATGAGCTCCTCGATCAAACACGTTATCTCGAAGAGTTCTTGTGGTGAACGTGGCACCAACTCAACGTCCTCCATCTTAACGTCTAGGGAACCAGTCAAAAGATAGCTTAGAGTAAATGCTATATTCTGCTGGAGAAGCAGAATCGCTAGGTCGGAACAGCGATTCGATATCACAGAAAGCATTCGTAGAACAGTTATAAAGTTGCCGGTGCTGTTCACTGGAGGCGTTATCATCAACTGTAAATAATAAAAAATATTAGTTTACGACTCTACATCTACTCTCGTAGACCAACAAAAATCAAACGGTGAAATTGAATCTTTTACCAATTGTTGTAAGTTCTGCAATAACTCTGCATTCACTATTTTGTACAACATCACTTCGTCATGTTGGAAACTGTCGACCAAACGACTGAAAGCTTGGCACACACACTCGACACTCTTTTTGTCTTGGTTGGTCAGACGGCTAGTAAGAAGAGGAAGGCTGTCAGCCACAAGATGAAAATCATCGGGATGTAAATTCTGACAACAGTTCGCGGTGATGGTCAGTGCAGCACGCTGAGCGGTAATGTTGAAAAAGTCGACAAATTTCAAACAAGCCGACACGCCACCCTGCAAACGCGAAAAAAATATATTTTACATTTGATCACAAAGAAATGCATATAAGTTATAATAAAAATAATACTCACTGCATGGAGGATAGTCTTGCTGTGTCTTCGAGATAGCATCGCCAAAGCCGTTAAACACTGCTCAGCAACGTCCATACACTCGATGGACTCAAGCTTCTGCAAGAAAACGGGCACGGCATCGACGACGACAGTCGAGGAGCGTGGCAAGGCCTCCATCATGTAGGTCAAAGCCCGGCAAGCATGTGTCATTATGGCGAAATTGTGCTCGATGCCGAGTAGATTTATGAGAGCTGCAACGACCTGCTTGACGGGGAAACCCGTGAGGGTATCCTCATTGCCCATCACGAGAATCTCACCCATGCCAATCACCGCCTGGAGCTGCTCGCCTTCATCATCGACGGCTTGCAATCCAGCTAAAAGCTGTTGCGCTTTTGCGGCTGAAATTGACAGGTAAAGTCCTACATTGTGACAGGATTGCGGGCCAAACAGAAAAGAAAACACGTTTTTGATGACTAATCTGATGTGTGACTGTGTTGTTTTGTAGTTATTTATTTTACACGTATAGGTGCTTACATGTGCGAGTTTTCGAGTTTTGTTAGATACATCGCATTTTAAATATATTTGTAAGTTATTTAAAATACGATATGCACAAATTTTCAAGTTAAAATTTGTCAGTGTCAGTAGGCGCTTTTAAAATGTACTATTAATTTATATTTCAAACACCCAATGTGTTTTATATATACAACGTGTGCAATAATCATGTGAATATTTACATGATTTTAAAAATGATAAGTACAAAAATACAAAATATTAGAAAGATAAGCTATTATTTTGCCCTAAAGTTTCAAAAAGACATACGTGCACTCGAATAAAATCCAAAGTTATGATAAGCGATATTACATTAAATTTAATTGTAGTTGCAATATAAAAGTATTCTGAAAAATTTTCAAGTTAAGAGCAAAACAACATGCTCGTCAAAAGCATATAACTAGATTTACCGCTCAGTCTTATATAAAAATAATATTCTGAAGTTAATACAATTTGTCGTGCTATCCATCTTCCAGTTAACCTGCATCATTGCATTATACGCATTTTGCTCATATTAAGAGATCTCACAGACAGCACGACAAATATGTTGTTAACGAAACCCGTAAAAGCCCCCAGCTGCGAGCACCCATTGCATAAAAAACATCTTCTAAACCTACCGCTGCTTGCGCCCATGCTTCTATTGAGCAGATGCTGCATCCTCGGACCAAGTGCACCAAACACGTGCGGCGGCAACCCTCTAGCTTCTAAAAGTGCCTGAAGTCGACCAACTTCACCATCGTCACTCTCACTGTCAGCTGCAGCAGCGGCGGCAGCACCACCACTCATTCCTGACGGTCCGCCACCGGTTGGTGTCGGTTGCGTTGCTTGTACTGTGTCCTCTTCGATACCCGTGACTGGCAACGGTAGCGTCGGTGGAATTTGAGCTGTATTTGCTGTTGCAGCTGCTGCTACTGACGTCGACGTTGAAGTTGGCGTTACACCGCTTGTATTTCCGCTGCCGTTGGTCAGCGAATCACTCGCTGACATCACAAGGCTAGCGCTGCTACTTGCGGCACCGGCTACTACTGCTGCTGCACAAGCTGCTTCTGCTGCACTTGCTGTTGCTTTTCGTACGCGTGACGATGAACGATGCCTGAAAAATCGAAACTCCTGTTAACACGTTGTTATTTTTTATGTTGTTTCTAATTAGTTTATTTGGAACTAATGGCCCATATTTTTACACACAAGTACATTTGAAATATTTCAAATGCTAATCTTATTTTTACGTTTTTTACCATTTACAACTGAAAGTCATTCTGGCAACGATGCTATTCCTAAATCTTAGAGGTGTTTATGAGACTATGATAGGAAGACGAATGACACCGGTAGTTTAACTCTCAGGATAAGATTATTTGTGGGGGCGCATACCTGCGAAATCCGTATCTCATTTGAATTTAAGCGCGCAGGCGTATTTCTAATTTTCCGTGCTATACCTTTCTACTTCCGCCACTCGTTATATACGAATAGGTGTCGTCTGCTTCGAATACAGCATCTTCTCTCCTATATTGTTTGTGTTGCAGCATAAATATACTCTTCCATCGCTCAGTGGCATTTTAATTCGGAAACAAAAATATATTTTTTCCCCAAATCACGAAAAATTACGGCTTTAGATTAATCGATTAATATGATTATTAATCGAATAGAAAACAATCCGCAAATTATTTCACATTCTTGATACCTTTTATTATATATCTTCAACGTGAAATTCTCAATTTGTCTCATGTATTATGTTCGTCTTAGCAATTTCATCAAATCGAACAATAATTTACACGATCATTCAACTCTCTCTTTCGTGTTGTATAATTAACACAATTTAATTGAAGTTTTTTTGAAGCACAAAACGCGAAAAAAAGAATTAGGCGAATTCAACGCATCAATTATAGTTTCGCCAGCACGCACGACCTTTTACGCTATAAATAAATAAGTACGTAATCATTGATCTATAACGAGATTGAAAAGTGCGTTTCAAGCTTCTTCACACGCTGCTCCAAATAGCAACATATTTAAATTTACAAATAAATTACCTTTCCAATGGATGATTGATTAATACATCCCAAGACCCAAGACATCAAATTATCGAATGCTCACTTGGAATTTCAAAATGTAAAAATGGAAGCGGAAGAAAATGAGACGATCAGCGAGCATTATGTGTACAAACTTTGGCGTCGATTCTTTATCATGACTATCGTGCATACCAGCGCTGAAAAGCACGTGACAAAGCTGAAAAAAAGCGCGCGATGGATGTACGGTTACATAAAAATGCATAATCCCACGGCAACGTCACTGCTGTAAACGTCGGTGACCCCGCGACTGTTGCTACTGGCGCGTTTAACCTTGTGTGAAAAGGGCCGGCGCTAGAAATAGCGCATTTCCAATTGGCGTAGTTGTGCTCACCTAGACGAGGAGGAGCTGGCGGATCCGGAGTCCTTCTTGTGGTACTTGCCGGTGTGCTTGCTTTGCTGCTGGAAGTCTTTGAGGTGCTCGCCTCCGAGTTTGACGCGCGACCTGAGCAGGTGCTTGTGCTGGGGCACAGCTAGCAGAGGTGGGCCAGCAGCGGCTGCAGTAATAGCAGTAGCCCCGACGCTACTGGCCGCGGCGGCGGGAGCCAAAAGGTGGTGGTAACCGGCGACCGAGTTACTACTGCTGCTGCTGCTGCTGCTCGCTGCGGCGGCGGCTGCTGCTGCGACGACCTCATGAGCCGCGGAGCTGAGATTGACCGCCGCGGCAGCTCCGCCCTCGCCGCCGCCACCACCACTGCTTGCCGCGTTACCCACTCTGGCGGAGCTGCTGGCGCCGCTGCCCGCAGATGCTGCTGCCGCCGCCGCTGCCGCCGCCGCCGCGGCCGCCGCTGCTGCCTTGGCGAACTCGACGTTCGACGATGACGACGAGGACGACGACGAGGTGGTGGATGACGAGCTGCTGCTGCTACTGCTACACTGCTGCACTGCTTGCTTCGAACCTGCAACGATGCATCGGACGGGCGGTTAGTACGGGCAGGCTACTACAGAGCACACGGACGGATGGCTCGAATCTAGAGCGCGAGCGTCCTTTGTATTTTTAGAACGAGCACGTGGGAGGCCACAGTCGCGTTCTCGCTCGCTGGCACTCGCTCACTCGAACCTTTTCCTTTCGCCACCACATATTACCATTGGACAGACACGCACACACACGCACACCCCGAAGTGCACGAGGCATAGCACGCACGTGTGCGCGACATGCTCTCTCGCGCACTTTCGCCCCTATAAATTTCCGAAACGCACTTCTTTTTTTTAAGCCGCTGCTTTCATTGATTCTTTTGAAAATTTTTCTAACGAGCGATTTACAGACGTTAGAGCCATTCATCCGCTGTATATAGTTATGTGACAGAATGAGGAAAAAGATTTTTTGTATGCGTGATTACTGTTGTAGCTAGGAATTTTGAAGCATGGCATTATTACTTGGTTTCGGATTTCGCAATGTTATTTTTCATGAATAGAACAATCGTATAATATTTTATTTAAAGTGAATTTCCAATGAGAATTTCGATATACATATTATCAAATAATCAAGAAAACGAACTATTCAACGTTTATCAATTCTAAATTGCAGCTTTTCATCCAAATCGCAACATAAAACATGAGCACACGTTTAAGTTGAATAATAAAAACATTTACTTTCTTTCAAGGCCTCATTTCTCATATATATATGCTTAAGAATTTTTATTTTATAATGATTATTCACAAAAAAAATAAATTGATTAAGAAAGGTTTGAAAATACAATACTTTATGGATTTCCATGCAGGTATTACATAGACATAAATGTGTGTTTAATATGGAAAAAAATTATATACAGTTGTCTGCAAAAGTTTCGGGCTAAACCTATTTTCATAAATAATTTTTTTTATTTAATCGAATAAAAAAAAACTAACTAGTGTCATTTGAACTTAATTACATTCATTTTCAATATACCCAGTTAAACATTTTTATAACGAAACAATAATAAATTATATCAAAATATATGAAACACACGTGGTCAAAAGTTTCGGGCCAAATAAATTTCTAGAAAGAAAACTATTAAATGTTAATTAAAATTAATCGTTTGAATCAAAATAGGCATTGTAAGGACATATATTATTAATATTTTGTTGTCATGCCCTTATACTATCACAGTGAGACATCGCCGACATTCTATTAATGTCTCAATTGTTTTCTGGTTAATTTTTTCCCATTCTTTTTGCACTATATCCAATGAAATCTTTTTGTTTGAACAATTCACTACTCCTACTTTTACTTTCAACCCTTTTCACAAATGTTCAATAGGATTCAAGTTCGGAGACTGACTTGGCCACGGAAGAACACGAACTTTTTTCTTATTGAAAAAATCTTTAAGGAGATAAGATCGAAATTTGGGGTCATTGTCTTGTCGGGAAATCCATTCTCGTGGCATATTTTGGCTTACATAGGGAAGCATATGATTTCCTAAGATATTTTTGTACAAGCATGCATCCATTAGGCCTTCAATTTTCACTAAAGGATCAATACCTTTATACAAAAAACTTCCCCAAAGCTACTCCATAATACTACCTCCACCATATTTTACAGTGGTATCGAGAATTGTAGGGGATATTATTTGGTCGCCGAACATATCTTCTAACATTATTTCCAAACATATTTATCTTCGTTTCATCTGAAAATAACACTTTCTTCCAGTGTTCGACTGTTCAGTTCTTGTGAGCCTCAGCAAATTCTTTCCTTGCTTTCTTACTTTTTGCACTAATCAATGGTTTTCGAGTTCCGAAGCGTCCAAATAGTTCAACTTCGTTTAATCTACGAGAAACAGTACTGCGACTTACATTCGCACGGCTTTCCTCGCGTAATTCTTGTGCTATAATTTTTGCATTCTTGCGTACATCTACGACTGCCTTTCTTTTAATAAATTTATCGACGCGTTTTATCGTTTTTCTAGGCCTTCCAGATGCTGGTTCATCTGCCAAGTTATTAGTTTCTTTCCACTTTTTGATAACATTATTAACAGTCGTTTTTCCCAAGGATAGTATTGAAGAAATTGCATGAGAAGTTTTTCTTTCTTTATGTAACTTTATAATAATCTCGCGAATTTGTAATTGCGTGCATTTAGGCATCTTGACAGCATCGTACTAGCGTAATATGTTTATACTACGGTCCCTCACTATCACAGAAGTGTAACCGAAGATGTAAAGATACAGTTAATAAAATCACATATATGTAAAAGCTTGGCCCGAAACTTTTGATCGCGTGTGTTTCATATATTTTGATATAATTTATTATTGTTTCATTATACAAATGCACAACTGGGTATATTGAAGATAAATTTAATTACGTTCAAATGACACTAGTTAGTTTTTCTTTATTCGAATAAATAAAAAAATTATTTATGAAAATAGGTTTGACCCGAAACTTTTGCACGTAACTGTATAGTACGTGATATATAAACAAAATTATAATTTAGTACAATGGTATTTTAACTTTAACTGTCTTTATATCTCAGCAATATTTGTTTCTAGAAATTCAATAACTAATATTTAAGGAATACTTATTTTAGATTTATTCACCTTATCGAATATATCAAAATAATTCAATTTTTGTTTACTAATTTGTGTTTAAATTTACAATACTAATTTTTCAAACTACATAAAAAGATTTGAAAAAAAATTGTAATTGAAGCACTTGACAAAAGCTTGGGTAATCTGATAATAGGGTATTTATGAACTAACATTTTGATAAGTTATCAAACTTTTTCAAGAACATTTCTTTAAATTCTATTAATTTATCAAAATGGAAAGGTAAATCTACTTTACACACAAAAATTACAAAAATTACACAAGGTACAATCAAAATTTGTTTTTCAGCTACATGCAGACATGACGATACGCAAATTAAACTTAAAGGTCAGCAAAGTACAACTCATATTTTTTGTTCAAAGATATAGCGTACTAGCTAGTGCAATGTTTGGGTTGGGTATCAACCTAGAAATGTTCGGTATAATGTATATAAAAATATATATTTTAAGGTATACAGCATTCTTTGAGTTTTCGTAGCTTCTACATAAAAAACAAAATAAATAAAGAATATTGATCGGAAAATGTGATTATAAGTTACATTATCCCACAGGCTTACCTTCTTGATGGTACGTTTGTGCTGATATGGGAAAAAGCGCTTTCACGGCTGAGACAAATCCTTCCAGACATTCGCTCATCTTCGTGCCTAATGTGATACATTCTGAATAGACTCTTTATTTATTTCAATAATCCTAGCTCTAATATTTTATAGGCTAATTTTGTTTCTGTTATATCTTAGAAGCGTTTCAGCCCTTGCAATAGATACATTTATAATTACGCCACTACCACAATTACTTACATCGATTACAATTTATAGTGATCTTAGCTTATAGATTAATGTTTTTAATACTAAAAACCGCCAGAGTGAATGTGTTATACAGAAGCAATTTAGAAACAATGATATACAGTTCTCGAATTTTTTACTGAAAGTTTATTTTCCGCTATCGTAAGGCATTAGAAGTTATATCTCAAAGCCATCACAATACTTGATAACAATTGATAACAATCAAGTTCCTAATAATTGTTCCGATAGTGTTATTGTTATTGTGACTTCAAGAACTACGTTCACGTGGAACTCTGCAGAGGTACACTAGGTACCTGTACGCATTAGCCTTGGTTCCTACAGTCATAAGTATGATCTTCCTCACCATTTTTTGAAAATGGTGTAGGAGAAAGTTTTACACACATCATGACTGGACCTACAGTTTAAGGTGGAATCCGAATCACGGTAACAAACATATGAAAATTTCATTTCTGAAAATCTTCACATGTCCAGGGCTCGAACCTACGACCTCTTGCACAGAAGCCTGGGCTCTTACCCACTGTGCCATCGTGACTCCTATATAGAAATGAAGAAAACTATTTGTGCGAGTGTTAAATACAGATAACTTAGACATTTCATTTTTTGATTATTTTTCTACTTAGTAACAAGCATAACTGTTTTTTTTACAATGCAGATAAAAAGCTTGAAACCAATTTCCTTGCACCCTAATAATTTTTCCTTGTCAATTAAAAACCATGCTTTTCCAAAAATACAGGATAATGATACAAATATTGTGATATAATGATAACTGATCCCATCACCACACCTAAGTTTACTTTCTGTACTTCTCAAAATGTACCACAACTCAAACTCTATATATTAACAGATTTTTAATTTGTTAAAACAACAGATATGTAATTGTAATATTTTAAACAGAAACTCTAAATGTATCATTTACTATATGACATGTTTATTATAGTGATTTTGTTATATTGAGTTGGTTGAGTACTATAAGAGGAGTACTTATGATTACAGTTAAAGAACAGAAAGTGAAATAATCAACTTACCTCTAGTAGTCTTAGAAGTTGATGGATGACTCGAAAGTGGAGTTGTTGAAGTGAAGTTGTTATTGATGAAAGATGAAGATTTTCTATTGTTGCTGCCGTAACCACTAGATAATGTTGAGTCAAAGCTGTTGTTGAAACTTTGTGAGAAAACTTGTGGATTTTGGGGGGTGCGTGATCTTGTGCGCGATGCCACACAGTCTATAAGTGCTGAGCTTAACTCTGGTAAATTGTTAGCTTTTGAGCTGCGTATTCTTGAATTGCTCCCACTAGAGTTGTAATTAGCCTGGTGTGTTCTTTGCTGCTGTTTCCAATCTGTATCTATCAAAATGATAAGGAATCTCAATGTGACATACTATTTTATATTATTACCAATGATTAAAAGATAATAACAATCAAGATCAGCAATTGCAATTTATTTTATGTTTGCAGTTCATTAATTTATTTTCTGTTTTCATGTCAATTTTTCATGTCAATTGTAAGTATATAAAGTTAATAATTAAAATTTATGGCTGATCTTTTGAAAGCAAACATTATTCATTTAATGATTTGAAAGTATCAAACTTACCGAATAAGCATTCTAAACCTGCTCCATTACTTCTACGTTCATTCCTTGATCTACCTTCTCCTTTCGAGGATTCAACAGGGCGCTGATGTTTGTGAATTTGCGTCTGTGGTGGTTGCAAATCACCAGCAGTATTTTGTCTACGTCTTTTCTCTTCAAGAGTGACTTGCACAGGGTTGTTATTATGACGCTTTCTGTATCCACTGCTTCCACCACTACTTGAACTCTTCCCCTTGGATTTAGAGGTGTCTGTTGAAGCACTGGCCTTCTCGACAGACCCCCCGGATGACGACTGATCTTGTTGATCTGCCATAGATTAATCGACTCATGCCACTATTCTATCTGTAAGTAATCAAATGGAAAATCACATCAAATATTTTATTTAATGAACAAATTGTTTTACCTATGTACTACTAAACAATAATTTCAATTTATAACATTTTATTTTAAATAAAAAGAAAAATAAAGAATTTGAAAATATGTTCTGTGTAGATTTAATGCAATGATCAGAGAAATGTTTGAAAAGTTGACAGTAACAAACAATATTTCAGTATCTATTAGTATAGTTAGTATATTACATATAACACTGTAATAGCTATGCTTATTACGTAAAAAATACGCAATATAGGAATTAAATATGATTATAAAAGATTTCCGTCATTTTGAAACTTAACCTCAAAACCTTGTTAAAAAACGACTTTTCATAGAACACTTTTTTTTCAGGAAGCATTATTTTTTACTATTGACTTAGGCATAAAAGTGACTTTACCAAAAAGCTAGAAGTTCAATACCAAAAAATTCAGCAAACAAAAAAACTTCAAACGCCTTGAGGGCCAAGGTTATTCAGCACTGTATGTAATGATAAGGTAGTGACAATAAATGAACGTAAGAAATTTATACATTTAGTTGTATAATAAGTTGTATTCATATTAGTATTGCAAATAAATTATATTCCGTAAAATCGGTGAACAAGCAACGCTCATTCTTTCCATGAATTAGACGGAAAGCACAAAATGGTTGTTCCCGTGTGGGTTACTTTTGCGGCAAATATCGAAAAAAAAACGAAAGATAAAGACTACAAAAACTGGCGAGAAAGATAATCTATAAGACTAACCAAGAGAAGACAGGCTGACTGACATTGGCCAACCATGACAAGAAAGAGAAAAACGTCGAAGAGAATCGATTGACGCGGGCTCTGTAGTGCTGCTGCACTCGCTGGATACTCGGACGGCTGACGCCAGACTACTGCCGCATTCCCTGAGATTTGGGAGAACCCTTCCCCTCTTCGGTTGTGCACCACCCCCTTTCCTCATACGTATACGTATACAGCCAGGCCCTATTACTTCTGTACGTATAGCCTCCCATTGTGTACGCGCGAGTATACATACATACATACATACATACATACATACATACATACATACATACATACATACATACATATATATACATACTTATATATATATATATATAAGTACATATAAATGCCAAAGTTATATACTTACGCATACTGGCACAAAACAAGCTGACGCATCGTCACTTTCTTAGGTAGGTATAATAAAGAGGAAGACGGCGACATGGCATACCTAGTAATGGGTTCCTTATATATTGACAGACATATCCAGGTATAGCACAGAAAATAAGGGGACTCTGCATATTTATGTACATCCGAAAGCATCGACTCTTAGGGTCGTCGATGTTTATCGTACAGTTCGACACGACCGCTTTACCAAAACGATATTTGTTGTTTACGATACGATAATATTACTTTGAGGCTTTCACACAAGTGGCAGCAGCAGTTAGCAGCCAGCGTTGATTCGCGAATTCGAGGATTTTCAACACTCCGAGCGCGGACTACGTCATTAGACATCAGAACCAATCCGGTTCGAGTGTATGCTCTACGAACAGCAGCAGCAGCAGCAGCAGCAGCAGCAGCAACAGCAGCAGCAAGCTCGTTCCTGTTACTGTCCGCGACTGCGCATGTTTATGCTCAGTCTCTTGAAATTTACACACGACCTTCCCATGCCCAGCTGATCTTTTATTTAGATCTATGTATATCTATCTAACGTGATAGTGTGCGAGTTACTATCATGTCATTTCAGTACAATAAAAGATAACTCGATCTTTTTTTCAAATTTTATATTCGCTGTTACGCTTATGGATGTCGAACGGGACGAGCGTGTCTTTATTTACGAGTTTGTTGTTTATATTATTAGACAAATTTTCGTTTCAGATAACATATCTGCGGTTATTGGTCGATGTCTTTCCCTCTCTTTCTTTATCACGACGTTCTTTCGATTAAACAGAGAACTTAACTTAGAGTGAAAAAAAATATTCAACATTCAAATCACGTAAATGAATTTTAGCTCTCACAGCAAAATTCTCTTTGTACAGATCTCATTCTTGATTTATGTTTTGCCGCGATCTTGATATATTGTGATGTGCAGCAGCAGGAATGGTTGCAAGTTTTCACGGCGTAAAATCGTGCGCGGATGAAACGTCGCACTTTCGCTATCGATAAGCCTGCTACTGCTGCTGCTGATCGCAGAGTCGAATGACCAACACTACTGCGTTATATATTGAACACGAGAGAGTGAGAGACGAGGGGGAGAAATGATATTGGGGCGAGAGAGTGAGAGAGAGAGAGAGAGAGAGAGAGAGAGAGACGACGACGACGACGACGTGTACGTATGCAGCGGCGCTCGATAACAAAGAGACAGAACGAGCGAGAGTGCAACAACCGTGATATGTGTGTAGGACCAAAGCCAGCCCTTCGTTCGGATATCTCCGACGACGTTTTATATTACATATACGACGTATAGGGCGTATTCATTGAAATCTGGATTTTTGTTGCGTGAATTACGTAGTATAATGTTTTGGACATCTCTCGGTGATGGATAAACTTTATTCCTTTTATCCCGGCACGTTATCGACGCCCCTCATTGTATGCGTCGAGACACCGTAATATTTATTTTTTTCACGTTGAGGTAAGCCTCCCTCCCACATATAACGAGGAAGACATTTTTTTGGTTACTTTATTTATTTATTTTTTGTAGCACAAAGCTCCGCATGCTACTGTTATCTTTCTTAACACAAAACAGTCCCTAACCGTTGTCGTCCTCAGCTCTAATTAAAAGCGTTGCTTTTTTCACCTTCTGAAAATTACATTTGAAAAAGCTTTTACGCGTGCGACTTTGGAATTGAGAGAATTCTTTATTGTTTTTTCTTTTTCGAAGTCGCGCATGCGTACGAGCGTGAAACTTTTACTTCACGTAGTATGTATATGTATAAGATTTTACGGCTGCAATTATTACAGTGAAAAGTCCAATTAGCGGCCAATTCAAATTAAGAATACAGTTTGTAGTGTAATAAAAACTTGAAACAAGGATTAAATGTTAACGAGATAACATTTTGACAGATAGCTTTTATATAATTTATTATGAAGTGTGTTTCAAACAACCATTCACAAACGTACCAATAGTACTTAAAAACGAGAGATCGTAATAGCCAATTCATGCTTCAAACGCAGTGTGTACTTGAAAACAAATTTTACAGGCAATTAGAGACCAATTAAACGGCAATCCTCAAAGATACTTCCGTTCGTGTTGTCTGGCAATATAGGCACGTTCCAAAATAATAATTGAATAAGAAACGAAGTAAAACACATTACAATTAAGAACGAAGACGACGACTGCGTTTCAAAGAGCAAGAAGAAGCTCGACGACGGTAACGGGACTGTAGCTCGCTTTGTAAGAGAGTAACAAGTATCTCACCGATTTCGAAGGTGTAAGGCACACACACACACACACACACACACACACACACACACACACACACACACACACACACACACACACACACACACACACACACACACACACACACACACACACACACAACACGCACACACTGAGGTACAACCGGTCGGCGGTCTCCCCCCGGGTCCTTTTTAAAAAGACTTCTCAACTCCTCTCTTGCGCTCGCACGCTCACTCTCCGCGGCGCGAGTCCTTGATCGAAAACCAAGTAAGTAGTACGAGCCAGGCAGGCTCGGACAAACAGCCGCACACAACACCTGTCGCTATGTGTATATGTAGCCGTAAATAAACAAAGCCTTACTGCCCCTCGCATGCAGCTACACGTGAGAGTCGGTTGCGCGTGACTTTGAAAAAAAAAAAAATTCCTTTCTGTTTCGTTTATCGGTCGTTGTCACCTTCAGCGACTTGTGCCCGATAAAAAAAATCAAACCAACTCTGTACGCCACTGATATGCAAGATTATCGGTGATGACAAATGAGATGGATGGAAAAAAAGAAATTTTCCAGCGACCTCCGCGACACAAGCTTCGTCCGTGTCAGGGTCGTCCTAACCGGGCCAGCGAACAGCAACATACAGACACATACTTCCCCTACCTGCCGAGGGCTCTCTTTCTCGCTCTCTCTCTTTCTCACTCACATCAAGTTCATCGCTACTCGCTCTTCTCTCTACCCACACACCCAAAGTGTAGTCTGCGTTCTCTCGAGCACACGCATGCACGCAAGAGAGACGAGCTCATACATACGCGGAGAAACTGGCTGGACTGGAACTGCTGCTACTGCACGAGAGTGTGTGCTCGCATGCGTCGACCTCTCCTCCTCGTGATCCGCAGGCTTAGGCTGATCGCAAGCGCGACGACAGTCTGCCGCTCCGCTGCTCCGCCCCCAACTGAGCTTTCCCAGGGTACCTTTTAAACTGCCCGCCTTTTTAAATGTCACTACCGCAAGCTACCCTTTGTCCTCGTCTATCGCACTCGCCCTCTCTCTTATTCGCGCTTAACCTAGAAAACTCTCTCTCGTAACCAGGTTTTCCGAAAGGGAGAGCGTGAACTAAGAATAGAGATAAAGAACGAACACTGTATTATATATGTGTGTACTATGCCTGTGCGCGAGCGAGAGAAAGTACGAAATAGAAACAAAGAGCCTGTGTGGGGGAGGGGCGCTTCGCTCTGCAAGTAAGACAGAGACAGAGAACCTACGCGCAGTAAACGGGAAAATGAAGAGATGAAGAGTAATGTGTCGCTTCTTTTTTTGTATAATTACGTACTCGGAATTCATGGTCCGCTCTGCAGCGCGATGATGCACTCAGAGGCTCGAAGTAGCCATCCTTTTGCACAGACAACAGTTCTTTTCCTTTCAATCTCTCTTTAAAGGTACGCACCAAAACAAAAAAACTGCGACGTAACATGCACAGGAAGCACGGCAAATCCAACTGTATGTATATATAGAATTACTGCGCGTCGACGATACCGCTGCTGCCAAGGCGAAAAGTCAACTGAACACTAGCGAGTGAGCGTTCGGAGCAAACGCGTAGCAGGCTACAGCCGCGACGTTGCCAGATCTGAGGCGCGAAAACAACACATTTTCAAAATTAACTCGAGGCTTGCACTTTTTTTTACCAACTTTTCTGCTATGGGCTATCGCGAATTATTGATTTTCATCGAATATTGTATGTAAGTTTTCTCATTTATACGAAAAACGTATCTACTAGGAATGGTTTTTGGAGTTTATACGTGTGGCACTGGTATTGATTGGGAGTGTAGCGTGTGTCTATGTATTATACGAGTCTGCGATTAACATGGGCGTGAAAATATATTTTTGGAGCAATGCTGTTTCCATCGAGTGATTTGACAATATTCGAGAGATTCCTGTATTTATTCCTCACGTTCGTCGATTCTGGAGTTTCTTTTTTATTTTTGGAAGATATGCCGTTTATAATAACTGGCGCTGTCGACCAGATCAGGATGAGAACGACGTAAGGATGATGTGCGATTAAGACGCACCCGTGGAATATGAAGTGGGCTTAGAGCGCGATTTATTGTATAAGTTGATTTTGTATCAACGATATTTAGGCCCATACATGTACCGGAAAAATAGATCGAAAGAATGATGGAAGGGTCATGAACATAACCTGAAACGATATAGAATCCAACTACAAAAAGAATTCACTGTCGTTGATTTTAGAGATATTACTATAGTTCATGAGCTCTATTTTTGAATGAAGAAACGCCTACTGCCGTGTGATTCACTGTTGCAACGACAGAAAATAAATCAAATAATTCTTTTTGAAAACGTTTTTTCAGCAAGAAAAATGTGCAAATTTCCTTTAACGTGATGCTCAGTAATGTTGATAGAGACCTGATTTAACGTCGGCAAACGGAAGAGGATCTTTGGCAAAAGCCGCGTAATGATGAATTCGAAAAGGGGCGGAGAGTCGAAAAATATCTGATGTCTGCGCAGAAATTGTTCTCGCTCGCGATATCTGCAAAGTTGCGAATTTTCGAATGCACGCGCGCGCCAGCAGCAGCATTTTTATCCGTCGCCCGTTTCTCTTTGGCAACAGAACGAGAGTAATGTATATGCGAGCATCACGTTTCAGAGCGTGTAGCCTCAGACACGCGCGCGCACACACGCACACACGCTACATTGTTGAATAACTTCCGCGTGGCTTCGCGCTTTGAAACTTTATTAAATAATATTCAAATGCTGCTGCTTAATCGCCTCGCAATGTCACGCGAAATATATAGCACCAGTCGAAATAAGCCAAATTGCGCGATTTCCGCGCGTTCCACATTTTACCATTTTGCGCGCTGTCGTTCGCGCGTTTTTTTCGGATTTGATAATTCAATCTCCAAGTTCTAAAATTGCAACGGTATATAACTCGATTTCTCATCGCATCCCCATGTCAACTGGCAAACGAAGCGTACGAGGAGAGTTGTAAAGCGCTTCAACGGTATACAATCGAGTGAGACGTATACCAGCGCGTCTGCTGGGAAAAGAGAATAACGCTAAGGTTATTCAATTCAAAGCATATACCTGCCGATGGAATTAGAAAATGAATTTTGTCGACGTAATACAAAATTCCGCCGCCCTCTCTTTCTTAGGCAGAGGCTCCGTGTCGTCTTCTTGGCCACCGAGTGAAGCGTGGGTTCCATTTTGTACAGTTTCGAGGCAAGGACGGCCTTAAAGTAACATTAGCGTTTGACTTTTCGGGCTCTCTTTAGCTGGACAAAGTGAAACACGATAGCTGAAAGAGTTTTTCCTTTCATTTTCTGCCACGAATTTCCTTTCCATTTGTAAAGCAACGCTTCCAAATTGCAACTCAAACAGAGACCAAATCCGATCGTCTTCGACAACGCAAACAAAGCAAAATTTCTTAAATTGCATCGCATCAGATATTTAGGTCTAAATTCTTCAATTCAAAGCGACACACGTCTCGCCTACAAACCTCGCTTATCCTTCTCATTACAAGTGCAAACACGCGAAATTAGTCAAAATTTGAAGTAACGTTTACTCTACTTTCGTAATTTGGGTTGCATGCTTGAACGCTGTGAAACCGATCGGAGCACTGCAGAGAGCTAGCTACACAACCATGATTTCATTAGGTTAAATGCATCGCAGCGTACTGCCCGATAAAAGATATACACCGAAAATGAGGCAACCAACGTTGTATAATGGCTTAGAAAAAAAAAGGAGATTACGCTTTCCCCGGTGCGTTCAGCGCTCAATTTTACAATAAGGCTGTGATACTTGGTTGCACAAAAGCTGCAAGCACGCTGTGTTTCAACTGGCAAGTGTACGGATAATTGAATCAATAGGCCTAAACATTTTTTAATCGTCATGCATACAACAAGAGCTTCATAAATGACAGCAGTGCTTTTCTGCATTTGGCAATCTGGAGTTTCCAAAGGTGGCCGCAAGTCCTCATCATCATCATTATGATCCTTTGCAAACCAGTTTAATTCCACAGTCAACGCAAGATCAACAGCAGAACAAACGCAGCAATTAGTATAGCAGATTGCTTTGAAAGACGTTTCTCTCTGCGGTTCTCGCAATAGGCTGCCCGAAAAAAGAAAAGTACGATTGGTGAGACAGCACGGCAGGCACGTATAACGACAGGCCGACTAGAAGAGGTCAAACGCATAGAAAAAGGGCCACCCAAACCAGCTCTCTCTCTCTCTCTCTCTCTCTCTCTCTCTCTCTCTCTCTCTCTCTCTCTCTCTCTCTCTCTCTCTCGTTCTCTCAATGTGAAGAAAAAGAAGCTCGCGCGGCCCCTTCCGAAGACTATGTGCCTCTCATTCACGTATGCATCAGAGGCAATAGCAGCAGCCTGCAGCCGACAACAGCAATAGCAGCAGAGTTAACGTATACAGCAGCGAGCACAGGCAAGGCAGGAGAAGAGATAGTAAACTCTGAGCATTGCGCGAGACGTAGGCCCCTGTCGTGTCTGTCGACTCTTTGGATTGTTTCGTAAGTCAATGCGGAGGTGGCAGCAAGCAGCAGCGGCGGCTCTTGATATCGGCTGGGGTTCCATATAAAAGCCAGTGAAAGACTGTTGCCGCAAGAGACGTGGCAACGCCGGTTTTGAAACAGCTGTTGGACTGCTGCTGGCTCGGCTCTAGTGCGAGAAGGTTTCCACTTAGCCTCGGCCAGCCAGTCGATTGGGTCGGGCCGTTCCCCGATAAAGCTGCGCGTCGATTGGCCGCTGATAAAAAGCTCCCTGCTTCCATCTCGACGTCCCCCTCCCTTTTCCAATCGTAACGTCAACACACGCTCTCTTCGTTCTCTCGCTCGCACCCACACGTAAAACGCGCTCGCGCGAGCCTCCAACTCATTTTTTTTCTCGTACAGTCGACGATATATGTATCGAAAGAACTTATTAATGGTTATGATAGCTTTTTTTAGCAAGGTACTCACCGAGATAGAAAGGAGCGAGACACGGCTCCTCCTTCGAATCGAGCGATGATGTGTGGGACAGAGAACACGTCTTCCTGCTACTCTCTCACACACCACACTGACTTATTACTGCTAGGCTGTTTTCTCGTCCGTATATTGTGAAATGGATAGTGCTCTTGATGAATTTCGACTTCTGAGTGTATTGAGCTTGACACCGTCGTCGTCGCTTCCTGCATACGAGAATTTGTGCTCTCTATCTCAACTTCCTATACACGGTCGTCAGCGGAGACACGTGAAGCAATGTGTGCTACCTTGTGTGCGAGCAGTTGTGGAGAACGGGAGAACCCCTTCTCTCCGCTCGACTTCTCCGTAATGCGCGCGCAGATTTCGAGTTTTTCAATTCCGACTATGTCTGCGATCTATGATTAGCGCTGCTGTTTGATATGTTTTGGCTTGTCTGACTAATCAATGAAATTTACATTATTTGTTTTGTTTCCTCGTCGGGCGATGTTGCGTGCAAAATGTCAACCCATTTTTGTTTAGTCCTCCGACGACGAGGTTATAATCCCTTTGTCGGCCCCAGCGCCCTCTCTTGTGACAGTTCTAGACATGAGATGAGAACTGCTGATCTGATGGGGAAACTTTTTTTATTCTTTTCTTTCTTGGCCCTGGTGTGTCCGGTCGATTCGAAACTTGCTGTTGTGGGATTTTGGAGCAGGAATTTCAATCTCTTATTGCCGTAGACGTTTTGTTGAAGTAACATATTTCAGCTTCTCTTTCAAATAAGACTAAATTAAATCACAAAAATCGTTAGGAAACCTCGATAGCTCATGTATGTAATTAACGATGCCTAATTATAAAGTATACGTATTACATTATTATATCTATTTACCAACCATTAGTTCTAACGAATTTTAACTTATAGTTACTAATTTTCAAATATCAATTTTCGAATTATGAATCAAATTTGATCAATCTTATGATAGCTAAATTAATTTTTAAAATAATTACATTTTACTATACACAACTGTTTTCATGTTTCTTGTCATATCTTTCTTACATCTCTTCGAGAGAATTTATCGTTAATAATAACGTACCGATTGTGAAAAGCCCATAGTACATGTGCGCACTTGCATATAATGTATGCATAATACGTCAGTTAGATAAAAATGATAATATCCGCAGTATGTGTGTGTGTGTGTCTGTGTGCGCACGCATGTGTATGTGTGTATTAAACTAATGGCAGTTCCAAATTAATTCAAGCTTTTAAAACTATAAGAAACATCTCAATAATGCTGCATATGCAAATGAAAGCATACCAAGAACCAAACTTACAGGAAGCAAAGAAACAAATAAACCTTGGTTGAACGATGACTATAAAAAACAATTAAAAACGTGAAAAATACCTTTTATTACAAAAAAAGAAATAAAACCATTGAATGCGATATCGAATTCAGATGACTAAAAGCCATAGCCAAACGTACAATTAAACAAAGCAAAAGATGAGCTTGGTTATTTTTTATAAGCTCTATAAACACTGAGTTACCTATTAAGAAGATCTGGAATAAAATTAAAACAATAGAGGGAAAACAATAATAAACGATAACAGCCTTAGAAGTTAACAATAACGTAATTAAAGAACTAATCAAAATTGCTAACATTTTTGCAGACACTTTTGCCAGTAACTCTAGTGATAAGAACTCTAATCCAGAATTTATTCAATTAAAAAAATCTATTGAAAATGATCCAAAGACCGAACGAAACCCCTCATATATTAGTATAAATGACGATGCAATAAATGAAGCTTTTACACATTCTGAGTTAATAAAAATGATTCAAAAAAAAATACAAGTGCTAGACCTGATTCGATTCCTAATATATTTATCAAACAATTGCCAGACGAAGCATTAGACAGTCTTCTAAAAATTTACAACATATAATCTGGCAAAAAAATGTATTTCCCACCTTATGGCAACAAGCTATCATCATCTCAGTATTCAAGCCTGGCAAGAACAAACACAACAAAGATAATTATAGACCAATTGCACTAACATGTTACCTAAGCAAATTATTAGAAAAAAATTATTAATAATAAACTCCGCTCGTTTTTAGTAAAAAATAACGTCATCACAAAATTGCAAAGTGGCTTCCGCCTAAATTACTCCACTACAGATTGCCTAGTAACCCTCGAAACTATTTTTGCGAAGCGCTGAACAATAAGCAACACTTAATAGCTGTTTGCCTAGATATGGAAAAAGCTTACGACTTAATATGGAGGCGTAAAGTATTAGAAATTTTAATCAAACTTAAATTAACCGGAATTGTATATAATTTCATTAAGAACTTCCTTACTAACAGGTCAATTAGAGTTAAAATCATCAATCGATTATCACATAGTACTACAATAAATAACGGTGTACCACAAGGATCAGTAATTAGTGTAACGATTTTTCTTTTTGTCATCAACGAAGTCGTTAAATGTATCCAAACTCCCGTTTCTTGTTCAATGTTTGCCGATGATCTAACATTCTTCATCAAAGGTAAAAATATTAAATCATAAAATCATACAGTAGACGCTTAATAAAATTATAAACTCGAATAAATCCGAATTCAAAATCTCAAAAAACAAAACTAAAACCATCATTTTTCAAAAATACGAAAAGAAAACTAATGAACTATATCTTTATATAGATGATTACAAATTAAAAGCAGTAGAAGAGATAAAAATCCTAGGACTAATCTTTGACTTGCAAATTAAATTGGAATGCCCATATAACCAAACTAAAAACAGACTACCTTAAAAAATTAAATATACTGAAAACCTTAGCTATCAAAAACTGGAGCACCAACCAAAACTATACCAGGCATCAATCTTAGTATAGGTAGGCTAAAAAAAGAAGCCAATTTTCCCATTCTCTCGACTTCCAGTTTTTTCTTTCTTTCAAAGTGCGCGTTAAACAATTGATTTGATAAGGATTTTGCATTTTTAATAATATAGAATCAATATCAGCTATTTTATCTTTCAACACATAAGGAACACCAGATACATCAAACCACATACGCGCATATTGGCGGCAAGCTCCTACAGATGAACAATGCATTTCATCGGGAACAAAGCCGTCAATGATGTCAAAATATGGCAAATGTATTAGAGGATACATTGCTTTAATTCCAAACATTTTTATTGACACTGATATTTTTTCAGAAACAGTTTTCATAAGCTCTAAATGACTCTAAATCTAAATGACTTCTTTTTTTCTGGCACAAAGTCAAGAAGTGGATATTTTATAACTTTCTTTTCCGTCTTTTTAATTGGTATACCAGAATGGTAGCACCAGTTACAACTGCTGTAACCGTTAAACTGTACAATGCCCTGTAATGGTGCACGCGCAGTCGCACCTGCACAACATACAGGGTATAATCTTATTGTTCTAACACTATTTACAATTTTACAAGATATACCTTCCAAATCCAAAGCATTAACGGTTTTAACAAAGGTCTTAGCGAAAATATTCACATGCGTCTTCTTTCCGAACCATGAAGCCGCGGTGATCTTATTACTTAATCGTACATTCGAAAAAAGTTTATTTAAAATTATGTGTATTGGCCATATTGAATAGTTAAAGCTTTTCCACACAAGAGATCCATCATTATTCATTGTACAAATAACGTATGAGTTTTTAAAGTCACTTGGTAACGACAAAACAAACTCTCAATACTTATAGCCGTCATAAATATTGTTAATATTTTCAGTTTGCTCCGAAATATCTTTTTGTTTGTGCAGTACATCATCGTAATATTCATCGTGCGTTTCTAGTAAATGTTTTACTTTCTTTCCAATATCCAAAATCGCGAAAAAACTTACGTCATTTCCTTTAACGGACATGTTATTTTCATACATTTGTCGCAAAACATGATTCGTTCAGTAAAATTGAAGGGTCGAAGATACATCTCGCATATAGGGCAAAATGCATGAAATCGTTTGATATCGTCGGATCGCAATAATTTATCTATATGATACTGTATATTTGGAAGTACGGAAACATTCATAAAACTATTAAACATTTGACATATCATTTCAATACCGATCGTTGGCAAATGAAAATGAGCATAATAATTCACGAAAGCACAAAGCATTTCTGCTTGGTTCGCAACTAACTTGGCAGATTTAATCTGATCTAAATTCTCGTTTTTTAATTTCTCTTCAAGTTCAGAAAATCGCCTTTGTTCTGAGTATTTCCAAAACTCATCTGCTTCAAAATCATCAGAATCATAATTCGCATGGTCCTCAAGGGATGTTGGACTTGGATTATCAATCTATAATTAAGGTTGAATTATGATAAACATTTTTTATTTTTGAGATAAAATTTAAAAGTTTTACTAATCAAAACGTTGTAATGAACATAATAGGAAAAAAAACTCTGTCAACAAGTGATAAAATAAGATAAAAATTTATAAGAAATATTTGTCTGCAAACAAAATATGAAACTTTAGCAAAACAGAAATAAAAATAATTAATACATATCGCTAATGAACAATTAATCTAGTATATTTTATAATTATAACGAATATCATTTTACTTAATTTATCTTTTTGTGATTGAAAAATTATTAAATTTTTTTCTTTTTTAAAGCATATTACAATCCTTTTTCCATTCGAAATGTACTGACCATGGAATTACAATGTCTAATATCCAGAAGTAATGGTTTTGTATAGTCCTCTACATGAAAATGTTTTTCATTAGACGTATATCCGACGTATATCAGCATCAGACCACATGACTGGCTTTCGATATCTCTAGAGACTATTTTAGAACATACTTGATCAAAACTTATTGACATTCCGTTGTCTGGATCACAGCTTTCTCTCGCAAACTTCTAAATTATTTGATCGTGATTACTTTCAAAATCGCCAAAATTTTGCAGCTTACGTACAATACTGCTGTAGAATTCCAGTAGTAAATTTAGTACTGATTTAGTAATTTTGAAACGTACATATCGATGTTTCCTTCATGATAAAATGGATTCAATATTGCTATGAAAAAAATTATAGAGAAGTACATTTTATTTTTATAAATTAACAAATTATTTTAGTGTTTCAGATAATTTTTCAATATTTCGAGAATATAAGTATACTCAATCTACCTCCTTATCGCACGTGCTAGAACTGCTATCATCGTCACATGCCAATCTTCTCTTTTTGTGATCAAATTTAGTCGATCGTGGTACATCGCCTCCTTTTGTAAAATATTTTTGATAAGATCCAGTTTTTTTTACATGTGACTGAAGAAAAATTAGAATAATTATAATCTGATATATTCAGTTTTTGTTATTGAGATTTATACCATTTTAAAAATAAAACTTCATTTTTTCAGAAGCAGTATTAACCAAACTAAAACCAAATTAATATCACCGGTATTGAGCAGCAATTTAATTTATTGAATTCATTTTATTTAGATTTTTCAATTTCTAAACGTAATCATCAAATGAATAAAAGCATCTGTAATTAGGAGGCACTATAAAATTTTTAGCATTTTTGAAATTGCGAAAATTTGTACAAAAAATTTTTGTAAAATATGTAATTCAATTTATAAATATTACTTACTAATCGACAGCGTTTTAATTTTTGTCACCAAAAACTTATTCAAAACTCTGTATCGGTTCTTGATAAGTGATAAATAATCAAATATATTGTTGAGCAAAAAAATATAAATTCAAACAACCCGAGGTTTTAACCTATTAATTCTTCGTAGTGGTAAAGCAGACGACTTATAGCAGACACGTACTGGCATGAGCAGACATCGAATATCCTTCTTTTATCCTCTACTTGTTTGTTTTGATTGGCGAATAACACCGACTAACCTCTGTGGTAAAATTTTGAATTCGAGTACTGCAGTGTATTACACTTATCAACCAAAATTTAAAAATGGGTGAAATACATGATATTTACATTTTCTTATTCTCATAAGTAAAACGTCATAAATTGGAAAGTTATAATGAATCGGCAGAAAATTATCTCTCATGTCCTTGTGTATACCTTAGCAACTGATGCTTTTCATGTAATGCCCACTGGAGATGTAATAGATTTGGAAACTCTCACACTAGAAAATGATTTTATTCATAATTATGATTATCTTATGTGAAGGAATAATACAGAAGAAAAAATTCATGTTCTTGCTTTAGGAAGTAAGTATTACATATTTGTTTTATCACTTTTATTGCATATTTGTTATAAATGCTGTTGAAATTTCAATCTAAATCTTTTAATATCAATAATTAATATCACGTATTGCTTTAAACTTATTTTTCAACTTTTTAAACTTTTTTAATTGCATGAATTAACAATAGTACCCATTAAGAATATCAAAGAATTCAGAACTGTAAATTTCAAACATCACCTTCAATTTGATAAGTTTAAAATTTATCAAGCAAAAGCTGAAAATAAATATATTCATCAAAGCATTGCCATTCATCAATTAGGAGGTTATAAGTATAGTTCAATAGTTTATTAATATTGTTAATTTTAGATTAAACCTTAATGTTAATTATATATTTTCTTTCGCAAATTGTAGATTATAATTGATTGTTATCCAAGTGTGATGAACTGAAAAACGATATATTCTCTGTTCTTGTGAGATTTGTAGATGATGACTCTTTAGAAGTAATAAATGTGACTGATGTTGAGAAATTTAATTTGGATAAGTGAAAAAATAAATCAGATTTTGAACCACTAAAATGTTATTTTGGACGACTCAATTATATGGAAGACTACAAAAATATTCAAATTTTGAAGTTAAGAAGTAAATTTTTGCATTATGTATATGTTCTAATTTAGTTTTTTAATCTACAATTGTTATCGTTTATATGAAATCTTTTTTATTTATTAATGTTTTTCTTTTTAAGATTCTGAGGAGTGTATAAGGTGTATTGATTTTTATAATCTATTTTACATGCATTGATACTTTATAAGCCTAAAAACACTAAAGAAATCATACCCATCAAATGGATAGAAGAATTTAGGAAAAATCTATCTAAGAGTAACAAAGATTTTAATCAAAATAAGCCATATATATATACAGGACTGCTTCCTGGCGTGACTAAATATTGTCCATTACAAATTGTCGAATTAGAATGTACGTTTAAAATCTGAAAAAATTAGTACATTTTATATAACACTCATTATTTAATTTTTTTAAGTGATCAAATTCTGAATTTTAAAAATATAAATAACAAAAAGAGAGTATTCATAATTTTTTGAAAAAGAGTGTTTTGAAAAAGTTCAATAGAAAAGTATCAGAATTGAGTGATACTGAGGAAACAAGATAATCTATAAGTGATGACACTGAAACCGATTCTACCAGAGAAAAAAATAATACGGAAAAGAGTAATTTATGAAGATCAAGGCCTAGAACAAGAATAATAAAAGTAAAAAACTTAAAGTTTCTATGTGTACTCAGAGACTATTTTATTGTAAAGTGCACTGTTTTGCAGCACGATTAAGATGAAAAAAATTAATTCGAACGCAAAAGATCTAGAAAAAAGAAAAACTTTATTATTACAAAGTGTAATGCGTGAAAGTAATCGGGCTGGAAGGGGTACTTCTAGTGATCGAGAAGTGTTGAATACGAGAAGGACTAATGATGTTGGTTATTTTGATAAGAATATAAATAAAAATAGTTATGTAATTCTTTCAGTCCTGATAAATCTCCTGGGCGTCATGGGGATAGTAAATAAATACATATAAATTTGAATGTAATTAAAGTTAAAATGCATAAGCAAGTTCAATTAAATTTCTATAAAATGATAAATGCTGAAAACTATTCGTTTCTTTCACCTTTAAAGATTGAAGTTTCCAATAAAAAAACAGAGCGAACTTTGATAACGAAGAAAACTCAGCGGATGAAATTTTAGACACATGAACTCAAAGGCGTAGAAAGAGGACTTATAGCAGTAGAGGATCATTTCAATCTAGAAAGATTTGTTCTTAATAATCATCGTAGATGATTATCATGAAACAAGATGCTGAAGCGATGATAGTACAGATTCAACCGAAGAATACGGAATGTTGGAAAATTTTGAAGCCTTAGACAAAGTTACTAAGAAGGTAAGATAAATTTTTTAATTTATAGTGTTCTTGAGTTCATTAAAAAATTATTAAAAATCAATAACTTTTTAGAAAGTAACATACATTCATATAGGCTGCCATTAAAAAATTACTTACGCATCTTGGAAGAACATTAAGAGTGAATGTTTTAATGAATACAGTTTCATTGAACAATTATTGAAAGTATTATTTGGAAAACGAAATATACCTTCAAAAAAAACCATTTATGAGAATTTCTGATGGTAAAATGAGAACAAAGATTAGTGAAAATGAAAGCAATGAAAAGTATGGATATAATTTTTAATATAACTACATGTTATTTATTCATTAATTATCTGATTTCCCAAGTAAAACCTTATTTTATAATTATTTTTTCACAGAAATTTTGAGATACTGGGTTGGTGCTTATGCAAGGCATCTACTGCAAAGACGAACCATACAGCAAATTACGACGCTAGAGCATATAAGGCATATGTTATCTCGAGCACATTATATTACTGCAACACCTAATATGTTACATTATTAATGTTTTATTGTAAGTATTATGTATCCAAAATAAAACGTTGTCATATCATTTATTGAAAAAAAATAAGCAAATGATTTTTGATTGGTTAATAGTACATTACGATTTTTCCGAATTTCCGATTAGAATTATATATAATTCGTAAAAAATTCCTATGAAAAACATACAAAATATGTACGTATTTGGTACGTATTTCGTACAAATTTTGTTCGTAAATATGTACAAATTATGTACAAAATTCGTACCTTTATTTTTAGAGGGGATATGATAATGAGGATGCTATATTAACTCATAATTATACGTAATGAGGAATAAGATAGATTTCTAAAAATGGAATATATAATGCACGTGCACCAAGAGTGTTACAATGCTGGCAGGCCAAATTATGCCGTACGTCTTTGCTACTTCAGCATGATTGCATTTATATATGTCATGCAACGTGAAAATGGAGTTACTGCTCTGCACGTTGCCAGTGTATTTTACCATCCTTGTATTGTAAAACGCGACAACAGGATATTATAATACAGAAAACTTGGTATATTCAATGATGAAAGACATTATTGACCTAACGCTGTAATATTTCATAACGTTATCCTTAACGATTAATGCAATTAATATAAAAATATAATAATGTTCTTGATGGAATATAACAATTGTATTATAACGATATCTATTTCAATTTTCTTTTGAAATTGACGTGTCTTCTAAAATCATATTTGCTGTCAGAACAATGTAATTAAGCTATATACGTACACTTAATTTACATTAGTTAATTCGATCAACAATTTTTGAATATGTGCGCTGAGCCATGCGCGTGACTAGTTACTTAGTTTTTCTAGCTGTGATCTGGTACCTGAAACAGGTGAATCGACGATAATAACTAATAATAGTAACAAGCTCCATAAAATTTATTTTTAATTAAGTATTTAACTAAAATCTTGACGTAACACGTTTTAAAAAGTAGGGCGTTAATTATATACTATGTGTTTGTTACTCTTATGTCTTTATGTCTCTCTTATGATCATTTAACGTATCCCTTGTATCAATAAACTCGTCAAAGTAGATACACCTATAATAATTATACTAACGTATAGAAAAGCGAAACTCGATACTTTTTAAAATCAATTAACGATCGCATTAGAAGTGGATTAACAGAAATCAATGCAAACGCTCCACGAAGGCTAATGATTTCTTAATAACTTATAATTTATTTTCCCTAGACAATTAAATAATGTAATTGCGTATCCCGAAAATACGGTTGCTAATTATATCTATATAGATATAGTTCTCCTAGTAAACAACGACGCCACAGCAGTAGGACGGGTAGAGAACTGCATAGGTAACAGTAGGCCGCGCTGCACCACACCACTGTATCGCTCTGAATTTTTAGCTTTTACAATATCTTTCTGTAGGCTCGGAAATTCACATATCTGGCGTGAAAAAAATGTTTTGTTTGAAGCGCACATGCAGATTTAATGAGAGGCTATACGTGCTTAAACTGTTATTGATATTCCAGAACGTATCTTTGCTTTTAATTACTTTTTTGCATCCGTGGATTTCTTGTTAAACAAAGAGTTATGTCGTTATTTGATATTCAGTATCAGTAATTTAAACAATTAAATTTTTCGTCAGTACGATTAGTTTTACGTATTCTGCGGTACTAATTGACAGTTTTACGATTATCGAAATTAAGTAGATTTTTCACAAAATAACAAACTATTTCGTTGACCAATTGTTTTTGTACACTACTTTATACGGGAAAAAGTTGTAATTGAATTTGTCCAAGCGCTGCGAAAATATACATCAGCAGTTTACATTTTACAAATTAACACTATCTCTGGATCCTATCGTTTTATCAAAGTGAATTTTCTGTTGTATAGCAAGTCATTCTAAGAATTTGTGTTCAACGGGTTAAATTACATAAAAAAACTCCAGTGGTCCCATCTAAATTAAAAAGCTGGGAACGGCGACCTCAATGCCATCCCAACTAAACTACACGCGCAGACGCGAGAACTACGCTCGCTTCTTTTGCTACGTTCACAGGCGCGTGTGTGTGACTCCGAGCTGACATTATTGCTGCGCGAGAGTAAGAGAGAGAGAGAGAAAGGGGCGGCGACTGGCAACCACAAATACACGTATATACACGAGACTTCACATACACAGAGCCGCGCGCGCTTGACAGCACAGTAGCAGCGGCAGCAGCATCGGCAGCAGCAGCAGCAGCGGCAGCAGCAGTGGCAGCAGCAGTAGTTTCGTTCCATCCATCCAGGGGGGCCGATCAATCGACATCGACATTCGGCAACTGCATAAGGTGCGTAGGTAGTTTATTTATGTCGCCGTTGCTATATTTTGGAGCAGTCCTTCCGAGTTCCGAGTACCTCGGCAAGTATCTACTATCCTCGAGTTGGCATTCAATTCCAAAACTAGCTTTCTTTTATGTCTACCTGACGAGCGTGCACACAACGACGTCCCTACTTTGCCGCCCGCATAACATACATAAACTGCACTCTCCGTGCTCTACACTCGCTACGGTCTATGTAGCGTCGCGAGCAGATTTTTCTGATCAGTGTTATTTCTCTACTTTTTTGCGGATAGGTAGTGCGTGCGTGGTGCTACCCTAGGTCTAAGCTCTAACCGAAGATGACGGTCATCACGAAGGCAATCAGCGAGAAGAAGGCGAAGACTGCCTCCGACAAACTTGAGCAGCCATTGGTTGTTGATGGCGCGGATGGAGCCACCGTGAGTGTTCCTCTGTGTTGTTGATTCCTTTATGTATAAGACGATACTTTTCTATGTCTTTCATGCGGATTCGTCTCTCCTTTTTAGATTTGACGTGGCTTTGATCGATATTCAAGCGAGTACATGACTCTTTTTGTTAAGTCTATTGCAGTTATTCGGCAAAAAGTCGCTTTATCTTTTATTTATTTGTTTATTTTAGATAACATTTTTTTCTCCGAAGTGTAGGATTATTGTCAAAAATTTCAACGAAAATTTCATAGTTAATAGTTCATTATATTTTCAATCACTCGATCGTTACTTTTTAATGTATTGAATTTACTGCTCAGTCATTTAATTATCAACTAATGTAAGAATGACATTGCGCGTATGGTTGAAAAATTTAGTAGACTGATGCCGTAAAATAATTGACTATGCACGTGTATTTGACGTGTTGTGCAGATTGGAAAAGTTGATTGTAATTTTTTTTCCACATTAGGACGATTCACAAGTTGATCCAGAATCTCAAGTTCCGAAAAGCGATTTCGTGGTCAGGAAGCGTTACTTAATTTTGAGCAGCAATGCCCTTCGTCCCAGTGCCATGACAACATTATGCCTCTTTATGACGGCGATCATTGTCATGAGCATTGGCATAATTGGAGGTCTTTGCATTTACAAACTGTACGCCAGAGACCAGATGCAGAGATTCCGTACCGGCTGGTATAGCATTCCTTATGATGGAACAAACAAGCCACAGTACGATGAGTACCACTACATGTCGCAGAGTGTGCTCAATGATGATTTATTCAAAAGTTTAACCAGGGCTACCGAACAGCAAGCCATGGCTCTGGAAAAAGCTATTCAGAATTCGGAAAATTACTTCAAGGAACGCTTCGAAATTGATCTTGAAAATGAATACTACGAAAAAATTGATGTACCTGATTTTCGCGGAGGACGACAAGGCCGATTTATCCACGACTTTAACATTGTACGCCATTGGTATTTTGGAGCCATGATTGATTCCGAATACAAGATTTTTCAAACGAATTTTTCACTTTGCAGAACAAAACTGGCATTGTTGATATAGATGGAAAATGCTGCTTTGTTATGCCATTGAACCGCCAGCGAGTCTTGCCGCCACGTAATATGTATGACCTTTTGAAGAAAATGTACAATGGTAAGATGATCACTAAGGAAATTCAGCTTTGCAAAAAATAACGCATATTTTTACTTGAGCGCTTCTTTGTCCAACAGGTTATTATGAAGTAGATACTGAAATTGTTAGAGAAACTATGAAAGTTGTTGTTCCACCAATTACTGATCTTTCCACTGTTGGAACATATATTGCTCGTGAATGTCAAAATATGTCAACCTACTTGTTGCAACCAGTTAATGGTATAAGTGAGTACTTTTGTCTATTGGTCTATGTTAAATATTGAATGTGTGTCATTAAAAATTTATTGGTCATATCTTTTTTAAATTTCAGTTTACAAACGCAGTGTATCCGATGGAGTATATGGTCAATTTGCAGGTGAAAAAATTATAGAATTGGATATTCTTAATTTAGACACCATTCTTGCCAATAAAAAATAAATGTTAATTCTATGGCATACGTATATACATGATTATATGCGTATTATTTTATTTAGCAATAGTTGCGTATCTTTTGTTATAATTTTTCCATTTTTGGCCGTAGAAAACAAAAGTCATCTCTGACACAAATGTGCATAATATAACTTGCAACTTCATAGTTATTTAATTTAGCTGAGAAAAAGCATTTGAGTTGAGTGAGACTGACTATTGTGATCGAGCTGCGTGCGTGCGTTTCAAGTATTATTACAACTATTCAAAGTAATTGTTTATGTATTTAACATATGTTTCTATAAATACCAATGTGCAAAGTAATTGTTACACTGCAATTATCAACTTTTCTGTTCACGCCAAAGTGCGATGTTTGTACGTATTTTAAAAGTCTGTAGCTCTTATCACGTTTATTTCTTCATGAATATCTTATTGACACATTTATATACTTATATACTTCACAATATACATATAGTTGTGATTTTGATATGAATCACAAAATTAGTGTCTACATTAAGATGTGTAGAAAGTAAGCGAAATTTCATAATGAATTTTGGCTTTTATAAATAGCAACATTTTGGTTTTGAAACTAAATTGTTGGATATTGTTTTCATATGTGTCAATGGGATAATTGGAATATTTTTCAATGCAAAGATATCTCAACAAATCAATTTTAGGTAAGTTGTAGGTTTATTATATATTTGCTAATTAGAGACTTTAAAAATTAACTTTTATTGCATTCTATAATGTGTCATGAAATTCAAATGGTCAAATAAAAATGTAAATTCTTATACAAGAAATAAATACAAGTTAGAAAAAATTTGTCTCTACATTTTTTACAACATTTACATTCTACAGTAGTATTAGTCTAAAGTAGTACTGTTACACAATGTCATTTATAGATCTCTGCCTTAAATTATATAACTTTTTTACCCATCTATCGAACTTTGCTTCTTTGTCGGTTATTATCTGCGAATAAAAGCATCTATTGTTAAACAAAATATATTATTTAAATATTATTGTATACATAAATATTAACATACAGATGTGTGAAAGATGCTGTTTGAAATTTCTGAAAAATCAACTATTTTTGGAACATGTATTGTATCACTACTAACATCTATCACGACATTTTTCATTTTTGACTGTTTATCTCTCCCTTTGTCTTTGGCTGATGAAACAAATGCTTTCGGAACAAACTCATCGTTGTTAATATCTTCTAAAACCGATGCTTTGATCCTACTGGAACCTGTTAGAAAATCATCTAGAAACACAAATAATATTTAGTAATCAATTTGATTTTACAATAAAAGAAATTTTAGATTTCCTACATACCTCTTAAGCTAGTGCTAGCTTTATCAAGATTGGATGCTTTAACATTTGACAGCGAACTGCTTGATCTGCTGGTTGATTTTTCTCTAGATGCTGACCTTCTTTTTGATCTATGTTCTGTAGATGAAGACTTTGACCTGTGTGATCGACCCTTTCGTCTATCCCTTGAACTGTCTTTTGAACGTTTGTAATTTTTTGAAGATCTCTCTCTGTCTCTACTTTTTGAACGTGAGCGATACCTTCTTCTTGATTTTGAATATTTTGAACGCCTCTGTCGTGACGCAGAACTGTCACTTGACTCTATAGAGCTATACAAAAAAATAATTACATTATTAAAAATAAAATTAGTAACAATACCATATAATTTTATACAATATTAATCTAACCTGTACACGGACATTCATTTGAAAACAATGAGATTATTTAGGCAAAAATAAATACATGAAAAGAATACATCGAAAAAAAATAAATATTTATTATTAAAATCTAACATCAAAATTGTTAACATATATCAATAAATAAAATAAAAACAGCAACATGTTTACCTCGATCTTCTAGTATATTTTTTACGATATTTGTTGTTACTTCGATCCGAGTCGGAATCAGAAGAATATTTAGCCATGATTGTTTATTTTTTAAAAATAATTTGTTTAATTTTTTATGGTTCGATCAATAGTTTGCAGCTTGAGCAGTTTGAGCTCAAGCATCACAGTATAACACACGCGTCCTCTTAACATTATAGAAAATCGGTTAATTCCGACGTTACCGACACTGCTGCCGCTTCCGAGTTCTACTAAGCTATATTTATTATACTCAATATACCTATCTAAAGGGTTTGTTCCTATTAAAAAATACTTATTGAGGGTTGGTCAAAAATCATTTCAATATTATTTAGTTCGAATATGTAGAATAGTGTTGTCTTCAACCGTTAAAAATTAATATTTCTTTTATTTGCCATTCATTAGTTATAGACTTATTTTTTTGCAATATCAAAACTTTGATAAAAATAGAAATAAATTACATATTATTCCTTTAATTAAAAATTAAAAAGATATAAATATATCTTTCTTTAGATTTCTCACTTATTATATATAAAAAGAGAGTTTCATTTTAAGCTCTAGAGGAAGTGTTGATTTACACTATATATGTCATTATAGCCAATCTGCGATTTTAAGTTTGATAAAGCATATATACTAATACAAAAAAAATGAAGTGTCGCATAATAGTTTCGATCTCATATTTACTTTTGCAAAGTCAAGTAAAAAAGCACTAATAAAATGTTAGTAATTCTAGTGTAGCCAGTGTTTAATAAACAAAAGCTTTTCAAAACTAACAAGTTTTGAATATGTTTGATCTCACAAAATTATCAACGAAGCATTTCAAATCGTAAGAAGCGAAAATCTCTCATTTCAAACAAAATCAGCAACAATAAAAAAAATATATGCGAGTTACTAGAGAGGGAGAGAAAGAGAGAGAGAGAGAGAGAGAGAGAGAGATATCCCGAGGCACATACGTACACACATTTATAACGGCAGCGGCAGGAGGAGGTAGAATCTGGTGTTATAACGAGGTACGCAAGCCCCCTTCGTACGTATAAAGCGAAAGTGAAAAATGTCGTTGGATAAGCTATGGAAGTTCATACATACAAGCAGAGGAGGGTCGACGGTTGGAACTTTGCTTTACGTACACATGCGGAGGGAGTTTCATAATTGTACCTTGTCACACACACACATACGCACGTTGCGCGCGCGCGCGCAGTTTGCCCGCAGTGGTTTTAGTCGCGAATAAAAAGCTCTCGCGATATGAAAGCGCTATCCGACTCTGGACTGAACTAGTTGTTGCAAGACGGAAATAGCGCGCTCGTTGTTACTCCCCTTTCCAACCGAATCTTCGAGCCCTTTACTTTTCCGTTTGCTCTCTTTGGTAAGCACCGTTGTTTTTCACACGTGTTTGACCATTCGAGTGCAAGTGACAGTGAATCGTCAGAGCAATCCACGTCCAAAAAGAAAAAAACAATTGTGACTGCTCGAAAAGGAAAGGAACATCGGTGATATAACATGTATTATAGCCAATATATAAATAAGACACGTTAGGCGGATTGCAATCACGTTGAGAAAGTGAAATTAATAAAGGAGATAACGTATAACGTTATCTTTCTGAAAATTCCTCTGGCAGATCACTCCTACAAAGTATATTGAAAAGCGTTCGACGTACTGTACACACAAGTTGTAACATTCTGCACAGGAAATATTAAAAAATTGTCACGGGCCGCGCATAAATATCCAAATTGGACGGCCATCGTAAAGTTATCGCGCGCAGTTTCCATCACGGAGGTGGTGTGGAGCGTCAGTGTGCGCGCGATGCACGTGGGCCTGTGGGTCGAGGAGCGCGAGTGAGCGACATGTGCGCCAACGCCGCGACGGTGAATTTCGTCAGTGGTGGCCCAGCACCGGCGGCGTCGCGGCGGCATCAGGCGTCAGTTGTCGTGCATCTACCGGCCTCTCCGGTCCTCCTCGACGCTCGATAATACCACACGGAGACGCACGAACACGTCATCGCGAGTGCAACGACTCTGCGGACGCGTTACGCGCACACGATCGACGAGCCTTTCGGTTTTGAAGGGTTGATCGAACGCAGACTGCAGCACACGTGGTACATTATAGATCGCGACGGTGGTCTGGGCTCTGAACTGTGTGCTGCCGCAGCCAAAAGTCGCGAGAGGGGTGAGTAGTATGTATATATTTACCACAGTGCGCCTTCTTTGCTTGATGAGGGTCGTCGAGAGAGAGAGAGAGAGAGAGAGAGAGAGACTGGAGGGTTTTTTTGTTACCTACATTGCGAGATGCTGCTACATTCACCAAATGTACTTTTCTTTTTGACTGGGAAGCCGACCAATTTTAAGTCCCACGTGCTCGTCAAACATTCAAAAATTCACTGTAATCTATTCGAGTTTCTTTAGTAGCTTATAATTAACCACAAATATTCAACAATGCGAAATTCGTATTTTCTACGATAGTTAATTCGAATTTGTTAATGGCATTGTTAACTGACATCCGCGCGTGCCGAGCACAGTAGGCGGATGATTTTTGTGTCACGTTAACAGTTGTAAATCCACGCGAATCCCAATGGCCATTACAGCATCTTGACAGAAATACATGATGCAATACTAAAAAGGTTTGCAGAGGCATTCAAATGCTAAACTTACACACGCTACCTGCGTGAACTACTTCCCGTTAGACCGGTTGGAAGAACACGAGCGCTACTGCTTCGCCACTCCGCTCATCTTCGAAACTAAATTTATGAGCAATTTGCCTTAGCTAATGTGTCATTAATTGTTGGATTGGTCGGCTTTTCAAGATAGTGCATTATCGCACTGCTGATAAGCTAATAGCAGCAGTCCACTGTAACGAAAAACATCCTGACGACGCAATTTTTTCTCAGAGAGCACATTACAAAGGAAAAGGTCGTTAAGCTATCGTTAGTAAACATGTGGAAACGCGCGTGCACTATTCAATTATGTCTCACTTCGAAAAAAGAAATTAAGAAACAAATAAACAAATGATTCAACGAGTGTCCGCACGAAAAACAACAGTTGCCGTGTACATTCTGTATACTCTGAAAACTTCTAAATGATATTGCACGCGGTACGGTGTCTTTATCTTGAGCGATTCTTTTCGATATTTTCTTTTCGGTAGAGAGAGAGAGAGAGAGAGAATGCGTCGCCCGCATTAGTACTCGCTCGTGGTATACATTGATAAAATGACCCGTGTCGGCATTGTCGTTCGCAGATTAGATATATCTGCGTCATAGCGTCGAGAAGCACGCGAAAGCCAAAGAGAGAAAAAAAGAACATGCATGCCACTTTGTTTGGCGAAGCCTTTCGGAAAAATTGCCTTTTCGCGCGCACGCCTCTTGTCGAAATCGTGCTACACGATAGAGGTCGTCAAGTCGCTGTTTCTCTCGCGTAGCGGCACGCGCGATGGCTTTACAATTTTCGACAAGAATGAAATCGTTTGCAACAAAATGTTCTCGACGAAGATGATAGAAAACGAGTTTCGCGCGCGACGTGACAACTCGTGACTGCTGTTTGTCGCGTTGAAGAGGAAACACGCCACTGCTTTTTCTTTTTATTATTTTTTTTTTACTTTATGTAGCAATATTCGATTGGTTGATCAGATTACAGGGACATCGCTGCCCGCGATGAATAAATCAAACACGATCTTACTAATATTTGAACATTATCGACTACTCTGCCCCGAGTGAATATAGACGCTATAGTTATCCATTTTGAGATCCTAATACGCAGACTCGAATCAATCTCCAGGCTGTTGTTCGTATGCGCGCTCTCATTGAATTTCCAGAGAAAGGTAAGGAATGCAAACAACTGCAAAGCATGGCGGGTGATGCACGCTTTGTTCGTCGAGAGGGACCATGCGGAGGTGAAAAACAAAAGGCGCCGTGAGGGTTGCGGTGCGAGGGAAAGCCGTGCCGGAAAAGCAAGCACAGAAACATCGATTTCTCCTCGGAAAGTTTTCGTTGATCCGCCTGGTCATGGGAATTTTTGTTGGTGGAGGGAAAGACACAAAAACTACTTGCAGCGCACAAGATTCTCGCCCAATTGTTTGGCCGAATATAGACAAATAGAACGGATGTTTGCGCAACGGTTGCGCTTGCGGGAAACTACAACTCTGGCCCAGTGAAAAGCCGCACAGTTGTTTTGTGATGTATGCGCTTCCTTCGATAACGCACTGTTTACCAAATAAATATACACGCGGATGGGATGGTAAGCTGTATTCGAGATAAATAACACTGTTTCAATAATTGAAAATTATTTTAATGAATACAAATAAACTTTCTTATCGAGAGATCGCACTCGATCAGTTGGATGCGACCAACTAATTTTATAAATGTACCAGGTAATAAGAAAAATTTATTTTTATTTCTCACAGTGCAAATGATACTCGATATCAAAATACTGTTGTCATCGTTTGCGTTCAATGCAGAACACAAAGTCATTCAGAATATCGAAAACAAAATTAATTGGAATCGTACTTGTTGGTCGTTGCCTCCAAATCACAAAGGCAAGCACAAAGTCACGCCTGAAGTTTCTAATCCCCGAAACTAAAACGCGCGAGGTGTGACAAACGAGCTTGTTCATCCAGAGTGGCTGGCAGAGCAAACTGAGTTGAAGTAAAACGTTCTACGGCTCAATCCAATCGATTGTGTACGACCGTGCGCGCACATACACGCATCGGCTGGGTTTTCCGCTCGATTTTTACGTACATCCGGCGACGTACGCAAAGAGAAAAAAACGAGAGAGTAAGAAAACGACTTCCGTGTTAGTCTAGGGGCCAGGGGTGGGGATTTCGTGGTCGATCAAAGTCCACGCAAATACCAAAGTTTTTAAATGTATTTTGTCCTGAATCCGAATATCTGAGATATTCAGTCGTAAAAGGTAGCTTTCATAAGTTATCAATAAATTAATTGTTTGAACATTTATAGCTTTTTTATAAACAAGTTCTAGTTTTTTAAGCTTATAAGTCGATGCCTTGTCAAATAATTAATTGAAGAAATTCGTAACGATAACAAATTCAATTATTTATCTAGTTTTAACTTTTGAAACCAACAAAAAGCCAAAATGATTCTTTATTTCTTCAAGAATAAAAAATTATATTTAAAAATTATAAAAATATACATTAGAACGAAAGATATCACTAATTAACTAACAAGAAAATGAGTAATTTTGAAAAATTTAATTGTTTAAGCCTAGGCAGGTGACGATTGCTGTAAGTATACTAAATCATTCTCTGTGTAATAAGGAATAAAGTTTTTTTTTTGTATTATTAAAAAAATATTCCTTGGAACCGAAAATATAGCGAATTTACGAGAAAAAAAATGATGATGGCGCACGAGTACGGGAAGCGTGCGAGCCGTGCGGCGTGCACGCACACTTTGTTGTCATTAACTTGTACTATTCCGTGCTTAGTTTTGAAGAATAAACTTTAATCTTTTTTTGATTATAAAGTTGAATTTGCCGCGAATGTATTTTTTTGACATTTTCAACAGTCGAGTTCCAAGTGGCCACTCGTTTATCAAATCGTTTAATGATCTGACAGATTGTTCAGAAAGGGCAGGAGAATATTTGATGAAAGTATGGAAAGTAAAATCAGTTGTGCATAAATGACGGGGTATAGCCAGCGCTTCGCACACTTCCCTTACTCGTGCGTCGTCATTTTTTTGGTGGTAAATTCACTATATTTTCGATTTCAATGAATAGTTTTTAAATAATATAAAAAAGTTTTGTTCCTTATCAAACAGAAAATGATTTAGTATACTTGGAGCAATCGTCACCTGCTTCGGAAAAAAGTTAACTAGAATTAAACAATTAAATTTCTCAAAAATACTACAATTTTTGAAAACTGTCGTATTCTTGAAGAAATAAGTAATCATTTGGCATTTCGCTGGTTTAAAAAGTTGCAACCTGATAAACAATTGAATTTGTTTTAACTACGAATTTTTTTCAGTTAATTTGCAATATCTTCGGTAAGAATGAATATTTGTTAAATTTGAAAAAAAAACGGCAGATTAATTATTAGATAAGGCATCGACTCGTTAGCTTAAAAAAACTAAAATTTGTCAATAAAACAGTTGTAAAGGAGTTACGAACGACCGAAGTACTCACAGATAAAAAAGGTTTGTGTTCTCGGGGACGTGGATTGGCCACGAAATGCCCTAGAGACTACGTGCGTGCGAAGCCTTGGCTAACGGAGTGTAGCGAGCGTAAGTCCTGAGCGCGAGCACGTGGGCAGGAGAGAGAGAGAGAGAGAGAGAGAGGGAGAGAGAGAGAGAGAGAGAGAGAAAGAGAGCGAGAGCGCGCCATACGCGGCATTACGTTTACGTGGACAGATGACTGGCGAGAGAGGCTTGGTAATACGGTTTACTTGCGGCCGTGGAGCAGCACGCAGGCATTTTGTCGTTGCGAGCACGTGTTCGTCGCGCCGCTTGTGAATTGCGACTCCGCGTTCCGACAGGTATTGCGCAAGATTCAGTCGGCAAGTGTCGCGGAGGAGGAGGCGCCAATTCGGCAAATAAAAGCTTTCCGGCAGTGCGACACGGTGCGTACCGGAAGCGATCGTTTTCGCTGTTTTCATTCCGATGGCGCCGTTCAACTTACCGCGCCGACGCTCCTCTGCTCTTGCTGCACGCAGCAGAATGTGCGCCCGACAGCAGTACGTAGTATCGTACAGCTTTTGCCGTTATCGCGGCAGGTATTTCGTGTTTGTCCCGCGCTTCGTTGCTGTTTCTCTTATCATAGTCGTCGATTGCACAGCAAACTTTTCGACGTGGGAGCCCGTGTCAACAAAAGGCAACATTGTGACGCGAGATTAAAAAAATACAGAAGCCTCTATTTTTCGTTCTCTAATCTCAATTCAATTGTTTGTCGTAGGATTGCAGCTGTCGGGATCTGTCGAGTGTAGCGTCACGAAACGCCATGCGCGCGCGCGCGTAAATGAAAACAGCAGGTTTGACGTTTAAGTGTAATTGAACATTCCCGGATCGTGGCTCTGGAATTCGAAAATCCAATTCTCTTCCGCAATCAGTTGATCTTGGCTGAATAGCAGAGCCTTATTGGCGACGCGATCGCGCAAACTCGCGTTCGCTCGTTGCGAACGTTGCAAAGGATTGCAATTAACGACAAAAAGAAGAAAAAAATTGCCATTTGGCCGATAATCCATCGCGCGCGCGCGCAATCGGTCGAGTCTTTTGCTCGCGCTAATGCAACGTTTCTTAATAATTAACGCTTGTAAAGCGACGCTGCAGCACGGAAAGTCGCTAGAGACGGTGTTCGTTGCTGGAAATTCTAATCAGATGTGTATTTGTCGTATTCGCAGAGAGAAGTAAGTTGCAACTTTTTTTATGGGAGACGCAGTACGGAGATAAAAGAAGATGCCGAAAAAGGTGGTGCCGACGGAGCGGGCGAAGGCGATCCTTCGTGGTGAGAACAATTCCAGGCCACAGAGCTTCACCGCGATCGAGCAAGACGACTCGGACTCGGACTCGGGTGTGAAGCTCAAGAAGGAGATTGGCCTGGTCGACGGTGTGGCCATAATCGTCGGCATAATCGTCGGATCGGGGATCTTCGTGTCGCCCAAAGGTGTATTAACGAACATTGGCAGTGTCGGACAATCGTTGATCGTTTGGATCTTCTCCGGGTTCCTGTCGCTCATCGGTGCGCTATGTTACGCCGAGCTGGGTAAGTGTGGCAACAATTCACTCGTTGCTTTCGTTTACGTTGGTCAAGTTGACAAACTCGGTGCTCTTTGCTCGCGGCCATCATGGATGTTTCAATGAATTTCCAAGACGCCGATCGGAGAACGGGCGACGCCATCGCGCCGTCATTCTGCGTTTACGGACGGAAAATAGAAATGACCGATAGATGAGATAATCGCGCGCGACACGCACGCTTGATTTTTAGCGAGCGCATCGCAGCTAACCACGATAATATTGAACGTTTTGTTTGGCAGGTACGATGATCCCGAAGTCAGGCGGCGATTACGCGTACATCAGCGACGCGTTCGGGCCGTTGCCTGCGTTCCTGTACCTGTGGGTGGCGCTGTTCATCCTGGTGCCGACGGGAAACGCCATAACAGCACTGACTTTCGCTCAGTACATATTGCAGCCTGTGTGGCCCGGTTGCGAGCCGCCCTACGAAGCCGTGCGCCTGCTCGCCGCTGCCGTCACGTGTACGTCACTCTCTCGCCCATCCGTAATCGTTTATTATATATATGGAGCACACAGCTAGCCGTTGCTGCTAGTGCTGGAATATGCATCGCCACTTTTTTCTAGCTTTCGCCAAATAATCTTCCGATTGCTGAAACGCGAGCTTGTTCAGTCGCAAACTGTGACAGCGTTGACAATTATCCTATTGATTTGGATTTGTTTTCGTCAAAGTGCATCGGTCGACTGGGTGTCGCGGAAAAGACAAAAGGAAATTAACACCTTAATCAAATTCTATTTGAAGAATAGTGTCTGGCTGGAGTTCAATTTTCAAATCAATGAAATCGTTATCTGTAATTTCATTGGTTATGATTTATCGTCACTCAACTAGATAATAGAGAGTTTAATGTAGCCTACGACTGCGTGAAAACGTCCAATTGATTTGCATTTCAGGCCTCCTAGTTTGATCTAATTACGACGCAACCTTTCTTTTTTGTGTTTTGAAAAGCTGGTTGAATGGAACATAAGGCGTTATTAACGATGACAGACGACGAGCTCGTGATCCGAGATATATAATATACTGGTCGTGCGCGGCTATATGCGGGGCGAGCGGTGGAGAGTTATTAAAATCAATTTCAATATCATGCGCGCAGGCTTCCTGACCGCCATCAACTGCTACAACGTCAAATGGGCAACGAGGCTACAAGACATATTCACGGGCACCAAGATATTCGCTCTGATAATAATCATGATTGCCGGTGCCTGGTGGCTGGGTTTGGGACACACTGAAAACCTTCGGAACCCAATGGCCAACACCAACTATCAACCCGGCTACATTGCTCTGGCTATCTATTCCGGGCTCTTCTCTTACTCCGGATGGAATTACTTGAACTTCGTCACGGAGGAGCTCAAAGAACCCTACAAGTAAATTCATTCGTTCTTTCTGAGCGCAAAACATGCTCCAACTCTGAACGTCATCTTATTTTATTATTTTACAGGAATCTTCCACGAGCGATTTGTATCTCAATGCCACTCATCACGATGATTTACGTGCTTGCCAACGTTGCCTATTTCGTCGTATTGACGCGCGACGAAATACTTGCATCCAATGCCGTTGCCGTCGTGAGTATTTTCAATACAGAAAATTGAAAAATGTGCTCGAAATTCCACGCAGCAAAAATATCGAGGGATACCAGTTTTTGCACGGCGAGCTTCAACTAAACTATTTAACTCTAAGCGGATCAAGTATGCATTTTCGATAGCGGCCTCATTTATCTAAATTTAAAATTACGCGGACGAGACAGAAAGAGAGAGAAAGAGAGAGAGATAAAAAAACCAAGTTTTATATACTACGAGATAATTCCATTTTGGAAACGAGAGGTCTTGCGAACTCTCAGCTCTCATCGACTTCGCAACATTGATGGTGATCTTTGAATCAACTGTGACAGTTCTAAAATTTCCTAACGATATGCCTACCCAAGTGCTCTTTATCATGTTATCAATTGAATTAAATATTTCGACTACAATGCAACTTGAAAAATCGATTGAGAAAAGACCAGACAATAAAATTACCTACATCGTTTGATTTCCATTCCAGACGTTCGGCGACAAACTGCTTGGAGGTATGTCGTGGATAATGCCATTCTTTGTGGCATGTTCGACGTTCGGCGCATTGAATGGTGCAATATTTGCGAGTTCGAGATTATTCTTCGTCGGGGCGCGTAACGGCCACTTGCCCACGGCGATATCGCTGATAAACGTGAGGAATCTAACGCCGATGCCATCGCTCATATTCCTTGTAAGTCATCGCTTCTAAACTCTAATCATGGGGCGCCCGTGTGACCTTATTTTTCACTTTCGTCTCCTCTTTCAGTGCATCATTACGCTGGCATTGTTGATCATCAAAGACGTCTACGTGCTGATCAATTACGTGAGCTTCGTCGAAGCAGTCTTTACCACGATGTCGGTCACTGGACTTTTGTGGCTCAGATACAAAAGGCCGGATTTACATAGGCCCATCAAAGTGAGTTTCTTGTTGTTGCTTTCTTTGTTGATTCGCTTTTCTCTTGCTCTCTATAGGAGAGCCATTCAGAGATGCTGATATTCGACCTTTTGCAATCTGTAGATAAACAATTGCAACTGCGAAGTCGTTGAAATGTTGTCGAATCGGCTGTTATGGAAAAGCGAGAAAGATTAAATAATGAAATGTTTGTTTCGTTGTTCACAGGTACCACTAGCACTGCCCGTCATCTTCTTTATAATCTGTGCCTTCCTAGTTATACTTCCTTGCTGCGATTCGCCTTGGGAAGTCGGCGTTGGTGTCATTTTCATCCTGTCCGGCATTCCCGTTTACGGCATATTTATACACTGGCCCAACAAGCCCAAATGGCTCGTCACTGCTTCCCGTGAGTTTTATTGAAAAATTTTGTCGTTTCAAAAAGAATGATGAAATTTAATACAATTTTACAATTTTTCGTTACAGACAAATTCAATATTATATGTGCCAAGTTATTTATGTGCGTACAAGAGGATAAAACTTCATAAAATATGCATATATGTTCATGGTTGACTAGTATAATGATTGTTTGCGAATTGCCAGGTAAAGATGAAAATCTGTACCTCTCGCCTGTGCATAATTGAGGCAATAATGATAGGCTCACAAAGTGCCCACTTTACATACATAATACATACATATATTTTAAATACTTGTAATTTTGATAAAGAGGTCAGGTTAAGACAACCTCGATTGACGCGCAACATTTTTGTATGCCATAGCCCAGTTTGGGATACACAGATTATCAAAGATTATCAGTGCTATTTCGTGATCATTGAACGATTCTTATCATATTCAATGTTGACTGCCTATTTAAACAATAAGAGATTATTCATAACATTTAATCGTCGTTTTTAACCCCCGAATATACATAGTTCATTTCAACAGTATTCACTTTTTATCACGTCTACCATTAGAGTTTTCAAATGATATTAAACAATTATTACGGCGGTAATATTTCTTTTTCAAATATATTAGTTTTTAATTAACGGTCGCGACAATCGAAAATGAATGGTAACTCAATAATAGTGTTTGAATTTGGCATACCTTTTGATCGTCTTTTAACAAATTTACTGCCAATGATTAAAAAAAGTTAATTTAAATCGTCATCAGTTTTTAAAAATTCGTTAAGATTTCGTTAAAATTCATTATTGCTATCAATACATGTATTCTAAAAATAATTGATCTTGGATACTTTTGAAATTTACGGATATGTTAATCATGCGACTTTTATAGACTATTATTTTTGCAACAATTTTTAATATGCGAATTAATTTACATACATAATACATTTCGATCTACTAGTTGCTTAAGATATTAGAAATATGTAAAATTTTGTCCACTTCATTTTTAGAATTTTAATAGAAACTCATTAAATTATGAGCATTTTAGAAAGATTTAGTGTTTTATAGGATCCGCTGCTCATTTATCGACTCTTTATAGTATCAAATACGAATACTTTGCATTTTCAATGAAATCGCTATGCTTAATTCAATTTTAGTTCGTTTATAAACAATAGTTTACACACGATATGTAAATCTACTTATAATCAACATATATGTAAATATTTTAATTTAAAAAACATTGTTAGCGATTGAATTGAGTTGCAAAATCATTCTTTGAAAAAGATAACTAACAGTTAGTTAATTTTTTCTTTAACTGTATACTAAAAGAACTATTGTTATTAGAACTATTGTTAGTAGAACTAAAGTTGTTATTACTTAATTTTAGAATACAAAAAATTATGCTTAACATATATCAAATAGTTGGATAGAAGTGAATTATTGAAATGAAAATTAGTTTACACAAAATATTCCCTGTAGAAATCGTATGGATTAAAGGCGAAACGACAGATATTTTTATAGTTACAGAATGTATTAATGTCATTTAATATTACGCAAGAAATGTCCTTTATAAGGATTATATCAAGTTCATTATAATATTTATTGCTTATAATTAATTTTACGATAATTATTCTTACATTCTTCCAACTTTTTGACAAATATGAAAATCTATATTTTGCGACATATGCAGTAAATGATTCCTTTATTGAAAAAAATATAATTTTAGCATAAAATTTCCAATGAAAATTATAAGACTATTTTTTTGCATTAGATGACCACATTTGGTATTTGTAAATGCACAAAATATTTTGTAAATAAACAATCAACTTATATCTAATTAAAAGTTACGTTTCTTACTAACTTTAATATAATTAATAAAGAATCTGGAATGAATATCAAATTTTTACACCATAAAAAAGTAACAAAACGTTATTATTACAAGTATTTTATAAATTTATTCAGTGATTGATATAATTTCATAAAATACAATTTTATATATATAAATACATCATTTAAAGAATCTTATTTCATTGTTTTACAATGACTCAAAATATATTAAACCTAATTAATATACAGAGTACAGTATTCAAGGCATTGAGAAATTAAATTGATCTCTAACATTTTTGACAAAATAACAACGATTCTCTTAATTAGTAGATTCAATTAAGGTCATAAGTTTCATTTTTTAATCTTTGTTCCTATGTTAGTAATATAAATTATTTGCAAGCAAAAAAAGCAGTCTTTAACAACTCAATGAGATAAATAATATAAATAATGTGCAATACTGATAATGTAAATTATTCTAAATAAAGCCAAGCAAATAGTTAAAAAAAAATAAATAATTTGAACAATTATAAATATATATTATACTTTTTTGATGATAAATAAATTTATAGAAAAAAAATTGTACTCTTACTGCAGGCACTCATAGTGCTGTATAAAGCATCGTGTTTCCTTAATACATATTGACAAGTTTAAAGGCACATGTAGCAAAATACCAATAATCCATTCAAAATTCCAACAAAATAATTGAGTTGTACTGGAGAAGATTCTTGGATTCTATAACTACAAAACGATATAATATTGAAACAGAGGTTTGTTCCATTGGTAGATTAAATTTAAAATAAATTACCTTTTCTTAGATGGACTAAATGGTGACGGTGGATTAACACCTGGTACATTACTGTCTTCATAAATAATGAACCATGTGATTCCAGTAGTTACCAATCCACTCAATACAGCCTTTATCAACCAGCTGTACCTGTTCAAAGGCTCAATTACAGAATTTTGTGTAATATCCTTGTAATAAGGATGACTTCTATTGATTGCAAGAATTGCTAATCGATCAGTACTGATATCCAAGAAACTGAAGAAATCTGTAAGATTATGCATGTTATATAGCATTTCCAAAAATAGTTTCTACTGCTACAGTCAGTACACATGTTACCTAAAGAAACATCAATTAACAGTCAATGTTAAGAAAGAAACAGAGAAAGAACATAAATACAAACAGAATTTTTTCTAAAATCAAACTATATATTTACTTTTTTAAGTTACTGAAATCATCAGTATTACATCAATATCAATACCACATACCATATTACAGTAAACCAAAATACTTTTACTACAATAACTTACTAAATAGCATAAATTGAAAAATATTAACATGCGAACAATCATCCATTGACTCAGAAAGAATTTTACCATTGCCATTGTACACATACTAGACATATCTAAGTAGATAGATTATCATATAAACAAGGATGATATAAGAAACTTGGTTTGTTTACACATCTTCCAATTTGTACTGTCATTCCTATATAATCTACGTGCGTACGAGTACGATGCAGACTCTCGTGTGCGTGTCATTTTAGCGTTGACTGAAGATTTGCTCACCGTGATTGAGGAACAATTTGCCAATGACGATAGACAAAGAGAAGAGGAATAGCAGCAACGTAAACGTCCATTCGTCGAACTGTAAACTCTTCCATCTTCTTGCGGCATTTTCCTCGTTGTGAACTTGTGAATAAACCTTGGACTTGCCATTCGCGATAAGAGGAGTTCGCTGATAACGTTCGCTCATCGTGGTTGTACGTGTAGCTGTTGTGATAAAAAACGTAGATAGGTTTATAAGTCGGTGGTTGTCACCAAGAGTCAAATGGACTAAATTAAGAAACTCACAAGAACTTCGAACCAAAGAGGAGTCACAAACAATTTTATTCCAAGGCGCCACGGATACCCCACCACCTTCCTTGCTGTTTGCTTTTGAGTACGTCACGACTTTATTTGGATGTTTTTACCTCATCGCGCATTTATTCCAAAACGTGTGTGGTTACTACACCAACATAGCCGAGCAAAAGCGTGTTTAGCAGTTGGCTTTCTTTAGGACGCCGTACAGGTGCGGTTGTGCAATGTATACAGAACTACTGCGCATGCGTAGTCTGCCTCATTATCTCTCGTTTTTTTATTTTAGGCCACGCTCATTTTAGCAGACGACCGAGAATTTTTCTCGAAAATTAACTCAAATTCTTGCTGGGTGATGCGTTGATGTTTTTTTTAGATAGTGACATCCCTCACGTTTTATATTATTTTTGGTTTATTATGCAATTAATTTCATTGAAAATGCAAACTTTTATAAATTCAACATTTTTCATAAAACACGCTATAACTATGGTGAGTTTGCTGTAAAGACGACTGTAACTATATAAACTTATAAATAATAATTAATAGGCTTTGTGATATTTTGGTTTTCTCTTTACTATGAGCATTAATTTATATTATTTATATTATCTAATAAAAATAAAATAAGCTGCAATTTTATATACTGTGAGTAATGATGTAAATATAGAAAATTAATATTTATTTACAACTACAACAGTTTCAATTGCGAATCCCTTACGAAAATATACAAACTCTGAATTTACAGTATAGAACAAGTTACTGATTCATAAACTTTCATATCAATATCATTAACAGTTCCATTTCTAATGGATTGAGCTTTTAAATCTAAATAAGTGTTTTTATTTTTTTCTACTATCCAGTCGGGCAGTGGTGCATTCCAATTTTCTGGTGGTTTATCTCTTTTCTTCCAAACATCATTCTGATAATGTGGTTTTAATCTCTCAATTCTACGTTTTTCTTCACTTTCAATCAATTCTGCCTAAAAAAATTAATTAGTTGAATAATTATATCTAATATATTTATGAAAAATTAAGAAAATTATTTGAATTTATATACTCTTGCTTTCTCATCCTTCTTTTCTTGCCATTTTTTACATAATTGAGCATCTCTCTTCCATTGATTACAGTCAAGATAGTCTCCAAAAATAAATAGCTGATGAAAACGTCCTTTAGGCCTTTCACACTCATGAAACTCTGCCTCATATAAATAGCAAGGTCTAATCTGTAAAGTAAAAATTTGAATGATTTAAAAATAACATTTTAAACAAAACCGCTTGTATTAAAATTTAAAAAATGCTCTCACCATAAATTCATCGGGACGTACTGGTTCTTCAATTGGTACTTCTTTTTCAAGACCCATTTTGCAATGACAATTGTTGAATACAATTTAAATTGTAAATTATAAATTGATACGCAAGGGTTACACAGTCAAAACTGACCACACTAAAATAAATCAGGCTTTCACATTAGCATGATTCTCTAATAATGGACTGAGATAAATGATTGCATGAGATGAGTTAGTAAATTTTCTACTGTGGCCAACATTCTAATTTTGAAAGTCTCCACTTATTTCTCAACTTAGCTTTCAAATTCTAAACCATGGTAAATGTAACCTTAAAACAATAACATTAGAAATATTCGTCTTTATATACGTATATATTAAATATAAGATTATATTTAAGTATCATTAAAATTTTGCAACTTGAAAAATGGTATTTACCAAGTACCAATGAATTTACAAAATAAAGAATTTTACGCATCTGATATTGATTCTGTTTTTAAAGAAATTAGAAATAGGATAAGCAAGTTTTTGAATTAGGCAACGAGATAGATAAGCTAAAATAATATATTATACTTGTGTTATGTGCTGAAATTTATAATTTTATTTTTCCTGAATAAAATACTGTATGAAAGTTGATGTACATAAATATAGTACAATTACCTATCTGCGTATTTTAACTATTGATATTACACATCTACAACTGTTATAAATTTTATTGAAATTATTACTGTTGTTGATATTATTATTGTACATCTACAATTTTCGTGTATTACAATACTTGGATTGAACTAAAACATTTATAAACTTTATTTGTATTTTGAGGTTATAGTATTAAATTATTATATTAAATTTTCGAAGTTGGTAACAGCAGAAAATTCCCTAACTAAACGCAAACAAATTTTTTCTCCATGATTTTGTCGCACGTATATTTTCGCGTCTATTGAAAAATCAGTCTAGTAGACTGATGCGATAGATTACAAGCCATGGTCAAATGAGATGTTTATTAGAAAATGTTATGTTACTTTCAAAATAGGCAAAATTGAAGAAAACCAAAGAAGAAAACATGCAAAAATAGCTTGAAACCGATATAATATCATTCGCTTCTAAATTTAAACCTAACAAATACAAGATGAATTTGTTTTTAAATTTATTTTCTGTTGTACTGCCAAACGTACTATACTACGCCATCTTTTCTCATAAAAACTAGCCTTTATACTTCATATGTATAGTAAACCTAAAATCAGTATAACATAACCTGTACAGCTGAGGCCCCAGAGCGCTTCCTTTATTTTTAACAATCTACTAGTAGTTAGATGTGGTTTTCATAGTAGAACTGTAACTGTTAAAAGTGATTTATGCAAATTAAAAAACTGAAATAATATCATGATGTCTCGATCAGTGAGAGCAGAAACTAGAAGTAGGGCTAAAGATGATATTAAACGAGTTATGCAAGTTGTTGACAAAGTTCGCCATTGGTGAGTTTTGTAATTTCACGTTTATTTATTAAATTTTTTATTGAATATTTATAATTTCTCTATGATATATAAATTTTATATATAATTAATAATCTTTTGTACATTTTAGGGAAAAAAAATGGGTTACAATAGGTGAAACTACTATGAAAATTTATAAGTGGGTTCCTATATCAACATCAGAGCAAGTTAGTCTTAATAATTTTTTTTATCATGAATCTAAGATTTATGATAAAAAAATATAAATCTTTATCATACAATATAATTTATATTGTAATTATTTGTAAACTATATTAGTATTTAAAAAAAATAAATATAAATATGGATATTTTTACTACTTAACTTACAGTTTAGTTTTCAATAGCATGATCAGAAATTTTGATATTTTTATTTCATTTTTGAACTTAGAGCAATAGCTTTCTATTTCATAATGCACAGTAAATAATTTGATTGATATATTTACAGAAAAAAAAAACTAAAATTACAATAGAAAAAGAAAATGGCTTAGTAAGAAAAACTGATTTGAGCTCAACAAATACAAGTTTTGGATTAACAGAAGATTCAAATACATGCAAGTATTAGTTTATTTAATTGTACTGCATTTTATAAATTATTTAAAAAAATCTTATACTGTTTTATAGGTTTTTCTACTGTGAGTGATTCTCAAGGGTTAACAGATTTTTCAGCTCAGTTAGGATTTTCTGAAGACTCTAATTCGCAAAATAGTGAGCCAATGCCGAAGAGGCTAAAGACTGATTGAAACTATCTCAATGAATTGTAAACATTTTATGACTTGATAAGTGCTTAACTAATGAATGAATTTTTATTTGCTGTATGGTGTGCATGCTATGTAATTGTAAATGTAGAATTGGAGAAGTTTGATGATATTCAAACATCTATATTTAGTGAGAAGTTTGAGAGCGTTGTGACATGAATTGTCTTCAGAGACGATTGATTATAATTAAGTTTTAACATTTAAAAGTGCAGTTTAATGTACATTGAACATCACCTTAACTTTAATTTATGATTTATTTCAAATTCTTTAAAAATTGACTTTAAATTAGATAATGTGAATGGAAAATATGTATATTTTTAAATTAAAAAATATTGATTTATCAATGTAATGTATACAAAAGTCGGATACCTTTTTATATCTTTGAGAACACATATTACAAAGATAGTACAATTTAGGTACAATGAAATTGTATATACTTTAGACAATAGGCGGATAATAGCATTTATGAGTTTTTACTAGAAGATATATTAACAAGTGAAACATCATCATTCACTTAAACATGAACAAGATCATGAATAAATAATTGTAAAACAAAGTATATTCCAATACAATACTTTACAAGACACTGATTTTAGTTTTGTTTTACAACAATTGTTAAGTAGAAAAACTTGTGTGGAGCATCATAATCCCAATAGGCAAATTTAAATGTTGCTGATCTTAATTTTTTGACTCTGATTTATTAATAATACGTAAACAAATAAGCACCTATTTTTAAACATTCAACAATATTTTATAATATCAAAATCGGGATACAAGTGAGTTCACCATGGCAAGGTTCTACCATCATGCTGGAAAAATGCACCTGTGTGTCTTTCAGTAAGTGATTCTAGAGTATTGAGCATATCTCTTGTACTTGTTTCCACATCTAATGGAGCATTCGATCCGCCCATGTCAGTCTTCACCCATCCAGGATGCATTGCTATCACCAAAATATTATCGTTTTTCAAATCTAAACTCATTGATTTAGTAGCAGCATTCAATGCAGCCTAAAATAAAAAAGCCGCGAATAAATATTCGTAGTTAGCAAATACTATAAAGCAGAAATAAAATATAAACCTTGCTGCATCGATAAGGATAAAATCCACCAGCGTCATTGCTCGTTATGCTTCCAAGAGTAGATGACATATTAATGATAGCAGCTTTCTCTATACTCATACCTTGCTTGTTAGGATGATTAGCGGCAGCTTGTTTCAGTAAAGGTAAAAATGCCTGGAAATCACAGGAAAGAAATGCATTATCGAACTAAATTAGTTATTGGTTTTCGTGCAAAATCGAAATTACTTTGGCCAAGAGAATTGGGGCAACGGTGTTGATGATGAAATTTTCAGTGAGTTGCTGCTCTTTAACAAGGGGAAGTCGAGCGAATTTTGTCGATGTTCCAGCATTGTTGAATAAAACATTGAGTCCGGCATTGCCGACGTGATCTGCCACTTCCTTGACAAGCTTAGGATGCTCATCTGAATTCCTTAAGTCTACGTAATATGACGTTATTGTTCAGTTAACGATGTAAATTGATACGCGAGAATAACGGCAATTTTGTAAGTTTAAAAATACCTATTTCTATCACATGAATAGTTTTTGCTTCTTTAGCAAGTGCGGTCAATTCCTGCAAAATTTAAGCAGAAAGATATGTTGAAATGCATCAACATTTTTTAAATATATATGTTACGAACAGACGAATAAACCATTTCATACATTTTGTAAATTTCTTATGTCGAAAATGATACCTACAGAACAAACTTAAAAGAAATCACGACACGCCAGTAATTTTAACTGAGGAAAATCGATAATTATCGCGAACACGCAATTCGTTGAAAGTATAAGTAACGCACTTTGTGTTGTTTGCGTGATCGATAATATGAATTTTAAGGGTGTAATGTAGTTCGTCTCAAGCGAGACACATATTTGCAATGTTTTGCTGAGGGTTGTTTAATTCTTCAAGAAAGCCGTTTCAGCTCGTTAAAAGTATATAAGTAATGCGCTTTGCGTTGTTTGCGTAATCGATAATATGGATTTTAAAGGGGCTATATAGTTCGTCTCAAGCGAGACACGTATTTGCAATATTTTGCTGAGGGTTCTTTAATTCTTCAAGAAAGCCGTTTTAATGACAACTTGGCACTAAAATTAATCTTGCTCATTTCATCCTAATGGTAGCTCGTAACAAAGAATGGACATAGCAAATCACGCGTATTCCTTATCAATTTTATTATCAAAACCGACAAGTGTATCTACTTTAGGAATTGGAAACAGTATATATCGGTCAATCGAGGAAATGAGGAAAAAAAGATTTTGCGGATTGTGTCAAAGAAAATCAGAAATATTGAATTCCGATTACGACGGTAAATAACAATGCAAAAAGTGCAAAAGTTATGAATGAACCGATCGAGGCGAATCGTAAAATATACAATGGTGTTTTTATAATCTTTCCCTAACGGAACTTAATTGCTAAGAAAGGAATTAAATGTCGAGTAAGAATGCGCACTTTGACTGATAAAATTACTATTACTGTGCAGAATTACTTTGAAATTTTTGCTCGCAAAGTGTGTGTATTATGGAACTTCCGTGTTATGTTTTTAGAAAGTCGAAAATGAAATTGACATTGTTTCACCGAGGTCATTGCATTTAACGCGTTTGAATATATCAGCAATAGGAGTAACATATATCGTACGTGTTTTATTTAACTCCCAAGTTCAAAAAAATTACAACATTATAACATTTCGGCATCGCAAAATTTTCACTGAGACGATTTTCATCAACTGAATGAAAAACGTTCACCTACATAGTCACAGAAAACATGAAAAGCAAAAGTTATAAGTTACTTTGATCATTCACACGAACATTAAATTCTTGTTAACAGGATAAAACGTCGGCAGTTGTATGACAAGACATCGAGATAATCGAAATGCTTTTCCGTATGTCATAATTTTTACTTGCGATGAAAAAACTGAATTTCCCTAATTTGATCTATTTCTAGCATCCGAGGTCAGAGAGCAAAGTGAGCCGCTCAAAACTGAAGACCAAGTGCAAAATAATAAACTGTTGGAAAAAGAATTAGAGGAATCAGATGACTTCAAAGTAGATGAGTTCGTTGAAAATATCATCAATACCACATCAGACATAAAATTAAAAAATCGAACAGAATGCCGTACTGACAATTGTCAACTTGAATTGCGTACGTAGCATTGTTCAATTCTTATGATAATCCATAAAAAACTAAACGAGCACCGCAATTACTTTTTTGGGTATATACACACTCTCTCAATTTAGTTTTATGCATTGAAAATATGTATGACGTTATGCAGCAATTTCAAAATTTGAAGTCATAATGGGAAAGTATAAATACTGTAAATAGTTAGATCGCAATGTCATAATCGCACATCTGTAATAAAAATATGCCAATTACCGCACGATCGACCTACATCCTATTAAAAAACAATTAGTGTAAAGTTACGATTGAGGTATGTCAAATCGAACGTTGAAAAAAAATGGCACGTCATCCTCATAAGTTGCGTAACACTCATTTACGGAAAAACTATTTACCGCATGGAGTGTCATTCGAGTATGTCTACCTAACACATACATACTTTAAATAGTGGGAGGAGAGAGAAAGACAGAGAAAGGAATTTTGAAAAAAAAAACGCCGCGCGCTCACTTAATACAGCTAACGTGGCGTCAGCTTTCCAGTCATCGATTAACCGTCACGCAGTGAGGATCGCGATCGTGAGTTTTTACAATACTATTGTAACTGCTGCACCGCCCATTCGCTCTCTCTAAACGTATAAGAAGTGTGATATTCTTTCGTAGTGTAACTGTCCTGTGTGGCTTGCATTCTATTCCAAAATGCCACCCATTGGTGAGTTTCCGGCTATTTTGCAATGTGGTATTTTTAAGGTTACGTAAATTATCTCGTCACAGCAATAAAATTATCGTCTCGAACGATTGGTCGTTTAGAGGTAGAACTTACCGCGGCTTTGTCGACATCTCGGCACGTGGCGAATATCTTCTCTGGTGGATTGTTTGATCTTACCAAACTTTTAACGAGTCCAAAACCTAAGCCACGGTTACAACCGGTTATCAAAATCGATCGCATTCTTTTTCTATATGTTGCTCCAAATTCTTTTGCTGTACAATTTGCGCTAGAATTAACGATCGCGTCGCGACTTCAAGGCTATTGCAGCCTCGAGGCGCCGCTATGCGAGCGTTAAGCCTTGGCAAAAAGGATCGTCGTGTGTGAAAAAGAGAGCGTTGTGTTGTTAGACTCACGATATAGTGTATTGAAGGAAGCGGGACGAGATGGGTGTGGACGGAGTGGGATGGCTGAATCAGCCGGTCTAGTCGTTCGTCGCGCACACGCGCAGTCAGTTGGTGCCAGCGATGGCGATGTTTGCGCTGGTGCCGAGACTCGTGCTACTAAGCCGCAGCCAAAAGCTGCCTACTACAACGACACAATTAAAAAGCCGGCGTCGGCTATTTGGCCAGGTTATGTGTGCCTTCTATTCCAGTGAGTTCATTCGCTCTCTCCCTCTCAGCAGCTGTTATCTCGTGTGTGCGAGCGTGTGTGTATACATACACACAAATATATATCACTGGTTCACTTGCATTTCCTATTTTCTCGTCTTCTAAGTAGAACATATAAATACGCGCTTACGTAAAATCGTTCGGAGCATCGTGCTCTCAACCTGTGGCCTCGAGTGGCTTTTGTTTTTTTATTTTATTGCCGAATGTAATACAGAATATCAGCGACATTTCAACCACAATGGTTTTATCAAAAGTCACTTACAATATTGGAGTTGATCAACTACTGTTGGATTATGATTAAATTTACTATAACAGTGTAAAATCTGCATAAAGTCCAAACGAACATTTACGAACAGTGTCATATACATCAACAAACATATTGTATGACAATGCAATAGTTACAAATATTTGCTCACGTCATTGTGATGGGCCAGAATTTTGCATTGTTTCGTCATACGTGTATATAAATGTTGCGTTCTTTTGCTAAAGTCATCTTCGCTACGAGCGCTTTGTTTTTTGATACGGGATCACCAGGTTGTGTATCACTTAATTTTTTTCCTCTAAATAAGCAAGCCTATTATCCACTTTTACGATATTTCATTTGATAACTAATGACTCAATTTTGTTTGTGACATGGAATATCGATCAAATTTGTATTTAACCCTTACTTCATTGCGTATGTTGATTTTTCTTTTGGCATTTTTAATTGTGTCTAGTATTTATTTCGGATAATATCGCGAAAATCTAAACCATAAATAAAATCTTCAAAGAAATTTACAGACTTCCAACAGAGCTCTTTAATGAGACTTGCTTTAAACAATGCTAATAATTAGATAATTACAATTCACACGTGATTGCAAAGAAAATATTAATAGATTAAATAATAAATAATAAAATTAACTCAATGTTGTAAAGTTAATTACATAAAATCAATTTTATCATACACATTGTATTAAAACAATATATATTTATCATTTTAGTTGTCTTTTCATTTCAGATGAGCAGTACATGTATGACTTGGTAGTCTTGGGAGGTGGTTCAGGAGGTCTGGCTGCTGCTAAGCAAGCATCAGAATTGGGAGCCAAAGTAGCTGTATTCGACTACGTGACTCCATCTCCTCAAGGAACAAAATGGGGTTTGGGTGGTACTTGTGTCAATGTTGGTTGCATACCCAAAAAATTGATGCACCAAGCTGCTTTGTTAGGAGAAGCTGTTCATGTAAACTTTTTATTTATGTTTATTATATGCTTACTTTCAATAATAACACTTCAAAATTACCAAGTTTCAAGTAATTCTTTTAGGAAGCAGCTGCTTTTGGATGGCAAATTCCTCAGATCAAGTCAGTTCATATTGATTGGGAAGCCTTGACAACTGCTGTACAAAATCATGTTAAATCTGTTAACTGGGTTACAAGGGTTGAGCTTCGAACTAAGTTTGTATTAACTAATCATCTATTACAATAAATCTCACATTCATGCAAATTTCTGTATTTAATACAATTTTTTAAAAATATTTCAGGAATGTTGAATACATTAATGCACTTGGAAACTTTAAAGATCCACACACTATTGGTGGCCTTATGAAAAATGGAGAAGAAAAAATTGTGACAGCTAAGAACATTATAATTGCTGTTGGTGGAAGGCCTAATTATCCAGATATTCCTGGTGCAATTGAATATGGAATCACTAGTGATGATATTTTCAGCTTGTCTAAGCCACCAGGCAAAACTCTAGTTGTTGGTGCTGGATGTATCCTTTATATTACATTTCATTTCTAATAAAATTATTTCGAGCTTCTTCAATAAATTCGCAATGTTTCCTGAGCCATTCGAACAGATATTGGTCTCGAATGCGCAGGATTCTTAAATGGACTTGGCTATGATGCAACAGTCATGATTCGATCAATAGTTCTCAGAGGATTTGATCAACAGATGGCAAACACTATCGCTGAAGAGATGGAACACCGCGGTGTTCATTTCATTTGGCAAGCTAAGCCTAAAGCTTTAGTGAAACAAGCTGATGGCCGTCTTCTCGTACAATGGGTAGATAAGGTAATGTGATACGTGAAAGTTTTATATAATTACAATTAATGTGATTCAATTATTGAAAAATAAAATTAATTTAATTATTTGTTTGTTTTTAGGACGGTCAAGAACACAAGGACATCTACGACACAGTATTGTTCGCTATTGGGCGTAAAGCTTTGACGTCAGATTTGAAATTGGAAAACGCTGGTGTTAAAGTTGTTGATGACAGTGCTAAAATTGATGCACAAAACGAACAAACAAATGTGTCTCACATTTATGCCGTAGGAGATGTTTTACACGTAAGTTTTATTATATATAAGTGTAATTATTATTTTATTGTTTTCCGAAATAGTAATTGCGGTAATTCATTTGTATTTGTAGAAAAAACCCGAGCTAACTCCAGTAGCCATCCACGCCGGTAAACTGCTGGCTAAGAGATTGTTCGGAAATTCGACGGAACTGATGGATTACACAAATGTAGCAACAACTGTGTTCAGTCCTTTGGAATATGGTTGCGTAGGTCTTAGTGAAGAGCAGGCTGTTTCTATTCATGGAGAAAATGAAATCGAAATTTATCACGCATATTACAAACCTACAGAGTTCTTTGTACCTCAAAAGTCCAATGATCGTTGCTACTTAAAAGTTGTTGCTTTGCGCCACAAAGATCAAAAAGTTCTTGGCATGCATTTCATCGGACCTAGCGCGGGAGAAGTTATTCAAGGATTTGCTGCAGCTATGAAGTACGTATTTCTTATTTTTGTTACGTTATTTGCAACATTCGTTCAAACTTTAAAATTATAATCAATGATGTTATTGAATACATTTAAGCATTATTATTGACAAACTATAAATTTAAAATGAATTCATTTGTTCCTTTTTCAGAGCTAACTTGACATTCCCACAGCTGAAATCTACTGTCGGTATTCATCCAACAACCGCTGAAGAATTTACTCGCGTATATGTAACAAAGAGATCAGGATTGGATCCCAAACCACAAAGCTGCTGTAGTTAAAAAGATGATAATTTTTCACAGTGCTTACAATTGAAAGTACTGCTATGCTTTACTTAGGGATTACAAAATAACGCAAACATTCTGACTAGTAGTTCCAACTTGCTTTCAGCTAGAAAGCGGTTAACTATTACCTAATTTGAGGATTTCAATTGAACAACGATTGTTTTGTAATAAATGTACAAACAAAAAAAAAGAAAAATGTAATCACTAAGAGCTGTTTTAAGTGTTATACTTTGTACAGTATTTATACTAACAAATAGTCATGAATTGACGAATGATTCAAAAAAGGCGTTTAATATCACATTTGAAATTTTTTATACCGTTTTAATTGCAAATCATACCTTGAAAGAACGTCCATGTTTCTTAGGTAGCTGTTATTTTTAATTGGAAATAAAATATTGGCACACAATGAATGAGGTGTCTTTATTTAATCTTATCTAGTAACTTGCCTTCAATGTTAATAAAAATATTTATGTTTATTTATCTATCAAATAACAATGAATAATGGTAGTGAAACTTTATTAGGGAAGATAACAAATTTTTAAAATATTTATGACAATAATTGATTTCGCGTGCAATTGTTTGATTATTTACCTGATTGATTCATGAAGTTGTCCGGTGACAAGGTTCTTTTGTTATGCGTTAGTGTGGTGAAGCAAGCACCTGCATTATTTTAGTTGCATAATTTTACGAAACTAGAGTGTATAAAAATGTCGTACATGGATCTATTTGAATCCAATTCTGAAAGCTCAGTCACCGATTCTGATAAAGTAGAAATTACCCATTTATCAAGTCCTTTTGTAAGTTATTCCACTAACCTTACACCCAATCGATTATCTTAACAAGTTTTCATTTTCATTAGAACTTGCAATGGGCTTTCGGCTTTGATCCATTTACCCCAGTAATAAACTTGAGTACCGCGAGTCGGTCGCTCATTGCATACGCAAGTTCGCACGTAACGGTTCTTTACGATTACAAAGCAAGGAAAATGTTCAAATTGCAAGGGCACGTCAGTAGCACAATTATCAATAGCAAAAATTTGAAATATTTAGCTAGTTGAACGGGACTTAAATGCGATTTTAGCGAAACTGCGTTAGAATGCTGTCAACAGATCAGACTGGCAAGTGGCTACTCACGGCTGACTTTGAAAACGATTCGCGGGTAGTTATTTGGGACATATGCAAAAGGTTTATTAATTTTACGTATATATAGCAAAAGCTGGACGAATGTTACTTAATTTGGACGATTGCAGAATCCCAATTTTTACGCTTTTCCGTCCTCACGATGCCAGTGGAATGACGGCTGCGTCGCTGAGTCCCGATGCCAAATATATTGTGACTGTTGGCAGTGAAGAGATACAATTGGTTAAAATTTGGTATTGGGCTTTTGACAAGAATCAGCCTGACGGTACTTTAGAAAATCTACGTGTTCTGCGTCTCTGCAAAATATCACGGGAATATCGTAAAAATAAGTCCAATAAAATTTCTATAAAATTTATAGCTGAGTCGAGTTTAACTGAAACAAACTGCGGACGAGTTAAGGATATTGCATTTGATTGGAAAAACCGGAGTTTCTTAGCACTCACAACTGACTCTCGTGTGATATACGTCCAAATTGTTCGTACAATTTAACATTTATTTGATCATAAACTTTATTCTTCTGAATTTTATAATCTTGAGTGACCTACATTACAGGATAACGAGAAACATGTGATCACAAATTGCCCATCGATTCTAAAGAAACCCAGTGGCCTCGGAATATTTAACAATACGGCATTTATTATGGAGACTTCAAAAGTATTCACTGGAACTCAAAATGGTTTGGCTTTATTTAGAAATACCACGTTTGTTTTTTATAAAAATCATAATTGTCAGTATTTGTCAATAATCATTCTTACTATATCTTTATATAGGGTTCATGTTAGTGTGGGATAGAGATACTACGAACGATCCTCGACAAGATACCAAAATGAGACATATAAAATCGATTCCTTTGCAGAAAGCAAACATTAGCCAAGTAATAAATTATTTAGGGTACGTAATTTTTCCGATGGATACATGCAAAATTTTCGAATTCGCTAGCAGATTAACGGTTATCCAAATATCTGTGTGAACAATTTCAGAATGATCGTGGTGGGTAACTCCCGAGGCGAGATCATTTTCTACGACAACGACTTGCAGATTTTATACGCCTGTCGTGACTGCGGACTCGATTTTGTCACCTTCATTTCATTTGACATTGAATTCGAGGAGCGCAGTTGCGAGCGTGAACGTGGTGAACGCGGAAAAGCTAGCTCGCGCAACTCCTCGCGCGCCTACTGAAGAGTCCGTTTTGAATTTCAGGAGGCGAGCCGCGTCGTGGCGATCTTGCGCGCGAATCGAGCAGCGCGGCGCCACACGAAGACGTCGACGCTTCCAACGTTACCATCAAAATCGAGCATCCGCCGGCGCCGAGGCACGTAGACCGGAACTGCGATAAAAAGTGCTTGGCGTTCAAGAGAAAATTCGAAAAATTTCGAGTGCCGCGAGACGCTACCCTGCAGAGCAACGAGTTTTCCGCGGACAAGTTCGTCGTTGGTTAGCGAGCAGAGCGTTTGTTTTGGAAGAGCCCTTATCGATGGGATATCGCATAGCCATGCCGAAATCTTTGTGATTTCAGCGACCAAGAGCGGTCAAATGGCATGGATAGACATACCGAGTATGAGGTGCCGGTTGATATCTAATTACTTGGAGTCGCCTGTGACTGCCATAGACGCACACCCGCAAGAGTAATTGCAACGCGTATATCGCGCTGGACGTTTGCGAAACGACGACGAACGAGTTACTGGGCTTTTAGTAAATACTTGGTGGCCGGTGACGAGAACGGATCGCTATACTTGTTCGACTACGCGACGCACCGGATGAAGCTGAAACGGAGACTCCCCACCCTGCCGGATTTGCTGCCGATTCTGAAAGCCGAGCTGATGGCTCGGAGAGTTGTGCACGTGACGCGCTCGGGTGTCCACGGCGACGAGGAGTCACATCCGCGCGCCGTCAAGTACTCGCCCGACGGTAGGCGAAAGCTGTGGGGCGTGGGCGTGGGTGCGGAGAGCGAGGCGACTGCCGAGCTGACGGTGTGCGGCATTCGCGACTCGCAGCTGCCGCGCTGGTCTGCGCCCTGGCCAACGGGACCTTCTGGGTGCTTCATCCGGACACCCTGGAGCCGCTGGACCCGCTGCCCTACAGACACTCGGAGACGGCGATCCTGGACCTCGCCTTCTCGGCGTGCTCCGGCTACGTGGCCTACTACGACCGTTCGCTGACGGTGGCCGTGTTCCGGCGACACCAAACCGCCAGCCGCCACTTCTACGACTTCGTCGGTAAATGTCGCGCTCACACGTCGCCCGTCCGGTGCATTCTGTTCGGCGCGCCGTTCGGCTCCGACGAGCAGCCTCCGCGCTTCCTGTCGCTCGGCGACGACAGACGGCTGGTCGAGTACGACTTGCCGCGCAGGTGCCTTGGCCACTTGGCGGCGCAATTACCGATTCCAAACAACTCGACTGCTTTCAGTGGCTCGTATCCCGATCCAGGCCTCGTCGTCATGGAAATCAGTCGCGTCGAGCAGGACGAAGTGCCGCTGTGCATGGACTGGTACCCGCGATTCGGCGCGGACAGCTGTCTCGTGCTTTCCAGCTCCGACGTGAGACTTGGTTCATGATATTGCTTTAACTTGCCGCGTCATCGTCACCGCCCCTTAATTCCAGCACAAATTCAAACTGATCGACGCCCAGAGCAAAGAAACGCGAGCGACGATTTTAGGCCCGACGTCTGACTCGCCGGTCAAGAAAATGATGGTCAGTGGCGAGAACCGCCGGGGGCGTCGCGGGTACCTCGTCATTCTCGGTCAAACGCTCGACTTGCCCGTGTACAGATTCGCCGAAGCGGCCGAAGCGAAAGCGTTGTGCACATGGTGTTCGCGAGCGACCGGCACATTGGTCTGCAGCTGCTGCCTCTGGATGGGAATCCGCGCGGCATTCTCAGCTCGATCGGCCATCCCAAGAAGGTAAGCGAGGCCGCAGCTCGAGCGGCGAATGAGCGCGCGTGACCCGAGGCGAACGCGCAGATCAGCTGGATGCGCGGCGCCCACTGCGGCAATCTGTTGTTCACCGCGGCGCGGGACGATCGATGCGTGCTCGCGTGGAACATCAACTACGAGTGAGCGTGCGGCGAGTCCGCGCGACCGCGCAGCGTCGATAGAACGTGAGGCAATTTCACGCAGGTCCGTGGAGACGACGCGTCGGCTGGGGGGCAGCGGCCTCGTCCCTTTCTACAGCCTCATCGACGGCGGCAAGGACGGCTGGCTTTTCCAGGAGATGCAGGACCTCTTCGTCTACGCGCAGATTCTGGAGCAGGGCGAAAATTCCATGGTGGCCAGGCGCATCGACGACCAAGTCTCGGCCGACCAGTTGCCCAATCTAATGAGAGCCGTTGGATTTTATCCGTCAGACTATCAGGCACGACTCTTGCCGCTGCCATTCTCAAGCCTTCTTTCCTCGATTACCTGACTGTGGCTCGTCTTTTCTTCTTCGCAGCTGGACAATCTGATGAAAGAAGTTACCCGGCGTTGCGCAAGCAATGGTCAATCGAATAAGCCTAGAGTGACGTTCGAAGAATTCGTTAAATTGTACATCAATCATCGACCAACTTTTGGCATTTCGATGCAGCAATTGAAAAATGCCTTTGTTAAACTTGGAGGCCAGGAGGACCCGAACGACGTATCGATCTCAAAACAGCAGTTTTTTCATATTTTATGCAACGATAGAAATGGCGAACGAAGTATGCTGCTTTGAACCATACAAACCCGTTGCTTCGTAAGGTTCAAAGCTGTTATTTTGCATGAATAATTCGAAGGTGATGCATTGAATGTGCAAGAAATGTACAAGTATCTCAAATATTTGATAAACGGCGAGGAAAGCGAAAATTTTTTGACAACTTCGAGACGCAAAGTAATAAATGTTCTTGAGTTGCTGCCGCAGGTATAACTATGATTATTACAATTATATTCTTTTTCAATGTTACTTTATTAACTTTATCAATGTTGTATTTAATGGTTGCACCTGCGTACTATTTGGACAGCGTTTATCTTACAAAGACTTTCTCGCTAACGTTATGGGAATTCGAATGTCGATGCAATCGGAAGCTATTTAACAATGAGGCATACATTTCTAACAATCCTTGTCTTTTTTTTAATAAATTTATAAAAAATAAATTATAAAATTTATAAAAAAGTGTTTAAGAATGAATTTAGTTACCGAGAAACATGGCATTATATTGTGCTTTTATATTTACATATACTACCGCTGTCTAGTGCGCTTATCTTTTTCCTCTCTCTTTCTGTATTCGTGTTAATGCACGAATATAGATCAAAACTTTTATCGATGATATTGCCAATTTGACAATTCAACATACATTAAATATTCCCATCATTCAATATTAGATATAGAGATAGCTGACATCATTTATTGGTAAATAAGTATGCAGTTATGTTGATATTTATGATTTATTTTATATATTACTGCTGCTTTATATAAACATATCACAGTGGAAAACTTGTATTATAGTAAAATAGCTCCACATATTCTAAATTCTTGAATTATCATATCAAAAACCGATAAAAACAATCTATAATTCTTTTCAACTTTACGGGTCAAATTACTATTAAACGTTTATCTTACTCTTTTCATAAAGATTATGATATTATAACATTTTTTTCAATCTTACACGTTTAAATATCAGATTATCAAAATAATTAAAAAAACCTCGCGCTTTTATCAAATGATTTATTCGCTGCTAGTTTCATAAAATAAGTGTAAAAATAATAACATCGTAACATACTTTTTTATTTTCATTATCTTTAAAATTCTTCGTATCAATTATGATAAAATGAATTTTTATTACTAAAACCTCATCTCGAAACCACATCGACACGCATATTTACTGCTATAACAGTATATCACGTGACTTTACCTCGGCCAGTAAGATCACAAATAAAATGCTTCAATATGGCATCCATCACCTTTTTATAAGGGGTAAATGATAGGATAAGGAGAAAAGGGGAATAAGGGGTATATTTTAAGAACAAAAAAAAAGAAAAAGCAGGAAAGGAGAATATAAACAATTTTTCTTAACATGAAAAACGTAAGCTTAAAAAGAAATGTGTACAAGTATAGTACTGAATGTTAAGTTAGAGAAATTAACGAATACAAAAATGTGTAGGTTTCATGAGAATAATGTATTATTATCGATTTTTTATAATACAGCGTATATCTTACAAAGAATTTGTCACCGACGTTTTGAGAACCAAGTCATCTAGAGAGACGAGGACTGATTGTAAATGAAAACGCGGTATTGTAAGAATTGTCTTCTTTCGAAAGTTGATCGTAAGAAAATTTATAAAAATAAATTTAATCGTCAAAAAATACGTAGTGTTTTTTTTCGCAACACTTGCTACTATTATGACTAAAAATGATAATCAGCTAAAAATTGTTACACCAATGGATTTCAAGTCGTACAAGCAAATACATGTTTTCGTGTAAAAACGAAGCTTTTGGAAAGCTTTTACAATTTTTTTAGTCTGTCGTTACAAGCATCGATGAATATATACAAATACAATTAGTTTTTTTTAGTAAATTACGACCTAATGTAACAATGAATTTTTCATCGTCAAATTTCAAATAAGAGCCAAAGAAATTCTAATGGATTAAAATGTGAGATAATCACTAGATCAAATTAAAACGACCGTGATATAACTTTTTGGCACGTAATTTTTTTCAACATTAATTTTGTGTATATATTATATCTTGATATATAAATTTTTTTTATTGATTTTATTTCTTTTTTCCTTGAATTTTACATTAATTTTCTTTTAATTCAAGTTATGTGACTTCAAAAAGAAATAGTCAGACGCTAGTGTAACATATCAAAAATTCATTTAAGTTATTTTTCAATTTACTGAACCAAAGTAATGTAATCGAGAAAAGCGTATTAAAAAATAGTTTTGTAATCAATTTTAAAATACCACGTCTAATACGTCTAATATCTAAAGCATTTCAAAAATAGCTTTAATAGGTTTAGTTAATTTTTTTTATAAATTTGATTTCGGAAAAATATCGATACGTTTTTCTCAAATTTCAACATAAAAAAATGTTGGAAAACATTTTAGTTTACATTACGAAGCTAAGAATAAAGAAAAGTATGCATTATACCGTTGTTCTTTTAGTGCGACAGCTTACAGTTTCTGAATCGAGTGTGAAACATAAAACAAAATGTATTGCTTTCCCTTTCAAACAATAGTACTTTTCCGATGCAATGAAACGACAGACACTGCCAGCAGTTCTGACAGTAAAACTCAGCCCATAAGTAAATTTCGCCAATGTAACAGCCCTCCATCTTTTGCAGTTTATGCAATTACTGTACTATTAACGTGTATATACGTGTAGTTTTGATCCTAATATATAAATGTACATTGACGTATCGTTAAAAGAAGTACAAAGAAATTTACACAAAAACTTATGTCGTTCATTATCATAGAAACTCTAGGGGCGTATTTACAAGTATTATATACAAACGCGAGTGTGACTACGTTCGATTTTAAGAGAACTATAAACACGTTGACTCCTTGCTCTTTCGTTGCATCCGTGAAAAAGAGAAAGATAAGATAATAAGAGAAAGGAAATAAACAATAATAATAATAATAATAATAATAATAATAATAATAATAATAGTAATAATAATAATAATAATAATAATAATAATAATAATAATAATAATAATAATAGTAGTAGTAGTAGTAGTAGTAGTAGTAGTAGTAGTAGTAATAGTAATAGTAGTAGTAGCATAGTAATAAACGAGCGCTGAGACACCCACGTCAATAAGCGTTTTATCCTCAAGTATAAAGTGATCAGTCCGGGCAAAGACATCGTCCAGTCGCAATTATCCATTGGCCATTTCCTCATCGGACATTCCAAGATTCTTGCGGCAATCCGGGCAGAACCACTTGCCTTTCGGTGGCACTGTAATTCCCACACATTCAAAGTGAAACCATTCGATCTGACAGTCATCGCCATCGCAGGCGATCATCTCTGAAACTTCGTCGTAGGGGCACTGGCAATAACAGTAGAGATTGTTAGAGCGCTCCGGAATGATAGGATGTAGTTGAGGGAAGTTTGAATGAAACAGTGAGCCAGAACTCGCTGCCGCCATTGTCTGAGGTACAGCTATTGCTGTTGAAGTCAACTTGCTCTTTGCCTCGGTAGTTTCGTTGTCAGAATCGCTCGAGTCACTACTGCTGCTGTCATTACTTTCACTGTCAGAAGCTGCGATCACCAAGGCTCTCTCTTCGTCCTCGTCGTCCTCATCGCGTTGCTGCTGCTGCTGTTGTCTTTGAGCCTGCAACAGTTGCTCCTGTTGAAATTGTAGCTGTTGCTGCTGTTGTTGGATGATCAACTGTTGCTGCTGTTGTTGCATAATTAGTTGTTGTTGTTGTTGAATGAGGAGTTGTTGTTGCTGTTGCTGTTGTTGTAGAAGTAGCTGCTGTTGCTGTTGAAAGCTTTGTTTGTTGAGAGCTTTACTCGATGACGAGGGTGACGAAGTGCTCATCATTGGCGGAGCATCGGTTCGCCGCCACTTTAACATTCGCTGCATATGATTTTCCTCATCACTCGAGTCATCATAAAAACGTTTAGGCACGCGCTTTCTCTTGGACGATCTTGTTGTATCCAATTCCGAGCCACTGCCAGCAAGACTGCGAGTCCTCGAAAAACTCGCTGCTTCCGGCGTCATCATTTGATTAGTCTCGAAAACAGATATGTTGGAAACGATCGAGTTTCTTCTTCCGCGTGGTGCTCCACGTCTCTGGTAGCTGGTTTTTGGAATGTTGACTTTGATCGAATCGACACTTTTCGTGGGATTTCGAGCCTTTCCCCAAAGACCTTTTCTGCGCCTTCTTGTCTTGAACTTTCGTTGCTTGCTAGCAGTTGGTATCACGAGAGTGTCCAATTGACTGGGCGATGCTGCTGGTGTCTGTGTTGATAATTCACTATCCATAACACCATTGACCGGCGTCGTAGTTGTGTCTGTAGGACCTGATATACCGGAAGCAAGCAACGTTTGCTTACGTTTTTCAGCCAGCAATTTCGTAGCCGTTTTCTGAGGATTTTCATCGTAGAACTCTTCGTCGGTGTCAGTCTCTGTTGTTTCCAAATCAGACTCTCTTATTATAAGTGCTGGAACTTTCTTCGGCAGTGGTTCGATCGGAGCTGTTTCAATCTCAATTTTTACCTCTACCGTCTGTTCTTTAGTCTCTGTTGGCGGCTTCTCGACAACTTCATTTTTCTTCTCTGGCTCGCCTACTGGTTCTGTTGCTACCATTCCTTTTCCTTTTTTACGCTTCTCCCGATCAACTTTTTTGGGTGAATTCGATGAGGAACTGTCAGAATCAGAACTGCTGCTTGAACTGGAACTGCCACTGCTGCAGGTACTACTACAGCTACAGTCAGGACCACAAGAGCAATTACTAGACTCACTGTCGCTGGATGAATCACTGGACGACGTGCTAGTGTTCTGTTTCTTCTTTTTTGGAGATTTTACTTTTTTCTTAGTCGATTCACTTTCAATAGTTGGTAGCTTGTTAGCAACACTTGGTGAAGGTGTTCTTTCTTTTGTAAAATTAGTTTTATCTGTTTCTACATTATCATCAGTCTTTTTTAAGGTACTGCTGGATGAATTCTGATCTTCTTCATCCTTACTTGGATATACTACACAATAATCATGATCAGCTAGTATTGCTTTATTTAAACGTTCAATTTCTTCTTTTTGTTGTGCATTTTCTACAATTTGCTTCTCGATGTCTGCTTCCATAGCATTAGCCTCTTGTTTCTCCAAACTTGCTGTATAAGACTTGAAATTACCCCAAATGCCATCCATAATCTGCTCCTCCTGCTTTTTCTCTTCCTCATTTCTTTCAACTTCAACTATCACGTCATTTGTAAGCTCAATTGATGGTTCTGGCTGAACCATTTCTAGTTTGTCAACTATATCTGCCTCAATTTTCTCTGGTTTTTTGTTACTTTTGCATTCATCTGGCTTTTCTTCTTCGTCATCACTGTCACTGTCTGACAAATTTAACGGTGGTAGATCAAGTACATCCACCACTTTTTTTACTGGTTCTTTTGGAGTCTCATCAGGTGATTTAACTTTTTCATTAACATTTACTTCTGTATTGCAGACATCAATATGAACATTATCTTCCTCTTTAATTGTTTGATTTTCATTGGGTTTTGGCAGTGTAATTGGTGGTGATGATGGTCCTGATTCTCTGTGACTTTGTTCATGCCTAGCCAATAAATGTTTTGAAATCAACTTTGCTGAGCACTCAGTACAAGGGTAAGGGAATTCATTTGTGTGAATTCTTTTATGCACTTTTAATGCAACAGCTTTGTGACAAATATATCCACATTCTTCACAAGGAAAGTCTGCTGGCGGAACACAAAAATGATATATGTAAGGCCATTTTTTTTGTAAACACTTTTTGCACTGCACACTTTCTGTTCCATGTTTCCAGAAGAGATGCTTTGTAATGTCTGGCTTATTACGATAAGCTATACCGCATCTATAACACAGATGATTTAATTTATGCTTCCAAATGTGATTGGATAAATTTTGCTGATTGCCAGTAGTTTCCAAACAAACGTCACAGGCATTATGCAATTTACGAAGATGTACCATAAGCCTGAAAGATGATGGGATATTAGAGACTTGACACAGACAACACCTGTACTGTATATCAATATTTGCAGCGTAAACTCCTGGACATAAATGGCACAGTAACTCACTATAACTTAAAAACGTTGACTTGCACATTATACACAATAGATTTGGTTTTTGATGCATTTTTCTATTATGTAAATAAAGTTCTTTGTGAGAGTTAGAGTGAAACCTGCAGTTGAAGCATTCATAGGTTTTTACCATGGAAACATTATAGGTTCCTTGTTTGCTATTGAAAGAATCCAGATTAAAAAAATATGACTCCAATTCATTGAAATATTTCTTCACCTTTGCTATAAACTGTTCTTGGTTGATGATAATTGCAGGATGTTGAGGTTGAAACCTGTGTTCTGAAAGCATGTGAAGACTCAATTGTTTACCATTGACAGCTATCTGTCGAGCATGATTACAATAAACACAAATTCCACAAACAACTTTAATACATCGTTTCAGTAACTCTTCCAGCTCCATCTTTTCCAAAAGATCATCCACATCTAAATCTACTACTGGAATTTCTTCACCAGCCAATGGAATTCCATCGAAAGTTTCAACTTTACTGTCTACAGTATCTATTATTAGCTTTTCATTCACGGTTTCTTCATTCTTTTCATTCAGTTGATTCTCAACATCTAATTTGTTCTCTTTGTTAATGTCTGAGTCAAAATTTATAGTACCTAAAGTATCATTTTCACAGTTTTCTGTAATTTCTATTTTTTTATCATCTGAATTAGTGTCTTGTGCATCCTTTAAAGATTCTTCAGTCGTTTGTTGTGTCTTGCCAGATTCTTTACTGTTATTATTTTTTTCTGATTCTTTATAACTATCATAGTTTTCAATACTATTTTCTATTGATGGTGTTTTTATTGAATATACAGAATTATTTTTGGTACAAATTTTGATTACTAATTTCCTATCTGTAACAGGAGTAGCACTCAATATTGGTTTACTTTGTTCATTTTTTGTTGGGGTTGACACTATGTCATCAAATAATTCATCCGCTGCATTACTAGAGCCGTTTGATGCATCAGATTCAGAATCTGAATTTAAATTCTCACTTACATCATTTAATGAATTGTGTTCCAAACTAAGCTCTTTGGTTTCATCAAGTTTTACAACATTCTTTTCAATCAATCTCACATCATCTTCATCCTTTGGTTCTGAAGTTTCAACTGTACCTTTGCTTGTGCTACAGTCCAAAGTACTTTTTAATTTGCTACTAGACATTATATCTGGATGTATAGAATGATCAAAATTTGTACCTTGAGAAACTGCCATTATAGTTTCAGTTACACTATCATAAGTATCCTTGGCACTAACACGACTCAATGATTCACTTTCACTTTCATGACTGTCATTTTCTAATACAATTCTATCATTTTCAAAATTGTTTCCATTATCAGCACCAGTACAAATTTCCATACCAGAATCAGAAAATGATTTCCGATTTGCTTCTCTAGATTCAATAGCACATATATCTTTATGGGAATCCAAACAAGCGCTATTGATAGTTTCAGATGTATTTTGCAATTTAGTCCTTTTTGAACGAATATTGGTTAACTTTGTGTACAAATAAATATCATCATTTAATCTATTAGGTTTTATTGTTCTTTTTGAATGTCGTATCACATTTGTCACTGTTTGATTAGTTTTTGTACGTTCAACTTCTGTAGTCCTAGAACTGCTCGGTAAACTTTGCAACACCTTTTTACTATCACTTTTTTCAGGAGCTAACCTACACCCATCTGTATGTGAATTTATTTTTTTGCACTGAGAACAAACTCCAGATGTTGATTGTACTGCTTTTTGAGATGGACAAAAATGATCATAAAATTTTTCATTCTCTGAAAACATCTTCTCACATGCACAACAGACCAGGAAACAAGGGCCTATAAAGACTTTGAAGAATTCTTCTGCTGAATTGAAATTCATATCTGGAACATTGTGTTTCTTTAGTAGATGATATGATAACCTTTCGGCTTGGCCAAACATACCAAGGCAAAACAAGCAGATATGCCGTTGATGTACTTCTCGCATATGTGTAAAAAGATTCCAGTTTTCAAAATATTTCTCACAAGCTGCACACAAATAAACTTTACTAGTGATTTTGAAATTTGAAGGTTGACTGGTAGATGGTGCTTCTGAACAAGAATTACTTGAAGCTAAAGTTTTAACAGATAATGATGACCGGCTGCAATTGCTTGATAGAATTGGATCTTCATAACTAGTTGATGGAATGGGTTCATATTTATCAATAAATACTTCAGATTTATCAGTTTGAAGTTCTTTGGAATTACTGTCACATGAAAGTACTGTATTAATGTTAGGCGGAGATTGAATATTTTCATCAGGTGGCAGTTCTGAGCTATCACAAGATGCTGATTCTGAAATATTTATCGTAGGTAATTGTGAGTAATTACTAATTGGTGATTCACTGTCTGCAGGTTGTGGTTTTGGACTATTAATTGTAATAATATCCATATCATTACTAACTGATAACTTAGATACTTCAACACATGGTGACATTGGAGTTTGAATATGTGATGCTTGAGTAGATGAAGATAGTGACACATCAACCAATGGAGATTTTGGTGCATCAGTTGCTGGTGATATACATACATCAGCAGATGGTGATCGAGATGCTTCTTCACAAAGGGATTGAAATGATTCTGTAAATGGGGATCGAGATGCTTCTTCAGGTGACGATGCAGGTCTATCAGTAATCGGTGATTCCAATGTCTCTACTGATGGCGATTGCGATACCTCCATTAATGGTGATTGGAATGATTCTAAAGTCAGAGATTCAGCTACCTCCATGGATGGTGATTGAACTATTTCTAGAACTGGAGAGTTAGTTTCTTTTATGGATGGTGATTGAACTATTTCTAGAGCTGGAGAATCAGATGTTTCTACGGATGGAGATTGATCTATCTCTGAAGCTGGAGATTTAGTTGTTTCCATGGATGGTGAGTGAACTGTTTCTAGAGCTGGAGATTCAGCTGCTTCCATAGATGATGAATGAACTGTTCCTGGACCTGGAGAGTCAGATACTTCCATAAATGATGATTGAACTGTATCTGATGATGGTAATTGAACTAAGTCTTGAACTAGAGATTGAGATACTTCCATGGGTGATGATTGAATTGCATCTGAAGTTGGTGATTGCAATACATTTGAAGATGATGGTGTAGATAGCTCAGCTGGTAGTAATTGGGGTGTCTCTTTAGGTAGTGACTGGGGCGTCTTTTCAGGTATTAACTGTGATGCCACTTGAGATGGTGACCGGAGTGCCTCTTTCAGTGGTGTCTGACATGTAGATTCAGCAATATCTTCATCCACTGACTTATTCAATTTTTTAGATATATTAGTGGATGGTGACGTTAATGGACTGGCAAGATCTGATTGATTTGCTTTTGTAGATGGTGATGTGGTTGTATCAACTGACGGTGAATAACAATTATTAGCAGGCAAGGATTCTTCATCATCTGTAAATAATACTTTATTAGCATTTGTGACTAATGAGCAATGTATGCTTATATTTATAGAATTATTTATATGGGGTAAATCAACATTATTGTTGCATAATGGAGTATTAATGAAAAATGATAGAATTACCCAAACTTGATGACTGAGAATTTTCTATACATGCTAGCTTATAATTACTACTGGTAGATGGTAATTTTGCATTATTCACTAGATAAAGCTTAGAACTATCAGCATCATCAGCTAAAGTAGAATTTTTTGCTGAAGAATCACATTGATCTTGTTTAGATTCTCCTGTAATAGTCTCACTTTCAAAAGTATTACATTGGTTGCATTCAGGTTTCGATGATGCAGGTTGCAGGCCCAAATATTGGGCGTACTCTGCCATATTTTTTTCTTTCACTTCAACCATATTGATTGTTCTTTCTTTTGATGTATCATTGAATTGAACAGCTTGTTCTACTGATGTATTATCATTTACTACTTGATTTTCTTCCGGTTGAATTTTGAGAATATTTTTCTTAAATCCTTTGATAACATTTTTTAGATTTATATTGGAGTTACCATTACCATCAGAATCTTGGGGATAAGAGGAATAAAAACAGTCTTCTCGAGTTTCATCAATGTCATCTAGACTGACATTTGAATTATTGATTTGTGCTAATGATGTATCAATGCTTGCCTCCTTATAGTATGCTTCTTCAAATAAAGTCCATTTATCGACAAGTCCATTCTCATTGTCCTCATCTTCCATAATAAAATTATAGTTGAGTGAGCCTTAATATCTGAAAAGACACATTGACACAGTCAGGAATGAAAAAAAACGTAATTATCTGCAGCATTACATAAGATGAATGTGTCAAAAAATGAATTTGTACTCATTAGCTAGGCAAAGAGCTTTTATGTTAAATTGATTTAGTAATTAAGTGACTTGAATAACTCTCTGAATAAACCAGACTCAAGCTTTTCTCATAGAAAAAAGTGAGTATCTAGTATGACAATTCTCATTTATTTGGCCGAGGCAAATGCAAAATCCAATCGCGAGTTTGAGGAGGAAACAATGCGCGAAAAAAGAAAATCACGAGAACCGGAAGCTCGACAACCTACCGAAAGGAGCTCGGCGAAGAGAGTGAAACGGTGAGAGAGAGAGAGGAGGAGTAAGAAAAAAGGTGGTTTTGTTAAGAGCTGTCTGGGTGTGCGTCGGTGATTGGGGCGGCACGCGGCGGCCTGCACTACGGCAACGTACCTAGGGAGGAGAGCGGCGGCGGGACGCCGAGGTTAGTAAAATGGCGTCGTGGTTGCAGCGGTGCGCCTCGTCGTCCTCATGGTCGTCCCGCACTCCACCGTGCGGACCGTGCCTTTGTCTCGTACTCTCTGCTGCGGTCACTGCTGCTCTTGGCTAAGATTTTGCAGGTTAGGCCGAGACGCTACTTCGTTATGTAGCAATGAGAGGATGTGTGCGAGTGTGAATTGATCGCAGTGTGTATTCGATCGACGCGACGGCAAGTCGCTTACTGCACATGTGCCAGCGATCACTACACCACGCACCAAATACTAGCTCTCGCGCCGACTGTGCTCGGCCAACTGCTGCCTTGTGCGATAGGTATCCGCTACGACCACGGGCAGGGGCCTGCTGAGTGCTGGCTATTGCCGTTTGCTTTGTTGGTATAGGTAGTGCTAAATGCGCATGTATGAGTATTTGCGACGCTGTATATAGTGTATACATATAAGTGAAGTATCCCTTCCATTCCCCCCCCTATGTTTGTAAGACGCCCCCACGCCCGTAGAATATGTGCCTCTGCTCGCGCGCGCTGTCTCTCTCTTACTCTCGTATGCACGTGTATGACTGCTGCCTTTTCCCTCGCTTTTATTTGCCGCGCCCGCGACGAACACGTTTTTGTCGTAGCCAGCATGGCTATTTTATGACCCTCGTATTGCCCCCGCGGAGGGTTACTCTGAAACTCTTCAAAATGCGACAAACTTGCATGCCTTTGTTACTAAAGTAGTCGGTGATTTTTATGGGCTCATTTTTGCTGCGTCTGTGAGTTTCCATTTTGATGTGTTTCAGCACAGGCTGATCTCTTGGAGACTTTCAAATTGTTGCTAATTCAATCTTTGGATTGACTAAGTTACATCGTGGAATCAATAGTCCTTCGGGCTACTATACACTTTCGATTCCAAATAATCGTTTCTTTTGCCGTTGCGTTCGATTACGATTCTTCGAATCATTGTTATCTTCTACAAAAACATGCAATCTCTTGCAACGTCTTAAAGTGCAATTAAAAAAAATTTACTGTGATAATTTGGTTAATTAAGAGTGAGAAGCGGATCCACAGATAAATAAAAAATTTGCAAAGTATGCGCGTACGTTATCTATTTAGTTTTTCTGTCAAAATGTAATTTTGTATTTGTATAAGGCTGGTATGCAGCGTAATCTATCGTCAGCGCTCTAAAAATATCAATCGATCATACGCGAATCGCAAGCCTCCCTTCGTGGGGTCACGTGTTACGCGAATTTTGTCCAACGTTTCAGTGGCGCCGAGACAGCCCAAATCCCCCCCCCCCCCCCCCACCAACCTTTGACGCTTTCCGTTCTCTCTCTCTCTTTCTTTCTCTCGACGACTCGGATAATTATTTTGTTTCTCTCCCTCTCACTTCATTTTTCTTTAATTATTATTAACCGTCTCAGATTTATCTGCGTGAATCAATATAACTGCATTTTAATTTATAAATCTATTTATTTGTAATGAATATTAAATAAATGAATGTTCGTTTAGGATTTCATTTAGATTTCGCTTCGGATTAATTAAATTCTTGATTACATTGTATAGTACGGCTTATTCAAACGCATATTGAAGCTTAAAAAAAACTTTACATGAGTCGCTTTTACAATTATAGCTCGAAATTGTAAATTTAGAGACACGCTGGCTAGATCTAATGCGCCTAATAATAGCAGCAGAAATGAAAAATTAGGTACTATTTACAATGTTCATCACGTTATTCAATTAAATAACAAAACACCTGAGAAGGATCAAATAGAAGTTTTTGCTCCAAAACAATAAAAATTAAAGAAAAGGAGCGAAAAAAAGAAAGTTGAGGATTTGGAGTTAGACCGTAATGACACGTAGGTATCAATCCGAATCGTGCCTTGGAGTTGGCGCCTCGGTGATGTAATATATATATATATATATATATATATAATGGTTTTATAGAAATTAAACTATAGCGTGAAGGATGTACTTTTCGATAGTGTAACGTGGCGTTAGCACTCGGCTCTAAGTTCAGAGTCGACAAAAAGAGCTTCCCCCCCCCTCTCATATCGCGAGTCGTTAGGTACTAGAGAGCGAGTATGTATGTGTGGATACTGGTACAGTAGTGTAAGTATGTACGCGTACACCGTGAATGCGCCAATGTATAGAATAATAGTGTCTCGGCTCGACTACTGGAACGTAACTATTTGTTGACGTGGTTTGTGTATTTACCGCGCTGGAATTAAACTTGCGTTAATCGTTGCCCACGGGGCTGTAGTTTGATTAATCTCGAGCTCGGATCCCGTGACCAAGTGGAGGAGTAGAGCTCAGTTCCTTCGGTCGTTGTCATTTGAAAAACGGAAGCCATCTTGTGGCCGAGCCTCCCATATTATAAGCCAACAAGAGTGCGAGAGAGAGAACCGCTGAGCGGATTACACTCGGTGTACAGGGGCTCAAGTCGAAAGAGAAAGATAACCAGACATTGGTGATACACATTTATCCAATATTCGTCAGCCCCTCAGACTATGCATGAATTATCGCATCACGCTTTTACATAGCCATGGCTGCGACGAGAAAGTTGCAAGGTGAGGACTCGCGCGCGAGAGAGACAAGGCTCCTCTCTCGCTCTTTTCTTCAGCATGTTTACATCTGATCCTATCCGTCGATATATCAGCCCTTGCAACCCCTTTCTCGGCACTAATCAACTTCCAACAACGCTTGTTACTTCTACACTTTTCCACGATTTCACAGCTACTTGGCTTCCCTCTACACGCTTTTTGGTTGGCCTAAAGTTTTGCTATACGCCATCGTTCGCTGGCTGGCTACTACCAGCGCATTCTTCCAATTAAGGGTTAATCAGGCTATGTTTCACGGCCTGGACTCTTTTATCTTTGCTTTGTATATCGTGCTCGATATTTTATCCTACTGCCTTGCTCCCTTTCTAACTATTTTCACGTACTTTTCTTTCACTACATTCAGCCTTATCATGACAATGCATCAGGATAACCTCTCTTTATAGCAATCTTCTATTTCATTTTGGAAAGCTTTAATTGTTTTTAGTATGAATAACTTTTGTTTTAATAGAAGTATTATTGCATTAACCTCATATATATGTGATTTAATTTAGATTTTTCACGGAAATAATGAAATTTCTTTTGTTTTGGAATTGACACCACAGAGCCTCTACTGATGTATGTTGATGCTTATCAAGTATCTAAGTTGTCTAGTAATAAATTTTCTATTATGATCCTTGATGTTATACTTTCTTGATATGTCTAACTATCATTCTGGGTTCAAATGGGATAAATCATTCCTCATGAAATTTTATATTAATTTCATTATATTGTTATAACATACATTAATTTCTGTACAGGGGAAATTGACAGGTGCCTTAAGAAAGTCACAGAAGGAGTTGAAACTTTTGAAGATATCTGGCAAAAAGTTCACAATGCCACCAATAGCAATCAGAAGGAGAAGTATGAGGCTGATCTCAAAAAAGAGATCAAAAAGCTTCAGAGGCTACGTGATCAAATTAAAAGCTGGATTGCCTCAGGAGAGATCAAAGATAAAAGTACCTTGCTTGATTACCGAAAACTTATTGAGACGGTTAGTTAATGAGATATTTAGTTGAAATATTCTATCATATGAATGATGCAACAAACTAAATAGTTTAAAAATTTATTTTAGCAAATGGAAAGATTCAAAGTTGTGGAAAGAGAGACAAAGACAAAGGCTTACTCTAAAGAAGGTCTAGGAGCAGCTCAAAAACTTGATCCTGCCCAAAAAGAACGAGAAGAAGTTAGCAATTGGTTGGCAAATTCTATAGATACTCTCAATTTACAGGTATAATGAATATTCAAATATTTGTTTTTATAGGGCTTGAAAGATTGAATAACCTGTTTATATTACTTTTGTAGCTTGATACTTTTGAATCAGAAATAGAATCCTTACTAGCAGGGAAGAAAAAGAGGTTAGACAAAGACAAACAAGACAGAATGGATGAGCTCAAAGCAAAATTGGATAAACATCGATATCACATAAAAAAGCTGGAAACTTTGCTGCGCATGTTAGATAATATGTCTGTTGAAGTTGATACGGTAAAATCTCAATATATTTTCCAACATAATATGTTTAAGTTTTCAACTAGTTGTAATCATGTTTTGATCCCTTGATGTGCAGATCAAAAGGATAAAAGATGACGTTGAATATTATATAGAATCGTCCCAAGAGCCAGATTTTGAAGAGAACGAATATATTTACGATGATATTATTGGTATTGACGATGTAGACATTACGGGTGTAACAATACCGTCGTCTGCGACAACGGATAGTAATAACAGTAATGAAACTGGCGGCACTCCGACATCCACAAACTCCGGAACATCGCCAATACCATCACCTCCTTTGAGTTCAACAATGCACAATCATTCGAGTGATAGCTCTACAGATAATGATAAAAAGACTAAGGTAATTTTGTAAAATTAATGCAATAATAATCGGAACTGAACTAAATTATTCTTTTGTTGTAGCCTGTAAAACCAACAGCAGTCAGGCCTCTAGTCAATTCCCAAGCGAGCATTCCAACAACGGGAAGCACTGCCAATGCGAAAACGACGTTATTGTCAAGCACTCCAAGCAAAACCATTCCCATGACATCGATAAGCCATAGCTCGCCGAGTTCTACTAGTAATCATCTCGCTACAACTAATGCTGGCAATTTTGCCACAGTAGCTGCCTCTCATAGCAACTCGCAAGCCATTCATACTACCTCTAATAAAGCAGCGCGTAAGTATTTTTGACTATCCGTTTGTATATTAATTCTTAATCGCGCAAGTAATAACGAAGCATCTTCAAATTATAGCGCACAGTATTGAGAATGGATTATCCACGTCGACGATAACATCAAGTGTAGCGTCCAGTGTGCCACTGAATCTTTCGCAGCAGCAGCAGCAACAGCTGCCGCAACCGCAACAACAGCAGCAACCTCAACCGATACAGCAGCCACAACCTATGCAACAGGCGCCACAGCCACCACAGCCGCAACTTCAGCAAGCTCAACCGCAGCAACAACCTTTACAACAACAGCAGCCGCAGCAACAGCAGTTAATAAATCCGGCGCCAACGCAGGTGGCTCACATTTTACACAACCAGCAACAGCAAAGCCAGAACTATGTGAATGAGGTAGATATAACGACACCCGTGCCACCACCTTCGTCGTCGCCACGCTCGTCGATCAGCAGCCAATCGTCGCCCGTTCCTATAAATTCGTGCTCACCAGCGCCATCCACTGCCAATGGTCTCATCCCTAAACTTCCTGATGGTATGTCCACTTTGAAGTCGATCGCCCAGCAAGTAATCGTGCGAGCGGGCTTGGAAATGCCCCAGCCATCCGAACCAACGAGGAGCATCTTCGATGGCCCCAAACCGAACAATGTTATTAACAGTAACAGCAATGCCACCGGAGAAGCCCACATTCCACCGTTGCTTGGTGTAGCACCTTTGGGGCCGGTACCCCTACAAAAGGAGCATCAACATCAATTCCAAATGATGGAGGCTGCTTACTATCACATGCCTCATCCTTCGGACTCAGAACGATTAAGACCGTATTTGCCTCGGAATACTTGTCCTACGCCTATCTACTATCAGCAGGTATCTGTTATTAAAAAAGTGGAAGCATCTTCGATTAAAATTGCAAGTAGAATGCTCCGTGTTTACGAGACATTGTTTGTTATTAGTTGCAGATTCCCCATATTGATACGGTGGACTTTTTCGCTCGTCTTTCAACGGAAACATTATTTTTCATATTTTACTATATGGAAGGTTCTAAAGGTCAATACTTGGCAGCTAAGGCATTGAAGAAGCAGAGCTGGAGGTTCCATACCAAATACATGATGTGGTTTCAGAGGCACGAAGAACCGAAAATCATTAACGAGGAGTACGAACAGGTGAATACTTTTGGGTTTTTAAAGTTTACATACACGTACAGTAATTAATAGCAAATGTTTGACAATTTCAGGGCACTTATATCTATTTTGACTATGAAAAGTGGGGACAGAGAAAAAAAGAAGGCTTTACATTTGAGTACAAGTACTTAGAGGACAGAGATCTCAATTAATCTCAAATCCTGTTATTATCAAAGTCTCCAAAAATGCACTATTTCTGTATTCGTACGATTGAACATTTGTGGATAGACATTATTTTTTACAGCTCTATATTTTCGCAATTACACTTTTAATTTATTAGCAATATATGTCAAAGAACGTTGAATCAATGAGTAATTGAAGAAGCATCGCAGTTTTTGCGATCTTGCAGTAATACAGGTTCTTTTCCAAGATTAAACACTAAGAATTTTGAAGAGAGAATAGTTATCGAACGCGCTTATTGGGGACAGTAAATTGTATGTATAATTGATAATATGAAAAGCACCGGAATCACACTTTAGCGATATATAGTGTGCGGTGTGTGATAATATGAGGAAGAAGTTGTACTCGTTGGCGACTGACTCTGTAATACCAGTACAAACATGAGTGCATCCCATCTACCATACCTATGGTTAGGTGGCGAGTACACATGCTATGGTATGTCTTAATGTTAGATTATAAGTAGCCTTTTTGTATAAAGTATATTGAGGTGTAAAACCCTTAAAATGAATTACTGTACAGAATGTGTAGAAATAGTGAATAATAATATTATGGAATATATTTTATTTCTCATTTGAATGAAACCTTCGTTGTTTCAATTCTATCACTGCATTTTAACCTAAGTAATATATATATATATATATATATATATATATATATATATATATATATAAACATTCCATCCATTAGAGTGCATATAACTATATTGATTAGGATTTCTCATATATGAATATACAATTAAAGAATCAAACAAGTATAGAAGTTACAAGAAATTTGTAAGCAATTGTTCATCAAGATTGAAAATCAGTTGAATTTGTGAAAGTTTATTTTAGAAGTCTAATTGCTTAACATTTTTATATTTGAATATAAAATAATAACTGTTTTGCAGACTACGTAAGCAAATCGTAAAAATATTTCTTTCCGCTTTCATACAAAATTTGTTACCATTTGTGGAATTCAAGCATTTTTCACTATATAGTATTCATTTTTTACAATCTTTGACGACGACCTCACGTGACTTAATTATACACGAGGAATATTTTCGAATACACGATTGTAATACGAACAATATGACAAATGAGAAAATTCGTACAATTCCATCTTTTTTAATATTTATGAATAAAACTTTGATATTTTTCCAATAATTAAATTATAGCATTCAATAAGATACCGACAATTTAATAAAATTTATTCAAATATTATGATTGATCAAAGTAATGTAATATTGCTAGAATTTACGAAAATAATCAAATGTAAAATCATTATTAAGTCGTCATTCGATTAGTATAAGCTATAGATTCGGTATTATATAATTATTTTTCTGCTTAACTGCTTTAAAATTTTTAATAAATTACTTGCCCAGAATAATACAATAGTTGAATTTAACTTTGTTATGTCGATGTTGAAGTTTATCTTTAGGACTTTTTTAAATATCATTTTCTATTTACCCTTCTTTTATATTCCCTTTGATTCGTTTGCTAATGCTAATATTTAATTTTATTTTACGAATACTATACTTTTTCCCTTTTCTCAATTTAATATTAGCATCGTGTTTATATTGTTTATCCTACTTGTATTTCCATGGATATCATATTCTGTAAACCAAATTTATTTTATTAGGATCAATTCAGTATTATAATGTTTTTTCTAAAGAGATTATAAGAAATTAATTACATTTTGACTGATTGCAGAGCTTTTAGTACTATCTTTTGAAGAACTCTTAATTATCTAAGTGATAAAATGTTGCTCAAGTTGAACTTTACCACAGATATCAAATATAAAATCAACATTGAGTTTTCGCAAATTTAATATGCAATACTTTTTTCTTAATTTATTTTTAGATATAAAATACGCAATTAGAAACTTTCAGTATATTAATTTTCCGCTTTGTTGTTTCAAAACTTAATAAATGATTTGCCCAGAACTTTACTATATTTAAGTTTAATATGTATAATAATATAATATTATTAACACGATATTGGAAGATTTGAAAAATATTTTTAACGTCTTCCGACGCTATCCTTTCCTTCAATTTTTCCTTAAAAACAATTTTTGACATCAACAACACCATTAGTTTTTACGTTTTTCCTTTCATGACTGTGTTTATATTTTTTGTTTATTTTTAAGTAGTTTTTTTTACAGTTTTTGCAAAAAAAAAGATTAAAATTTTTGTATTCAAATAATTGTAAAATAGTCGTATCATTTGAACAATTAAATGACCGTGGTATTATTAATAAAAGTAAAGTTACTCAAACTAAAATTTACCGAAATAAAGATAAAATGATTATTAGGTCATGGCAAAATTGTTATACTTTAATATTTTTTCTGTGATTTATTCATTGATATAAAATATGCAAGTGGAAACGAATATTAAATTTACTATGTACATTATTAACTCAATATTTAATTTTTTAGAATTAATATGTTTTTCAATGTTTTTTTCCTTTGCTCTTTCCTTTCTGTTTTCCTTTAAAACGTTTCCTAACGCCAGTCGATAATTCTGTGTCATCACCATCATCTTCTGTATTTCTTCTTTTACTATTTCGTTTAGATTCTTCTTTAGTTTTCATATCCTGTAAATAAAAGAAATTATTTGATATTTTATTCAATATGAAATTTTAATTATCTGTTAGAGATTTAAAAAATTTCTTACAATCTTGACTAATCGCAGAGCTTCTGCTACTCTTTCTTGAAGAACCATTACTTCTTGCTCTTCAGTTTTGTACAAAGGAAGCTGCTGACCTTTAAGTTGCTCAATTCTCTGATACAGTTCGACATCATATTGAGTAACAAAGGTAATGGCAATGCCAGAACGGCCAGCTCTTGCAGTTCTTCCAACTCGGTGTATGTAATCTTTACTGTGTGTTGGTATATCAAAATTAATAACAACATCGACATGTGGAATATCAAGACCCCTAAAAGAAATTATTAATATGACAATTCAAAAAATTTGAATGGGAAAATTATTTTTCAAAACAAATATACCTGCTAGCAACATCAGTGGATATTAAAATTGATCTATTTTTCGCTTTAAATTTAGTAAGAGCAGCAATTCTTTTGTTTTGTGTCATTTGTCCATGTAAAGGTACGGCCATAAACCCTAAATTACGTAAAAGTAGTGCAGTTCTCATAGTATTATTGCATGTAGAACAAAAGATCATAAAACTATTTCCAGACAGTTCATTCAAAATATGAACTAAATACACATCCTACAAAATAAAAATATTATTAGATCTAAATACAAAAGAGTTAAAGTATACTTTTATAGAATACAAATGATAATAGTTGTACTTTAAATTTGACTGGAATAAAAATGTAATACTCCTGCAAAGTTTTCACAGTTTGGTATTTATTGGAAACTTCTACTTTTACTGGATTTCTCAAAGATGCCCGCTGTAACTTCTGTACTTTTTTAGTCATTGTAGCTGAAAACAATAGAGTCCTCCTTTCTCTTGGAATAACTTTTAATATTTTGTCAACTTCTACTTCAAAATCCATGTTCAAAATTCTGTCTGCTTCATCCATGACCTTCAATAAATAATAGTGTAAGACATTTTATTATAATGTAGATGTAGGGATATCATTTAAAATTACCAGGTATTTTAGATTACGCAAACTGAAGCCCTTTGTGTTCTCTAAATGATCAACTAGTCGACCAGGAGTAGCAATAATAATATGTGGTTTTTTGGCTAACATCAATGCTTGAGTCATCATATCCATACCTCCAACAATAACAACACATTTGACAAGAATACTTGCTCCTGCAATGTGTAAACTGTATTAAAAATTATCTACTCCAAAAAAACTATCTTATTGTTATTTAAAGATGGATCAAATATCTTTACCAAGAGCTTCAATTTGCTCAGAAATTTGAATAGCTAACTCTCTAGTTGGAGTCAAAATAAGGGCAAAATATCGTTGAGGATTTTCCAAAAGTGCTTGTAATATCGGAAGAGCAAATGCTGCAGTTTTTCCTGATCCAGTTTCTGCTAATCCAATCACATCTTTCCCTAAAATAATTGCATTACATTAAAAAAGATCACTTCATAAAACTTTTTATTTATAACAGTTTGCAATACCTTGTAATGTTAAAGGGATAGCCTCTCTTTGAATTTTTGTTGGGACACCCCATTTTAAATCATGACATGCTTCACAGAGTTTATCTATGAGACCCTGTGAATCAACAAAGATTTTACATATTTAAAAAAGAAAAAATATATAAAATAAATAAAATAAAAATATTCTACCAACCAAATCTCGCCAAGTTATAACCTTTTCATTTTCATTAATATTTTCCACCGAATCACTTTGTTCTTCTTCCTCCGGCATGTCGATTTTAGTTCTACAATTTTTCTTGTAATGAATCTTAACAAAGTTTAATTAAATATCTAATTATATTATATTATATTTTAAGTAAATTCAAGTAACTACTGGAAACTAAATGTCCCATAAACACAAAGAACACAAACTACGAATCCTTTGAAGTTCGAGCACGAGGTAACTAGGTTAAGTAAGTTCGCACTCCGTGTTCTTATATTTACTATTTTTACTTCCAAATCCAATAAAAATACAAGATGGCGTAAATTAATTCTAACTTGGTAGTGAACCTCAGTTACCGTATGGGTACGACATGGACCTAATGATAGAATTTTGTCATCGAATCGACCCTGGCAAAAAAATGATTGTTAAAAAAAAATACACCATTAGCTTCATCTTAATTTGTACCACCCGAAAATTGCTTTTTTGGAATTTGTACCCCCCCAAAATTTTGAAAAAAGAGGTAAGAACGATATTTCGGAAACTCATACTCCTGGCAGAAAAATGATTGATATCTTAAAAAAAAATACCACTAGTTTCATTTTAATTTGTACCATCAGAAAAATGTTTTTCTGGAATTTGTACCCTCTCAAAAAATAGAGAAAAAAAAGATTTTCGTATGGCAGATTAGCAATTCAAATGAACGTATTACTGCGTATGTGCGGCGGAAAATCTTTGGGGGACTTGAGGTGGATGAAGGTGTTTTATGGCTTAACACGAAGTTTAGTAATAATGTATTTATTCGCTGGAAGATAGATTTGTGGGGGCAGATAAGCCTCCACGAGTTGACACCACGCGGCAGCACAAACGCAAGCAGCTCCTCGAGCCGTGGAGCTGGCTTCCGCACTCTCTCGCTAGCAAGTTGGCCGCAGCGCATTCACGCCTGCTTTCTTGCTCTACTTAAGTTATAAGTTAATTTTAGTTTTGGTCTGTACAGTACGAATAAATACATTATTACTAAACTTTGTGTTAAGTAATAAAACACCTTCATCCACCTCACGTTCCCCAAAGATTTTCCGCCGCACATGCGCAGTAATACGTTCATTTGAATTGCTAATCTACCATACGAAAATCTTTTTTTTCTCTATTTTTTGAGAGGGTACAAATTCCAGAAAAACATTTTTCTGATGGTACAAATTAAAATGAAACTAATGGTTTTTTTTTAAGATATCAATCATTTTTTCTGCCAGGAGTATGAGTTTTCTGAAATATCGTTCTTTCCGCTTTTTTTCAAAATGTTGAGGGGGTACAAATTCCAAAAAACCAATTTTCGGGTGGTACAAATTAAGATGAAGCTAATGGTGTATTTTTTTTTAATCAATCATTTTTTTGCCAGGGTCGTTTCGATAATATAATATCGAAAATGACCGGAAAGTTCCGAATAGTTCCGACCATATCTGTTAATTGCTGTATGTGTGTGTATCTATAATATATAGTAAACTTATAGTACTCTATATAGTCTCGATCATTTCACTTCCGAAGAAGCGTTCAATTCTGAAGCAAGTTCGCGCTTGCTTTCATGAGTGTTCTTAATAAGACCAAGAAATATTAGTATTTATCATCATTTTCAACAGTTTTATAGTTCATTAATTCTATTTCTTGTTGAAATTGCTGTATACCAGTATATTTGAAACTTGGATGATAATTTTTAACAAAATTGAACAATGTTTTAATTAGAGGTTATGTTTGGGTAGTTTTTCGAGGAAATTGCAAGTGTATGCATATTATCATTTTATTACAAAAAGGCGTATATATATAGTTTTTTTTTTGTTCATTTTGATCAGTTTATGTTATTTATCGATTTTAGCGCATTTTTAGTTTCACGTTTACGACGACAATAATTCTTTAGAACCCTATTATTGGGTTAGTAAATACAATATAATTGTATATCACTACTATTTAAGCTTATATTTCAAATATAATATTTAGTAATTGCCATTTATATCTTTCAGTTATTAACGTAGTAAAAATGTTGGTGGAAGCAAATGGCACTGAGCCTGATGAGAATTCAAAAGAAATTTTACCGATTCAGAGGAACGATGATGAAAAACATTGCAAAGAAGCAGAAGAAGAAAATCAAAATGAGAATAATATTGAAGAAGCGCAGCAAGCTAACAAACGGGTAAAAATGGATATAAAAGAAAAACAAATGAGTAAAGTTCATGAAAACAGAAGTAAATCTGGCAAACCAGTTGATCCTGCTTGTGACATTTGTTTTCAAAAGTTGAATGATGAAGATTTAAGACTGTACATTGGCCATCCAAATGAAGCAGTTGACGAATATTCAGTGTTATTAGATCCCAAATTATGTTTATTTAATGGAGATGAAATAGATATTAGTGAAGGAGATGCAAGAGCTTTGAATAAAATTACTGGGTTTAGGTAAATTATAGGATTTTATAAATTGATAAATGCTATATTTCATTTAAATGTGCTATGTTTCTTTTAAATTTTCTGATAGTGTATATGATAAAAATGGACATTTATGCCCATTTGATGGTGGCTTGATTGAGAAAAATATAAATATTTACTTTTCTGGATATGTCAAACCAATATATGAAGATGATTCTTCAATTGAAGGTGGAATCCCTGGAAAAGATTTAGGTCCCATTGTGGAATGGTGGGTTAGTGGATTTGATGGAGGGGAACAACCAATTTTATCCTTTAGTACAGAAATTGGAGATTATGTTCTTATGGAAGCATCTGAGGAATATGCTCCTTTCATGATTTCTGTCAAAGAAAAAAGTTTTGTCAGCAAAACAATTATAGAATTTCTTTTGGACGAAGAAAGTCCTTCATATGAAGATTTATTAAACAAGTTGCAAGTAAGTAGAATTGTAAATCAAATGTAATTTGTATAGTTAAACATATTTATTAACTGATTGTAGACTATTGCTATGCCAAAAGGGTTACCGAAGTTCACAGAAGACATACTCTTGCATCATGCCCAATTTATTTGTGACCAAATTCTTTCATTTGATGAATCTGCCACAGGAGAAGATCCTCTGTTGATTACAGCTCCATGCATTAGAGCATTGATCAATCTTGCTGGAATAACATTTAATAAAGGAAAAACTATGAGGAAGGGTAGGAAACGCAACAACACCAGACAACAAGAAGACGATTGGCGTCAAGGTTTGATGAGAAAAGCACAAAAAGAGAAAAAAGCAACTTGGACGAAGGCTACAACAACTCAATTGGTCAACAATATGTTTGAAAGTTTTTTCCCTGATCAGCTAGCTAATAATAAAGATTCAATGACTATTAAACGTCGAAGATGCGGAGTGTGTGAAAATTGTCAAAATCCTGATTGCGGAGAATGCGCTGCTTGTAAAAATATGATTAAATTTGGAGGTCCAGGTCGTAGTAAGCAAGCGTGTACAAGACGTCGTTGTCCAAACATGGAAATTCAGGTAAATCATTTTATTTACTTTATCGGAAAATTATTTATGTTTCATTTTTTTAAATGTTAGGAAGCAAATGATGAAGATCCAGATGATCAAGATCCGGCAGAGGGTGATGCAGAACCAAGTTTATTGGCTCATAGAAAAATGCTTGGTTCTTTGAAAAGTAGAACTGGTAAAATTGAATGGTTGGGTAAACCGATTAGTGTTGATGCCAAAGGAGAATTTTATAAAGCTGTTCAACTTGACTCTGAAGTCATTGAAATAAATGACTATGTGTTTATTGAATCTGTAAATCCAAGTGTACCTTTGCAAATTGTAAAAGTTATATATATGTGGGAAAATAAAATGGGAATCAAAATGTTTCACGCGACGTGGCTATGGCGGGGAAGTGAAACCGTTTTAGGGGAAACTTCTAGTTCCAGTGAACTGTTTTTAGTAGATGATTGTCAAGATGTGCCGATTTCTTATGTTAAATCAAAGACTACGGTAATTCACAGATCAACACCTGAAAATTGGGATGAATTAGGTATGATTTTTCATAATCGTTCGAAATATGTAATATACGAATTTTTTCATTTTATCCAATTGTTTTCTAATTATTTTAGGTAATGTCAACGTTGACTCTAGTATGGACGAATCAAAGGAAGACATTACTTCTTTTTATTATCAAAAACGTTATGACCCAAATACTGCTAGATTCGAAGATCCTGGACCAGAGTTAGAAGCTAAAATAGAGATGAAGTACCGTTTTTGTGCAGCTTGTAGTAGATGCTCCAACGTGCAAACTGTTTCTAGACCTCAAGTTTTTGAGAAATTGGAAGAAAAAAGTAGCAAAGAAGTTTTGTATGGCATGGTTAAATTTAGAGATGAGGAGTACCGTGTAGGTAGCGTTGTATATTTACAACCAAAAACATTCAAGTTTAAATATCCTCCTCCTTACCAAAATATCATAAGAATACCAAAACAGCAAGTTGACGAAGACAGATTTCCTGAGTACTATCGAAAATTTAATGATCGCATTAAAGGTTCCAATTTCGACACACCCGAACCTTTCGATATAGGCTATATTACAAACATTTATGCTACTACAAACGTAAAATTACTTGCTTCCTCTAATTTATATATTAAAGTCAAAAAAATGTACCGTCCAGAAAATACTTATAAAAGTGAAAGTTTGAAACAACGATCTGATATTAATGTTCTGTATTGGAGCGAAGAAGGTATGTATTTCCACAGGTAAATCACTTCTTTTATCTCTATTTTATAATTTCTTTGTTTAATTTTCCAGAGATTACCATCCCATTTAGCAGTGTTACTGGGAAATGTTATTTAACATATTCAGAAAACATAGAAGATATAGATGCATGGTCAATGGCAGGACCGAACCGCTTTTATTTCTCTCAAATGTACATCAATAAGGATGAAGAATTTGATGATCCACCTCCAAAAGCATGTAGCATTGGAAAAATTGCCAAAACAAGCGACAAATTAAAATCAAAAAGTAGAAAAGCAGAGCATCAATCCAAATTTATAGACATTCCTCCAGAATGGGCTCCAATCTCGAAGAAACTTAGAACCCTTGATGTGTTCGCCGGTTGCGGAGGTAAAATTACAGTTTTTATGTCATATTTTGCAATCTTAGCTAATGCACGATTTTTCTTTAATTTCAGGACTTTCTGAAGGTTTAAAGCAGGCTGGGATCAGTGAAAGTAAATGGGCTATTGAAGTAGATGAAGCTGCAGCTCATGCTTATCGTCTAAATAACCCTGACGCTGCAGTTTTTACCGGAGATTGCAATACTTTCTTGAAAAAAGTCTTGAATGTAATTTATTTTTCTATTTTGTTTGCTACTATAAGAAGGTATTTTGTACAATTTATCAAGCTAACATAATTCTTAGGGTGAAACTGCAGTAGGTAAACAGCGTTTACCACAAAAGGGTGAAGTGGATCTGCTTTGTGGAGGACCTCCATGCCAAGGGTTTAGTGGCATGAACAGATTCAATTCCAGAGCCTATTCTCTATTCAAAAATTCACTTGTTGTATCGTATCTTTCGTACTGTGATTACTATCGACCTCGATTCTTTATTATGGAAAACGTACGGAATTTCGTAACATTTAAAAAGAGTTTAGTTCTAAAGTTGACTTTAAGATGTCTTATAAGAATGGGATACCAGTGCACATTTGGAATCCTTCAAGCAGGAAACTTTGGTGTTCCACAAACACGTAGAAGGTATTCCCAGCAACTTTAAACCTTATTTTATAAATAACAACTATACAATTCATTTTTTCAGAATGATATTACTAGCTGCCGCTCCAGGTGAATTTCTTCCGAATTATCCCAATCCTCTTCATGTCTTTAGCAAATCAGCCTGCAATTTAAATGTTGTTATAGATAACAAAAAGGTGATATTACGTTTACGCTGATTTTAATAATACAATTTTAACTGAATTTAAAATAAAATTTATGCTTATAGTATTTTCCAATTTATGACTGGGCGGATTCAGCTCCGTACAAAGTAACTACAATTCGAGATGCACTCTCGGATTTGCCAGCTATTAAAAGTGGAAAAAATGACGATACCATGAGCTACGGTAATGAGCCATTATCTCACTTTCAAAAGAAGGTAAAAATTTGTGTATATTTGACTTTCCTATAGTTACACAAATTGATTGTATATTTTATAAAATTACAGATTAGAAATGGAATTAGTGACAATTTGTTATTAGATCACATATGTAAAGATTTAGGAGCATTAGTTGAAGCTCGTATGGCTCACATTCCTACTGTGAGCGGATCTGATTGGCGCGATTTGCCAAATATTGTCATCCCATTAAGCGATGGAACACATTGTAACAAATTGTAAAACATTGTTTTGATTCTAAAACTTTTCAAAATTACATTGGTTAAAATGTTACGGTCGCTTTATTTTACAGAAAGTATAATTACAATGATAAAAAAGCGGGTAAAAGTTCTACTGGAGCGTTAAGAGGTGTTTGTAACTGTGCTACAGGAAAAACCTGTAATCCTCTTGATAGACAAGATAATACTTTAATTCCCTGGTGTCTTCCTCACACTGGCAATCGTCATAACAACTGGGCTGGTCTGTATGGGAGAATTGAGTGGGATGGCTTCTTTAGTACCACTATTACCAATCCTGAGCCCATGGGTAAACAGGTAACAATATTGAAAATAATATTTTTTCTATATAAAATAATATTATTGAAAATAATATATAAAATAATATATAAAATAATATTATTGAAAATTCTTTTCAATTTTTAATCAACTCTATTCGATTATTTTGTCCGTATAATTTTAATATAATTTTCATAATTTAATATAATTTTCATTGCGCTGTCAGAGTAAGAAAAATTTCTATTTTGTTTTTAAGGGACGAGTTCTTCATCCAGAACAAACAAGAGTTGTAAGTGTACGAGAATGTGCCAGGTCTCAAGGATTTCCAGATAGTTTCCGATTTTACGGAAATATACAAGATAAGCATAGGCAGGTTGGAAACGCTGTACCTCCTCCGCTTGCTGCAGCGATTGGCTTAGAAATTAGAAAGAGTGTTAGTAAAGCAGAAATTGCATTAAATGAAGAGAAAAATAAAAATCTATATTAATTTTTTTTAAAGATACATTTTTTTAATGACTAAATTTAATTTACGTAAATTAGATATAGGTTTGTACAATTATATTGAATTTAATAGTTTTCGTAAGTTATTGTTAAAAACTACTTTATAATTCATCTGGCGTGCTGAAAATTTGCAGTCTTGAATTTAAATGATATAAATTTTAGTAATTTTTTTACATGAGGTAATAATGATTCTACTTATTAAATTTGACTAAATAGCATTGAAGAAAACTTGCGAAGTATGTGTACAACAAATATCTTATGATTTTCTTCAATCAATTATGTAATTAGATATATGAAATGTTGTGTGCCTTAGATAAATTGCGTGTACATTGCAATTCTCAAGTAAAAAAATACTTTAATGCATTGTTCAATTTTTTCGAACACATTTTTATATAACTAAGAACTTTCAGTACATTTTATATGCTATTTACCCAAGTGTAAAGTATTCCTTGAAATAAAAATAAATATAAACAATAATGATTTTTGTATTTGATTTGGTTAAATTCAGAGTAAATGAATGTGTATCAAGTAAACAAAATTACCTTTTTTGTAATTATCCAACAGTTTTTTCATAAATATTTTTTTACATATTAAAACACTATTTGAATACCAGCAATTTGTTATTCTGAAAAAATTTATCGGCATTTACGATATCTATAAGCGATAGCAATAAAATGATATGACGATTCTCGCGCCATATCTTTATAAATTCTCGTCCAATGGCGTGATGTCCTCTGCTTGCCCCTACATTTTCTTCAAGCAGCTGATATAGTTTGATTTTTTGCTAAGGCACATGGTGCGTGTTTTATGTAGTCATAGTGCGTCAAATGTTTGTGCAAGCATCAATCAGCTTATCAGTTTTTTAAAAACATTCTTAAATGTTAGCTATAAATTTATGAGGAGATACTCGAGGGGAGATTATTGTTATTTAATACAAGAATGAATTTAAACGTTCTAATTTTTTTTAATTGATATCGACGTATCTCGTTCTGTCAGTTCATGCAGCTGAACAGACTTGATTTGTTGATTTTTATTTAACAAACAACAATTAAAATGCTGCGTTCGCTTTTTCGAAAAAGTAGTCCACAAATAAACTCGACATGTGTGCAGTTAAGCCATTTATTTTCAACAAAGGTTAGATTAATTAATACAATTTAATAGTTATTTCATTATTTGAAAAAACTTGTTTGATTTTACAGAATCTTGGAGGAAATGATACTGATAGTGTACCGAATTTATCAGTAAAGACAGACACTCCTCAGGAAAAATTAATGAAATGTTTCAAGAGAGACAAGGAGCTTTTGAAAAGAAAATTAACTTTTTGGAAAAATTGGAGTAATCCTACCATTAACGACAAAGGAAAAGTACTAGATTGGGATAGCCCACATTCTCCAATTTTTTCAAATTACTGTGACGTAGTTATTATTGGAGGAGGAGCAATGGGTATCTCAACTGCTTATTGGCTACAAGTTTTTTGTAGAAACAGTTTAAATATTATAGTTATAGAAAAAGATCCAACAGTGAGAGCTTTAACAATTTTACTTTTTTTAACATATTGAAATAAATAAAATCTTTGTGTATTTTTTTCATAGTATAAAAGTGCATCCAGTGTTTTATCTGTTGGTGGTGTACGGCAACAGTTTTCTTTAGAAGAAAATATTGAAATGTCCTTGTTTGGTGCAGAATTTATACGCAACGCCAATAAATATCTAGGTATTCTAGGAGAACCTGTGGTTGATTTACAATTTCATCCATATGGGTACTTATCTCTTGCTACCGAAGACAAAGTGGATATATTGAAAAAAAATTCAAAATTACAAAATTCCAAAGGAGCCAAAAATGTGTTGTTGACTAAAAATCAGTTGAAGGATAAATTTCCTTGGCTCACTACAGATGATATAGAGCTTGGATGTCTTGGCTTAGAAAAAGAAGGATGGTTTGATCCGTGGTTGCTTGTCACAGCTTTGAAACGTAAAGCAATATCAATGGGAGTTGAATTTGTGATTGCAGAAGCCAAAGGTTTCAATTTTAAAGTAAATAACAATATCACAATTTCTGGAATCAACAATGAAAATTATGAAGAGCTTGGATATTTGATTGTAAGTATACATTAATAATATAATAATAAGTATTTTTACTACATATTAGTTAAATTGAACCATTTAATTTATCTAAACTTTAGGTACAAACTGAGGATGGCAATCTAAGACCTATACACTTTAGCAAATGTGTTATAGCAGCTGGTGCATTCAGTGGACAAGTAGCTAAAATGGCAAGAATTGGATATGGGGAAAACACATTGTCCGTTCCTTTGCCAGTAGAACCTAGGTAAATTTATTTACTAGTTTTTCAAGGCCTAAAAGAATAGAAAAAAAAATTATTTTTTTAGGAAAAGATATGTGTATTGTTTTCACGCTCCAGATGGTCCAGGGCTTAACACCCCAATGACTATAGATCCAACAGGTGTTTATTTTCGGCGTGAAGGCCTAAATAATCATTATATTTGCGGTCGTTGTCCGTTGGATGGCGAGGAGCCGTCTATAAACAATTTGGATGTTGATCTAGAATTTTTTGATAACAGTATTTGGCCTACACTTGCTCACAGAGTGAAAGCTTTCGAAAATTTAAAGGTTTATTTATTTTTAATTTTATGATCAAATAAAGTCAACTTTTTCAAACTACATTTATTTAATTCTTAAGGTCAAATCTTCATGGGCTGGTTATTATGAATACAACACTTTCGATGAAAATGGAATTATTGGGTATCATCCATATTATCACAACTTGCTATTTGCTACTGGATTTAGTGGCCATGGTATTCAACAAGCTCCTGCAGTTGGAAGAGGAATTGCAGAGCTAATTATACATAATGAATTTGTAGCAATGGATTTAACTAGGCTGTCATTTGATAGATTTATAACTCAAGAGGCAATGAGAGAATCAAACATTTGGTAAACACTAAACACCTTGTAAACTATTTGTAAATAAATAAAAAATTGTTTTGTTTATTACCCCAAGTTAATTATTTCACAATCTCTCTATACATATTCATTCATTTTTCCATCCATAATTGCTTTGTAAAATAGACTAAATTAAATTGGTTTTGTACTTCTATTTTTATTTAAATTGTTGAGGTGGTGGACCAAATATACTGCCACTCTGTTTGCTAGCTGTTCGAGATGGAGCAAAACCAAGTAATTTTTGAATATTCTGTAATTTTATAAGTAGAATTTGATTTGTATATATAAATAGCTTTATTAAAATAGACAAATTAAAGCAGTAAATACCTGTCTTATACTCATTGTACATAAAATGTATAAAAATATAAAGGAACACTCTGTATAATCATCACCTGCTAAATTTCTATGTGACAAACCTTGGATCCAACTTATAGGAACAAAAGGCAATCTAGCCACAATACGTCCATCAAAAATACTGTTGAACATACTCAGGAGTGCGGTAAAGGCAAAACCAATAGCAAACATTGATTTCATTTTGACAAGTGACAAGTCTCTATTATTATTTTTTAGTCTTTCTTCCTCTCTCTCAATTTTTTTCTTTTGCTGCTTATCCAATGAATCTCCATGAGCTTCTTTTCTTTTTTCTACTATTTTCAAATAAAATAAACTTCAGCTGAAAAACTAGTGGTTTTATCCAATAATAAGTGAGTCAAATTACTTACATTTTTTACTTTGCTTTTCTACCTCAGCTTTTAGTTTTTGATATTTTTCAGTTCTATAAACCATTAACCAAGTTAAACCTTTATAATATTAAAATAAAGTAATTAAATTTATATAGTGAATATAAAGTATTTTAATAGATATATAGAATATTTTAATAGATGAATAAATAAATAAATTACCTTCACCCAGAAGAGCAGTGCATACACTAATGAACAAAATTAGAACTGTGTCTGCCCACATGACTAAATTCTCCTAAACTTGATACTAGTAATGAAATTGTTACAAATTTAATTATTAATTTACAACTACTTGCAATATAAGATTAGCCATAGAAATTTTACAAAATATTGACAACACAAAAACGAAATGGCCAGGTGATCAGGTGGTCACGTTTATTCTAGTTGATCTATCAGCTTATCAGAGAGAGCGGAAGTTTTTTGCTCCGTGATGTGGCTGGTAAAAGCGCGAAGAAAGGCAATCCACAATAACGAGACTATATAGTCATTATAGCCAAAAGCGACTTTTAGTTAGTATCCTCTTCGCTCACTCAGTGGCACTACTGGGCTTCCGTAATACACATTTCAGAGTTTTCAGACTATGACGATCAACTTTTCAGGGGTAGGTTTCAGATTTTCTTGAAACTTGGTCTACGTATTGTTTTATATGGTAGTGTATTTAAGTATGGATTATTAGATCATTATAATAATTATATCAAAAGTTATAAACAATTGAAAATTTTTGACGAAAAATTTTCAAAAATTTATATCTCCGCAACCATTTAAGTTATTGAAGCGAATTTTTTTCAAATTACGCATATAAGAGTGTACTTTGAAAATATTGAGTGAACAATACTTTTTTTCAAAAGTTATTAACATTTTTTTTAAACAATTGCCCATATCTCAAAAAATGTTATTTTTATTTTAAAAATTCTTTTTTTATTGCATTCCTTGAAATTTTATCTTTAAGAATCCGTTTTAAAATTCATCGAACGATCATTAGATGCGACACGATGAGCGATAATAGTGGACGCTGACAGGCCTTACGACGCTTGTCGGCCGCGCATCGGCGCTGCTATCAAACTTGCCGACTTATCGGCGTCGTAGGGACTGTGAGCGTCCACTATTATTGTTTATAACTCTTGATATAATTATTATAATGATTTAATAATCCATACTTAAATACAGTACTACATAAGCAATATGTAGACCCAGTTTCAAGAAAATCCAAAACCTACCCCTAAAAAGCTAATCGTCATAGTCTGGAATGTCCCAGAAATGCAATCAAAAAATGAACAGACGTATAAAAGTTCGCGCTTTTGCCACTAAGAACGCTGTTCTCCCAAGCTTTCTGTGATCTTTACGAGTCTAGAAATGGGCGAACGTGTAGTGTTGTCTCGATGTATTATTGCAGTTAAAAAATTTCAAGAAAAACTCGTGCTTTCGTGTGAATTTTGTGAGAACAATACTATCATACCTGGATAGATAAATTATTTTGACTTCTTACTACAAGAAGTTTATAACTCAACTAGTCGTACGGACAAAAATACATGTCGCCGAAAGAGTTGAATTTCACTTTTTCATTTCGGAACTACACGACACTTTTTGAATCGACAAACGTATCAAGTGCTTTAGTAAATATTTAATTAATTTATTTGAAATAATTAAATAAAATGTCTGTTGCCTATGCGCAACGAGGTAGACCACCTCCCACACCAGCTCAAATACAAAAAGTACGAATATAAATTAAATCAAAACGTACTTACTAACCTATTGCAGACTCCACAGTAATTTCATTCATTTTATTTCTAGATGCTGGATGAAAATAGTCATCTTATACAGACTATACAAGATTATCAGAGTAAAGGAAAGTCACAAGAATGTATACAGTGAGTTGAATAAGTTTGCTATTGGTTTCAATGTACACATTTTTGAATGTACATTATTTTGACAGGTATCAGCAAATGCTACACAGGAATTTAGTATATTTGGCAACTATTGCAGATGCAAATCAAAATATACAAGCATTATTACCTGTAAGATGATAAAAAATATATATCTCTTTTATCACTATCAACTTATACTTTTATTGTTTCTATAGGCTCCTCAAACTATACCCAATGGACCACATCATGGTATGATGGCACCTCAAGGTCCACCCAATGTGCCTGCTTCTGCTGGTCCTGGGGGAGAAATACCTCCCAATGCACAGCAACAATTACCAATGTCTGGCTTCAATCAAGGCCAGCCAATGCCACAAGGTGCATATAGAGGACCAATGATGCCTGGTCAAGGGCCACCAATGAATCGTAAGTTTAGTAAATAATTGCAACAAATAGTAGCAATGATGAATTTTATTTGAATATTCTTCTTTAGGGCCACCAGCAGGCTCACAGCCATACAGAGGAGGACAACAAAATTACCCTCCTCAACCACCTCAACAAGGTTACCATCCACCTTATGCTAATCAAGGCCCAACAGCAAATTACCAGGGTCCCCAGAATGCCAATTATGTACCTGCTGGTCAACAAAATCAATATGGACCCCCGAATGCACCACCACAACAGCAAGGCTACCCTACTGCTGGGAATCAACCGAACTATGGACCTCCAGCAGCAGTAAACAACTATGGACCTCAGCCTGGTGGTTACCCCAATGCCAATCAAGCTCCTGCAGGCTATGGACCACCACCTCCAAATCAACAAGGATATCCTCCATCTAATGCACCTCAACCGAATTTTCCAAGTGCAGGACCGCAGCAGCCGCCTTATGCAAGTCCTAGCCCACAGCCGAGTTATCAACAGCCCCCCAGTCAAGGCCCTCCTCCTCCACCACCGCAAAATGCCTACAGTCAGAATCCACAAGCTACCAATTATCCGCCGTCTTCTGCGCAAGGCTATCCTAACAGCGTTCCGCCTCAGCAACATTATCCGCCGCCACCGCCGCCGCCTACGTCAAATACTCAACAGACTCAACCCCCAGTACCACAACAACCTCCTCAGCAACAGCAGCAGCCCGGACCATCACAGCAGCAGCCTCCATACAGTAATCAACCGAGTCCAAGCCAGCAACAGCCAGGCGGTGGACCGGCGCAGTACGGCCCAACTTCGAGTGCACCTCCGTTTAACACTACAAGTAATGCAAATACCTATGTACAAAGCGGCCAATCCACCGGAACGCCATCTGCCTCGACACAAACAATGACTCCCAACAATCCACCTCCTCCAACGTCTCAACAAGGTACTTATCCTCAAGCAGCACCACCACCTCCTAATTGGGGAAATCCGGTGCACTCGCCTCACCAGCCCCCTCATCAGCCGCCGCCACCACCACCGCCGCATCAGTCGCCTCATCAAGCGCCCCATGCTCCACCACACCAGCCGCCTCCACATCAGTCTTCCCACCCCCCTCATCAGCAGCAAGCATCTCCACATCCACCGCATCAGCAACCATCGCCACATCCACCGCATCAGCAACCGTCGCCACATCCGCCGCATCAGCAACCGTCGCCACATCCACCGCATCAGCAACCATCGCCTCATCCACCTCATCAGCAACCATCGCCACATCCACCACATCAGCAACCGTCGCCACATCCGCCATCGCAGCATCAACAGCAACACCAAGCGCCGCCGTCGCACCAGTCGCCACATCCATCCCCGCATCAATCTCCACAGCAAGCGCCTCCATCTCAGACTCCTCCTCAGTCACAGCAGCAGCAACAATCTCCTAGTCCTGCCCCTTCAGGTTTCCAGCCGCAGCCGCCCACTGGTCCGTCCCAAGGCCCTGGAGGACCTCCGCAACCGCAGCCGCAGCCGCCGACTGGCTATGGGCCACCACAGCAGTCTCACCCAGCGACGACGCAAACCTACGCTCCTCCAACACCAGGTGTACAGTCTCAAGTTTACCCACCTCATCCTCCACAGCCAGGTCAGCACTATGGTTACCCGCAGTACCCTCCTCAGAATTATCACCCGCCGAGACCACCTACCGGTCACATGCCTCCACCGCCAGGCCCGCAAGGCCCTCCTCCCAACCAATATGCTGGTTATGGCTACCAGCCGCCTCCACAATAGATGAGCGTACACTCATGAAATTGAATCAAAATTGGCTTCTCACAACAAACTTCGAGGCATGTTCTTACCATTCACGTTTACACTAACATATTGTATAAAATTAATTTTTTAACAATTATACATTTCTTTTTACTCCATGTGTTACATTCATAGAACAGAAGGAACCATAGATTTTATTACCAATGAAGTATATCACAACATATTTTATAGAGTGAATTGTAAAATATGATCTGAGAAAATACTAAAAACTACAACATTATTGATACACTTTTCATTGTAAGCAAATTAATCAAGAACAATTATCTTCAATTATACATGTAATTAATGTCATGTTCCATTTGCAATGAAATCTGTAATACATTCCCTTCGAGTGATTCAAGATTGAATGACCAGTTTTCGAACGTGCTTAATAATAGCACTCTTATTTTTCGTTTTGTGTAATATAAGCAATCTTTGTAAACAATTAGATAAATATGTACATTTAATTTAAAATTAAACTATTGTAAAGTCTGTCAACTTTGTTTAAGTGATTTTCAAAGTTCATCTCTTTGTTGTTCTTCATTAATTGTACATTCACATTCATATTCTGGCTGTGTAACATGTTCCATTTCTGGAAATATATTTATAGGGTTTTGAATACGTTTGCTCCACTCCTGATGACAAATGGTAAAATTGTTATTTTCAATCTTTTAATGTTAAATACAAATTGTATACTTACTTCTATTAAAGCAACGAGGTAGCAAAATATATTTTGAGGCATTAAATTATCTCTTGCATATTGCCTAGCTATTTTTGTAACTTTGTGGGCCTCATCATCGTGTCTCATTGCCCACTTAACTTTTTCGATTAAGTCCGACAGATCACTGTTGACTGTAATAAAGTGTTTATCTGCTTCAAAATCTTGGTAAAAAAATTCGAAATATTTTGAATTCTGTTTAAACACTAGAGAATCTCCTGCGAGTAAATAGGGAAATCTATATGCTGCCACCGTTCCATCAATATTTAGTTGATATTTATACTAAAATGTAATCACTTTTGTAAATAAAAATATTAGATACTTTTAAAATTTTGAGTTACTATTTACTCACCTCAAAAAAATCGAAAAAGCTAACATGCTTTTGTTTAGGTCCATATTTTTTTATTTGATCTTCATTTGAGAAAAAGAAATTTGTCATTGACACATTAAAGAGAGAAGGGTTTTTTCTAGCTATATCAATTAAATTTAGACGTTGCATGTTGGAATCTCTTCCTCTCCAAAACACCTTTTCAATTTTTTCACTCCAAGGCAATTTTGTATTGCCTTGTACAGACAACATATCTAACATTACTCTACAAATAAATGCATAATCTTGCAATAAAATTACAATATTTGTAAAATTAATAGAGATTAAGACATGTAAGCCACCTTCCCATTCCTTCTACAGATGATTCAGTAAGCTCATAGGTAGGCAGAACTACATCATTAAAATTTTCATGCCCACACCATGAGAAAATTGGAAACATTTCTATATTTGTATTCTTTTCAACCAGAGGCCAATCTCCCAAATTTGCAAAGAATTCTACATCTGGTAATACAGTTTTTCTTGTTATAGAAAGTAAAATTGCATCATAAAATGTTTTAAACCCGACATGTTCTCCAAAACACTTTCTATGAACCTGAAATTATACAGAATATATTCATTTTTGTTTTTATATATTTATATACAAGAAAATAAAAGTACATTGTTAGATTTGACAACATAATGGCATATACTGATACTTTTTGGTTTGTTGAATGTTGATATTAAATTATCTCGTAAAACATCAAAATTCACACGAGGAAAATTCATAAGATTTTCATTAACCAATTTCTTACTCTTGCTGCAAAAATTATTTTTTAACCAAGATTGTACTGATGTATTTGGACAGTAACATTCTTCTTCATATACTGGGCCTACAAGTAAAAACATAAAACTTACTTAAATTATACTTTATATATTTTAATGTTAAATAATATAAACTGCACCTTTGAAAAATGACTTCTGTAATGGTACAATTTGGTTTTTCACTTTAATAATGATACTGAGATTGAAACAGGTATTGTAAATTCGATATCGAAAAATGAAACTTGCATCTTTGCAATCTAAAACTTGTGGCCAAATACGACAAGGAGTTTTGTCCTTAGTAATTCCATTTATAGCAAATGATACAATTTTGTCTTCTATTGGTTCTGTAATACTGTAAAATATGTTATGTCATAATTAGTTTTGACTTCCAGTATATGTAACAAAAACAGTATACAAACTTGATTCCTTTGCTATCTACAAGTTGTAAATAAATATATCTCGCTCGTAATGTAATGTCCTCAGGATGTAATCCTGGGCCCCACACAAATGTTTTCAGTGCATCTATATCGTTTATATTACTTTCAACACAATAATGTAGATAACAAATTATAAAAATTGATAAAATAAGTAATCGAGTCATACTGCTAGAGGTCTCTTTCAAATATTAAAACATATTATAAATTAAATATATCATCATCTGTTATGCTCATAATTATTTTCCATAGCAAACTAAATCACAAAAATATGTATTTGTAATAATGGATTGGTTGTCAAGCCGGCGATAAGGTTACTTGTATACAGTGTCATGTCATGCAGATCGCAGAGTATATTTCAAACATTAACGCATACTCTATGATATACCTATTCGCACAATATAAATTTAAATTCAATACATTGTTCAAATATAGCGCAAAGAACAAACGGAAAATTCGTAATGTTTACAATTGTACCTTATCATTTTATAATAAAATCGACTGAACTATATATATACATACACACACATATATATATATAGAATATAACAATTATGCGCAGTAGTTTTTTTAATAAAAATTTTTAAAAACTAGAAAATAGATCTTTGATTAGAGTTGTCCTCCGCCTTCGTATAAAGACAACGCTAATCAACACATGTTATGCCAGAAATAGTGTTAAAATACATCGAAATAATAAGAACGTAAATTTTATTTATTTTATTATTTACAGAGTATTTCTAGTATTTTGGGTACTAAATAACATCGTAAGATACTTTGAAGCAACGAACAAGATGTTCAGTTGACTAGATACGTAACATCGTCCAACCACGTTACGCGACACGTAAAGTCAGGCTTGTTCGTCATCGATGCAGACAGGGCACGGCATTTGCGGCGGATCAGAGGGGGTAGGATAAGTGGATACATTCCACGTCGCGACTCTGGAAACGTATTTCCGTTCGAGTGAAAAATGTGCGACACGATATGTGTACTTCGTAGGTTGCTAGGTAAGAAGATTAATTGTTATAATCAACACTACATGTTTTGCAGTGTATCGAGAAAATACACAGTAAACTATTGTTTGGATCAATACCAAATATAAGATTTCGTTGTTTGTTTTTCTGATGTTTCAGGTATCCCCGATTATTCATAATTAGTCGTTTCGCCATTGTGGGGAAGTATGCAATATGAGAAGTAATCGCTAAGCAGAACTCCTTTAAACCGATTAATTAGTCCTTCAAGCAACGTCGTCTATGGAAGGATCCTGTCGTTTGCTCGTTTTTCCGTGTTTACGACACTTTATTAAGCTTTAATCATCACTGCGAATATTTCTATTCCATTTTAAGGATCTTATATTTAGTTGAAAAACAAAGTGTGAGTGTATTGTACATTTATTATCGAGTATCATCCTCTAATAATTTTCATTTTAAAATCAGTTAGTCGTGGTTCAGACGATGAAAAATACAATCTTTTCTAATTGAACCTGCAAATAGTAACTGTTCTATAAAATGAAACAACTGGTTGTCGGGGATAAGAAAGTTATAGTGGGATGAGATAAAGTGAAGATAAAATTGATAATGTAGGGTCATAGAGAAAGAAAGGGAGAGGAAAATACAGAATGCTAAAGTTTGACAAAGGCTACAAGAGAGATATATACACATATATATATTGGTTGGTCTTTTCTTAAAATAGCAGTCTGTGACAACTTGTATAGGTAGCGAAGGATTGGTTGGCGAGTTGGTGTATTCGAGTCTCTGATTGGTCGATGCTGCTAGTGAATGCGCAGCGAAGCACTGCGCAGTTCGTCGTGGTTCGACGAGGCAGCAGCAACAGCAGGAGGGGCGGCAAACACAAGCGGAAAACGGAGAACGTGTGGTGGAGGGCCAGTCGGCCGTCTCCCGAGCGAGTCTGCACTGGGCACGAGAGCTCGTACGCTCGAATACGCCATTGTTCATCTTCTCTCCACTAAGCCTTCCTTGCGCGCGAACACTAATCCTTGGCTCTATTCTCATTTACAGTCGTATTTTTAGTTGCTTACGTTGAGCCACATCACGTTTATTATTACTTTTCAAATTATAAACAATACGGTACAATCACATTTACAAACAATTGAGCGCTATTCTGTATTTGGCCTCTCGCTGTCTTTCCTTATGGATCGATAAGACGTAATGGCAATTCTTTGCCTGCCTGCCAATTTCTAGAGATTGTTGTTGGTAAATTGTAGTTATTTTTTGTACAAGAAAAGCAGAATTTATCGAAGCTGCAGGGTTTGATATGAAAAGATTGTCGTTTCAATATTTAAGACTCGTTAGAGGATCGTACTATTGAGCTGTTAGCAAAAATGGCGGCGAGCGCCACGCAGTCGCTTACATTACGTAAACTTGGAGAATCAATTTCGTCTTTAGTTGCAGACCCCGTCGTTCGATGATCGATGTTATGTCTTGAGATTGCAAGCAGTTTTTAAATTAACAAGTCAAAATGGTGAGTTTATTATTTGTAAAATGTTTCTCTTTCATAGTTTATTCGATTACACGCAACGACTATACCTATATATATGTATATATATATATCGAGAAGGCTTCTTCCGTTTCGTTCGTTATCGACGCGAGTTTACAAATTTTACGAAAGAGGGCGCGTTGCTCTACGTTTTCGAATGCTTCGCCTCCCACTGCGTGCGCTTTGGATTCTGGATAGAGTCACAGAAAGGGGAGAAGGAAATCGATAACTTATTTATTTTCACTTGCCTAGCAATTGTTTTAAACCTATTTTTTTCATAATTTTACAAAATTTGAATAATTCAGAAAATTCAATTGCGATCATATTATTATGAACAAACAATAAAGTTTTTCAGTCCTTAAATCAGCATTTAGTTTGATGTAAATTTGTTCTGATTTCAGCCACGTATAGATCCATTATCATTACTCAAATGCCTCAGTGTCTTACTGGGGCCAAATGGTGGGATCAAGAGTAAAGATGAAGTTGTTCGTGTGGCAAACCTCATGTCCAAATTTTCCAAAAAGTTGGTTTCAAAATGTATCTACATCCAAATCTTAAAGTGCACAGATCCTGAGCTGCTGAATCAGTAAGTTCAAACATGTTTTTTTGCTTGCTTTTAGTATTAGTGTTTTGCATACTGAGACACATTTTTATTTTCATCTTAGTGAAATGAAAATGTGGTGTATTTCAAAAGTGTGCAAGATTAAAATTTTGGAACTCTGAACCATTGGGCGGTTACCATCAATGGGCCGAACTTACTGATGTGTGTTCCACATTATTTTTTTTACTTATTTTGTGTATATACTTTTATTTGTTTAAGCAATTAAACAATTGTAACATTCTTTAGTATTCCATACCACTTTACTTGCTTATTCAAAATTTTTATAACATTTAACACAGAAAATTTTATTTATAAATTATTTTTTCTGGTTACAGGTTCATGAGTGAAAATGGCTGGAATTTGATACATACATGGCTTAATGATGGAATCAAGGCAAAAAATTGGGCTCTTATCCAAGAACTATTAGAGCTCATATTGCTATGTCCAGTAAATATTGACAGGTTAAAAAGTAATGATTGTCCTAAATTAATTAAAGGACTGTCCAAGCAAGAAGTACATCAAAATGTTAGGATATTAGCAAGTCGAATTGTAGAGCAGTGGTTAAAAATGGTTAAAGGAGAAGCTAGTTCATCAAATATTGGTCATCTGCCAGCCAATCCTACATCTCCCATACCACCATCTTCTATTTCACAAACTAATCAGCCTTTACAATTCAATGCAAGTCTATTATCAGTTGCTAGTCATCAGGTTGATAGTGAAAGTGCTGTGACAGTCCAATCAAGTGATTCTCCAGATCTAACAAGTTCTATAAACAATTCATTGATTGTACAACAAACAATAAAAACATCTCCTCAAAAATCTCAACCCCCTACATATATTAGTGTGCTTGATAAACAACAAACTGTGTCAACAAGTAATTCTACACCTTCTGTGTATAGAATTATCATACGTGATGGTAAACAAGTTTTATCTCAAGTTCATACTGATGCCTCAAATATAAACTCTATTAGTGTAAATAAAATTAATGAAATTAATGGTGATGTAATAAATAATGTGCTTCCTACAGAAGATGAAAAAAGAGATAAAAATAAAAAATCTTTTGTAGAAAGTGAATTAAATAATGATAGTGTCAGTAGTCAAGTAAATGAAATTGATCCAGTTTTGAAAAACAATGACAGTGAGGTAGCAGAGACAACAGTTATTGGATTGAAAAGTGGTGATGAAACGGACATTGTTAAAAACGATGATAATAAATCGATTAGTGACAAAGAAAATCACACTAAAAAAGATGATAAGAAGGGTTTGGATAAGAAAAGTAGTTTGTCTTCTAGTAAAAGTTCAAGCAAGCATAGCTCCAGTTCCAACAAACATGGTTCTAGTTCTCATCGTTCTAGTTCTCATAGATCCGCTTCGAAAAGCAGTAGCAGCAGTAGTAGCTCCAAAGAAAAGTCTTCCAGAGATAAAGATAAGCATCATTCTAGCTCTTCGAAAGGCTCTTCAAGTAGTAGTAGCAAGAGTAAGGCTGAGCGTGATAAAGAAAAAGAAAAAGAAAAATTGAAAAAAGACCAAGCTGAAAAAGATAAGGCAACATTAGAAAAACTTGCAAGTCAAACTTTGAGTACAAAAATGGGCAAAATTCCAAAGAAGAAAGCTGATGAAGAAAAATCAGGAGAGTCTCCTTCCAGAAAGTCTTCAACAGATTCTAAAGATAGCTTTAAAGAAAATAAAGAATCCAAAAAAATTACAACGATCCCTGAAAAGAAAAGCATCTCCATATCTATTGAAAATAGAAAAAGTTCTCAAGATCAAACTTCAAGGCCGAAAACAGTTAAAACTTTCAATTCTAAATTCAGATCAACAGGTTTGGAAGAAGAAGTTAAACCTCCTCCTCCAAGAGGAGCCAAAAAGCCTAACATTGTAGTAGATAAGAAAGTATTACATTCAAAATTGCTTCTAAAAAGGCCTTCACCATTAAAAGAGACTGGTCCACTTGATAAAAAAGCCAGGTTTTCATTGGATTCTCCTACAACACCACCAAGTGATGAGAAAAAGGGAGGAATCAAACTTATTCCAGCAAAACCAAAGTGTATGTATATCTCTTTGTACATTTATATTTAATTTTCGGCTTATTGACAGACAAGAATTGAACAAACCACCGACATTCAGGAGTATTTTTAAAAATAATTGTAATCTCTCTGAATGTTGAGTGAAATCTGTTGATGTTAGATTTTGTTCTAACATGTGAATATTGAGTTTGCAGGTGGGCCATTCCTGGAGCAATTGGTGCAAAAATTCCGTTATCAATATTTTAGAAATATATTTAAACAATATGTTAATTTCTATTTAAATTATCGTCAATTTTTTGTTCATAACTTAACAAATTTTTTCAGGCTCAAAGCATATATTAATAATTTTATATCATACTAGGTATTATAATGCTAAACTTGATTAGCTTTTGCTATTGTCCCATCATAATATTAGTTTTATTAAAAAAATTTAAGGGTAATATCGTGGTAATCCCTTTCTTCAATGTCGAGTTTCTGAAGACTGTCGACAGAGCGCAAAGAAGACGAGAGAAGTATAGACATCAGCACTGCAACAGTTTTTTTTATAAGTGACCAAAATGACCAAAATCCTGCAGGTAACCTTCGATACAACAATAATTAAAGAAATCTTGTGCCTTTTATTTAAGTAATAATGAAAAGTGTTCAAAAGAACGAACCTGCAATATCGTTTTCTAGTCAAGAGTGAATGTGTGTGCGAGTTTCATAAACATTGAAATCATTTTTAACGTGCGTACGGTATCTAGGTAAGACACCAACGAGCAAATTTTTTGTCTATTCATTTTCAATCCCTTGTATATGTATACCCTTTTACGAATTCTCAATAAACAATCAGAAATCTGGTCAAATAAATTAAATTGTTGGGTTTTCTATTTCACATTCGTTCAATACTTTCTCAAAGAATAAACAAAAAAGACACTGATGTTGTCCATCCAGATTTCTATCCTCTCGGTAAATTTTCAATTTAAACCAACACGCGTTGTAGCCTCTTTACTTATATTTAAACGCTCGTAGAAAATGTTTTCTATTTCATTATTAATCGAAATATGCATGTAAATAAAGGGAAAAGAATTTAAACGGGATAGACAACCGCATCTAGATATCGTCATTGATTAAGGTCCCGCTATATAATTTTAGACATGTAACCAATGGCGATAAGATGTGTGGTTCGCCTCCGATGGTATGCCTGAATTACAAAACATAGTTACATCAAACAATTACGATCGATAAATTTAGCTAGCCAGATAGCGACCAATCATTTTCGGAATGCCCTAGGCAGCCGTTTCCTCGTGGAAAATCGGAAACCTGACGATCATTTGCAGCTGTCCATAATTGTTACGCTCGTAACAAATGCCGAACATGTCACAATCAAACTGACAGCTGGAAGTCATAGTCGGATTTTCAACTGTTTTACTAGTAAACGGCCACGCGGTAAAATGATTAGTCTTGATCTAGGTAGCAACGTTCATTGACAGTAATTGCTTGAGATACCTGTGATTTGCGATTTAGAAAAACCATTGGAGGCAATTCGCGACAAATTTGCTCCCTGGATTGTGTGTGTGTATAATTTCTAGACGTGTATAGCGGGGCCTCAATTATCGCCAACAAATTTGATTTACCGGTTGTACAACAGCTTTCCGGAACGTGGTTTTTACGCGCAGCTTCTAATCCGTTGTTTTTCCTTTGATGAATAATCTTACCGCATGATACCAATGTGCACGATTACCGAAGAGAATAGAAATTTTGCGTTGGGGCTCAGTCTATCCCAAATTTCCTCTGAATACGAATGAACGAGCGAATGGAATGTTGACTGGACTATCGCGTAAAACCCACGTCATTAGTCTTGACATATTTTTTTATCTGCTTTATTAACGTTAGAAAGGTGCTGGCTTGAATAAGCAATGAAAACAATGTTCGATGATGGCATTATCTTGATCACTATTTAACGAAATGTTTGTAAGAAAAGTGCATGTTTTAAAGAATTGTTTAAAAAGCTATTGCGGACGGAATGCTTCTAGTATTGTCGGAGGTACCGAAATGCTCTCATTTCAATTTCATGCGTAAGCAGTGACGTGGGGCCTGCGCTCGCGATCGAGAAAGAATATATGCACGAGCGGCATTGTTTTGATTTTTTTTTTCTCCATGAGCAAATGATGTGGGAGAGAAAAAAGGGAGTCCCGACGAGTCGGCAAGAGAAGTGAGAGGAAATGCTGCAATCAGTCGAAGGCGGAAAGTCCCCGCCTGTCTTGGATCGCCGTAGCTTTTCTTCAAATCCCTTGCTTTCGACTGTTTGGCGAACGACTCGACGAGCAATTACTTAGAGTTGTCGAAGAAATGTCGCGTCTCGGGAGCGTGAGCTTTTCCGTGGACGAAAGCACGCGAAACTGGCTGCAACCGAATATACGAACAATCGGTGCTTTTGGAGAGAGGCAAAAGGAAAGCCACCACAGCTGCTGGTCCGAGAGTGAAGCAACGGCGTTAGAGGCAAAAGTAGCAGAGTGCCAAATAAAGCGGCGGAGGCTGCCAGGACTGCAGCACGCTTATTGGTGCCGAGTGGTGGAACATCGCCGGCGCACTTGCGCAACGGCGCTGACTGTTCTCTCTCTCCTTCTCTTTCTCTCGTAGGCCGTGAATGAGAGCACGCGGCCGCTCTCACTTGATGCTTTTGCGACGCCGGCCACCGCGCACGTGTTCCAATGTCATCCCCTTATCACCGCCCTCAACGCGCTTTTGTTCTTTTAATAATCACTCGACAATGCTTTTTTTCCTTCGTCTTGCAATCAATATTCCTATTGCCGCCTTAGCAATTTCATTCAATATCAATCTTACAAAACGATTACTTCGATAACATTTAATTGAAACTGTAGCCACCGCTGTTTCGAAAACTAATACGCTTCAATGTAAAATAAACAAATAATGAATTTTAAAATTATTACACTTTGAATAAGCTAGTGTCGTCAATTAATATACAAATTAAAGATTTTTTTGTAGCTAATGTGAATTTTCGGATTTTATTAATATTCAAAAATTTCACGTTACACCGAATAAAAAAAATGTGCCTATTATTATCTTGTTTTTAATCGATACAATAACACATAACTGTATCCGTATTTCAAAATAATAGTTTTTAGATTGCCTTTAGATCGACGATAAAACATCGAGTTGAGCACACCTATAGTATTACTTATGATATATTCGCTTTATTTCTACGTATACACTAAAAGGTTTACAAAAATCGGCGTCTCGTTGGCTGATATAGTAGCACCTAAACGTGCGACCGACTGTTCGCTTCGTATTTTAAAATAAAAGAATTATACAAACTAAACAAGTTTACTCTTGTTTTCAATGCCTATGCATGTGTACATTAGAATAAAATTTGACACTTCATGAGCAGACGCTTTTTAATAGTCTACTTTCATAAAATTACCAATAATCACTTTAAATTAATTGATGGAAAATAGAAGAAACGTTTCCAAATTATTTTTAACAGTTAAGAAATTTCGTTGCAAATTTGAGTTTTAAATAGCTTTATTTGACTGACACGATCCACATGCATCCAATTAATTTCATAAAATCCTTATACTTTCATTTATTTTCAGGAAAATTTGCACCAATTGCTCTTCAAAGCCCATTTTCTTCATATAAAATTAAACTGTATTCATTTGCGAATGTCGCTGATTGTTCTTACTCTTTAAAAATTACAGTGATGTTTTTGCAAGAAAGCGACATGTTTATGGACGCCCTCACGGCATCTACAAAAAGTAAAGAGCCGAGGAAGAGAAAACGACGTACTTCTATTTCGAAGGACGACAAACCCGACTCCAAAAAGTCGGATATTAATAGTGGTGAAAATAATCGCGATGTATCATCACCCCCGGCGTCACCAATGTCACCATCCGTCACCGCTCAATCTGCAACTAAAGAAGCAGAAGATAAATCGCTTATAGCTATGAAGCCTACGTTCAAGGTATTGAATAATTTACAACGTTTTCATCAACCAAATTTTAATCTTTCTCCTTATTTACATCTATGTTTGCAGTTTTATCAAGATACCTTGGAGACCGATGAGGAAAAAGTTGAGACAAAAAAGATAAAAAGTGAAGATGATGCCAAAGAAATCGATGTAGATCATGAAGAAATCGGTAAAGAAAAAACAGATGACACGAACAAAGACAGAAGTCGAAGTAAGTGTAACTTGACGCAATCGACCACATTGAAAATGAAATTGTACTGAAATAAAGTTAACGATACGTATTTTTTTAGCGCCAACTCCGGAAAACGACTTCGATGATAGGGCGAGTTCTGATTCTGCTGAAGATCCAGCAGCTGCTGTTAGTGAAGCTCTCAAGAAAGAAGAACAAGCTACAGTTGAAAACAAACCTATTGGAGTATTGAAAAGTGTGTTACTTTTACAAAAACGCAAAGGACCGAAGAAAAGTTTGAAATGGAAAACCGATTTAGAGTCCATACGTTACTTTGAGTTGGATGAGACTGAGCGAGTTAATGTTACCAAAACATTTACCGATATGAAGGCAATGGAAAAAATGAACGAAAGAGAAGCATTCCAAATGGCTCGGAAATTAAGTAAGTTATGTCGAGGGTAAAGCCATAATTTGTTTTCTTATTTATTATTGATTATTAAAGTTGATCTGTATTAAATTAACAGACAGCGAAGATATCATGGAAGAAAAGACTGTGTGGAAGCCATTGATTCCCATAGATCTGCCGGCCCCGCTCGTTGAACCTGGTAAAGACAGCCGAGAAAAGGACATTCAGTATGCGCGTGAAAAAGGGATTCTTCAGGCACTATACTTTCATCGCAGCATGTAAGTTGGAATAAAACTGATTTGCCTCGCCGCTGAAATGCGCGCTATATGTCCCTTTGATTTTCACAAAATTTTCTTATTTGCTTTTCAACAGGATACCGGACTCGGCAGCCGAACCAGACGAAGAGCGTCACCAAATAGTCATCGAACCCAAAGTCATTCCGCTTGACGACCTTACTGGTAACAAGGAGAGCGAAAAAGACTTTTCTAATGTTCCGTGGCCGGAACCGAAACCTCAATTGCCTGCTCCATCGACCATCATGCAAAACTCCTTCTTTCCGCCGTTCCGCACTAATCAGCAGCAGACACAACAAATGATTCCACCAATGGGAGCACAGCCCCCCTTGGTGTCGATGGTTCAGCCAATGATGAATTCGATGAATCAAGTCGCTCCTGAAATGATAAATAATATGCAACCTACGACTGGTGGTGGCGGTGGCTGGAGAACTGGCGATGGAAAAATAGTTTCAGTGCCCGATCCGGCAATGACGCCCATGGCCAACATGCCCGCCAATTATCAGGGCATCGACGGCACATCGATGGTTCCACCAAATATGATGGGAGCACCTCCTCACATGTACAACCAGGAGGGCTACATGATGGGATCCGATGATATGGGATTCAATAACTTCCAAGGCCCACCGGGTCCTGGAATGTTCGGACCACCCGGCCCTGGAGGCCCGCCCGGTAGTCTTGGGGGGCCACCTGGTCCTCACTTCCAGGGTGGCCCCAGGGGACCGCCGATGCATGGAAACAGAGGCCGAGGCGCGCCCAACTGGTTTAGAGGCGGTCCTCCGAGGGGTATGCCCTGGAGAGGAGGAGGTTGGAGGGGCTCTGGCAAGCAGCCACCAGTGTGTCGCCAGTTTTCCAAGAATGGTTTTTGCCGCGTTGGCGACAAATGCCAGTTTTTGCATCCTGGCGTTAATTGCCCGCCCCCATATCATTAGTGCAGGCTTGTTATGAACGCTATTTTTACCAAGTGCAACTACGTAGCTGCGGGCAGCGGCAAGGTTGAACAATACTTTATTGTGATAACGCGGTCTTCGGTAAATACTGCGCCATGCGGTAGTGTCAGTTTATTATACTGGTTCAACAAATTCGGATGAAGGACAATTTTTTACTCTTTAGCGTTGCAAGAGATGATCGAGTCTTGTACATTAAACGGATCTCTATGTTTCTACTACAAGTTAACGTTGTCAAATATACGAAGTGAAATTGAGAATCAAATGGACAATGGTATTACGTTTATACATACTGTAAATATTACAACAGAAAAACTATTGGTTAATTTTATATTTTTAAAAAGCCACATTTTATTTGACGATGTTGAGCCTTCTTGTAAATATCATTGTACAATTTTGTAAAGAAATTCTAGTTATATCGTAAAAGAGACTGTTTTATTATGCCCTGAATGTAAAATATACCGATGCTTGTAGTATATTTAAGAATTAATAGGTATGAAATTTATGAGAAAGTGCATACTGACTTGAAAAAAAACAAGAATATTTGCATTTCTTGTTAAAATATATAAACGTTTTTTACAACTTAATTATAAAAATCTTAAGTTTTGTACATTAATCAAATCTTACGTTTGTAATTAGATTTTTTGTAAATGAAATACTGGAAAAGAATACAGTTACACATATATATTTTATTAAACAAACCAATCCTTTTATTTTCATCCTTAAAAAATGTAGATCAATTTACAATTCCCATTGAAAAAGTGTGCAAGGTGAAACATTGTCATGTAATATTTTCACTTATGAAAAATTGTTTATTTAACATTTTTGTGTTATTTACCAATCACTCTATTACCATGGTTTAGTTCTTTGATAAAGATGATGTTTATCAGCATATCGGCTGTTTCCCTCTCTTTCTCTATCTCTGTAATGATCTCTTTCTCTATACCTATCTCTCTGCCTATTTCTATCCCGATCATGCCAATGTCTGTCTTGATTTGAACGACTCCAGTTATTTTGTCTTTGATTTCCATTGAACCAATTCTCAACGATTGGGGGTTTTGCAACATCCGCTATTTTAATTTTCATAAATTCTTCATCTTTATCTGTGTAACGATCTTTAAATTCTTCTTCACATTTTTCAAGAAATTCAATCTGTTCTTTGGATAGTTCCATTGTAATCAATTTAAATATGACTTTGGTGTAACAATCAGAGAATTAGCAACTGAAAAAATAGAAAATTTTGTTGATTTTTCTAAATAAATAATTTATGTAACAATTTTAGGCTTAATTTTCACTAATATGCTTACAATTTTCACTTTGTAAATTATTCAGCTTTAACACATAAAATCCTTGACCTGAGGGAAAATTAAAATTTAAACTTGCAGCATCTTTCGGTTCAAAATACCTATGTGAAATACGAAGAAAAAATTAAAAACTTAGTTTAAAAATATTATTTTACATATTATATATATTTATGTTATATATAACACATAATGTATAAATATATAATTATATTATATATATTACTTATTTAAATATTGTACATACCATCCATGATGAGTTCTACACTGTTCACAAATACATGGTTTCCAAGCGAATCCAGGGTACCAACTAAAGTCGTACTGCCACTAAATTTTTTATGATTAACATTCATGTACTGTATTAAAAATTAATAAATTCATTGACATATGAAGAACATACATTGTTAACAGCTGCACACTTTGTATTTAACAAAGTTATAGAGTAAAACTGGATGCCTACTGGGTTTTTCAATAGTTGTACCTCCACGCCTTTCTGTTCAAAAAGTGTTTGGTTGGTCAGAACAATAGCTGCAGGACTCAAATGATTTATTATTTTCCTTGGATCTGCAAGATCTGCCCCACAAAATCGACAAAGAATATAATCTTTGATAGGATCTGGAATATTTTATTACTACAATTAAATCATTGTTATAAGTATACATATATATAAAATTATGCAATATGGAACTCTGAAAGCTAATTGTGTGCTTACATTTATTTAGAAAAAATTTGGTAATAATAAATCAATACCTTTTACGTTAGAATCTACATTATTTTTCACTTTATTAGAACCAGAACTTACAGCTGTTGGATTAAGAATAACCAAAAAAATGGCAATAAAATAATTCAAATCAAACAAAACTTTGCTTGCCATTGGTGATGTTTAAAGAACAAAACAACATACGAATAAACGCCACATGGTCTGAAACGAGTAACATCTATGTTATTATTGTCAGTGGCTTGTTTGCATTCGTCGACAGAATTTTGACGCGTGATTGGTGAAATTATTAATGTATGTACCGTAAACATAATCAAATGATCACGTAGACAAACTGAATATGTACTCAAAAGAGGTGACGCTCCCTTACATGCGTTAATAAAAATATAACCCCTCAAAATATAATGGCCTTACTTGTCAATAAATATTTATGTAGCAAATCCGTCTTTAAGGTTAGCCACACTCGCTTTAAATTAGCGAGAACTGCAGACGCTATACCTATATAGATTGCGTACAGTATCAATAGGCATCAAGGATCAACAGCACCACCCAGCAGTGAGCAAAAACAGGACGTAACGCCCTACAATATTACAAAACTGCAATAACCTACAATCTCGAAGGTCACGAAAATTTCTTAGCACTTTGATTAACATTTTATTCAACTATAATCATGTCTTATCCAGTAAGTCTTCATTGTATTGAATAATTTTCATTGTTATCTTCTATAAATAATTCCACCAAAATATTTTAGGGATACAATTATGGAGCTCCAAATGGTGCATCACAAATAAATCCACAAGTTCAACAATGGTTTGCCTTAGCAGATAAAGATGGTAGTGGGCAAATTACATGTTATGAATTACAACGGGTACTAGCAAATGGACAAGGTGGTACATTCTCTGAAAAAGCTTGTCGTTTGATGATAGGTACACACAGTTCTTAAATCATGATTGGTCTATACTTGTTTTTACCTTAATTAGCATCTTTATCATTTCTTGCAGGGATGTTTGATAAAGAAAATAAGCATTCCATTGACATAACTGAATTTCAAGCACTATTCGATTACATAAATGCATGGCTAGGAGTTTTTAAAAATTTCGATAGAGATAATTCTGGAAGTATACAAGAAGAGGAACTTGCTGCAGCTTTCACACAAATGGGTTACAGGTTCACTCCAGAATTCATTAATTTCTTAATCAAGAGATATGATGGTAATCAAAACGGGAATGTAACTGTAGATCAATTCATTGTACTATGTGTACAAATTCAAAAGTTTACAGGTAGCTAGTTTAGAAGGCTTACAAATCTAGACAAATAACTCATGTCACTAAATTTGATTTAATTTTACCAATTTACAGAGGAATTTAGAAGAAGGGATACAGAACTAACTGGTACAATTAATATTGGATTCGAAGATTTCTTAGGAGTAGCTCTTAACTGCGATGTATAGTCTTTTTCAATGCTGAAGTGCCTTGCATTATTTTATTTCTTTTACCATGTGTTTTGTTTACATGTTTTGTCCAAATTTATATGACACCATTTAATTTATGTTTTATAGATCAGTTCAAGCTTTTTTACATTTAATAAATGCACGATTTTTTATCTACTAATGACAGTACATGTATACATTACAAAAAAAACACTGTGATTTTAAAATATAAACATAAAGTTACTTTCAAGTGGCTTATTTTTATAAATCTAGAAAATTTACAAATTTCTACAAATATATTTACAACGATGTATTGAGGAAAATTTAATTTACAATTGAATGATTTTTCGATTGTTGATTATTTTTCAAATGTAAGTCTAATTAATAATAGAAAATAAACACCTGTGTGTATATTTGCGCATTTTTACTATACTTTGAACGTTGCTATGGAAACGCGTAGTAAGAGAACATCAAACAGTTGCTTTTAAACTCTTGTAAACAACAATGCCTATATTAAATATCTATTCAAACAACGTAAAATGTTTTTACAGAGTAAGATTATGTTCATTCAGTGCATTAGTTGTATTTATTGCTGTAGTATTTACGTTAGCAACACCTTTATATTTTATACATCACACAGGAGGTATGTTTTTCAAATCTTTAAGAGATCTTCATTCAGTTCATCTAAAACGAATGTAATTTAAGGGTTTTGGATTAGAACTCGAACTTACTGGGAGAAGCCCAATGTACACTTCAAGCATAAATATTTTTTGTTAATTGAGCAGGAAAACACGAATCCTCTAATTTGTTCGACGTTTTCTCACTACAAAGATAACATCATCAAAGATGACTGCAATATCGTAAAGGTAATCAACTCAACTTTTATATGTTCAAAAATGTTAAATAAACACGTTTTGCGAATATTAAAGGTGCAGGAAATAGATAGCGATAAAAACGGTCTGCAAGATTCGTTGAAGTTTGAAGTTTTGTTTTATACAAATAAGCCAATCAGATCCTTGAAATTACTTTTATTTTTCGATTACGAATTAAAGGTATGCCTAGGTTAATAATTGCCATAAAAAAATAAAAAACTAAATTAAATGGACATTAAATGGATCTTCATTTTAGGAACATATTCACATAACTATCGAAGCAATGGCTGTAATAGAACACGCCGTTGTTCACGAAGTTCAGGAATTAGATTTTTTTGGGGATTTGGTGCTGCGACAAAATGATGTTTTATTACACGATGGTTTATACTGCGTAAATGACAACAGTACCGACTTGAATTCTTTTAACCTGCCTGACCTGTTGGCAGAAAACACCGACAAATTACGTAAGTAATGTATATAATTCGCCACGTTTTCTAAGAAATCATGCTCAAATCCAAGTGTTGGCAGTTTCAGGAAAAATCGCAAATTTGAGAACATTGCCGAAATTAGGATTCATCAAAGACGAACCGCTGAGCATTAGAGCGAAGGTTTTCTACGCAACCCAGGCGATCAATTATCGGCCGGGCTTTTGGGAAGAAGTTAAGTGGGCTTGGATGCAGTACGTTTCACTACTGATAATCTTCGTCTATTTCGTGAGAAAAGCACTGACGAGATTGTTCTCCACGAAACGCCTACGAAGTTACGTGGTAGTACCCTGGCATGGAAAATAAAGTTTGATAATTGTACATTCCACACGAGTAGTCAATTTTAAGCGACATATCACTAGAGGCGGTCGGGGGATCGATCATCTGGGCGCTCGAGCGTAGTGTGCCCAAAAGGGCAGGCGTGTGCGATGGTGAGAGACACGTCGATAGCCAACAAAAGAAAGGGAGGCCTCGCGAACCTTTTCGAAGCGGCAAGCTCTATCTGACGATTTCTTTGGCTCTGACCGCCCGCTTCGCCGTCGCTATAGGAGACTGCGCCGTGCAAGTTGCGCACAGCATTTGTCGGCGGAGCAACCGCCCGACGCCTGCCGCCCTGTTATTCGCGTCCTTTCGTCTTCTGCTGTCGAGTGCTGCCCGCGTGTCTTACTTTGCTGGCTCGACATATAGCGCAGCAATTCGCTGGCCAAGGTGAAGTAACGCCAGCTGCAGCAGTCCGCACGTCGATTAAAATGGGTGAGTACCGCGAACTGTCTCGGACGCGCGCGCCACCTCCTCGTCCCTCGATCTCGAAAAACTGGCGTCTGCTAGAGGAATCTCGCGAGAATACCGAATAACGGCTGGCAAATGGCCCGCGCTCTTTCAAGGCCGTGCTTTCGAACCAAAGCATTTGGGTGCGCACCTAGGACAGTCCGAGTGACCAAACTACTCCACGCCAAGTGAGTTCATTGATTTCGCACGCGCTGCGCATTCGACTCAGGCAGATGCGGCGTTCTTGTTAGTTGCGAGCACCTTTGCAGCTACTCTAAGCGATATTGATCAGCGAGTGTAATCCGTTTAGGATGAACCACGGGACAAGTTTATCTCACGGTCACTAGCGAGCAAGAAGTGTCTCGTAAAGCCGAGACTCGTCTACGTACGTACTGATGTATTTGTCGAAATACACGCTTAATCAATGGTCTCGTGTGTTCAACTGCTTCAAATTCGCAGCCATTCGAATCGCGCGCCAAGCGCGCAAGCGAGAGGGCTGGAGGACTGCGTTATGGCCTGCGTGCTAACTCTCTCCCTCCGCTTCGTTGCGTTCACACCGCCATGTGTTTTTTTTTATTAACCTCCCGCTCTCTCATCGTCGACTCGGCCTCGCACGCAGTTCGGAAGGAGAGGGAGAGAGAGAAATAGAGACTGCTGTTGCTGGGCGTTCAGTGACAGTTGCATTTTTCAACATACGCAAACAAACAACGGACGCGCGGCTGCTTGCTTTTATTTTGTTCTGGCGATGCCGTTGTCCGCCGAGCTGCTGCTGTTGCTGCTGCCGTCGAGCACCTCATAAAGGATGCCGTCCGTTTGCGGTGCGCTTGTGGAACTCCACTTGGCTTTTCGCCTCTGCTAGTCAATATAATAACAATCAAGAATCGCGCGCGCATGAAACGTGCAGGGCCCCCGCAGAATCAGCTGCAATGAGTCGCGTTGCAATCGACTGATTCTTTTTTTTAATAATTATGAGAGTGATCACTGTGAGCAGCCGCCGAGTTTTTCTCTGTGCCAGTCACAGCAGCCAATAGTTATTAGACAATAGACAGTTACATCAAATCAAGGCAATTTGCAATGTTAACTTTTTTAATTCATTCGCTTTTGTCTATTCATCTCTTTATTTCGCTTTTTTAATGGCAATTTTATTTATGATTTCTTTTGTTGGCTTTGTTTGCAGCAAACTTAACCGATTGATTCTAGAGTGGAGACCAAAGCCATGAGTAGTAGATCCAAGGAAAAAGTGGTAGCTGCTTTTCGCAAGCTCTTTCGCTCATCTGAGAAAATCACAGAACAAGAGCCTGGTGATGGTGGCTCTACCAATTCTCCTTCCAGAAGAATTCTTGGAAGACACCATAGACCTGATGCTGTCACACCAGCAGAAGCTTCATTGCCTGAAAAGCCAGGTACCAGTCAAACCAATAATGCCAAATGCTTCTTCAAAACAAAGAAGCAATCACAAGTAAGTACTTTTGCCAAAAATGGTAACAAGCAAATATATATATCTGTAACTCTGCCTGTAAAAATTACAGAGTACTGCAGTGCCAGAGAGGGGCATACGCTTGCGAAGACTGATGCGTGAATTCAGCGAGATCCAGAAAACACAACATCGCAGAGACTCTACATTTACTGCCGAACTTGTTAATGATAATCTCTTTGAGTGGCACATTAGGCTACACAAAATTGATCCAGAAAGTGAACTCGCAGCAGATATGAGAGAACTTGGAATCCCTCATATTCTCTTACATGTTGTCTTTCCAGAAAACTTTCCATTTGACCCTCCATTTATGAGAGTGATTTCTCCAAGAATAGAAAAAGGCTTTGTTATGGAAGGTGGTGCCATATGCATGGAACTGCTTACACCTAGAGGATGGGCAAGTGCTTATACAATTGAAGCTGTAATAATGCAATTTGCGGCGAGCATTGTGAAAGGCCAAGTAATTTTCTTCAATTTACTCCATATTGGTTACAAGTTATTCTAGTGTTTTGAATGTAAATTCATGACATTATGTTATAGGGGCGAATTGCAAGGAAACCAAAGACTCATAAAGAGTTTAATCGTCGTTCAGCAGAAGAATCTTTTAGAAGCTTAGTCAAGACTCATGAAAAGTATGGGTGGGTGACTCCTCCATTAGCAGAAGGTTGAATATCGTGTTTTTCAAGGTGTGCCACAAGAATAGAATTCATACATTTTGAATGAGTATATCTGATGATAAATATTCTTAAACTTTTTGCGATATATAATGTTAAATATTGTAAAAGTAGTTGATGAAACGTGGTGTAATTTTCATTGGAATACTTTACTTTAACTAGTTACTTTTACTAGTATAGTAATTATAATAGAGTATCTTGAATAATTGTGAGATATTATCTTGTTGCTTTCAAAAACGATTGTTATTTAATTCATTTGTAAATATACCGCTAATGATAAAGTTTTAAAAAACATTTCTTGAAAATAAAAAAAAAGTTATAACTAAGATTCTGAAATTAAGTATTGTAGGTTTAAAGAGAAAAAGGGTAAAATTATAATATTTTAGATACCAACATTTTTAAAAGTAGATTTCTTTGAAACAAGCCAAGCACTGCATATTTTCATAGTCAAAAGCTTAAACTGTATACTTTAAACAGTATTCAAAAATGATCCAAGTTGATTAATAAACATTTTAATAAAAGATTGATAGTTGTTAAATATTTAGAATTCAGTTCTCTGTATGGTATATGCATACACAGATGTATATTCAATATTTATGTACGTATATTAATTTGTAACAAAAGATAAAAATTAGAAACAACAGGATAAATACGTCAAAAAAATATTACATTGCATTAACATTAACTGTGCAAGTGTATAAGTGTGTAAGTATATATATACCTGCTGAGAAAACCTTAATTAATAAGGTATTTACAAAACGCTTTAGACATTTTTCATGTACCTAAAAGTGATGTACCTCCGTGAACATAAAAAAATAAAAGTTAAAAGATGTCACATACTGTGATCTCTTTATTATTGAATATCTGATCAAATTTATCTATTGAACTCATTCCACCATAATAAAGTTTTAAAATTAATTATACAAGCTTTGTTGAAAAATATAAAATTTATTATGCTTACAGCTGTATTAAAAGTGTATAGCTAATTTCTTAAAAATATGGTCTATAATTTTCATAGAGATCATGTTTGCTTCCGTATGTATTCCAAATATAAAGTATTGGATTATTATTTTCATGTACCTTTCTTTTCGGCTCTTGTTCTTTCTTTTCTCCTACCCTGCATTTTTGCCTATCTTCACTCCTTCCTGTATAATAATCTCCGTATCGTCTTTTATCTCTATTATTATTGTCTTTTTTATATCTTCCATCTCTGTCTTCATCTCTGTAACTGTTATCTCTGTCCCAACGGCTCTTTTTTCTATACCATTTTTTATCTCTGCTTCTTGTACCGTCATTTTTCTCTCTTCTATCTGCACTTTTCTTGTCATTCCGCTCTCGGTTGTCACGATGATGCCATTTTTTTCGTTTCGTTCCTCGACTATCGTTATGTCGTTCTCTGTCGTTGTATCGACTATAGCCTCCGCTATTTTCACTACGTCGTTGCAAATGTTTATTATAATATCTTTGACGGCCACGTGTGGTACCATTAGTTTCATGTGACCAAGGATCTAAAATTGGAGGATCTGTTAATGTGGAAAGTTTAACTTTCAAAAAATCTTCATCCGCGTCGGTGTATCGATTGTGAAATTCCGCTTCGCACTTGTTGAGAAAGTCTAGCTGTTCTTTTGTTAACTCCATCGTTTTCAGTTCACGAAAAAACCTGTTCACAGCTGAAATGTAATGAAATGAAACAAACGTTTTTTTATAACTTATCTATTTACCAAGTAATATCAAAATTTTGAAATACTTACAATACTTGAAATAAACCGAGGAGAGGTAATAATTAAATACGGAAAACAAATTAACCGAGCACAAATAAATAAAAGCCAGCTAAATTCTTCGTTGCACTTTGATACAAGCCTGCAATACCCTTTTGATGACCGAGTGTGCAATTATATGTTATGGATATTATTGGGTAGAACGCCTAGAGGGCAAAGACGGCAGGTCATTTGTTGACCGGCAGATAGTTATCACTGTATTTCTGTCGACGAGTAGTAACAAATTTCAAGAGAATTCGCCTTTTGTTATCGTTGTTTGATCTTTGGTCTATGCATATAAAGTTACGTTCCTCGAAACAGTAAAACTAGCACTATCTATATTAATAATCGTCATGTCTGTGGTTGTGAAAGCGTTAACGCCACGTGCGGCTTGCAATAAGTGTGCGTGTGGATGCGTGGAACGTAAACACAACAAAGTTGCTACGGTAAAAAGTAACCTTAATATTACGTGTGGCGCGTGTATTTTTTGGGCTCTCTGCGCGGTATGAAGATACGCCGCGCGAGTAATAAACTGATGACTGTAAACAAACGAATATGCAGTCGAGTAAAATGCATTTCGGCAATTAAAACGCAAGACGACGAGCGAGATGCGCTCTTTGATAACAATTTCCCATCATCAGTATTTGGCGGCTCGGCAAAGCAAACCGAGCGCACTCTCCGCCCGGCAGCTCTCTGGTTGCGCTTCCAGTGTCAGCTGCCGTCTGACGCACGCACCCCGCGGCCAGATAGCCGTGCGGCAACTGCATAAACACTGGCGACACGACGTACGGTCGCGCGGAACTGGGCGAACCAGCGAACGAGCTGCGGGGCAGCCTGGGGCAGAAAGGAGCCACGACGTCGATCGGCACTTATAAATCTCGTTCGAGCGAAAATAAAAGCTCTAGCGTAAATAACGCGGTTGAAATGCGCATCTGCGGCGCGCGCGAGAGGAGAATGCCTCGTTGGCCGAGCCAGCGCGGCGTGGCGGCGCGGTGGCGCGGCGGCAAGTGCTCTCGCCGGCTGCGGCTAAAAGCATCACTCGGCCGCGACCGAGTTTCGCCGCTGCCGCCAGCGGGCGCGCGCTCGCCAAAGAGCACGCGACGATCGGCGCCTAATGGATCGCGAGCTCGGACCGGCGGAAGGCGCGAGTTTGGCGAGCGCGCCACTGGGCCGCTCTCGGGGTGAAATGGGATTAGGAGCGGCGCGATAAATCAGGCCCGCGGCTCGATTAGTATATCCAACTTTATGGGGAGCTAATTTCCAAGAGCCCGTGCTCGCCGCGTTCGGGCAAATGGTCACCTCGCTCTGCCGATCGATGATTAATCGCCCTGTGTATCGCAACTCGTCGCTCGCAATCAGCTAATGCATTACAAAACGACCGACCCCCACCTACACCTAGCCATATACACGCGCTTATATCTATAGAGAGAGAGAGAGAGAGAGACAAAGAGCTTAACGCCTAGCCGGTTTTTCAGCCAAGCGCAACCGGAGCTCGCTTCAGGCGCCCTACATAGAGCAGGCTGGTAATCGACGATCGGCAATCGCTTAATGGAGCGCATGTGCGCCGCTACCCCATAAAATTGCGATAATGAAGCATGCGCCCCTAAGAAGCGACGTTTATGGATGAGACTGGCGGCGAGCGCAAGAAAGCCGACGCAAGGCGGCGTCGAGTCGAATCGCCTCGGCGAATTGCAACAGCTGGATCGCGGCTAAGTCGGAGTGACTAGCGGCCGGTTGGCGCGCCAATCACCGCGCACTCGTCAATTTTGCAGCCTGGCCATTATTCAGCGGGCAGAAAGCCTGGCGAAAATCGAGATCCGTCTCGGCGAGGAGAAAATGACGTGCGCGCGTGCGGCTGGCTTACGTGGCGGCGCAATTGCGTATACATGCCGGCAGTCGCATGTATAGTCTGCGGCATAATGGATGCGCGAGAGGCGATACTGTATCGGTGCGCGGAGAAAGAGAAGGAATTTAGCTACTGCGGCGGGTGAGACGGAGTAGATGCGCGCAATAGGCGAGAGCCCGGCTCAGCCATTTCACCGTTGAATCTTTGATGCGCCGCCGAGAGGAACGGCAGCGAGACACGCCACGGCGAATTTCTCTCGCGACTCCCGCGCGCTCGCTCTCTCTCTCTCTCTCTCTCTCTCTCGTATTTTAAAATTTATCAGGCCTTTTAGAGAGATCAATCGTCGTCGGATTGCCGCGGGAGCGATGCGCCGCGGGTGAGTCCGTGCCCACCCTCGCGGTCTGACAACGCGAGTTCGAGGGCGCGCGAACGCAGTTCCCGCCGGGCGACAACGCGGCGCTCGGTTACAAAGGGACCTGCGCGCAAGCTGTCGCAACGCCGAGGCGACGACGGCTTAGCGGCTTATTCGTCTTATTTACGAGACGCTGATTTATCGCGGCGATTCGACAGCAGCAAATTTATGCGGCGGCCACTTTTGGGCCGCCGCTTTTCGCCGAACGACTCGCCGCGCCACTCTCTTTTCGTTTTCCTTCGCCGGCTTTCTCTCCCTTGCTCCGGCTCTGGCTCCGTGCTTGCGGTGCGCGCAGCTGGTGCTCGCGCGCGAGAAAACTTGCTCGCTCGCCGTTAAAAACTTTTTCCATTAGCCCTGTTGTGTTTCCCTTTACAGCGACGGACCTCGGGGGAACCTTAAAGATGTTGTATTCGTTGCTGGCGGCGGGACCACCTACCAGCCACAGCAGATGTGTGCAGGCATCCATATGGTCGTGCGCTGGTTTTGGCCCGCTCCTCGACGCGATTGTCCGGCGACTGGTTGACAGTTGTCACAAGGTGATCGGGCTCGAGGCAGACGGGCATTCGAAGGCTGCAGCTTGCGACAGCTTTCCGGCAGGAAGCGTTCGACGGAGTCACTCGCTGGCTGCGCTAATCATTCGACGATCCATCAAATCCTTGCCCGGTTGCGAGCTGCGGCGCCGAGACGCGCTGGCGCGCGATAGCCAAGTTCGCCGTGTCGAGTAGATAGGCTCCGAGTTTGGTCGGACGGGTGACGCCGATACCGCTGTAAAAATAGCACTCTGCGCACGAGTGTCTTGGGACCGAAACTTGCCTTGAAAACTTGGCCCGATACGCGGTGGCGAAGTTGCGAGCGAAAAGGCATCGAGCCGCCGGCAAATTTATTCGGCGGATCGGCCGAGCAGTGGTCCAGCCGACGATCGAGCGCGGAAGGCTAAGTGCATTAGCGCCGCGATACGCCTCGCTCGCGTCGCTGCTTATCGGCTCGGTCCCCCGACGAATATTTAACGGCCTAATCGTGGCGCGCAACAATGCAATGTATGCAAAGCTCAGAGACGCCGACGGAGCCATCGGCTCGAGCGGATTATCATAAACGACGCGCCTGTCCGCGCCACCGACGCCGACGCCGATCGCGGGCCCTGATTTACTGGCCTCGAGCGCCCGCCGTCTTCCGCACCCTCCTCTCCTCTCGAAAATAAATTTCACGCGAGGTTCGCGCGCGCCAAATTGTAATCGGGCTAAAAGCAGCGAGTTTTCGGCGATTGCGCCTTGTCTGCTCGCATTTGCACGCCCAGCACGTGCGCGCAGATGTCAAAGGAATTTGAATTTATTCGGGGTTATTTGCGGGAGCGGCGCAGCCGCCGCGTACGCCCAATACGAGGATTGTTCGCCGACACCTGGGCGAAGCGAGTGCCAGCTGCGAGCGCCCCGTCGGAGGCGAGTGCGAACCCCTTGCGCCCGGGCCGATCAGGGTTCGATTCGGGGGACACTGGCGCCGACGAACGCTCTCACGTGGATTGGCGCTAGATGAGGCGTCCTGCGGCCCGCACGAAGCCGTACGTCGTTAGCGATCCGACGCGCCTGCCCGCTCGACTGCCGCATCAACGTTATCCTTCCGAGCTAGCGGTCCACCGCGCGAGCGCCGATTTCCAGCGCGACTCCTTGCGCTGCTGGCCCTCGCCCGGTCCGCGGCCCGACGTTCGCCATCACCGCAGGAAGCTGGCGCGCGCTGGTGGCTGTGTTTGTTCACGACCTATTAGCGTCGTCGATGTTGCGCAAACGGTGCTTCTCGACGAGTTTATCTCTGTCTTGACGGCGACGAGTAGCCGAGCGCGATCCGCGCGCATTCGTACGCAGTAAGGTGTGCGGCATGTAAGATCGCGCAAGTAGGTCCGTGAATTTCTCA